AGTGGTGTAGTCTAAACCACTGCATAGGCCGCGCAGGCGGTTTTCCACGCTATGGATTGCGTTTGTGCTTTTAAACCCGCCCGCTTTTTCAACGGCGACACGCTCATCTGCACACAGGAATAGTAAGTGGCGCCGAGCCCCGAGGATGCTAGAGTACTAGTCGTCTTTCGCATTGGAAAACCTTCTGCCGCTCCATCTTGGCAAGCAATGAAAGCCTACAGTTTCGAATCTCGATTCACTAAGTTAAGGCTGGGCGCTTGATCACGCTCATATCAATCATTTAACTATCCTAAATTAGGTAAAGCAGACGAGTATCATGGCAAGCACGCGGTATAGTTGGTCCTCTAAGCAATATATAAACTTCCAGGTCTGCAGTCTGCAGACAGTGTTCAGCCATCGATTCTATGAGGTAGCTACTGAAGCCTGGGGATATGGTCATAATGATTCCTCATATCACAAAAAAAAATATCTAGATCATGGTAGGACGTACTCTACTGGTGGGTATCCCTCTGCTGCACGGATATCATCCCCATGTAGCGTGCAGTGGGGCCGAGTGATAGCACTTGCTCGGCTCCAGTCAAAATAGATCATAGCTTGGACTCAGGACCAGGACCAAAGAAAACATACTTCGCCACAATCAGTGGGTAGTTTGGAACTTGGAAGCCCCGGAAGTCGGACTACAAGCTTGTTCCACCGGGTGATTCAAACCCAGTTTACTCTCTACAGAGATAATCCTTTCCCGCCCCCACGCATGATCGGCATTCATTCGGATACCCGGTCGTTGTTGCCGCTAACGTTTACAGCAGGGCGTGGGATACTGCGATGCGGAGCCCAGACACAGACGCCAATCGGATCGGTCCGTAAAGATGGCCCTGATGCTGTTTATTCGTTCGTCTTGAGGCCGGCGGAATTGGCTTCCCTCGACTTCCGCGCGCCTTGCAACGAAAACCCTACAGCCCAGAGCCTGCCGCGTGCACACGGCGATATGACGACATGGCGGTGCGGGGAAGTCCAGTTAGTGATAGGTCCATAATCTAAGTGAGTAAAGAAAGAGCAATCGCATATCGCCGCTTTACCAATAGATCTCGCTTGATAAAACCGAGCAGATACCGGAGATTCAAATGAAGTACGACACCGCTGGCGAATGCAGAACTGCCGACGTAAAGCCGCTAGTTGATACCGAGGTGGGCATCTGTTCTGTGCAGTAGCCCGCGCCTACACTTCAGCACAGTGCAAACGTGTATCTCGGACGGTAGAATATATCCGCGTTGGGCCGTTCCCCACTTTTTATTTGCACATGATCTCCGGCTATTGGTTTGGGAAATACAACGAGTGCATCCGCGAGGCTGATATTCTGAGGCTAGCGGTCAGTGACATCCAGATAGAAGCGGATATGTAATCTACCATGATCTACGTAGGTCGAATGCGATGATGATTAAACAAATAAAAAGCCGGCAGCAAACGTCGTGCCACGTGGTTCCACTAAGTGATATCACATGCTACACCCTTCACGTCAAAAACAAAAACCTTCACCACTCCCGGTGGGTGGCTTGGAAACCCCTCTTCCCCAGGGAGTCGAACGACGAGCTTTCAGCGCCGAGGCGGTGGCCAGCCGACAAGGCCACGCGGGGATGTTTTCCGTGAGTGAAAATTTCTATCAACCGCTATAAACCGCCAGCCGCCTCCGCTCTGCTGCCTACCAGCGGGGTCCAAAGGATGCGCAACACAACGATGAGACGAAGAAGGAAGCAACAGAATAGTCACATCGTCCTACCTATCGTCCTATCGATCTCAGTATATTTGACAGCCAAGAACCATGGAGACATCGGGAAGCAGCCATGGATCCAGAGTGTAGTCCGCAGTCGATTAAGAAGCCGATGTGATCGTCTCGCACATCGGCCAGAGCAACAACATTTAGCCAATGGCGCATGCATGCTTCTCATGCATGGCCAGGAGTTAAGACCTTTGCTATGAAAGGAAGAAGACCTCCGTGTACAACGTGGGGGGATAGTAAACCACGTTAGACGCGTATAACTTGGGGCGGTAGTAGACCACGTTATACTTCTTTGGTTATTTATCTGCTCGTCCGAAACCGTCTGTAGCCCGGTTTCGGAGGCATGAGCCTTGGCCACGCATGTGGCATGTCTCTCACACATGACACGCATGGCCTGGAGGAAAGACCTTTGCTCAATTCTCTCTCACAACAAAGGAAGAAAACCTCTGCGGACAGGTAACCTGGGTGGATAGTAGACCACGATATACGCGTATAACTCGGAAGTTATAATTTCTTTGTTTTTTTCTTCCTCGTCAACACGAAACCGTCTGTCACCCGGTTTCGGAGAGGCCATCCACCGGGAGCAAGTCGGCAAGTCGAGTCTTGACCGACTTGGACTCCCGGAGGATGGGGGAAAGAACTTCGTCGGCAGCAGAAGAGAAAACCCCGTCCTCGGATCTTTTCTGCTCAGCCTCGAAGGTTGGATTCGTCTATTGGTGCTGCAACAGCCTACTATGTAGAGGTTGCACGGACCCCTCAGTTCTTCGCTGCTACGGCTGAGCAGGATAGTCCTGGAAGTAAAAAGTGGGGAAGACAGAGAAATACGTACCTCGAGGATTGAGCTCGGGCTCAGGTGGAAGGAAGGAAGGAAGGAAGGAAGAATGAGTGGAAGGAAGGCGAATAGTTGACGAAGAATGGAAGCTGTAACAGTTGTAAAGAGAAGGAGAGAAGGGGGAGCAGAAGGGGGGGGGTTTGATAAGTGATTTAGGAGCCGCTAGGTTCCAAGTATTTTGCCGCCGCCAGACGGCTAGACCCCACCAAAACCTGCTCATCCTGTGAAACGAGCGAGCAAATGTGACGCCAATCGTCGGAGACGGGTCGAACTGTCCCGCCAGACCGCTAGACCCCACCAAAACTTGCTCATCCTGTGAAACGAGCGAGCAAATGTGACGCCAATCGTCGGAGACGGGTCGAACTGTCCCGCCAGACCGCTAGACCCCACCAAAACTTGCTCATCAGATGAAACAAGCGACAATAGCACCTGACGCGCCACTCGCTGGGGAGTGGTGGTTGTTGAAGTCACCTCGCGCGCCAGCAGCTCAACTACCTAGTCGCTGTCATGGCGTATAACCGCCCACTGCAGGTGCTCATACACAACGTCTGCCATATTACGGCATCTGGAGCACATGAAGGATCTCTCCTAATGTTCGCTGTAAGGCAGCTGGCGATGGTGAGTTTTAAGGAACATTTTGTGAAGGAGTCAAAGAAGAGACAGCCATGCAAACTGTATCCGGAAGAGGATATATGTTCTGCAGTCTGGTGTAGCCGGCGGGTCTATCTTCCGAGAGCAGACATAGTATGTATATATAGAAGGTCACCGGCTCGGAGAAGAAGAAAAAGCAAGCAACCAAATACTTCTATCTTCCTACCAATTCTCCTATCTATCCCAGTACTTTTGCAGACGGCTCTTGTACAAACACGCTTTCAGGCCGGAACCAGGATGGATAGGAGAGCACACACAGAAGAAAGGGGAGATACGAAGATTGGTCGTCTACCTATTCTGTAGATGATCATCAAGATAGAAGAAGAAGAAGAAACCCCGGCGCCATGCCCACCAACGTTGATGCGCACCACTGACTACATTCGTTTCCTCACACCCATAGGTCACATCTTTCGTATCCTACTCTTACCGACACCTCCTCCATCGCGTACCACAATGGGTATGCGGGATAGTGGGTTTGAAATATCGAAAACATCATGGCATTTTAGACGTTTGCCGTTAAATTTACGATACCAGCAATACTCAGCGGAGTTACGTACAGTGTAGTGGTGGTGCCAATCGGCATACTATGTACTTCACTGATCACTTAAGATATTACGGCGGGGTCTCTCCTCTTCTCTTCTCACCGGCGGCGAAAAAGCAACACACGTGATGCATCCGAGTGACATCAAGTGCTCCGCCGTCGCATCAAAACACAAAAATCTTCACCACCCGTGGTAGGTGGCTTGAAAACCCGTCTGCCCCAGTGAGTCGAACGGCGAGCTTTCAGCACCGAGGCGGTGGCCAGCCCACAAGGCCACGCGGGGGTTTTTCCCGTGATTGAAGATTTGTGTCAACCCTTATCAACCAGGGCTGTCAACCGTCTGTCCGGACTACAGTCCACTAGTGGACCGTAGGCCCGTCCCGTCCCGGGCAAGCTTTCCAGAGGACTGATCCATTCCATCCGGAGGATTGTGTGAAAGTTCTATACCGTGAGAGACACTGAGATATACAGCCGCACAGCCACACGTGCGCACACCGGCGCCACGGTGTGGCGCCACGCCACTAGCAGTGTCCTAGTGTCCCAGTCCATTCCGGGCCCTATAGGGTATCGGTCCTCATTCTTCCAGCCCGGAAGACTGTAGTCCTTGGTCTCCTCAACGCGACTTATTCCGCCCCGGGTCGAGAAACCTCAAAGACGGATGGGACGGACGGTTGACAGCCCTGTTATAAATCCCTCCCATCCCGCTCTGCTACCCAGTGTTCTACATAGTTCAGTCCGTCCGTCCTAGGCCTCAGACCGGAATGGACTGTATCTCGGCAGTCCGTCAGGGAGCGGTTTTCGGCCGGACTAGTCCGAAAGGTTTCGACATCAGGACGGACTGCAGTCGACTGCAGTCCCGACCGGACTATGTAGAACACTGCTGCTACCTGCCAGCAGGGTCTAACGGATGCCTAACACATCGATGGATACGCACTACACCCACCTACTCCCAACCCTTTTCTGCTCCGGAATCGGCCCACTGCGTGATGGGCAGGATTAGAGGGGAATATTATGTAGTACTTCTGAATCGTGCATACTGGTGGGTAAAGGAGGAGCGGCGGACTGTGTGGAACATCAAGCAGCAGCAGCAGCAGTAATACCTCCGTACGGCAATCTTCCCCGGGAGTTATGAAACGCTGAGGCTTGGAAGATCACCTGAGGTTGGGTATTCAGTATATAGTAGTGTATTCTTGGATATCTACCATATTTCGTACACCGTACACTGTCCGTCATAGCTACCATCCCCACAGCCACTGTCTGTGTTACAGTTCTTCCTAACCGCCTTCATTATTCATAACCAAAGAAAAATAACACAACGAGAATAAATGCGACAACAACAAAAATCATAAACCAATTTCCCGCTCGACCCGACGCAGCACATGCAAGAAACCCGTCAACGCAACCAAGCCCGCACCTACAGGCTACCGTCAACGACCGGGCCAATCTCCGGCGCAACCTCGCGAAGCACCGTAGTAATCTCCGTCCAGACCTTCTCCTGGAGAAGCTGGCCCTCCGGTCCAACCGATAATCCACCCGGCCTGTATATCACACAACGTTAGCGAATGCGCTGGGAACCTTCACGATCCGCGACCGCAAGTCAAGTCTGCAACTCACGATCCCAGCTTCCCCATAGAAGTATAGTACCCTCCCTGGCCCTCGATCCCGCCCGCAGCTGCGATGAGGAGATTCCTGCTGCCGTACTCATTCGTGTACCCCGTGAGCCTGTTCAGGATGCGGGTAGGGATAGGCGTATCCGCTCTTCCAAGCGTGCTCTTGCACAGGCCAGGGTCGACCGTGGCCACGATTACCAGCGGCTTCCCGTCTGTGTGCGGAACGAGACGTGCGAGCGCGCGCGTGATGTACACGTTCAACAGCTTCGAGTTCTGGTACTGGATTGTGCGGTCGAAGCGGTTCTTTTCGAAGTTGCTGCGCTCGTTGAGCACCGCAAGGCAGTTCGGCGCGCTGCGCTCCAAGAACGGCGCGACTACGTGCATCCCCGACGTCGTGATTATCATGCGCGGAAGGTCGGCGTCCGCGAGGGAGTTTCCGGCAGCGGCAGAGGCGGCGCGCGACTGCAAGATTAGTTTGGGGAGGAGGAGAAGCCCGAGCAGCGTCGTCGAGAGGTCGTTGACTTGCAGAATCTCCTCCCAGCCGTCAGCGGTGGTGTTGAAGTGCGTGCTCATTACACCGGCGTTGAGGAATAGGTAGTCAATCTTCTCGAGAGCGGCAGCTCGCGCGCAAAACGCCTTGACCGAGGCGAACGAGCTCTGATCGAGGTCCCAGACTTCCACCTGCGCATCCGCCGAGATGCCGGGGGTCTTGAGGAGGGAGACTTTCGCGGCCTCCCCTTTAGTTGCGTTACGGACGCCGATGATAACACGAGGGGCGCCAAGAGCGAGTAGGTGGCGGGATGTTTCAAGTCCTATGCCGGTGTTTGCACCGGTAACCACAGCTGTCTTGCGGGCGAAGGTACCATGGGGAGGAAGGGGTAGAGTTGTAAACGGCTGGGCAAAGAGGCCGATCGTTAGCCGAAGCATATTTGCGTTGTGCGTGTTGAAAGGGTTGTATTATTCTATTTTGCTTTTCGTATGGGACGAGTGATGAATAGAGGATGGTGAGGTTGCAGAAGAGGAATGCGGGGGTGTCGAAGTGTAGGTACGGAAGGCAGTTGGAAGATTAGAGAGACGAAGCGGTGTCGAAGGGGGAGTTCCGAGGATGAAGAGGGATAAATCTTCAGGATGAGACGAATGGGTCACTTTGACGGTCCGGCCGTGTGGAAAAGTGGTATCGCTGGGCTGGTACCTGAGTGCGGTATCACTGGGTTAGAACCTGAGTACATTAGTACAGACTGTACAGTGCAGATCTAGAAAGCGAACAAGTATAAGGTACACAGAAGACGGGTTCAACGATGCCCAAGATCGTCTCGAACGGCTGCAACCTTCGTTGTATAGTCGGTTTTTACTTTGAGTTGCGCCCCCGGTGTATGTCTCGGGAGAAGGAAAAGTCCAGTAAAATCCGGATGCAAAGCACAATATGAGAAAGCCAAAGAAAAAGAGAGCCGGGCGCAAGGTGGGGGCCGGGATTCGTGACATGAACTCGCACTCTTACCGGAACCCCGGTGATTGCATCTACATCGCCGAGGGCTGCATGCGGCCTGTCGGTACCTTATAGGTACCAACCGTTGAACCAAGTAGGTACCTTGGGGAATTTGAGTTGAGCCGGGCGGGATTACCACGTCCGGCATATGTACTTGGCTACCTAGACCGGTTGGCTTCTTCAGGGGACGCTAAACAGTCCGGTCTGGTGTGGTGGAGGACTGGACGGACGGCGGTCCTCCTGACCACGTGATGTGACGTCCAACGAGGCGCGCATCCTTAGCGCTGCCTTCTAGAGTGGTTACCCCGCACCACCGCTACAGAGCGTCTGCGCGTAGAGTACTCTAGTACGGACCGTCGATCAACATCATCCCAGATCGTCTAACTTCAATGAGGTTGAGTACCGACGTATTACCAGCATCGTGTCGGTGTGAAAACCATTGCGTCTGGGTTGAATGCGATTGAGTCGGAAGATCATGTGGGTTGCACGGTTGTCTATAAGACTACTTAGTCAGCACAGAACGCTGATGTTAGGTATCAGGTACCGATGGGTACCCGTAGGGTACCTATCTGGGCGTTACATTATGGGTCCTCAAACTTCCCTGGTGAAATCGAATAGGTTTCTCGGCGTTAAATAATTTTTCTCCGCATTGGACGGACAACCTAGTAGGAAGTACATAGTCCTCTGGAGAACCTGCACGGGACGGCCCCGCTCCACAGAATTGGACTGGCGCCCGGACAAACGATTCACCACAGTAACCCTACTCTATTACTCTTGAGCAATTATATTGTACATGAAGTGATCTACATCCCATCTACGGTACTCGAAACTCCGTAAACGCAGGCGGCCGAAATCCACCCTCGTCGTGCACGCGTTTTGCCCTATGTAGTAAATGGAAAGACGAGAGTTAACGTCGTGTCTCAAGTCCACGTCGTAGGAGACCACCGAGATTAAGACACCCCTACAGGGTATCGCCGAAGCGACGGATATATGCTAACGACATAACCGGTCGGTACCCAACGAGCACGCGAATCACATCACAGTCGACATTCCGACCTTCTGTATAGAGTAGGATTCGCCCACACTTGTACTCTGGGGGCACGGGGCTCCGCAGCGAGGTCGATTGAACGGACGGAACTGCCTACCTCCCCAGTCTAGCGGAAAAGGAGTGCTGCCCCCCCCGACCCCGGTCTACCGTGGTCTATCGTCAGGGATGGACCGTACTCGCGCTCGAAGATGAATGGTATGTACTCGAGTTGCGAGACGATAAGCATCGGATGTAGCCTGCGATTGGCGTCGTGGCGTCGTGGCGTCCTTGGCGAGAGAGTGTGTGATGGCGGTGATGCTTCGCCGCCATGAGTAGCTTCACCGACTAAGGGTAAACAGTAAACTATCGAATGCGACATTTTAGGTTTGGCTCGAGCGTAGGGCTGGGCGGAGAGCAATGTGGATCCCGCATAGAGCTCGTGGCCAGATATCGGTGACACCCGGGTGGAAGCAGACATGCAATCTGCCATGACCTATCTACTAAGGCGAAATCCCATGATGATTAAACAAAACAAAACCTTCACCGTGGCTCGAACCAAAAACCTTCACCACCCGCGGTGGGTGGCTTGGAAACCCCTCTTCCCCAGGGAGTCGAACAGCGAGCTTTCAGCGCCGGGGCGGTAGCCTAGCCCACAAGGCTACGCGGGGTTTTTTCCGTGCTGTAAATTTTCCGCGCGCGGTTATGAGCACGTTCTAACACATAACAGCCACTCAGAAGCAGTGCCACTACGGACTGCATACCTTCACATTTGATAGCTCGACCCTCCAAGCTAGTAGCAACCTCATAGTACCTGTGAAGCTTTACGACTGCGCTGTAGGCCCGTTAAAGCACAGACCTGCGAGGTGCCAGTATAATAGAGTAGATTTCACCCTCCTTGTTATATACAGGACCTACATAAAGTTCAATCAATGCCTCCGGATTCATCCCTCCAGCCATCCGGCGATGGACCCGCACACGCACACAGCCGGGAACGCCCGGAACGAACGATGCTCTTGCCGACCTGTGCTCGCTACTCACTCCATATGTATCGGAATGTGTTTAAACAGCGGCACAGCACGGCTTCGGCATGCCGCATCATGCCGAGGAGCACGACTTGACCACAGTCGACACCGCCGACTAGTACTCTACTATGATAGAAGTTCCTGATAAGGTAGTAGTAGATCGGGTATTAGCGCGGCAAGGCGTCTAGAGTATCGCGAGTAGGGCTCGTTAGTCCGAATCATGGAAAGCACTCGGACACGATCGAACCATCTACCAGTATCACAAGAATTCGTTTGCATTCAGCGTTCCGCACGCGATAGAAACGTTGTTTCAAGAGAGGTGATTGATGGAACATGGAGTTTTGGAAACCATAATACATGTTAGCCGCCGCCGTGGCTAAAGCACGGGAGGCAGCTGTGGATCGAGAGTGCAGACCACAAGTCCACAGTCGATTAACAAGCCGATGTCATCCTCTCGCACAGCAGCCAGAGCAACAACATTTCGCTAATGGCGCATGCATCTCACTCATGCATGGCCAGGAGGTAAGACCTTTGCTATGAAAGGAAGAAGACCTCCGCGTACAACGTGGGGGGATAGTAAACCACGTTATACGCGTATAACTTGGGGCGGTAGTAGACCACGTTATACTTCTTTGGTTATTTATTTGCTCGTCCGAAACCGTCTGTAGCCCAGTTTCGGAGGCGTGGGCCTTGGCCATACGTGTGGCATGTCTCTCACACATGACACACATGGCCTGGAGGAAAGACCTTCGCTCAATTCTCTCTCACAACAAAGGAAGAAAACCTCCGCGTACAACGTGGGGGGATAGTAGACCAGGTTATACGCGTAGAACTCGGAAGTTATACTTTTTTTAGTTTATTTCTTCCTCGTCAACACGAAACCGTCTGTCACCCGGTTTCGGAGAAGCCATCCACGGGGAGCAAGTCGGCTCTCACCCGACTTGGAATCCTGGCGGAAGGGGGAAAGAACTTCGCCGGCAGCAGAAGAGAAAACCCCGTCCTCGGATCTTTTCTACTCAGCCTCGAAGGTTGGATCCGTCTGTTGGTGCTGCAACAGTCTACTTTGTAGACTGGTTGCACGGACCTCAGTTCCTCGCTACTACGGCTGAGCAGGATAGCTCTGTAAGGTTATCCTGGAAGTAAAATGTGGGGAAGAGAGAATGACGTACCTCGAGGATTGAGCTCGGGCTCAGGTTGAATGAAGGAGGGAGGGGGAGTGACTGGAAAGGAAGGAGGGATGGAGGGTGGAAAAGTAGGAGGGATGGGGGGAAGGAAGGCGAATATTCGACGTTCAATGGAAGCTGTGACGGTTGTAAAGAGAAGGAGAGAAGGAGGAGCAGAAGGGGGGGTTTTATAAGTGATTGAGGAGCCGCTAGGTTCTAAGCATTTTCGCCGCCGCCAGACCGCTAGACCCCACCAAAACGTGACACCAATCGCCGGAGTCGGGGTAAATTTCCCGCGAGCAGGGCCCCACCAAAACTTGCTCATCAGATGGAACGAGCGAGCAAACGTGACATGCCACTCGTTGGAGACAGGTTGAAGTACCTTGCGTGCCGGCGGCTGAACTAGTCGCTGTCACGGCTCATAACCACCCACTGTAGATGCCCGTAAAATCAATGCGATTCTCTCGCGCAGCAACCAGTGCAGCAAAACTCCGTTGCTGTGGTCCGCGACTAGGTGCTGGCAGGGACATGGGAGGCAGCCGTGGATGAGAGTGCAGTCCATTAAGCCGATAGCATCCTCTCGCACAGCGGCCAGAGCAACAACCTTTGACTTCTGTCATTTCTGTCACCCATGGCCAGGAGGAAAGACCTTTCCGAAAGCTGGCTCAGGTTCGTTCACATGAAATTACATAAGACGAGAGATATTACAAGTGGGGCGATATCCGCGATATTAATGAGTGGGAAAGGAGGGATGTCTCGCGGATCCAATTACGATACGGCAGTGTGTATTAGGAGACGTCAGTGGGACCCGCTGGCTAGTAGCAGAGCGGGAGGGGTTTATGAGGGTTGACGCCAACCTTCAATGACGAAAAAACCCCGCGTCGCCTTGTCAGCTAGGCCACCGCCTCCCCTGGGGAAGAGGGGTTTCCAAGCCCCCCACCGGGGGTGGTGAAGGTTTTTGTTCTTTTGCCGCTCTAGTTTTGCGCATGGCATACATGTGATGTCACTCGGTAGTCGAGTGCGATAATTTGATTGTCATATGGCGCCACAGGGGGTGCTGCGATCGGAAGGATTACCTACCGGTGATATACCTTAGGCAGGGGGGTCTCCGTAATGATTCCTTATTTCTCACCGGGTGCAAACAAGAAAATTGGACTAGTATGTGTACATACATCGCTACAGTTTAGATAGGCTGTGCGGCATTGATGAAGGAAGAAAAAAGGATATGTTTCAGCAATGCTTCGGATGAAGTGAAATTGACTATGCCCATCACGCTTCGGTAGTAATAAGAGTAACGAACGTATTGACAGGCCTGTACGGAGCGCACCTAAAGCCTACAGCCCACAGTAGTACCGCTGTAGCGGGGCGATGACATCTACAGAATAGACGATCAACCACTCTCTTCTCTTTCTCCTTGTGTGTTCCCTATCTCTCCATTTGCCGCTTTCCATCCTGGAGAGGCATTGGCGAACGAGCCCTGGCAAAACCAGTACGCCACCGAGTCCAAAACGGGCTTTTTGCACTGGGTGCAGTGTATTGCCTGGTAATCCGCTGACATTCATCAAGAAGTTTTCCTTTCATACACAGTGGGTAGACTGGCTCTGAAGGTTTATCCCTTCAGCTGTACGCGTAACGCCGCTGAACTTACCTCCAAAAATCCGGCTTTGAAGCGTTGGTAGACCATCGCTGTAAGATATTATAGGAAATAGTCCATATCCTGTAATTGAAGCTATCTCATAATGGATATCCTGTGTTAACGATGGTGTGCGTTGGTGCCCGCATAGCTGTTACTCTTTGGGGAGAACACCGGGTAGGGGACGGAGCCGTCCACGTGCTGGTAGCAGAGCGGGAGGGGTTTATGAGGTTTGACGCCAATCTTCACTCACGGATAAAACCCCCGCGTGGCGTTGTCGGCTAGTCCACCGCCTCGGCGCTGAAAATTCGCCGTTCGACTCCCTGGGGATGAGGGGTTTCCAAGCCACCCACCGGGGGTGGTGAAGGTTTTTGATTTTTTGTCGCAATATTGGTTTTGCAGGTGGCATACATGCATTGTTACACGGACGGCGAGTGATTGGACATGCAGTAAGCGCCCCTAACGAATGCTACCGGCGCCACATCGTGCTGGCTAGTAACGAGGTCCTAACCCCCGGCCAGTCAGAGTGGGCAGAAAAGCAGTGCGACGGTTAGCCATAGTCTAGATAGGCTGCATGCGAAATAAAGCAGAAAGATCTCTCTCTCTTTCTCCAACGAATGCTACGGTCGGAAGAATTACTTACCGGTGAAATAACTAAGGGAGGGGGCAACACAATGAATCAGGAGTCCTTTCCCTCACCGAGCGTAGACACAAAAACTGGACCTGTATGTGGGTACATCACCACAGTTTAGGTTAGGCTACGCGCGATTGATGAAAGAAGAAAAAAACCATTTGTTTTAGCAAAGTGCATGGGATTAATTAAAACCGGCTCTCATCATCAAGCTCCGGTAGTAATAGGAGCATGAACTTCGTGGCATACCAGTAGAGTAGTGAGTGCACTTATAGCCTACAGCCCACAGTAGTCGTAAGGACAGCACACTGTAGTACTCGTCAACACCAGTACGCTAGGTACCGAATTCAAAAAAGAGCTTTTTTGGACTGGGTGCAGTGTATTGCCTTGTATTCCGCTGACATCATCAAGGAGTTTTCAAGGAGTTTTCCCTGCATAAGATGTGGGCTGGTTGCTTCTCAGCGTTTATGCCTTTAGCTGTGCGTCGCCGAAGTCACCTCAAAGAAATACTGCTTCCTGGAAGCGCTGGCAGACCATCGCCATAAAATACCTATCCTCGGCAATATGGTAGTCCAAATCCTATATGCATTTGTAGCTATCTCACGACGTCCCGTGTTGACGGTGGTGTATGCATGTTAGTACTAGCAGACCTGTTACTCTTGGTGCTGCGACTCTTCATCATTGCGATCAAAGAGGAGTGACGTATGTAGAAGGGAGATCACTGGGTGAGGGGCGGAGCCGTTGAGCCCAGCTGGTAATAGAGCCGGGGAGAGGGGTGGAGAGGGGTTTATAAGGGTTGACACAAATCTTCACTCACGGAAAAAAACCCCCCGCGTGGCCTTGTCGGCTAGGCCACCGCCTCGACTCTGAAGTCACGTCGTTCGACTCCCTGGAGAAGAGGGTGTTTCCAAGCCACCCACCGGTGGTGGTGAAGGTTTTTGATTTTTTTGCCGCAATAATTTTGCCAGCAGCCGGCATGCGATGTCACTCGGAATACGAGTGATCGGACATGCACTAATCTTGCGAGTCAAGTCACGGTGACGATACAGCCGCTTGATGAAAGTTGGGTTGGACAGTGCCGTGGAACTGGAATGCGCACATGTATTGCCATGATCATCATCGATTGCAGGCAATTACTGAGTAAACAAAAAAATCAGCGATTGAGGGAGTAGTCTGGAAAGGTTGTATGCGGAATATCTACCTCAATCCCGGGAGCGGACACAGATTGCCGTAATCTAGATATGTCGCATGCAATCAATGATGAAACAATAGCAAACTAATCCATGTAAACTTTCTATGCACTTAACGGGTCACGATGCGATTCGCGCTGCAAATCCATTAATCAAATCTATGACGAAATATTTTTCTTCTCAGCATAACTCTGAGCTCTCCGAGCTCCTGTATCTCCGCTGCTTAGCGAAGCGTAACAGCAGCAGTTGGCGCACCACTGGTGATGAAAAATGGATAAATACCGCCTGGATCTCACTTTCCCGTCACAGCTCCCACGCATCATGCATCGTCCTAGACCACGTCCTGTCATCCACAATCTCAATTGTGACAGCCAGAATCTTCCCGAGCTGACGATAACAGCTTCCTGCTTTACTTCCCTTCCCTCACCGAGAAACTTCAGCCAAAAGTGTCGCGCATCCTCAAAAGTTACCGAGAGGAATACCGCCTTTCTCATGTCGTCTACCACCAACCCCAAAATATATCATATCCATGGAATCCTTTTCAAACCATACCCGGTTTCCACACATATCGACCATGGCACAGGAAGTCTTTCCGCGTTCGTGAGCTGGCGGCAGCAATGCTCCCTTTTAGATTGATGTGATGAATTTCAGGAGCGCCATGCGGGGTGGGTGCCTGGGCGATAATCGATTCCTGGTTTTGTCATCTCACACGGGTAATGCCCCACTCTATCGACGCGTGTCGTGCTGGCTTCTTCGCCGGCAAAAAGCTAGGTAGCTGGGCTACATGAACCGTGTCGAGAGGAGACTCCGTATAAAAGAGGAAGGATTCTACCAACCTCTACTATCGCGGTGGGGGATTCCCGGTCCCCGGAATATTGCCAGCCTGATTATCGAAGTTATCATACGCGTGTCAAGGAAGGCCTTGCGTATCTGCTTTGCCTCCATATAAGTCCCAACAGCGCGAGGTTTTGTATCACCCACAGTCGGTTGGGTGAATGGGGGTGAGGCGAGTCGGAGGCGTGATATAGGAGGGGGAAGTTATCTGCTATGCACGGTTGTTTTCTTTACTCTCGCGGTCGCTAAGCCGGCTAATACCCCATACACCGGGTCGGATGATTGTTGTGCAGATCGCACGTTTCCCCGGCTCATGTCGAGTTCTTTAGGCATAACAACGCGGGGTTGGCCCCTGCATTCTCAACGATCTTCCACCGCATGCAAGCCACAAAGCTTGCTCTTTTGCGCACAGCCGTTGGATTTTGCCGGCAGCGACGTCAATCGAGACAGCTTCCTCATCACTCCCGCTGGATTTCTCCGCCCATAGCCGCCGGAGGAATTCATAGCGAGGGGTTTCCAGGAACAAGGTACGATTCAAACGGGAATCCGGGATGTGGGAATCCGGGATTGACGGCAGATATGGAATGATAAGTATCCGCTTCCCCATCTACACAATACGAAACTGTATTGATCGATATCGACATGATGCGTTTCTCAAAGACCTCAATTCCAATCCTCCTGGCCACCACCGCCTCCGCCGCGGTGCTGCCATGGAACTCAACGATCCCTCCCCCCGATGCGAACGGCAAATACACTCTCCGCAGCACCGGCATTGTCGCGTCGTTCGTCCCCTACGGCGCAGCGATCTCGAATCTCTTCGTTGCGGATAAGCACAACAGCACACGGGACGTCGTCTTAGGCTGGGAAAACGCAACGTTCTACACCGAAGACCCATGGCACGACCACTACGGCAGCGTACCGGGCCGGTATGGCAACCGCATCGCCAATGCGTCGTTCACCATCGACGGCGTCGAGTACAAAGTCGACGCGAACGAGCACAACGGGACCAACACCCTGCACGGCGGCAGCAACGGATGGGATTATCGGAACTGGACGGTCACCGCGCTGACGGACTCGAGCATCACCTTCTCGCTGTTCGATGCCGACGGGGAGATGGGCTTCCCCGGGGATGTCCTGGCGACGAGCACCTACACGCTCACGCCGTACACCTGGCACATCACGCTCACCGCCCTGTCGCTGACGAAGAAGACGCCGTTGCTGCTGACCAGCCACGTCTACTGGAACCTCGACGGCTTTGCCAATCCGGATTCGGAGAAAGTGTACGATCACGAGCTGCACCTGCCGTTCTCGGGCATGCGGATCGGTGTCGACGACAATCTGATCCCGACTGGCGAGCTGCTACCGAACAAAAACGGCAGCGTCACGGACTTCTGGTCGCAGCCGAAGGCGATTGGAAAGCACCTCAACGATACCGAGCGGGGGCCCGACTGTGGCGCTGGCTGTTCGTTCTACGATAACGCGTTCCTCGTGGGTCCCCACGACAAGGAGAACCAATATGTGGCGCGGTTGAACAGCCCTTGGAGCGGCGTCGAGGTCAAGGTGTTTACCGACCAGGCCGCGTTCCAAATCTACAGCTGTGCGGCGTCCAATGGAACGAAACCCATTGGGAAGAGTACGCAGGGTTTGTCTGGACGGCCGGCGGTGATCCAGGAGGGCGGATGCGTGGTCATGGAGGCCGAGGACTGGATCGATGGTATTAATAACCCGGAGTGGGGGAGAAAGCAGATCTGGGGGCCTGAGGATGGTCTATTGACATTTAATGCGAGGTATGAGTTCTCGACGGTGTATTAGCTAGGATATCGGGATGGGAGTCTGTAATGCCCGCCAAAGAGATAATGAATGTACGTCTACCACAATAAATAGCTCTGCTAGTGAGATGACTTTGAGTCGGCCCACTATTTCATTGCAGACAGGCAGTTAGCTTCACCGTGAAATTACTAGTCTGGGCCATCTGCGCGCAGTGATCGAGATCCACAACGCCACAGCCGAGACGCCTCAATTTTCGTCATCATTGCCTTATCGAAGATACACCAGCTATAGCCCAGACAGATAAAGTGATAGTAAACAAAGAAGGCAAACCCCATTGTCGTCACCGTGACTCGACTCGGAAGATTGCTGCATGTACAATCACTCGTCGTCCGAGTGACATCAGATGCAGGCTGCGAGCAAAACTGGAGCGGCAAAAGAACAAAAACCTTCACCACCCCCGGTGGGTGGCTTGGAAACCCCTCTTCCCCAGGAGTTCAACGACGAGCTTTCAGCGCCGAGGCGGTGGCCTAGCCGACAAGGCTACGCGGGGGGGTTTTTCCGTGAGTGAAGATTTGTGTCAACCGTCATAAACCCCCTCCGCTCTGCTACTTGCCAGCGGGTCCAACGGCCCCGCCTCCACAAGACAAGACCCGACGACTACCCCAATGCCGGCGCTTTTTACAATGAGAATGGTAGACGCCCCGGCAGCGTGAACACCATCGGAGGCTACCTACTTCCCCAACATGGATGTCAATGGATTTGAGGCCTCTCTCTCTTCGGTATCAGCAGTGCTGAGACTATGTACACATGAATATGCAGCAGTAAAAGCTGCTAGAAGGTGTCTCCAAGCACTTCGAGAGCGCCAGCCGTACTCTTCATGACGTTGCGGGAAAGAACATTGGATGTCACGGAGAAACCTCCAGTGCAGACTACTTTGTAATGTAGTCTAAAGATCCTGAATACCTGACGTCCACTGGTGGTTCCGCTCTCAGGGCAGTCGAGTCAGCCGGCAGTCACATCCTCACTGGACTCGAGCCTCTAGCCTCCGCCATCACTGTGTCCTCGCCTCTACGCTTAGCCCCCCCGGCTCACCCGAGCACGAACAATCTATTAAAAAAAGTAGAGGATAAATGTGTGATGGGTAGCGATATGGCCCTTTCCCGAGTAGCAGGACTCTTTTCGTAATAAAAGCGCGTCTGATCTGTGAAGCCTCTATCAATAGTTCGGCCTTACTTACTCCGGAATCAGCCGTTAAAACTCCGATTCTAAGGTCCGTTTCGGTTTTTCTAATCTGCCACGATCTAGAAGCTCCCTGGGAAGTCTCACCACAGCCCCAGCGGCCCTCCGAAAATAATGGTGGCTCCATGGACAAGGCAGTCCTCAATGCCGTCAGGAAACACAATTTCCAGGTCGGGTGCTTGTTGAGCTTGGGGACGGCAATGAGTTTAGGTCCATGATTCTATCACCATCCACGGTTGATATTCACTTCTTAGAGCGATCTTATATGGCACCCATCGAAGATAGTGAAGGTTCTGTTTTCGCCGTTGGTAACCACCACGGTATGACTTGAAGTTACATTTTAGTACATCCATGAATGCACTGTTATTCGTCAACCGAGTGATAGGTATGAGTAGATGAACTCCAGGCGATTGCGCAGCCTAGTTCTGCCATTGGTACAGGCCACACGTAGTGCGTACCTCAAGCCCTTGAAAGTACTCGCCGCTCATAGTTATTTCACTGAGGTAATTGCCCGAAGGTCATTTCAGTACCGCCCTGATTCGTCGGAGGTGTCCAACGCGAGATCTCAATAGCGAATTTGCCGCTGTTTACCCACATTAAACAGTTACATAACAAAATTTATCCCGGCGACATGAGTGGAGTGACGAGTGATCTCTGTGAACGTTAGTAAGCAATGGGTCTTTTGGCAATCTAGCCGGTTGCGGACGGGCCAGCGTTGAGGCTCATGTCATCCCGACATTTCACGTCCAAGCGCGTACACTCAGACCCACTTGTTCTCTACCATCAGCAACATCCACGTCGCCCCCAAACTCACTCGCATCCTATCACCCAATCGCCTGTTCTTTCGTCAGTCACCAATTCCGAAGAAGGCTCTGCCGCCCGAAAATAGCGCGATATGGGGGAGAAACGGAAACGCCCCTCCACCGCGCATGCCCGCCCCTCCACCGCCAAACGACAGAGCATCACTCCAGCGCCACAACCAACTCCTCCGATTCCGGTTGAGCCTGAGTTTCCCACGTCGTTCACTCGAGATGGAGCTCTACCGGTTCTTCCGGTATGTCAGCCGGCAAACCTTGCGCTGAAGGAGTACAAGTCTGTCGCAGAAAGGTTCGTGAACCATGCCATGATTGCTCACCCTCCAAGCTCATAGCTGATCGATGTTTTTGTCTCGCAGTAAGGTACTTGCAGAATCGCTTAATCGCTCCCGGCGAGAGTGGGTCGATGGGGAGATATTCGAGAAGTTCTGGACCAAGCCGTTGAAGTCGCGAAAACTCGATCCGGCGATCCTCGAAAAGAACCCCGGAAGAGACTGCATGGTGAAGCTGGGCAATGCGACGATGCACATTACGCCGCATAAGTTCGATGTCCGGCTCTACCAGGTTCTACGGCCAGTGAAAGATGTTCCACCGCCGCCTCCACCTCCACCGCCGCCTCCGCCTCCAACTCCACTGCAGCCAACAGTACAACTACAACCACCAGCGTCGGGTCCGACTGTACAACAAGCTTCTCAGCCCGCAACTACACTGCGAAGTGCGCCACACGTTCAGCTAAACGTCGCTCCTCCAGCGCCGATGCATAATATGGCTCCTACGGCGCCGATGATGCAGGCTCAACAGCCAATTCTGGCAGTTCCCGTGACGGCTCCCGCGCCAGCTCCCGCCCAGACTCGACAACCGGCACCTGTACAGCAACAATCAGCGTCCCTGCAGCAACGATCACCTGTTACGCCTAGTGCTCCTATACCGGCTCCAGTTTTGACCAGGCTACAGCCGGTCTCAGCTTCTCCACAACAGATGCTCCACCAACCGCCCTTGACGTCTCAACCCAACCACGGTCCACCCGCGGCTGGCCCGCCTACGCGTCCAGCGCCACAAGCTGCACAAACCACTACACCGAGCAATAGGCCACGTCCACCGGCACCGCTTGTCCAAAATGCCCCTCCTACGGATCCTCGTCCTCCTCATACTCCTCAGCAGCATCCGCCACCGGGCATGCAACAGGGACCAACTATGCAGCAACCACAACTCCAAGTTGCTACTCGGCCGGATCCAGTCATCCAGCTCCTTGCCATGAAAGCCGCCACGGATGTGCAATTGAAGGAGCTGATGCGAATTGTCGCCTCCGGAAAAGCATCTAGAGAACAGCTACAAGAATTCCAGGGCTACATCGATATGCTTACGGCTACCAGCAACAAGAATTCTCAGCCTCCACCTCAGCCGCGCCCAGGCCCTCCTGCTCCGCCTCATCAAATGCCTCAACAGCCACCACGGCAAAAATTACCTCAACAAGGACAGCCTCAGCAACCGATGCCTATGCAGATGCATCACATGCACCCTCCTCCACCAATATACCAACATGCACCGCCAGCACAGCCGCCTCGGATGCAACAGCCGGCACGACAATTCTCCCCACCCCAGCCAGTGCAACAGCGGCCTGGTCCGCCGTCCAAAAAAGCGTTCCCACAGGCCCCAAAACAAGAGATGTATGGTATTGTCTTTGAGTTCATCGACTCTTACAGCCAGGGTGACCGCTTTATGTTCCCGAAATTTACGATTCTGGAATACCTTGGTCGGGGCACAACTGTTAAAGCATCCTTCATCGTCACCAAGAAACCACCCGGCCTCGATGAAGAGTACTACGTACCGGTTACCATATCGTTGGAGTCGGCTTATCCGAGGGTTCTGGAGCATCTGAAGATGATCGTCGCAGATCCGGAGACGACGAGGACGCACATGAAGAAGATCATGGAGACTAAGAAGCGTGTTAATGACACGTTTCTGGCATATCGTCTGCGGAGAGAAGCTGGAGAGGCGGTGCCAGATAAGACATATATCGAGGCTCGGTTCGAACAACCGCCTCGGATCAGGGAGCCAAGAGCACCAAGGGAACCAAGGGAACCGAGAGATCCAAACACACCCATGCGAGAACCCAAGAGTGCCGGCAACGTTACGCAGCCACGGTCTGGGCCGAGGGTGAAGCACGTCAAGAAGGTTCGTACTTCTCTCGCTTCGAAGGAAAACAAATAATGTAAAACACCGCAATATCCTCAATCACTGTCGCTCCTTTATGCATTGTCAAGATGCATCGAATACTAAGGGTGTCTGTAGCACATCCAAAAATCCCCTAGCATCTCTAGCAGCACTGCCACTACTACTTCTGCGATTCCTACAACCACAAATATCCCTCCTGCTACAATTATTGATTCTCCATCTATTCCTATTTCTACCGCTCCTATCTCCTTTGCTACACCAACAGGCTCTTCACCTCCACCGCCTTTACTCCCGTCCGCGCCACCTAGACTTCCCCGACTACCCAAGCCTCCCCGATCACGAAAAGGACGGATCGCAGACCCAACCAAAAACTGCCACATTTGTCAGACCTCCAAAACGTCACTATGGCGGAAGGCTGATATCGAGGGGGAGAATGTCACCGTCTGCAACGCCTGCGGAATCAAATGGAAGACCAACGCCCAGAAGCAAGCTCAAATCGCGGCCGCAGTTGCGCAGGGCTTGCCAATACCTATATTTCCCGGGGACCCGGTAACCGAGGATGCCGCAGAAAATACGAGCGTTTTTGAGAACATGACGGTTCAAATGTCTTCTCCACCTCCAGCTACTCAGCCGGCTAATTTAGCTGCGCCATCGTCGGTCTCGGAACCCCCACCGGAGCCTACTCCTTCGACTGAAGTTCCCGCTGTTGATACTGCTGTTGCTACCTTGTCCTAAATTCTGTGCATAAACGGATATTGTGTTAACCTTGATTTTAATACTGAGTTTTTGTCCTTTCTAGCTTAGGTCTGCGTGGCGAACTGGTGTTCTTGCTCTTCATTTGTGCTTTTGCGTTGATTTAGGGTTGGTGATGGTGGATGCTAGGAGGATACGATGGTCTGTGCTGCAGAGGGAGATTTTATGCTCCCCACTGTGATGTGATGTTGAAATGCGTATGGATGGGTTTTCTTTGAAAGATGGGCCTTGGCACTGCGAGTTTGGCGTGTGATGTGAAAAACAATTGAATGAAGGATTGCCGGCCAAAATTTGTAGCAAGATTCGTACTTCCAAACAACTTGCACTTCTCATCATCGGAACCACCACACAACCACCACAACCGTCACACAACCATCGCCATCTTACAACCATCACCACAGCCGCACAGCGTACCTTCACCACAACACAGCACAGCACAATGCTATTCTCACTTGCCAGCAAACGTTCAGCAATTCCAGCCGTCATCCTTCTAATTCTCGTCGTCGGGGTAACATCCGGGGTTACCCGCACCTTCGAGGGTGATCTACTGTGGGGCTGCATTGGCGGCGCGGTATTGTTGGGGATGTCCGGTTGCTTTATTTTCGAGGTCCACCGCGGCTGGGGCGAGTGCTGGAACGGGGTCGACATTTCTCGCGGTAAGAAGACGGGACGGGACATCTTTGAGATTGTCGAGGACGATAAGAAGGAGGGGTTTGCAAGGAAGATCAGCCTGAGGAGGAAGGGGTCTGCAAGGGGGAAGGGCATCATTGTGGGCGGATGAGGGGAGGGAGAATGAAATGACGGGATTCTGGAGTATGGATACACCTACAGGATGAGAATCATCTGAGGCATGGGTTTACAGCATGCTCTATCCGGTCAACTAAGAGTGTTTCTCTCTTCATATCTTGTTCGCTCTAGATGCTTGAGAGCTGTGTTCGACACCGTAGACCTGCGCACAAAATACAGTGATAGACCCCTCATGGCTGTTGTGGAATTTCATAACTCGATGGAGCTTCATTGAGTACTGTATAGTGAAGGGGAGGGTAAAAAATACGCTTTGTGACCATGCCGATACGGAAAAAAGCGTATCGATACGGTGAAAATACGTATTTTGACCGTATTTATACGCTATTTAACCGTCCCGAGACGCCAAAAAGCGTATTTTTTACCCCCCCCCCCTCACTATACAGTAGGTACTTCGTCTGCCCACCACCAGGACACCACACGCGCAAGCTATCTAGGTAGGATGTATCATATTAACGACCGGTATGAGCTTACATTCCGCTCTCCATTCCACCTTGACTCCTACCCCACCTTCGGTTGCGTCTCTGGAGTACGTTCCATGGATGCCCGGCATCTCCGTCTCCACCGAAGAAACGGCCTAATGATATGTGTAGACGCCACAGCCCCGAGCGTTATCAGCCTAAACGCTTCGCTTGTTTCATCATCGTGCATTCGACCGATCTGTAGCATGAGCATGACACCCGTACGCCGAGTAGCGTGTCTGCCTTCTGAGTAGCCAGCTCGGTGGCGGCGGTTCACTTACCGCCGTCCGAGGGTCTGTAAGTTCAACGCTGTCGCTTGGATATCTGTCACAGACGAAACCAAGCGCGAGTGATCGGTCTGCATGAAGAGCCCAGTTAGCGCCCATCGAGTCACGTGGTACGCTAATCCCACTAGCCTACTTGACCCTTGACACCTGTAGCGAGAACTAGAAACCCCCAAAACCCAGTCCCACCAGCGCGACGCTCGAGTCCCCATATCTCCAAACCTTCACCACGCAGACACGACCACCACCACGCTTGGCGAAAGCACAACACACGGACATCTCGCGATGTCGCTCACCCCCACCACCGGCTCAATGCTCAACCTCTGCCTCCGCGTGCACCTCCGCCGCCCCAACCTCCCGCTCCTCAAGATCCTGTGGTCACCACCGCCGGACGCAGGACCCTACTACGCGGTGTCGGACCTACTACGCAGCATCAACAGTGGCGTCTTGCTCGAAACCGAAACCCATGCGCTCGAGGACTACCGCGTCGAGAAGGATGGGTGCATCGTCTTCCATTTCATGAAAGTCTTTGCGGTGTTTCAAGATGGTGATGAGATTACGTGAGTTCTTCCGGGAAGAGTGGAGGGTTGAGGGGGAAGTGCTGATGGTGGATAGGGTTCGGCCACTGGCACTACAGGAGTTGAAGCTGCTGGGGGCGCAAAATAATAGGCTGCTGTTGACGCAACCGATGTTGGTTCCGAGCGGGAAGAGGAGGAGATTGGGGATGGAATTGAGGGCCTCGACACTGAGACTGCTGGAGGATGATGCGGAGGATGATGCAGATGAGGAGGAAGATGAGGATTATATTCCCACGGTTGAAGAGAATTCAGCGGGGGATGCGAATACCGAGGAGGATGATGCGGAGGATGAGGCCGAGGAAGATGAGGCGGAGCTTGAAGAAGCAAGGAAGCGGGAAGTGAAGGAAACGAAGAAGAGGGAGAAGAGATTGAAGCAGAAAATGCGGAAGGAGGTGGACAAGAGGAGGAAGGAGGAGGAGGAGAGGAAGAAGAAAAGGAAGAAGGAGAAGATCAGGAAGGAATCGAAACAGAAGAGGGAGAAGGAGAAGGAGAAGGAGAGAAGGAAGAAGGAGACGCGGAAGAAAAAAGAGGAAGAAGAAAAGAGGAAGCAGGTGGAAGAGGAAAAGCGGAAACAGGAGGAAGAGGAAAAGCGGAAGCAGAAGGCAGAGGAAAAGCGGAAGCAGAAGGAAGAGGAAAAGAGGAAGCAGATGGAGGAGGATGCCAAGAGAGAGCTTACCGCACACAACCATAACGCTCTCGTTCGCTTTGCTGTACCTGCAACCAAGGGCCATATAGATTCGGATGAATCGAGCTCTAATTCGGATTCCAACTCAAGTTCCGACTCGAGTTCTGATTCTAGTTCCGATTCAGACTCAGGCTCGGACTCAGGCTCGGACTCAAGCTCGGACTCAAGCTCGGACTCAAGCTCGGAGGACGAGAGGCCGGAAGAGTAAGCGCGACATCTCCCCCCAGCAGAAAGTACCTCAGAGCAGGAGCTAATAGTTCGTAGGAGGTCTTCGAAGAGAAGGAAAAGCGATATAACCTCGCAATCCACCACCACTGCCACCAAATTACCAACCGTCCCTGCTAAAGTACCAGCACCCTCTGCGGCCACCGCTACTACTACGTACAAACCTCGTGCTACCGCTCCTGGCACTCTGCCGCATCAGGGGAGTGAACTGACAAGACGACGAAGGAATCGCAAGAAGGGATGTCGGTTGCTACAGATGCTGAAGCTTGAAGGCGTCATTGGCGATAATTGCAGCTTGGCACATCTCACCGCGTGCCTTCGCGCGGGCGGACTAGACATCACCGCGCCGGCGGATTTGCTGAAACGTCACTTGAAAGAACATCTCCCAAGATCAATCGAATTACCTGCGAATGTTGAGAAAACTGCCGATTCCGTGTCTGCCACGAATGGCACAGATAACGTGGTTGGTGGGAAAGTCAAAGATAAAGTGGTTATACGGAATGGCCAAAAACCAGTGGGAGTCGGTGAAAGCGCAGATATCATGGACATTACGACAGGTGTCGATCCGGTCGACGCTGGCAAAGGCAAGGATGTCGGCGTTGGTCAGCCCCGTGGGACGGAAGGGAAAAACAACAGAAAGTCGAAGAAAGCCCGTGGGAAACAAACCGCCCTTACGAATAGCAATCTACCCGGGAATATCGGCGGCCAAGGTTCTGTGCAGGATGACGAAATGGCGCAGACTCTTGTTCCGCATGGCCAGCCAGAAGGCAGCTACATGATTCGGGCTAGTCGCAACCCGGATGCCTGGCGTTCCAAGATCTGGTTGAGCGCGTATGAGTGCGAAAACGAGAACCCCACGCTCCCGACTCCCGATTTCCCCTTCCAGCAGCAGCAGCTGCAGATGAATCCAGGGAAAAAGAGGAAGAGGAAGAACCAACGCCAAGAACAAAGCACCGCCCATACCGACTCTCTGGAACAACCGGATGTGGCGATATTAAATTATGATGAACCAGAGCAACCCAGCGAGCACCCCACGACCGAAAAAGATATTTCAACGGAAGAGGATCTCCCCAGCTTACCCGCCGACATTTCGTCCTTGGCTGCACTCACACAGCCACTTGTATGTGGGACGGTGATCGCTTTCAAGCGCCTTGATATGGACCCCCGGACGTATGTGCCGATCCTCACGGATTACCTCACCGCCACCATCGAAAAGGTACATACCGATGTACAGGATGGGCCGCAGCTTGAGCTCAGGCTCGCGATCAGGGACCGTCCGAAGCCACAATTCGACAAACGAACCGGTGAAAAAATCCTCGGTAGATTCGCTATGCCTGGTCTCGAAGACGAAGTAGAAGAGGGCCTAGTGTACCTGATGTGGGGAGAATTTCTGGAGCCCAAGGTAGTGAGGCTTCCCGAGCGTGGTACGGAGCCAGTGGAAGAGCCAATGGACGAGTCAGTGGTGGAGTCAGTGCAGCTACAGAAATCCCCAAGTAACGGGGAGTCTCGTCAGGCTGCAATGGTGAAGGAGTCTGGTTTGAAACGGGACGTGGGCCAAGATTCTTTGGAGCTGAACTACGGCGACGACATCTACATGGAAAATAACCGGACTCAAGAGTCGGCGAAAGAACATCCGCAATCACCCCCTCAGGATGATGACGATGACGGCCTGACTGCGGCGCTCAATGGTTTCGACTGTGAGGAGGGTAATCAGGACGTGAATATAGTCGATGAGATTCCCATCGTAGACGAGCGCGTGGATGAGGCAGATGATGAGGTGGATTCCCCTCCCGCTTCCCCTCCCGCTGAGGAAGCAGAAGTCACCCACAACGGTCTGCGGGCGCAGGCATCCGACAAAGAAGTGGATTCTCCTGCGGGAGGAGGGGAAGAAGATCGACGCTTGATTGAGGCGGAGAAAGCGATGACTCCCACCCCAGAGGAAGGAGAAGCCACCTCTCTTGCGATGGTCGCTTCCTGTTCTCCAGCAGTTGAAGATGATTCTCCCAAATTAAAGACTGAAGGAGGTGGCGCCCCAAGCTTGGATTTGTTTCCGTCCACAACCCGTCCTTCGCCGCGGGCAGCCAAGCGCGGGCCGGCCGCTCCCACTACGTTCATCGTTATCTCTGACGATGAGGACTCGGACCCCGGACCGCCACTGAACGAACTGTTTTCCCAGCAAAGCCTGTTTTCCCCTTCCCAGGGTGTCACATCTCTCCCCAAGAATGGTGGATCCTCCACATCGGTGCCTCAATATTTTCCACCACCATCATCCGCCCCGCTTCCCTCATCTCCGCCGCAGAGGCAGCTTCACTCCGAAGCTTCGCAGCCGAGCCCGGAAATGACGCCGGCGAAGAAGCACCAAGAAAGGAAGTCGAAGGTTGGCACTCCTCCCGGCGAGGGCTCGGCGAGACGAATATTCCGGGACTCGGTACCTAACACTCCAACCGGAAGCCAACAGTTGCGTCCCGATAACGTAAACCATGGAAGCCCCCAGGGTTCCCCCGAGAACTCGACGTCGACGCCGAACAAGTTTTCGCCAATTCCTGGTAACTGGGCGGCTCTCAGAGCTGTCAATACTGAGAAGGAGAAATAAGGGGTTTCTATGGGGATGCGATGAGTTCAGTTTCTCTAGTTTACATACTCTTGCTTTTGGTTTTGGGGGTTTGTTTGATTGCGCTTTTGTACTTTTCTCAGTTTGGCTTTAGTTCGAGGAGCATCATTACTACTAGTAGTACTTAATCCATCTTTTGTAGCAAAATGGAATATTCTTAGATGGAGAGCAGATGCAAATAAGCGATTCTGTTTGGTTGCAGCTTTGTGAAACTTTGCCAGAGAAAATCGAGGTCCTTCGAGTGATATCGCGTGTTATTGTTTACCTGGGTAGGTACTATGATAGCGTCCATGAAAATGCTCGATGAACGGATTAGTGGGCCGAAATGGTGGCGACACCTGCACGCCTGGATAATGAGCGTGCGGGCCGGGGTCAGGCACTCCAGCTCCATAGATAACCTTGTGCAACCTTAAATTTGACGTCAGCTCAACCAGTCCAGCAGCTGAGGCCATCCATTGACCGACCTCCACAGCGTGCGACAAAGACCATAACACAATGCGGCTATTAACCACAGCAATACTCCCACTCCTCTCGCTCGCCTACGCATCCACGCAACAGCCCCTTAACGACGGCACCGCCAGTACGCAGTACTCGTATATCCTCGTCGGCTCTGGCGCCGCCGGCTCGGTCCTCGCCGACCTCCTCTCCTCTCCAGGGGAGCCCACACTCCTTCTCGAAGCCGGTCCACGCAGTACCTACGCCTCAGGCGGCCGTGAAACCCCGGCCTGGCTACATAACCACCCGCTAACGCGCTTCGACGTCCCCGCGTTCTTTGGCACGTTCAGCCACCAGTGTCCGGACATCCCTGTTCCTGCGGCGTGCGTCCTCGGCGGTGGGACGGCAATAAACAGTGGGATATGGTTTTTGCCTGCCGAGAGGGATTGGGATGGGTTCGGTGGGCAGTGGAAGGAGAGGGTGGCGGTGGCGGTGGCAAGGGTCAAGCACAGGATCCCCGGACGGAGCGAGAAGTCGTGGTTTCAGGAGGCGTGGTCCGTGTTGGGAATGATGGCGCGGGGCGCGGGGTGCACGCGCGCGGAGGAGGGGGAAACGGCGGGTGATAGGAGGTATGCTAGAGTGCCGTTTATGAGTATTAGCGGAGAACGTGGCGGGCCGCTGCAGGCGTATTATCTCCGCGCTGCGCAGAGGGGGAATTTTAGGATTGTGTTTGGGGCGAGGGTGGAGCGGGTGCTACGCGATGGCGGTACGGCTACGGGTGTGGAGTATATACAGGACGGAGAGCGACGCATCGCAATGCTGAAGGAGGGCGGAAAGGTGGTTCTTTCCGCTGGCGCATTTGGATCGCCGAAGATACTGTGGCAGAGCGGTATTGGGACGAGGGATCAGCTCGAGATCGTTCGAGCTGCCAAAGGCAGCGAGGGGATAGTAGACGAGAAGGATTGGATCGATCTGCCGGTTGGGTGCGTGCATCTGTGCCAATCATGGACGAATGCTGATTCGCGGAAGCTACAACTTGATGGATCACCCCGCCACTTACGCGGTGTTTAAATATCCCGGTGTCGGCGAGGCTTACAACTACTCAGACGCATACGATAACCCAAATCCCCAGGATGCTCAGAAATATCTCGGTACTGTGTACCCCCCTTCCCCACTCACTCTCATCGACTGACGAACCTACACAGACCACAGAACCGGTCCCCTTGCCTCCTCCAACGCGCGTATAACCTTATGGCAGAATATCCCCGGCAGAGACGGGGCGAGCCGCACTGTTTGTCCTCCCCTCTAACTCTCTCCCACCCTACTAACCCACCACAGCTACAATGGACCGGCCGTACCAGCGCCTTCCACAACTTCACTGGCCCGGATCTCCTACTAATGACGAACTACCTATCATCCGGCCAAACATCACGCGGGCGTATAAGTCTCACCCCGGAGCTCAACCTCATCATCTACGAGTCTCCGTACCTTGTGACGGAAGAGGATACCGCGGCGGTGATACGGAGCTTCCACGACGTCCTAGCCGGCGTCAAAGCCGTGCCGGGGCTGGAACTGTTGCTTCCCGATCTTGAGAGCACTACTATCGAGGAGTACGTGCGCGGCAGTACCGAGGGCAGAGGAAGCAACCACTGGCTGGGCACTGCGGCGGTGGGGAAAGTCGTTGATGTCAACGCGAAGGTGATAGGGATGCGGAACTTGGTGAGTCCCCCTCCTTCCTTTCTTCCTTTCTTCGTGCTGCTGCGGGCGAAAGGGGATTATGGCTGACGAGGGATGGCGGGAAAGTACGTTGTTGATGCGAGTATATTCCCGGGAATGGTGGCGTCGAATCCGGTCGGTGCGATTGTGGTTATGGCGGAGGTGGCGGCTGAGGGGATTGTTGCGGATGAGGGCGACCTGTGACGGTGAATAGAGAGAATGTCGTGTGCTCCACTAGTAACTACACTGCCGCCGCTCTTCCAAAGATACATCAGGAGTGGATACCTATTACTCCTGCAGCACGGCGCGAGTGATAACGCGTGAACACGTCCCCATCGATTGTCGAGGACAGCAGCAAAGCAAAGCAAAAAAAAACCTCATCCCCTCGCACAGCGGCCAGGAAGACGATGTTTTTTATAGAGGAAAACCCGAAGGTAGAAAAACCTTTGTCAGTTCGCTCTGCTCTTGCCACGCTGTTGTGCCCGCTCTTGACTCTTGACTCGTGAAGGACTAAATATGAATGGAGGAAGGAGGAAGGAGGAAGGAGGAGGGAAGCGGAGAGGGAGCCTGGGGAAGAGGAGGGGTATTTGTGGTCGGCGTGGGGCTTGGAATTTGAGTTCAACGTACTAACTACCAAGTAGGTGCGCTAGCACTTGGAAATTGGTGGAGTCAAGAAATGAAAGCATAAAGTGTGTGCCTCACCATCTGGAAGCTTCCATCTCCGGATCCGCCCACAGACCGAGTTTCATTCTCATCATTCTCATTCCATCATTGGATTGCATAAGATCCCCGTCTGGATCACGGCAAAACGCATACCTACCTATACTGTCCTGGTATCGCCCCAGAATGTAGCTTAAGTATGCATACCTAGATCAGCAGGATCCAGCAGCTCACTTCCCCAAGTAACTCTGCACTCCGGCAGTAAATGTACATTTTTCCTCGTCGTCAACTCTTTCAACTTCTAAATCTTTTAACTTCTACATGCCGAAGTCTAAAGACGAGAACATCCCCCCCCCCCCCCCCCCCCCACCCCACCCCTCTACTCCTCTAAACTGAAATCGTACTCCTTGAACGCCTCCTTGAACGCCTTCGCATCGGCGATCTCCTCGGGTAGGGACATGACACATTCCTTCCAGTTGATGCGCTTCTGTTCGGTGCCGATCACCTCGGCGAGCACCTGCCGTCCAAACTGGAGGTTGAAGTACTCTCCCTGCGCCAAGTGCATGGTCCTTCCTTTTTCCTGGCCGCCGATCCAATACGTGAATGCGTTGCCCCTATCCGCCGCGTCTTCCTCACCATCGTCGTCGTGGGTGGTGGTGGTGGTGGTGTGCTCATCCTCAAAGGAGTGCGCGATATCTTTTGCCGCGTCGTCGAAGGCGGCGTCGATGCGCTCCACGAGCTCCTTCTTGACCGGGATTACCTGCCAGTGCGCGTGGATGCCGTTGACCCTGCGCACCTCGAAGGCGACGGCTGTGGCGCCGTGCGCGGCAAAGAATTTCTCCAGCGTGGACAGATACCGCTTCATCTCGGCCACTGTTGCTTTCCTCGATTCTGGATCTTCAATCGTCTGCAGCATCGGCGTGTGCGAAAACGGGATGATTAGGATGTGCGCTGAGAACGGCATCGAGTCGGTATTGGTGGCGGAGGATGTGAGCGGGCCCTTGGCCGTGGTGAGATACGCTTCATTGCCAATTGAGACGATGAGGTGCTTTTCGAGCGCGGGGTTGGACAGACAGAAGAAGCAGTTTTCCGGGCCGGGGGGAGGTGGGCGCTCGGGATGCCGGCGTTTGTGGGTTCTCTTCTGTTGGCCGGAAGAGGTATGATCGCCCCAGAAAAAGGTTCCTTCCTCAGCTGACCGCTTCGCACCCCGTTTCGCTTCCCGCTCCTCTCGCAAATAGGGCGACGGTGTGGAATAGCCCGGGCTGGCCGGTGGCGCAGAGGGATCGAGGGAAAACGCGACCATGGCCTTCGCTTTCTGGGCGTTGCCCCAGTCCCCCAGCGAATAGAACAGTGTGAACCGTGTCTCATTCTCGCCCTTCCGCAATTCGTTCCGGTACGGCGTGCGCGCCAGGTGCTCTGTTCCGCCAGCAACGAAGTGGTAGCGGGGCCTGACCGCCACAACGAGTTCCGTGACCGCTGGCGACCCACTGCGTTGCCCGTCGTGTATCCCAACGGGCCAATCTGTGGAAATCAAGATGTCCGCTGGATCGTGTTTCTTCAGTGCCGAGAACTCGAAGGGCGCGTGCGTGGCCAAGAATGAGGACTTGTCACCGTCCTTGGAGAATACGCCACCCGCAGCAACGATGCGGATACCTTCGGATGTGACTATGCTGCCCTTCTTGCCCAGGAAGAAAAGGTTTTCGACAACTTCGCCAGCGTTGGATTCGATTCTCGAGACGACGGCGGGAGAGAGTGGCGTGGCACCGATGGTAAAGTAGGTTGGTAGTGGGAGTTTCAAGTCGCCGCTGAGGAGGGATTCGGCTTCGGTACTTGAAGAGATGTCTCCGAGGATGATTGCGAAGGCGAAGTTATTTTTGCTGTGCAGCGCCGTGAGCTTGGTAAGGGCTTCGGGGAGGTGGCCGGCGGTGGAGCCGATGACTATACTGGAGAGAAGAGTCAGCGTATGGTGGCAGGAATACCGGGCGTAGGGACATACATCTTAGATGCCATCTTGTGGTCGGTGGTTTTGGATTGGCGCGGGTTGAAGATATGGCGTGGGAGACGCGACGAAATGGAACGTGTTCCTGAGAGCCGCACTTTGAGGTAACTAGCGCGCGCCGTAAGCGAGCCAGTCAATGCACCTGGCGCGTTCCGTCGAGGGGACAGTCTTATCAAGTTATCAGGCTCAAATTCCAAGGCGAACCTTACGGTACCAGAATACATAGTCTTTTTTTTCTTCCAAAATCACATTCACCGCATAAGATGTAGTGCAGACACTTGAAATCCGGGCGATCAATCATGCATTTGCTCTCCTATGCAGCCAATGATTCCAGGTATCTACCTACCTATTATTCCTCTTCAGCCAACGCATACTGTCTCCTCATCTCCTCCGTCATCTCCAGAAACCCCTCCTTGGTCCCAATGATCCTCTCATAGACTTGCTTGCACTCCTCAACAACACCAGCATCAAATGCCAAATCTCCACTCATCGGGCTTAGCTCCACCAAACCATCCTCTTTACTATCCGCGGCAATGGGGGTAGCAAATTCTTGCGTGAATCTACACACGAAGGAAATATCGGCTCCTTCCTCACCACAAGCTGATAGTACCCGGCGCACAGCGAGCTCGGAGAAGACGTACCCCACAGGTTGCGGAGAAAGAGTGGAGGTGTAGAGGACCGCTGGTAAGGTTAGCTCAGTAGAAGGAGAGGCGAGAGGGGGGCAAGTACCTTCTCCGGGCCCGCACTCGCCGGTGGCGGAGGCATGTGCGATAATGTAGACGGGGTTCTTGTTGCATACTTGGTCTTCGGTCTTCAGGGAGCCGGAGGGGAAGGTCAACACCGCGGCATTAGGCGGGATACGGTCGTCGGCAAATTTCTTAGTGAAGAGGGCGTGTAACGGGGCAGATATAACAAAGATCCCTTTTGCCAGCGAGGTGATAGAGGAGGGGGCAGCAGTGGCGGTGGTGGCGGTGGTGAGAACCCACAGTGCTGTCACCACCTCACCATTGGATAGCGATATACAATGTTTTCCGTCATCGCCCGGGGTGATGGATGTCATCCCACGAGAAAGGACGTTGATTCCACCTGCTACAGCCGCCCCCCGGGACCAAACTTGGCATAGCTCCGAGCTGCCTCCGTAGGCGATTGTTAGTGCGGCCGCGGAGCGGATATCGGGTATACGACCGATGCTGGATACATGACGAATGAGTGCGTCCAGCGCTGTACGTAGCGGTGTTGCCTCAGGAGGCGTTGGGAGGAGTGTAAGGGAATGGATCGAGGCAATAGTGAACGGGGGAAGTGGGTACACCGTAGTCAGAAACTCAGATAGCGGAGTATCGGCGTGCTCGGCCAACAGCTGATGATGTTTCGTATCCTCTGGGTCCGAGCACTTCGAGATAAACCGCAACAGCCCGCCCAAGTACCCGCGATCTCGATCCTGCAAGTCGGGGCTCCACGCTACATCTTCGAACGTGCATGGAACCTCGCGGAGGACCCCGCCGAGCTTGCGCAGTGTCGGGGCGTCGCCGGTTTGCTGGAGTTCGGGCGGGAGGTCGGAGGTGAGATCACGGCTCTCCCGTTTCCGCCCTTTGTTCCAGCCTGCCTTCTTGCGTACCGTGTCTCCGACTTTCACAGCCTTGACTCCCGCATCCACCAGTGCGCCACCGATCCCGCCGCCACCGGAAGAGCGCTGTGCCACGTCCTCGTCTGTCAGGAAAATCCACCAACTCCCCACCGCCTGCCAAGTAAACGACGTAGTCATCTCAACATTTCGCAGCAGCTCCAGCAGATTACTGCTCCAATAGACCAAGTGCGGCGCAAGAGTGAGCGTGTAGCTCCGAGGACGGGCGATGGTAGCTCTTCGTTCGCAGGAGGCATGAGAGAAGGGTGCGGACACGGACGCAGCCCAACCCTCAAGCTCGTCGAGTGAAAATGCCGCTTGCGTATCACCGTAGTAGTCTTTATCGTCGACCTGGAGGACGCGTTTTCCAGCACGGCTGAGGGCGCTACGAGGATGTTAGTGCGGGGTGTGGGACGGTAGAGTGAACGGACGGACTGACGCGGCGAGAAGAGATGGCTTTACGCCTGTACCGGAGACGATGACGTCCCACTCTAGAGAGGGGAGGGCGAAGTCATCCATCGCGAGCGTGTGATGCTACTTGGGTGGGAGGACAAACGATAGGTATCTCGAGTGGTGGGGAGCTCAGTTCTGCATGTGACATGTGGCGTACGCCAAGGATACTGGTTGCGGAAGTTGCCGGCGGGGTGACTTGTGGTCGCTACAGTGACGTTTGCGATGTGATCTGAAGAGTCCGGCAGCTAACCGACTTATTTGACTCCATATTCATAAAGTTTCCGGCAGTAAATGTTATCTGCCTGTGTACCTGTAATACCAATGACGATAACGGAGCCCAGATGCGGCCACGTACATTCTTCCCGCGGAGTAGGCTACTGGAAAATATATTGAGACCCCACCCCTACTCACAGCTCAGCCCAAGCATCTCTCGTATCTCACCCTCACGACCACCGAACCGCACGAACCTCCAGAACATCCTGACGAGATACGGTAGACGCCTAAGAGAGATGAGCTTCTCCTCGCTCAACCTAGACGGTGCCAACGGCTCTGTCCCACGGTATCCAAACCCCAACCCAGACCTGCATGGGCTCGTCGATATCGGCAGGTACTGTAACCATTCCCACCGCTGTTTTGCTCACCAAAGGTTGACAAATAATCCTAAAAGCAATGGCATCCGCTTCTCGATCTCCAATCTCGCGTCTCCGACTACGCGCGTTATGCCCACGGTCTTCCAGGACCGCGCCCCGATCTCGCTCTACGATGCTCAATACGTCGGCACCAGCAAAGCACCGATAGCGGAGCCCATCATCAGGTCTGTCGTCAAGACGCTGGTGCGCTTCCAACACATCTGCACGACCTTTGGCGTGCTGATGTCCCACATCCGTGTCGTCGCTACGGAGGCTACGCGGGAGGCTCAGAACTCGTTCGAGTTCCGTGAGGCGATCGAGGAGGCTACGGGCTGGAAAGTGGAGTTGCTCTCGAAAGCGGATGAGGGAAAAATTGGTGCGTGGGGTGTGGCCAGCAGCTTGAACGAGATTAGCGGGCTTGTGATGGATCTGGGTGGTGGGAGCACACAGCTGTCTTGGTTGGTTTCGAGGGAGGGGGAAACACAAATTGCGCCTGAGCCGGTTTCTCTGCCATACGGTGCCGCGGCACTGACCAAGCGGATGGAAACGGCGATCAATGAGGCCGCTGTCGAGCGGATCCGGTACGAGATGAAGACGCGGCTTGTCGACGCCTTCAATTCCTTGCAACTGCCGGAAGAGTTGCTGGCCAAGAAGGAAGATGGTTTCAATCTATATCTCTCCGGTGGTGGTTTCCGCGGTTTTGGATATCTTCTACTGGAAGAGCACGAGATCCAGCCCTACCCGCTCCCAATCATTAACGGCTTCTCGGCGCCAGGAAGTTCCTTCCTCAAAATGGCCGACTTCCATCTCACCGCAAAACAAACCCACACTCTAAACGACACCTTCCGCATTTCTGAGCGCCGAGCACGCCAGATCCCCGCCGTCGCCTTCCTTGTCAACACGCTGATGGAGATCCTCCCCAAGATCAACTCAGTGATCTTCTGTCAAGGCGGCGTCCGCGAAGGCGCGCTCTTCTCCACACTGCCTAAGAGTATCCGCAAGTTGGACCCGCTCGAGGTAGCAACCCAGCCATTCGCCGCGCCCGCCGCCCGCGAATTCATCAAACTCATGGAACACGCGCTTCCCAAATCCGCACCCCGCGAAATCCGCCGGATTGTGCGGCCCCTCGCAAATATAATGCTACACCATTCCAACATCCCGAAAGAATCCCGTGCCAGCTGCGGTCTCCACTCCACCACGACCGGAGTCCTCGCCTCAGTCCACGGACTTACGCACCGCGCCCGCGCCCTCCTCGCACTCGCACTGTGCCAGCGCTGGGGCGGCGAGGTCTCGGATACCACGCTCAAACAGCGCTTGTCCCTGCTGGTCGGCAGTGAGATGGAGTTCTGGTGTCGCTACCTCGGCGCCGTCGCTGGCGTCATCGGCTCGGTTTACCCCGCTGGCGTGATGGTCGATAGTGAGGAGCGCGTGCGCTTCTTTGGCGAGGACAGGAATACGGGGGAGAAGCAGACTGTTTTGCTCCGCGTACGGTTCTGCGAGGGTGATCCGCTCACGGATGGAGTCATGGTGGGGAAGGAGGTCGAGGCTGTCGAAAAGGTTGGGAAGAAGAAGAGGTGCGGCACGTTTAGGCGGAAGGTCGAGGTTGTTGTTGCGAGGGATTTGGATGCCTGAAAGTTAGTGAGGAGGAGATACACTTCTGGTGGTGAGGGACAGAAGACGGGCGAGTTGAGTAGCTGTGTTGGGTGTGTTGCCTTCCTATGAAGGCTGCATTTTGTTCGTGTTGTTAACGCTTATACCATTTGTTTGCTTGCTATTAATGATGAATGAATGAACTGAACGAGAATGATCTGAGGTAATTAACGGATAAGTAGGAGTGCCAACGACGGCGATATTGCGCGGTAGAGTCTGGTAGATACAGCCTCTGTTAAGTAACCACTTGACTATTATTTGTTTATTTCATATTTCATACTGTTATTCAAATTACATCAAACATCCTCCGTGGCGCAATTGGCTAGCGCGTTCGACTGTTAATCGAGAGGTTGGTGGTTCAAGCCCACCCGGAGGAGTTACTTTTTGGTGTTTTATTTTTCCGGGCAATTTCCGATCAGTCCGGTCTGCGTGTTTCTGGTAGGAGATTACAGTTTATTTGGGCCACTTCTGTAAATGTATGAGGTGGTGGAGGTCTCCCAAGATGTCATTCGAGCAACGAGTGATTCCTATGAACACATCCAGCAGCGTTCTCGGCGATGCTATACAGTTGGAAGAAAGAACACGGATACTCGATTTCTGAAACGATAGTGCAGGCGGCTAAGAAAAGTCATCAGTGATGAGGCGAAAGGAAAGATTCAATAATGCTCGAAATCAAGTCGCATCTCTATTCCCCTTGCACCCGACCGTCCATGCTACCTACCCCCTCAGCGAAGAGATTCTATCAAATGGGTTGTATATACTCACACCCCCACTTCCTCATTTGTCCTTCTTCCAAAACTTCCCCCTTATCCACGTCCCCAGCGATTCATTCTTTAGCTTACAATAACCACACTTCCGGTGCGCGCACGATTGGCACACATTGCTCCCCACGGCGCCCTTATTTTTGCACTGACAACATTTCCAGCGGAATCCGGTGCTCGGACTGGCAGGGATGCTGTGTGGTGAGGGCGTCGAGGTGCGCTTCGGCGGGGTGGATGGCGCGATTGGGAAGCGGGTGAAAGAGGGGTGCATGGTGGGAGTGGTGAGAGTGGTTGGCGTCGAGGTGTGCCTGGGCGGGGTGGAGGGCATGACTGGGAAGCGGGTGGAAGAGGGGCGGGTGACAAGAGTGGTTATAGGTGGGCTGGGCTCATGTTTCGAGGAAGGGGAGGGGTGCTGTATGGTTGTCCTTACCGGAGTTACTACTGGATCTGCGGGACGCTTTACGGGGGAGATGGCCACTGGCACTGTTGTTGTCGGTGGCCTCGGGGGCTCAATGGTAGCTGCTATAGTTGCGCTACCTAAGCTCTTGGAGTCTGGAACCATGCCCACCGCTAGACGAGAGCTCGAGGCTGCAGATATGGCCATATCTCGAAGATTTTCCTTAATTTCTGTAAGTCTATCCTCCGGCTTCCGCTGGAGGGCGGATGACTCCCGATTCTCCTGCCTCTGGTTATTCGACTCTGTTTTCGGAACGGCAGAGACAGACGGCCTCTTGGTGTTCCTTGCGATTCCGCAAGAGATTGAGGTCGCAGTTACAGTAGTTCCCACAGGTGCTGCAGTTGGCGAAACAGACACCGGCAGCTTCGAGGGCCTTGCCACAGCCTTTCCAGCTCCACTAGCTGTATGCAGGCTCTTTGTCGGCGCACCTACGCCCACTTTCGGAACCTCTGTACGAACCGGTGTCTTCAACTTCACCGGCAGCTTTGACGCCGGCAGTGCAGAAGCTGTACTATTTTTCGAGCTCCCCGCCGGCGAAGGCGAAGAACTTGTAGCAGCCCTTGGAATCCTCGAGGTTGAAGGCGATGCACTGGAATGATGCCGGGCTGTCCGGTCTTCGGTTGTTGCGACTGTAGGTTTCGGTCCTTGGGGTTTTGGTGTCGCTGGCGGGTCGCCTGTGGGTGTTCCAGTCGGTGGAAGGGGATTCGGTGGCATGATTTCAAAGAACTCGGAAGTCGGCGAATTAGGTTAGTATGATACCGTTATGCGGACCGCTGAGGAGGGTTGCAATTTATGGTAGGTTCTCAGGTCCTTCTTGAACTGCCTAGAGGTTCAGCACGAACGGACATTGAAGCTATCAACTCACGTGGCCGAAATGTGCCGAGAGGGGGGGCAGAGCTCGGAGATCTATGAAAGCGGCAAGGCTTCATTGTTTTGCTACTTAAGTAAGCGAAATAAGGAGGTTCTGCTGGTGAAGTGTGTTCTTGGGCAGCGGGATCTCTAGGGAGGACAGCAACGGCAGGAATAAAAGAATTTTACAACCTGTTGCAGACAGCCAAGGCACACTACGTAAGACCGAGTTGAAGTGCAGCAGCTTGGAGAGCAGGTGCAGAGCAGGTGCACAGCTGAAAACCGAAACAAACACGCTGATTTTGCTAATAAAGTCGCCAAGCCAGGGAAACAACGGTTTGTTTTGACACTGTCGACCACTGTAAACATGCTGGAACGGTTTCTTTTGATACCATCGACCAGTCTAAACTTGCTGGAACTGACGTCTTGGAAGAATTTTTCGACCCTTGGCTGCGGACCTTGGGCGGACTTGCTGTTAAGATGTTGGGACCGGCTGTCGATCCTGGGGCTGCAGGGGGGACTTGTTTTGTTTTGCCCGTTGATTCTGGTTTGTTTTGATGGCTTTTGTTGTTGTCGGTGGTGGTGCGACGATGCAGTGTCGGCGAAAGTTGGCCGACCTGTGTTATTTAAACCTAGGGAGGCCCACTTTTCTGAAAGGTTATATCGTTCATCATCTAATTTCTTTTCTTGTTGCTTTCTTCAAGTGTGCCTCTCTCTAATAGGTATCAAGTCTCCGGGCTCGCTTCAACTTTCTCATACAATTTCTCTATACTCGAATTCCAAGATCGCGGCGGTCACCTCTACCTCTACCCACTTCTACCTCTCCTTACTTTCCTGCCTCTACCTACTTCGTCTCTCCTCCCGCCAACCTTATGTGGACTCCGGTCGCCACCATTCGAAGTACGCACTTAACCGGGAGAACAACCTCCCAAAACATCTTTTCCCGGGAGAACAACCTCCCAAAACATATTTTCCGGGGCTTAGGTTTTGATCAGCTTCACTAAGTATGTACGCTCTGCTTCTTCCTTGATCCCTAATTCTGCCATACAAGATCTTCGAAGGTCATCCACTGACACCTACGGTAGGCTGTTCTAAACCCGGCACACAAGAAACCTTTCAAGGAGCCGGCAATCCTGCAGAACTTCCTTCAGAATATTCTGCGGGCAGGTCCCTAGAAGAAAAGAATTCATTCTATGGACTTCAGGTATATCAACCCATCTTTCGTTCCCACTTTCTCTTCCTTTCTTTCTAATCACAATCATTCAGACAATCAAATCTTCCGGTTGCAGGGATTATGGGCAGCTAGATTCCCGGAAGGACTTGCAGGAGATGGCAAGGGAGTTGTGTACCAAGTGGGAGGAGGGGGATTTGGCACAGAGGTTACTCACTGCCGGCCCCGCACCGACCCGGGAGCCAGAGGATGAGGAAGAGGCCGATGATGAAGAGGTGATGGCACACCCTGATCACGAGGATGGGGAGGATGAGAACGTCCCTCCACTCGATGATCAGACGGTGATGCCGGTTTACGAGCAGATGGTGGCAGGAGTAATCCACCACATCTCTCCAGCCGGCAAGAGGTATCCCAAGTTGGCGAGCTCAGGACGTCCAGCGAACCGGTTCGGCCACGACGGCATCACTATACTCAAATTTCTACAGACCAATAGGTCATGTCCAGCGAACGGGTTTGGCTACGACGGTATCGAGCTCGGAACTTGGTGGCCGCCGCGGATTTCCGCGCGCCGCGATGGAGCCCATTGTGCGCCTGTTGCAGGCATTTATGGACAGTTAGATGTCGGGGCATTCTCGATTATCTCGTCGGGTGGCAGTGGGTATGAGGCCACCGATGAGGATAACGGGGATGTCCTGTTCTACTCTGGAACCAATGGGTGGAAGGCCAACGGGGATACGGGGCCTGTGCTAACGACGCACACGAAGGTGCTCATGCGCAGCTACGAGAGCCAACGGCCCGTACGGGTCGCCAGGGCTAAGGGAGCGAGCAAATGGGCGCCGAGTGTTGGCTATCGTTACGACGGTTTGTATACCGTTGTGGAGCACGAGGTTGCCACGAGGAAGGTGAAGGGAACGAACGCGGAGGAGGGCTACTACCGCTTCAAGATGGTCCGCTGTGATGGCCAGGAGCCGGAGATTGACGATGAGCGCGACGCCCTACTATACTCAAAATTCTACAGACCAATAGGTCATGGATACATCTTAAGCATCAACAATCGACCACGATAGAGTCCACTTCAACTTGGAGGAATTCAAGGGGATATCAGTTGAGGAGGACGAGGATGGAGAGGATGAGGCTGAGGAGGATGAGGAGGATGAGGTGGATGAAGAGCAGCGAAGACACCGCCCCGGGCACTAGCAAGAAGAACGCTGCCACTGCGCACACCTACACTACACGGCAGATGATTTTCCCCTACGAACCAAAGATACTACCAATTCAACCCTGACATTCCAACACTCCTTACGACTTGCGATAAAGATCATTCGGTCAGTCGATGCTATCACCAAGCGATGAGTGGGCGGGGGAGGGGCTGAAGAGGAGGGGCTGAAGAGGAGGGGCTTGGGGGAAGCGGGTGGAAGTGAAGTGGGCGGAGACGGAGAGAAGATGAATAGTAAGAGCAGGAGAATAGTTGCAAAGCCAGATGGCAGCAGTATCGTAGTAATGCTCATTTATGTAATACGAGGGACATTTGGTGATGAATTGTAACGTAACTTCCAAGTTTTATGTAATCCGACTGATGATCCCAACTCCGACGTGAGAACTCGCCATTCATCCCCATGACAACCGGCACCTCCGCTCTCCACCATCAACCGCCATAGTCCTTTCAATGATCTCCCATCTCCGCAATTTTTAATGGATCACACTACTGTTTTCCGTAGAAAGACGACCTTTATGGCCGCCCATTCAAGCCAATTTTTTTCTTATAAAACCCCTCCCCCTTCAGGTCTCGTCTCTCTTCTTCTCATCATTAAATCACACAATCATTCAATCATCCTATCATCCTATCAACACTCCAACCGGAGAACGAGGACATCAACTTCACCAAATCCTATTCGGCGACGAAACCAAAACTCGAAAAACAAGCATGTGACATCCAATCCGACCGAACCAACCAACCAAAAAAAACTGAGGGGAGAGGTGTAAGCGCAGGAGGATGCGGGGCTTCAAGAGGAGAAGTGGAAGGTCGATCACATGGCCGCCGAGAATCCAGGCACCTTTGGCGCTTCCGCTTCCGAAACTCGACGCCCAACAACCAAAAAACACCATGGCAAACTACAACTGCGGCAACCACCCCCGGTTGAAGGAGGGGACGAAGGAGCCGACCTGTCGTCGCCGCCGCCGGCGGCGGAGCCCAGGCCACGAGGCCAATCTCAATCTCTTCAACCCAGCACCTCGGTATACAAGGCGACCGAAATGAAAATAGATTGTTGGAACATCTCAGGCTTCACAGCTCAGACCGCCGGGTTCCCTCTACATCACACTTTTACCTACCGATCGAGTCTAATAGGACGCATATACACCACGACTAAGATGGGAAGCCGACGAATAAATCATTGACTGCGCAAGCTACTAACGGGGGGATTGCTTATGCATCGCCCAGCAGAGTGAAGAGTTGGATCGGTTATTCAGCGGAGAAGAAAGAAGTGAGAAAAGATGAGGAGGGGAGAAGGGAGTGGAGGTGGCGGTGGTGGAGGAGGTGAGGGGGGAGCTCCGAAAGCAGTAGGAGGAGAGGGAGGAGCTACAGAAGCAGGAGGAGGAGGAGGAGGAGAACGAAGAACGAAGAAGCCAAACACGGACGAAAAAGACAAAACCGAAACCGAAACCGATCAAGGTGAAGAAGACGGAAAGCCACCAAACAAACATCATCAGAACTCCGACCACCAGGTCCCCCCTACATCATACTCATACCCACTGAGTCCAATAGAACGCACCTCCACCACGGCTGCGATCGAGCTGAGTCCTACGAAGGAGCCAGCAACCAACCATCCAAACCTACAACCATCTCTCCAACCCAAACCAACCCAATGCCAACGAGCGCACCATCAAAACTAAAAACAAAACCGAAAACAGCATCTTCAAATATCGCAAAGACCACTCAGTCACGGCCGCACTCTCACCATGTTGAACGGGCATATAATCCATATAACCACCAGCTCCTGCGCCTACATCCACTTGACCTGATCGCCGAGCTGGACGAAGATACCGTGCTGCAAATCATAGACTGCGCACGTCACTATTGAGGCGGGCCGCTGGCAAAAGGATACGGACCGCGGATCAATATTTATCACCCACCAGGGTAAATGTTTTTGGCGAAGGCGAACACGGCGGCGGAGAAGACAAAGATGAAGATGGAGACAAAATACCAACGCAAAGCAAAAACAAAGCAAAACAAAACAAAGTAAACAGCCGCACCACCGTGCGACTCCCGGACTCCCGACGAAACGGACTGGAAATCACTCGGCAGTCGGCACAACCACCGCCCGTGGCCCGGATCTCCACTGGTGATGCTAGCTGTCGAAGCACTACACTACTCGGTCGCTGAGGAGGAGGCAGTGGATGAGATGTCCGAGTAGGAGGATAGGGAGCGAGCAGAAAGGGAGTTGAGGCGAGAGAAGGAGAAGGAGGATGTTTCTTTTTTTCTTTAGGTTTCTTGTATTATTTCATTGATGCGTTCTACTTCTAGTATATACTTCGACCTCTACCTCTATGTATCGATGGGACAGACCAGGGTGGCGGCGGGCAGGGAAAGCATCACCGGGCCGCTCGATGAGAGTCGGATTGACAGTGGTGCGGAACTGAGTGTGTAATATGTATGACTAGATCTAGATATATAGGTCGTATGCAATCATTAAACAAAACAAAAACCCCCCCTATCAATAAGCCCAATAACTGGCCGCTGGCTACATCCGCATGTTGTAACCCACGGACCGAGTACTACCGTATGGTAAAGTAGTCAGGACGCGCTAACCACCTCATATCACTATTCTACTCTACCGTCCCACGGCCCACCATAGCGGTGTTAGGTATTAGGTATTTACCTGGCACCACTGATCAGCCTTCTTCGGCATCGGCATCGGATCGAAATTGGAACGAAACCATATCGAAACCAGGCTACGGAATTCGGACAACTCGGGTACCTACTTCATATTACTACTGGTACTATACATCCCGCACTCTCGCCCTACAGCCCACAGCGATCCCGGGCCGGGCAACCTAGTTAGTTGATTATCCATGACCAACAGCTTGTATACATACGGCACTATTGCAGCATGGCGCGGCCGCTAATGGCCCATAACGGCCGGCCCGTTCCTCGGCCCGCAACGGCGTAACCAACCATGTTTCAACTACACGTACCCATGCGTAGCATCATTCGAACACCACAATTCATGGGACGGATTGGGTGCTGTGAGCTACCTATCCAATGACGAAGAAATGGATTTGGAGGCCTTGAGGTGACACAGGATACATACGTGGTCGTGGGTAGTCTGGACTCTGGACTCTGGACTCTGGGGGAGTCGTGTCACGGGAGTATGCAGGCAGACGTGTAAATAAAGTAGCTATGGCCGGGCGGGGTTTGCGGATTTCATCTATAACACGTCTACCTTCCGGTTGTTACTACCCAGCACAACCGAAACAAAAAGCCCGTTCCATCAACCCAACGCCTCGCCAATGCCTAAGCGCAAGGCCACTGGCCTCACGACCAGCCCGCCAGCCGACAACGAAAATGGCTCCGCAAAGAGCTCCGCATCCGGCAACGCAGCCAGCGGCGCAAAAAACCCACCAGCCAACACCGCCAAGAGCGCCGCAAAGAGCTCCGAAAAGAGCCCCGCAGCGGTCCCACCAGTATTGCTACCTGCTCTCTTCACTGGGTTCATGAGTATCTTCGGTACACTCCCGGCCGCTGTTCCCTCTGCTGCCCCGGCCAAACCTGCCCAGACCAAACCTGCCCGGCGAGCCGCTGCTGCTACTGCCGCCCCTGCCGCCCCTGCCGCCCAGACTCAACCTGCCCGACGGGCCGCTACCGCCCCTGCTGCCCAGGCCCAACCCGCCCGACAGGTCGCTCTTACCACTGCTGCACAGGCTCAACCCGCCCAACGGGCCGCTGCTGCCCCTGCTGCCCAGACTCAGCCGGAGTGGTGGGCCACTTTTCTACCCCTCCTACTAGGTGCCCAAAGCCCCGCAGCCAAAGGCCCCGCAGCCAAAGGCCCCGCAACCAAAGCCCCCGTATCTAAAGGCCCCGCAGCCAAAGGCCCCGCAGCCAAAGGCTCCGCAGCGTCTTCTTCTCTAACAAAACACCGCCTCCAAGACCCACAGCTTCGCTTCTTTTACGCTCTAACTGCACCCTGTGACCCTGCTTTTATGAATCGCGGCCCTCTGAAAGCGGCTGGCTTCGAGCGTTGGTTACGGAACCACCCCGAGCCCGGCTACAAGAACACACTCATGGATATTGCTACCTATGGGGCCAAAATCGGCTACACGGGTCCTCCGCAGCGCATCATCAGTGAAAATCAACGTTCCGCGCTCAAGGATCCTAGCAGCCTTACCGACGATGTTCGTAAACGGGTTGCTCTGGGCCAATTCCTTGCAATGCCACCAGGAAAGCTCCCGGACAAGTTTATTTCATCGCCTCTCGGGCTCCGGCCAAAGTCGGATGGAACTTTCCGTCGTATCCACAATTTGTCCTGCCCTCGTAAAAGATCTGTAAACGATCATATCCCGCAGGAGTGGAGCTCGCTCAAATACACTACAATCGATGACGCCATCAAAGCCATCCAGAAAGCAGGACCAGGTTCAAAGCTCGTCAAACGCGACCTAGCCGATGCGTTCCGCCACATTCCAGTCCACCCCGAAGACTGGTGGCTCCTTGGATTCTGCTGGCAGGGGCGCTACTGGTGCGACCAGTTCCTCCCGTTTGGCCTGCGCACGTCGCCCATCATCTTCGACAAATTCTCGTCAGCGCTCGAATGGGTCCTGCGGGAGGAAAAGGGCTGGGAGCTCACCTTGCACTACCTCGATGACTTCCTTGCGGTCATACCCTCGAACCGGAAGGACTTCGCCTTCGTCACGGACTTCAATACCATCTGTGCGGACCTCGGTTTCAACATCAAAACCTCCAAGAACGAAGAAGGCACGCGAGTAACCTTCCTCGGAATTGAAATTGACACCGTCGCGATGGAGGCTCGCCTACCACGAGAAAAACACCAGAGGGCCATCAACGAGGTCAACGGTCTCATGCAAGAAACGATAGTTCCCTACACCAAGCTGGAGAAAGTGGTTGGCCACTTGTCGTCTGTTTGCAAGGTTATCCCCGGCGGCCGTCCATTCCTGCGACGACTCCACGACGAAAAAAACGCCCACAACCGCGAAGACAACATAGTGATTTCCTCGGGCGCCAAGCAGGATCTTCTCTGGTGGTCGACATTCCTTCCGCAATGGAACGGGATCACGCTTTTGCGGCCGCCCACGCGGACCTTTCGGGTATGGACCGACGCCATCCCCGACAGCATGGGCGGGCACTTCCTGCGCTCCGATCAGAAGAACATCGGGGCGCACGCAGACGCGAGCCAGCTCTTCACCGAGGACGTACCCAGCAGCCTTCACGCCGAGTCCAAGGACTACAAGGAGCTGTACGCCATCGCCCACGCCTTCAACAAATGGAACAAGATCCTCCGCGACAGCACCGTCGTCCTGCACTGCTGCAACCCGCTCGTCGCTGCGTTCATCCGCAAAAGCACCACACGCGGCTCCGCCATAGCTCCGCTCCGCGAGCTGGTGATGATCGTCGCCGCTCACCATATCGCACTGGAAGTCCAAGATATACCGAAGGAGCAGAACACGCTTGCTATAGCGCTGGCGAAGGCGGACCAGGCGAAGATTAATACCCTGTGCCCCGGCTTGCCGCAACGTCACAAGTAGACTTTTTTTTTGATTTTTGTTTGGTTGACTGATTTTTTTGGAGGTTCTTTTGGCAGTTTGGGTGCTCGTTCGGTTTGGCTAATTGTTTTGACAGCCTGAGCTCTTTTTGGTGCATGTTCGGATGTTAAATGTTTGGCCGTTTTGGTACCTGAGTACTTCTTCAAGGGGTCGGTTGGTTGTTGAAAGTGCTTGTGCTTGTACTTGTGCTTGTTGTTCGGGTTTCTTTGGCTGCTTGCTATAACTTCTGCGTGCGTGCGTGCTTTGTGCCGTTTTGCTGCATCTGGAGTATCATGTCTAGAATAATACTAGATATAGAATACTAGTAGGTATGGCAAATACGATTGTCGAGTCCCTGGCTCACTGGCTGACGGGTGTTTGCGGCAGTACTATTAGTGAGTCTCACGGAGATCACTCGGTCAGACCTAATGCCTCCGTCGACCGATCGAGAACGGGAATGGGAATGGGAAGTGGAAGGAGTCATCGCTAGTGAGTCGACGGCTGAGTTACTCAGATTCAAGCAATGTCATATGATTACCCATCGAGTGTATATAGTCGCGTGACTGTCCATCGAGTGAGAATTTGCAGGTGTAACATCTAAAGCACCGCACGAGTTGTAATGTAGGCAGTAACCTAAGTAGAGTACATGTAGACAAGATCATCAATACACCGAAAGAGACAGACAGACAGACAAAATATTAACCAAAGACCAAAGACCAAAGACCCAAGGTAACCTCCCCTTTACTTACTTACAAAGACGCAAGATGCGATACGAATATGAACGAGCAGCTAGACACTATACTATAGACTATAGACACACACATGCAAATGAGACGACGAAACCAAACTCCCCCACCAAGCCCAATCAATCAAATCAACCAATCAATAACGCACCAAGCCAACAAACCAGCAAGCCAACAAACGCAGTCTACACACGTGACAAACCACAGCACACAGAACCCAGAACACATCGCACATCACACATCACACATCACACAGCACCCAGAACCTATGATATCCTATCGGCCCTCTTCTTCGCGATCTTCGTCTTCTTATCGACCCTATCAACATCCTCACCCAGCCTCTCCAGGAGCTCCTTCTGGGTCTCTAGCTCCTCACCAATCGCGAGCCCCATCTGCTTCTGCCTTCGCACAATGTTGAACAGCGACTCGACGCCGACATCCTGCTCCTGCAGCATAGTCTTCTGCAGCTGCAGCACGCCATCATTGCCCAGCTCCCTCGTGCGCTCCGTTTCCGGCAGAGGAGCGCCGAGGACGCGGCCGCCGCCCGCGCGTGCCGAGAACAGCAGCGAGGACTTATCTGCCGTCGCTGTGGGGTGGGAGGCGTTTTGATTGTTGTTCGCGTGGCGCTTAACGCTGGCGAGCGACTCTAGGGCGTCGCGTTCCTGGCGGGCGGCGGCGACGAGGTCCCGGCGCCGCCGGATCTCGCCGTCGAGGAGGTAGTCCGGGTGGTGGGATTTTTCTTTCTCGCGCTGCTGGGCCAGCGCGACGGCTTGCAGGCCCTGATCGAGCGCTGAGATGATGGCTGACGCCTTGACGAGACAGCGCTTGGCAGCGGCGGACGCCTCGTGCTGCTCCGCTGTCGTGTTCGCGCCGTCGCGCTTGCTGAGGAAGATGCGCGCGTCGTGGAGGAGAGTTTTGAGCTCGCGGTGAGAGTCGAGCCAGTGCGTGGGATCCGTGATCGGCCCCGAGGGTAGTCGCGAGCTGAAAGTGTTGTCCGATGCGCCGGCGACCGCTGCGGCAGGCAGCGCGAGGAAGCTTCGCCAGACCGGCGAGTCCCGCCACCGGCTGTCGGGCGAGGAGAGGATCGCGTGCAGGTAGGATTCGAGCGCGGCGCGACGCTCTTCGGTTCGCGCTGGGTTGCCGACGGTGCTGCCGAAGTAGTGCTTGGGAGGTATGGGGTGTGGTGGGGACTGCCCCGTGTGTGTCTCGAGGTCTTTGTGCAGCGCGGTGAAATCGTTGTAGCGCTTCTTGACGTAGTTGCTGCGCATGGGAAGGCGCCACAGGATGTGGTACAGCGTGTACTGTTTGCTTCCGCCTTCGGCTGACTCGGAGGTGGTCGGAATGCTGATCTGTAGTTGGTTCGACATGGTGGCGGGGGAGGATTGTATGGACCTATCGGAGGGTTTGTGTATATGTATCGGGGAGATCTTCAAGGGCGAAGTGGGGCGGGTAGATTGTGGGGGGAAGAGATGAGGTTGAGGGAGGAGATGGGGTTGGTGTGTTCGATTAAGTTTGGGGGAGTCAAGAGATGACTTTGACTCTTGGACTGACCGATTCTTGGTGCAGCCCGAGCACAGCTTGAACGAGTGCTGCGGTCCCCTATTGGCTTGAACGGGCTGTGGCACAGCGACTAAGCCGCCTGCATCATCCAGCATGACCTTCTTTCTTTTCTTTTTCCCTTCTTGTTCTTCTTCTTCTTATTCTTCTTTGCCAACTTTTCCTTGACGGGCTTGTGTGCTATTCATACTAACAAGTACTATATCCTCTAGCACTTGCCTACCCGTGCAGGTAACCGGTACGTATATCACAGTCACGGGACAGCGATTCGAAGGCAAGTCTCGAGCCTCGATTCTTCACAACTATCATAGCTACCGTACCTTGGGTACTATATCTGCCCAGTCTTGCCTCTAAGCAGCAGCTGGTGCCATCCTTGCTGCGGCCAGTAAGCGGGCATTGACGGTGTTTGCTCCTCTTCGCCATCGCCGGTAGGTTGACCACATATCACCCACGTACCCGTACTCGTAACGTTACCGTACTGTCTCCGTCAATATCCACGTACGCATACCTATCCCAGGTGCACTAGAACCTCGATACTACAGACTCCACTCTAGAGTTACTCTGGCACTCTCCGTCCTCCGTCCCCCGTCCCTCCGTCCCTCCCTAGCTAGCTAGTTGAATCACCTCCCTCGAGTCGAGGCGCTCCGAGCGCGTAAAACAGGAGAAAGAAGAACTCTCAGAGATCTACATACAAAGGAGTTCGTTCGCTCCTCGTCTCTCTCTCCATTCTCTACCGTCGTCACGTCACAAACACGCCCGCGAAAACCCAAACCCAAACTCAGCCCGAGAGAAAGAAAGCAGGAAAGAAAGAACCTTCGGCCCGTCCATTCGCACTCTATCCAGCGCCGCTATGGCCAGTGGCCCGATAACTCTAGTGTGAGCCTCTCGCGCGCGAACCTAATACCTTCCTTCCCGCGCCCCTCCCCCCTCCCTGCATATGCCACCCTGAGCCGCTCCAACACGTTTCAAAAACTGACACTGACACTGACACTGACAACTTCCAGTCCCGCAACGCTCAAGGAAGCGTCGCTCGACTCGCCCACGTTCCGCGGCACCGTAATCCACTACGCCGAGCAGGTCGACCTGGTCGAGAAATGGCTGGACGGGTTCATCAAAGCGTCGGTGAAGCTCGTGAGTGAGGTTGTTGGTACGGCTGATCGATTGATTATGTCACGCAGGGGAGTAACATAACATGGGATGAATGCTGACGGCGGAACAGCGCTCGAGGACCCCATCAATAACTTCCTGGCCCGCACCGTCCCCGGGAATATCTCCGAGAGCGTCGTCGATCATGATTACACCCTGCTGGCTATGCAGAGGTATGCGGAGGGCTCAAAGGGCTTTTGGACGAACATTGTGGTCGGCGCAAGGCGCGTGCAGAATAATATCATCGAGCCGATGACGACGTTTCAGCGGGGGGAGGTCAAGAACTTCAAGGTCGGTCTGCGCGGGGGTCTCGCGGGGAGGGGGGGGAGGGGGCGGAGGAGGAGGAGTATGAGGAGGAGGTGCTGATGTGAGATGACAGGAGACGAGGAGACTGCTCGAGGCCGCTCAGACGAAATACGATGCGCTACTTGCCCGGTACCTGTCGCAGTCGAAATCGAAGGAGCCATCGGCGCTGCGGGAGGACGCGTTTCAGCTGTACGAAGCGAGGAAGGCCTACAGCAAGACGTGCTTCGACTTTTGCATTGCGGCGCCGGCGTTCCGGATCAATCTCGATCGGCTACTCACCAAGGTCATCTCGAATCAATGGAGGGAGCAGATCGGATTGCGCAAGGATATGGCGGGGCTGGTGGAGAAATGCAGTTCGGACATTGAGAGGATACGGAGCTGCTACGATTCTATGGAGGTCAATGAGAGCGTTTTCCGGAAACAGCTTACGACGGCCAGGAAAGAGTTGGAGCGGAGGGCGAAGATGGAGTACCAGCCGGCGAGAGAGCTGGATGAGTACTCTTTGAACACGGTGCCGTACCTGACGTCACGGCCCCCCGCTGTCGTCGAGGGAGAGGAGGTGCCGAGCGAGAAGCAGGGCTGGCTATTCATGCGCACGCTTACCGGCAAGCCTACACGGACGCTGTGGATTCGGAGATGGTTCTTCATCAAGGCGGGAATCTTTGGTTGGTTGGTACAGGGCTATCGCGGAGGAGGTGCGGAGGAGAGTGAGAAGGTTGGAGTGCTTCTGTGCAATATCAAGCCGGCTTTCCAGGAGGAACGCAGGTTCTGCTTCGAGGTCAAGACAAAGGATACTACGATACTCTTACAAACAGAAACACAGTCCGATCTTACCATGTGGATGGCTGTCTTCGAGCAGGCAAAGAGGGCTGCCGTGGAGTCCTCATCACTCGTTGCTTCTTCGCAGGCATTCTCTATCCTACCTCCCTCGGCTCCTGCGCCGCCAGCGGAACCGGCATATGTTACCAGAGGCCACGACGGGAACTCGGCCAGCTCGGTTGTACCCCCCGAAGGTCTCTCACTGCTACCCCGAACCATCCGACGTGACGCCGACAACCACGGCTTTGAGCGCGCTACCACACTCGGACCGGGTACCGGCGGTGCATTCTCCCGAGGAACAACGTCGATGGATGCCAACCGAGGAGGAGCACCGGAACCGTCGAATCCAGTGAAATCGGATCCCCGCAAGGCATCGTTCGGCATGGGCGAACGCAACATCTCCCCAGTTGGAATGGGCTCAACACCGGTAGGAATTTCGGCACTGATCGCAGCGAGCCACAATCTTCTCCCCATCTCTCCGGACCCGGCTAAGCAAATAACGATGACGTTGCCGGAGGTCCAGGTTCCTACAGCTAGCAGTCTTGCGCCGAATACACTCAGCAGCACTCCATCGCCGGTTAACCTATTGACAGCTGCCACGGTCACCTCCGGATCCGGAATCACGGGAATCACCGAGAGATCACCGGTCACCGCTCCGGAGAAGGGACATCGCAAAACCATGAGCTTAGATGTCGGTGGGAATAAGGGGGATTCGACGCCTGGTGAGTATGAGTATTTCCCGGGTTATCCGATGGCGTTAAGAGTGCAGGATGAGCACTTCAGGATGCTTTTCCCCGGGACGCACGATCATGTGGTGCAATTAGGTATGTCCTTCCTGGTATTTGAAGCTTAATGGCTGGCTGACTGGCTGGCTGACTTCTCAGTGTTTCGTGCCATCTGGAGTCCAAATGACACTCAAGAACTTCCCGGCCGCTGCTTCGTGACCGATCGGAACCTGTACTTCTATTCACACTATCTAGGACTAGTATTCACCAGCATCACTCCGTTAGCTACCATCGCAGAGGTCAAGGCAGCGCCAGAGAAAGATTGCGACTATCTCTTCCTCCATCTTAATCTAGGAGCGGGCGGTGAGAAGTCGCTAATCACCATCAAGACGTTCTTGGAGCCTCTCCGGTTGCTTCACAGACGGCTGGACCTCATGGTTAGGAATGCACACCCCAAGGCGGCGATTGAGGGTACGAAGATGAATAGTCAGGAACTACTGCAGCAATTAATAGAGCTCGAGAAGGAGGTCGAAAGTAGGGGCTCAGATGATATGAGCTGGGAAGACGTGGGGTTGTACACCGACGGCCGCGGCGACGAACCTATCAGTAGGAGGAGGGGCGCACCAGAGGAGTTCAGACTCCGGCTTGATCAGTAAGCTGTCACTCGTCCACCAGCTGTGGGAAGCGATGCTAATCTCGTTTTAGTGACGGTGATCGGGCTCTCGACGAGAAAGGTACGCTTTTGCCGCCCCTCGTTTCGATGTGTACATCTCGCTGATAACCGCTTCCCCTTTGCAGCCAGGGAGGCCAAACTCAAACTCCCTTCAGCGCCTGTGGTGTATCACCCGCCAGGAATGAGCCGAAGGTCACTGGAGCGCGAATTTGAAATCCCCCCGAAGGCACTGTTTCATGTCCTATTCGGGGACAAGTCGACTGTGTTCCAGATGATGTACGCGCAGAGGAGAGCTCAACGTATGGTTCCATGTCAACCCCGAGCTGTGCCGCGCGGAAGACGGAAATTGACGGTGTGGGGGGTCTAGCAATTCAACAGAGCCCGTGGAAGGAACTGGATAAGGGAAAGGCAAGACGGCAGTTTGCTTATCATGCGACTTTCCTAGACACCTTTGGTTGGTTTCCACCATTCGATGTTGCGGGACTCCCCTGCTGATTACCCCGTGGTTGCAGGGCGCAATAGGAGAGCAGATGTCGTCGACCATCAGACCATCGAGAAGCAGGATGAACATATGTGTGTTTCCCGTGTCACTCCAACCGGAGTTTTTGTTTTTCTCCATTCACGAGCTAACCGATGTATGCGCATAGCTGTTATGTGGTCACGGATGTGAAGACACCCTGGCATCTCCCGCACCGCATGAATTTCATCATGGTCAGCAAGATTGTGATTACGCATGTGACCGCAAGCAAAAGCAAGTTGACGGTATGGACAAGAGTCGATTGGTTTAAGGATCCAATGTTCTCAAAAAGTATGTATTGCATAATGGCCACTTGCCGTGGTGGCGGAAACTAATACGAGATTGCCCAGATATCGTCCAACAGCAAGCCCAGGAGGACCTGGACAACGATGCGCTAGATCTAGGCGACGTTGTTGCCGAAGCAATTGGCAAGCTCGGCAAATCAGCAAATGTTCTCACCGCCATGCAGATCTTTGGCGGCATTAACGGCCAAACCGTGGTTCCCGCCACTCCGTCCGCCGGTGCCATAACGGGCATCCAGCCCAAACAGGACACGCCACCCAAGCCCATACACGCTCCCCGCATTCCGATCAAGCAGCACTCACTCTCACAGATGCTCCTCGAAAACACCCTGAGCCTGGCCGAAAGCGCCGTCAGCAACGTGATCATGTCGATCGTCGCCGTGGTCAAGGGCATAGCCGGCCTGTTCTCCGCGCACTGGATTCTCCTCGGGCTCCTCGGCTTCTCGGTCGTGGCTAACACGGCGCTATCAACCCGTGCTGTAACGGCCTACTGGAGCGAGCGTCGCGCGCACGCCCTCCTCGAATCCATCAGCGCAGCCCCGGACGGCACCATGGCCCGAGCCATCACCATTTCTGACCTTGAGCTTGCCGTCGCGCCCGCAGGAAACATCACGCACCCCTCGGGCGGCATGTGCTGGAGCAAATTCCTCTCTCGCGCCACCAGCGGCGACGGGACGATGGGGCAGCGGATCCACGGTGGCCGCGAGACGCTGGGGCGCTACCGCCACGATCTGGTGGTCGCCGTCAGAGTCGTTAACGCACTCGAGCGGGAGCTGGTCAAGGCCGAGTGGGAGAGGTGGGTCTATGGCGAGCTAGAGAGGTGTAGGTTCGCCGCCAGGCTGCTGAGGAGTATGGAGGGCGTCGAGGGCATAGACGGCCTCCAGGGTGCGCACGGCCTCGAGGAGTATTGTGGCGATTGCGAACTGGTCAGGGCGGGGGGCGTGATGTGATGGATACTAGTATGGTGTTGGAACTTGCTTAGCTGCGCTTAGATGGTTGGGCGGTACGGTTTTCTTCTTTCTTGTAAACTAATACTTGCACTTTTGCGCTGTGGGAAACGGTATATACTTGTGGTTCTTTTGCACTCTAATATCGCTGGGTTGTGCGGTGTTTGAGCAATCAAGTGTGAATCGCGTGTTTCTGACAATACGTAGGTATTCTGCTTCAACGCCGGTTGGTGTTGACCTTTCGTCGACACCTGACTGACAGCCAAGGAATACGGATTTGTTATAATTCCGCAGTTGATCTCCCGAGGATACCTTCTTCTCCTACTGCTACTCGCCATGCTGGACCCGCCGGGGATAGAGCACTGGCTGCGCTGTGAATTCCCCCCCCCTACTGCTTCTGGCCCTGCTGAACCCTTTTGCGGGCGATATCACTTTCTTCTTTCGCTGAAATCTCCTCCTCTCGCCCATGGTTCCTCCTCTCGCCGACAGCTCCTCCTCTTTTCCTCTCGCCGATAGCCTCACCTCCTCTCTCCGACAGCTCCTCCATCACTTAGCCACAACCAACAGCGTACTATCCGCGACTTAGGCAGTGTACTAACCACGGCGAAGACTACTGGGTAGTACAGTATCCACGGCGAGGCCAGCTTCGTAGCTACCGCAACGAGCCCAGGGACGGAGTCGGTCGGCCTGCGGTGGCCGCGGTGGCCGGGTGCTTTTATTGGAAGAAATGAAGCATGAGTTGTCTACAGTAGTAATACCTGAAATGAGACGAATATTGCAAACCACACAGTGCATCGATGATAGGTATTGTGACATTAATCTGGAATTCGCAAATACCTACGAAAGTAAGGAAAGGCTTTTGCCACTGGAGGAATCTTAATTCTTGAAGGGCTACTGGGGAAATCCGGTAGAACTATGTACAGCGGCGTAGAATTTGCGTAGTGTAGTGTAGGCACGGACTGATACTTCGCAATTCTGTAGGGACTGGGACTTGGCAGCTCTACTGTAGGTAGAGGTATCCAGCTCAATCCGTAATTTCCTCTGTAGTACACTATTTATTCCGTAGGCCTACGGCACTTCCTGCACTACACTAGGTACAAGAATTTCGGAAATGTTTGCTTGCGTACAGCACGTCTTATGTAGGTACTCACAGTACCTACGTATTGTTGAAACCAGAGGGTTTCTAGTATCTACCGTGTGTATACCGGATTCAGTGACCGTAGGCTTCTGCTCACCACCATGGCGTATCGTCTGTAGGACTCTTGTCATCGTGGGCTTACTACTACAGTCTATGAACTAAAATTTTCTCTGCACAATGCTGGTGTGCGAAGTAGGCAGTTCTCTGGTAGTTCTCCAGTAATCTGTACAGTGCGTAATCGTAATATCCTGCATTCGGAAGAACTGCGGCAGTCCTTCCGGCGTTGTAGTTGAGTTACGAGTAAGCGTATCTTTACAACACTGCGTATCATACCGGTATTTTTCGTTACTGTAGAATTGCGAATATAGAAGAAGGGAAAATAGAAGAGTAAATCTGTATTATCCAAGACTGCTGGATTTGAATCGTGCGGTAGTATTGCTGGAGTCCTTCGGCATCAATGATCAATCGCACCCAGTTTTTGCCACTGTACTTATCGCTGGGTGTTTTCGACCAGAAATTTTGTCCCTTCTGTGGGACTGTTGGACAGGTGAGGGCCATCAGACATCATTCAGAAAGTGATTTTTCGCACCCGCCATGGCAGTATTCTCCATCGTCCGGCCCGGACTGCCGTCTGAACTGGACTGGACGGATTGCCAAGATCTGGTCCCGTCCGGCCGCTTGGAGTCCGGACGGACTACGTAAAAGTAGTCCGTCTAGGTAGTCCATGGATCTCGTGGACTACTATAGGTGCGGACTACACTACAGTCGACTACAGTCTGATGTCTACCTACTTAGAACTTGCACTTATGGCCGAAGAAAAAACGGGATACCTTTGGGTGCTAGATCTTCCATACCTAAAACAATCTGGAACTTTGGTTTCAACTACCATCGAGCTTTACTTTGGGCGTAATTTTGCACTTGGTACTCTAATCCACACGTACGTACTCGGCAGCTCCAGACGCAGTTTCGACCAAAGCTCTGTGATGAGGTGGCCAGGAACGAGTGCGCAAGGGAGTGTCTACACGACCACCACCACCACCAGCAGCGATGGCAGCGCCAGCAGGAGCCGCGTACAGCTGTTGCGATCAGTACGCAATTACTCACATGATCATCCGCCAGTACCGTAGCCAAACGGTCAGTCAAGTGATCAGCCAATGGTTTCCGGTACGGCCTACGGCGCGTCTCTGATCATATGACTGGAGTCTGGGGGCCTGTATGTACGACTTTCCGCGGCAGCCGGGTATGTACGTACAGCTATGATCTACTGGTACCGTATCACGATCAGAGTGCAATTCGATTACGCACTTCGATCGCGATTAGCCAGTATCATACCGTAGAAAAACGGCCAACCAAGTTCCAACCGGCTAGCCAGCAGCTAACCAAACGGCCAACCATCCAAACTTTCATCCAAACATCCAGCCAGCCAGCCAATGGTTTCCGATACGGGTAGGCGACGAGTGGGGGCCTGTACGACTTTCCGCGGCAGTTGCTGGGGCTGGGGCTGGGCCGCATGTGCGTCGTGGTGGTCCGCATGTGATGTGTGGTTTGCGGTGTACGTGTGCGTGTGCGGTACGGTCCGCGGTGTGCAGTGTGCGGTGTGGTGTGCACGTGCAGTTTGCGCAAGAGATTTCTCGCGGCAACGGCGGGAGTGGGGAGTAGGGAGGCGGGAGGGGCGGGAGGCGGGAGTGCGTGATGGGGTGTACATAACCTAACCTAACCTCCTTTTCATCCGCTCATAATATTGGTGGTGGCGACATCTAGATAGGTGCTAGGTAGTTAGTAGTGCTGCTGCTGCGACTGTCCATCCGCTGCAGCTGGACGGGGCGTTAATCTCTGGTGGCAACTTCAAGTGTGCAGTTTGCAGTGTCCCTCCCTTCCTCCAGCGTAAGTTACTACCGGTATGTACTTAGGGATCATTCCCAAGTTGCAGCCTCGTGTGTGTGTAGGTCGGGCGAATGCGCGCAATCGGACTGAGCAGGACAGGGTTGGCGGTGGTGATGGGCGAAGTTTCGAGCAACGCCTCGAGTCGAGTGAAGTCTCGGCGAAATGCCCAAATGGCAAATACCAACATTCTAGAAGGCTCAAATGTCACACGGCCCAGATCACGTCGATGGTTGACAGGTAGGTACAGTTGAGTACTCACGTTTATCGGCAGTTGCATTCCAGTCCAGCGATAAACTACATCCTATAGAGTAGACCATACGGATGATTTGCCGCTGAGGCGAGACGAGCTACTTCATCATGGTCCGGAACCTACCGTCGCCACTTCCCACTTATAATACCAACCGCACACCGTATAAGGTACACGCCCTCTGCGTGCCTTTACCGTCGTATTCACGACTGTCCGATTCGCTGGCGGACCTGTTTGGTGGTTTGGTGGTTGGATGGTTACCTAGTGCGGACCACACCCACTGTCCATGACCACAGTCGTGACGAAACGCAAAACAAAAATTACTATTTGTAACCCCAAAACTGCGCGCTTGCGGAGTTTTGCGCCGTGGTTGTTGTGTATGTAGCGGCTATCTAGTGCTATGTATGTAGTATGTAGTAGTCTCGCCGGTCGACGGGACGGCCCGATTCGCACCTAAAAACCCAGTTTGAGTAGTGGGGGCGGGTGTGGGAGGGCGCAATTGCTGCAGCGATGGTTCACCCCCAAGCTGGATTCCCAACTGGGTTCCTCTGCGGTTCGAGAGGCGCTGGTTCTAACTTCCGTCAGGTGGAGCAGTTACCGGCCAAGTGCTTACCCAAGTCCTATCATACCAGTAGTAGCTATACCGTATACTATACCGTCTGTGTTCTCCGGAACACATAGTGTAGGACGAGCACCGGCATCTTCCGGGGGCTTCCGATATTCTTGGCTGGCTTTCCCCTCGACGTGCTGGTGCTGGTGCTGGTGCTGGTGCGGGGGCACGGTAAGGCTGGGGCACGGCGAGGCGTGGGGTAGGTGCTCTACCGTACCTACATACACGTTACCTACATCGTACTATTCGAAGGTTGTCGGACAGGCTGTGCTTATGATTGATTGCGCGGGGAAATCACGTGCGCTACACGAGAGCGTTGCAGATAGAGTAGGTACATAGAATGCTCACTGCTCCACGGACTGCGGAAGAAGAAAACCACATGTATGGTATTAATAGCTGCCGAGTACACTGGGAGGGAGCGTTAATGGTCACACATGTCACACAAGCCACGGAATAGCCGCCGACCGCGGGGCAATGATCAAGTTGATCTCGAGTCTCGACGCGCGGGTGGTGGGTGGTGGGGGGTATAATCCCGCGCTATGTTTTTCTTCTTCTTTTGTTTTTGTTTTTTTTCTGATTGAAAGGCTAGTTGGTTTCGTTCTGTGGTTGGCCAACTGGCCAACTGGCCACTTGGGCTAAGAGACCGAATATGTACCGTGCATACCGCTACATGGGGGGGTGTCGCCATCTGTTGGAATGCATGCCAGTGGCCACACGGCGAAGGAAGGTATCTAACCAACTAATTCCCCCCGCCTCCGGGGAAGGTAGAGTACATACCGATCATATTTCTATCCTGTCCTATCCCCTCAAAGAGGGCGTTGTCGATGTCGATGTCTTGACTTCGGAATGCAAAAACTGCAGACTGCAAATCTGCATGCCGGTGGTCAGTGGAGTCTAGATAATGAACGAATGAACGGACGAATGGATGGACGAGTGTTGACGGTTGAAGGCGCGTCTCGATGCGCCGTACCTAGGCAGAATAGTAAAGTATGTGAGCCCTACGGCCGCGGACCGGCAGTTCTTACTTCTCATGTATGTAGGCGAAAAGGTTATATTTCCCGCCGCAAATCCATCTAAGCTCGAAGCGGCGGGATGGCCCCCTCACCAATCAATCATCAGTGCTCAGTGCTCACCCAATCGCGCGTTTTATTTTACATACCCGTATGTATGTAGATCTAGCTTAGCAGAGTACGTACAGAAGGTGGATGAGCAACTTGCATTCCCCTTCCCCAGATTGGACTCCATTCCTGATTGTGGGGGCCGCCGCCGCCGCCGTCCAGACTCCAAAGCTCTCGCTATCGTGAAAGCTCTCGTGAATCGCGATGCTGCGATGCCGCGGAGCTGAAATTTCCTTTTTTCGTCGTTGCAGAATGCAGCTCCACACTCCGCACTCCAGCTGGCACGGTGCGGAGGGTTTATCCATTCGTCGTTGCTGGAGCGGAATTCTGGTTAGAGTGATTCCATACTTCGCGCCTACGGTATGCAGGTATGTATGATACCAGTGCTGATATTAAACGCTGACTGAATGACACTGCGCGATGCATGTATGCATCGATGGGGGTGATGAGAGGAGGCCTGGATCCGCCGCTGCCGCTGCCGCCTGGGGGGGGTAGACGCTGACACGAGTGGGGATTCCCACTCTCATTGATGATTGCAGTGTAACTACCGTAGTTACTGTACTCGTGCGGCGTGTTCCGTCGCAAGATCAGATGATGAGGTGGGGGTCGTCGTCGTCGTATCCCGCTGACTGTGGACGATAGGTTACGTCAATTATCGGGCCGACGATGCAAGGCCAGATATGTACATACGGTACCGTATCTGGCTGCTGCTGCTGCTGCTCTAGATGATGGTCCGTTTTCTCAGGTACGCCGCTCAGGTACGCCGCTCACAGGCAGCCATTAATTGACTTCAGCCTGTCAAGTTCAAATCCGAAGAACACCGGCCGGCCGCTAAAAAACTGTCGGCGTAGTAAGCCAGGACCGTAATCACTAGTAGCCATCCAGAGATCTCCAATCCGCTTCCGCCCACTCAATGCCGTCGCCTGTTCACTAGGTCTTATGTATGCATGCATACAATTTATGCGTAATCGTCCATGCTTGCTCCGGGGGGATGCACAGCCAGGTCCGGGTCCATCCCATGCCAATCCTATGCAAGGGGTGCAAGGGATGCTTCCAGAACGTCTGGAATCCGCACGATGCGGAGTGCACACTGGAGACAGCAGGCGGCGAGAGTGCTGTTACTGTCGTCGACATAGAGCGTTCCCGGAGACCGGTTGGTACATAACCAAAGTGCGTCACCCCTCGATCGATCACCGCATGTATGTACTGTACATACATACGTGCAGGATCTTGCAACAGCTTGCAGCCGGGGAGTAGAACCTGGCGACGTCTGTCGTGCCCCGTCCCGTGACCCACCAGTTGCGTACTTGGTTCAGGCCGCACGATGTCGTGCCTGCCTACACATTCAGCCTGCTCCCATCCCATCCGACTCTGCCACTCTGCATGCTCCCATCCCATCCTACGCTGCATGCTCGACTCTCAACGTTCCCGCCCCGTGCCGGACTGACTGTGCGTTTTCCCCTTCCATCTCCGAACCCGGGTCGCCGACTGGTAGTGTCGAGTCTCGACGGTACCTAGCGTAAGTAAGTAAGTAAGTACGCCCCGCACCCGCCCCGCACCCGCACCGGCGGCTACGCCACGAACCATTCGTTCGCTCATTCGCTCGTTCGTTCGCTCGTTCGTTCGCTCGTTCGTTCGCTCGTTCGTTCGCTCGTTCGTTCGCTCGTTCGTTGGCTTAGGTAAGACGGCACTTTTTGCTGCTTGCTGCTTGCGTGCGCGGCGTCGTTCGCGGCAAATGCTCGAGAGTCGAGACAGCCACGAGTTTCCTACATACGGTCCTACGTACTCTAGCTACGCCTGGCCGTTGATCACTGTCGATGTCGCAGTCGCTGTCGCTGTCGCTGTCGCTGTCGTGGTCATATGTAGCCTGGCCCGGTGAAGCCAAAGCGTGTAGAGTAGATAGCGTCAGCACCGCACGGCGCACGGTCGTCGGCTGCCGTCCGAACGTGGACTAACGTGTTTAACCGAGGACGGGTGTGTGGTGGGGTCCGCGACTCCTCTGTGCGGGGGGTGCCCGGGGAGGGAGGGAAAGCAAAACAAGCGCCCGCCCTGCCCTGCCTGGCCCTGACCCTGAGCCTGACTGCAGAACTTTGGAACTTTAGAACCCAGAGGATAATTCTAAATAAAGAAACTCTGGCTCTGGTGTGCTGGGCTGGGCACGGTGTGGGCGGTGGGCACTGGGAACGGCGGTGGGCACTGGGAACGGCGGTGGGCACTGGGCTTACTCTGCAGAACTATCCCCCCCCGTCCCCCGTCCCCCGTCCCCCGTCCCCCGTCCCCCGGTTCCCCGTCCCCGATCAACTCGACTCGACTACACTCGTCTCGTCTACCGGTAGTTAATATGGAGGGAACCGCAAAGAGCATGGGATGTGACGGGGGCGCGAGGTTCAATATCCGCGCGGGATGGATGGATTTGGACTCTAGACGGGGAATCGAGTCTGCGCTCGCTAACTTGGCACATCATCCATGATTCTATCCGCCGGGTGCGAATAGATAGCACTGAGTACTCTTGGCCAAGCCTTCAAGGCAACTGCCGTACGTAGGAGGTCTACGTACGAACTATCGGCAGGTGCTCTGGACATTACAAAGCTTTCTGGGCCCAGCCAGCGAGAGTCCTAGACAGCGAGAGCGGCGGGGCGGGGTACAGTGCGGTGCGGTAATCAATACACTCGGTAGTAAGTTAGTATGAGGTATGTGCCTACCGCCAAACGACGAGACGTGTCGCATCTCCAGTCTCCAGATCCCCGATTAGTTACTGACCGCCTACCTGTGTATGTACAGGCGAGGCGAGGAGAGGCGCGGTGGACGTACTTGCCTACATAAAGGGTATGTAGAGTACCTAGAGCACCTACATAGAGTACATAGAGTACCTAAGCATGTACAGTACAGGCTGCCGGCGCCAGGTGGTACTGGTGATACTACAGCAGATACATAGTACCGAGTGACTACAGTTGAGCTAAAAATACCCCTAGCCTTTGCCTGTACTTTTGCCTGTGTTTTGCCTGTGCTTTTTCCTTTCACTGCCACAGCCACTGTCAAGTTTCATCAGTCAACAGCCAACAGCCACTGGCCAGAGCGTGGCCCTTGCTTCGCACGCTCCCTCCCCGGCCCCTCCCCGGCCCCCTCCCCGGCTCATTCCCCGGCTCCCTCCCCAGCTCTCTCGCTCGGTTCTCGGGTCAGCGTCCGGTGCGCAGCCTACACATGTCGTGTACCTGCTGTACCGTACCTGCTGTACTGTACCTGCTGTACCTGCTGTACCTACATACGGTACTGTACTGTACTGTACTGTACTCGACATATGTGCATGTGTACTTGTACATACACACGCCACCAACTCGACATGCGGAATGATGTACTGTACCTACACTGCACGGCACGACACTATACTTAGTAGGTAGCCGCAGTACACGCGGCGTCGTCGACACTGTAGGTACTGTACTGTACTGGTGGTAACACGTATGTAGGGTACCGATGATAGTAAGGTACCCCGTGCCGTCCGCCGCCGGGGTATGGCGTGTGGACACTGGACACTGGACACTGGACACTGGACACTGGACACTGGACACTGGACACTGGACACTGGACACTGGACACTGGACACTGGACACTGGACACTGGACACTGGACACTGGACGGATTGCAGACTTGCGTTGTCTGCCACCACCATGAGAGGAGCATATGATGCAGGATACATAGCAGATCAGATAAGATATATCGTCGAAGAAGGTGCTAACTAGTCGGATCGGTGGATCCGAATAGCGGTAACTAAAAGCCAGCCTAGCCGGATCTAGTAGCACCTCACGTTGGAGGAGGCGGCAGCGGAGGAGCGCCATATTCGATGGCTCTTCGAAGTTGAAGCTGAATAGAACCTCAAATTCTCCGTCGCCCTTTATTTTCGCCGTTCCCTTCCAAGCTTTCTTCCAAGGCTACGTCACTATCCCGCTCTAACTGCTCTGCTCGGTCGCTCGCTCGCCCGCGCGAGCCGTAGTGAATGTTTACTCCCTACTACCCACTCGCCCGCCCGCCCGCCCGTGTTTGGGATGGAAGGGTGTTGGTCAGCCCTGCATACCGCCATGAAATCTCTTTGGACGGTGCGGTGCGGTGGGATGCATCCACCACCGTAGTGTATGCACCGTATGCGCTGGACTTATGCACTCTATGCGCCGCTGACATGACCGGCGCTCCGCGTGCGCGCTTCGTCGATGTTCGGTTTTCAGTGCTCACAAGAAACAGAAACGGAGGCAGAAACAGAAAGGCTCTATGATCGATCCCCCCCCCCCCCCCCCCCGCCCACAGGCGCTAAAGTCTGTTGGCAGGCAGCGGATACTCTAGTTTTTGATCGCCCGGCGGGAAAAAGTAAAAGTCCCCCTCCTGGGCTCGGCGTTTCGACTGGCGGTTGCGTCCTTTTTCTTTTCATCATTGATGTGAGGAGGTTTGGTTTGTGCCTTTAGGTATCCGCTTTCGGCGATGACCGTGCTTGAGAGGGACTACGGACTGCGGTGATGCTGCCTTTGGCTTTTCTCGAGTCCCTCCGGTAACTACGGTAGTCACTCCGATCGACGGAGCGACCAGACCAGCATCGTGACGTCGCAGTCACGACTCCCGCCCCGCCTCCCGCCTCCCGCCTCTCGCCGCGCCACAGGCCGCGATCTACCTATGTAGGCGGCTTCTTCAATTGTTATCTACTCTTCAGTAGTTGTACCATCTCCAATTCCAAAATAGGTGCCGAACCCTGAACGCCCAACTTGTCGCTGCAAGGACCGGTCCCGAATCCACGGGCGGCACTCATCTCATCTCATCTCATCTCATCCTGCCGAATCGAGTCGAGTCGAGTCGAGGAGGGGAGAGGAGAAAGAATCGCAGCACAAAACAGCACAGCAGGTACAGCACATACAGCACAGCCCGAGTGCAGATGTAGATGCAGATGTAGATGTAGATGCGGTGGGTGGACTAGGATTCCCGCGCCGCGCCGCGCCGTGCGGTGCGGTGCGACCCGGTACGGTAACTAGAGTAGAGCAGCTCGCTCTCTGGAGTCTAAAGTCTGAAGGAGCGGGCGGGCTCGGTTCCCTGCAGCAGCGAGTGAGGGGGGGTGGATGAGCTTCGCACTCGACGTTGCGGTCTCACCACTCCACCAGTCCACTCCACCGACACCGAGGCCAACCCTCACTCACCCACTCCACCCACCCTCGTTTCGCCCGGGTGTCAGTGTATCGGTGTAGTGTAGGTAGAGTAGTGTATCCTGTCCGTCAGGCTAGGCTAGGCTTATGTGAGTGCGGGGCGTGCTTTCTCGAGTTCGAGTGGGACGCCGACGATGATGGGGCGTCGATGATGATGGGCGTCGACGCCAGACGGGAGCCACCACCCCCAAACCCACCAAACCCCTGCGCGCCTTTCTCCCACCCCGTTTCAGGTTCGGTATCAGCGCACGAACGACCTCCTCGTTGACGTTTGGGATGGACGTGTGTGAGAGCGTGTGTGGGCGTGGGTGGGGGGGTGAGAGGGTGAGAGGGTGAGTGTGGGCGTGTGTGTGTCACTATTTTCGGTGTCACGGGTGTTGGAGTTGATGGTGGGGCTCGATGGGCTATTATTAATTGCTGCTCCTGTTGCTGTTGTTACTCTAATTGCTGTTGTTGCTGTTGTTGCCATGGAGGCGCTCGCGAGTCGCGAGTCGCGGGGGAGGAGACTTGTAAGTTGTGGCTACTCTACTCCAGAGCCGAGAAGTCCTGCTCCGGCCGCTTGGGAGGTACCGGTGTGTACATAATTTCGGCTGACGCTACCAGTACTTGACGATCTCGACGAAGCGCCGGGCTCTTTCTGTCTGTCTGTCTGTTTGTTCCGACGTTTGGGCGTTCATCGGTTGGCACATACATAGCGGTGGCAGCGGTGGCAGCGGGGACGGACTTGTGGCGGTGTTGTGTCGGTTTTCGTGCTCGTGTGCTCGTGTGCCCGTCTACTATACATGTGCTTTCAATCGTCCGTTCCACGGCGATATTAGGCACGGCCGCACGGTATCCTGGCGATGGATTATATTCGGTGCTTGATGTAGCATCATCGCCATAACCATAAGCAGCAGCAGCAGCAGCAGAATCTTCCTCCACAGGTGACATCCCGCCGGCGCAGCAGCAAGCATGCAGCTAGGTAGAGCACCCGCGATGGATATATGTGCACAACCATATCCATCCATCGCGGCGACAGTGCATAGCCTCTTTAATCAATATCAACAATCAATAGGTAGAATAATCTGCAGATGGATGTTGGGTTGGGCCGGTGGTAATACTCGTTGCAGTGATTGCCGTGCAGTGCAGTGCAGGATCGACCGACTGACCGGCCGATGGACTGACTGACTGTGGATTCGTTTGTACCACGCAGTAACTATACCTGACCGAACATCGATCCATCCATCTGGGCCTCCTCAGGCCTTTGACCGGAGCGTGGAAGGAGCATGTGTGATGTAGGTACATACACTGAGTACTTGCCCGCCTGCCTGCCCGTACCTGGCAGGCTTACCTTGCTTCTTCATCCGCTGCTGCTTGTGCTTCTTCTTCTTTTGTCTCTTACCCGACAGAGATCGCTCGCTCGATCGGTCTGTCGGCCTGTCGGGCGTCCATGCTGAGAAAGAGAGAGCGAACTCGCGAACTCGCGAACTCGCAATGCGTACTCTATGCGCAAGCGGCCATCGCGCGGATAGATACTTGCAGCTACATGTCTGCATACCTGATTCTGTGCCCTTCCATCGCACCGCGCCGGATCGATCAATCATCAGACCAGACAAGAGCGTCGCATCTCCAGCCGGGCGGCCACTAAACCGCGTGTGTACGTCCCTTCCATCGATGCTTCCGTTGCTTGCGTTGCGGCGGTTCGAGAAGGAGCTAGAGGCTAGAGCGACGGGTCGGTCGAGATGGATAGACGCCCCGCTACCAGACGTGCAGTGGTTGTGGCCCTGGCGGGGGGGCGGGGGACACTCGGAGTGGAGCGAGAGCAGCCAGATGGGACTGGGAGTTGCTACTACTCTACGCTGGCAGCCTGGCAGCCTGGCAGCCTGGCGGGTGCTCCTTGTGCTGTACTGTACTGTACTGTCCAATGCACCTGGCACTTGTTTACTGACTGACTTGCTTGCCTACCTGTTTGCCTACCTTGCTTGCTTTACTTACTTCTTACTTACCTTGCCGTGCGTATGCTGCGTGTGGACGGCAAGTACTATCTCGCTGCGCAGTCGGTTCTGACTCCATGTAATGTGGGTGCGTAAGTACCATGGTAAACTGGCTAGCTGCGTACGACGAAGACGGCCGATGGGACAGCCGCAAAGAGTCCTGCCAGAGACCAAAAGAGACGAGAGACGAGAGACGAGATGGCCCAGCGCTTCGAGCCTCCTCGTCGTCGCCGCCCCTGCAACTGCAACCTCCCCCCCCCCCCCATCCCCCCCCCCCCCCCCCATCCCCCCATCCCATCCCCCCCACCACCCTCACCCTCACCACCCTCACCCTCACCACCCACCACAACCACCACCTCCCTCCACTCCTTGCCTCCATCCCTGGCCCATTGCGCTACCGCCCATCCCTGTCCCTTCCACCCACCTCTACCGCAGCTCTGCCTCGAAATTTCTCCGCGAGACGTCGACGGCAACGCAACAATGTCGAGCTCAATCTTCCCTTATAAACCCCCGGCAGCTTCATCACTCACTCACGACCCAGGTTCACGAATTCCTTAACTAGCTCCTACCGTCCGCACTACCCCCCTCCCCCCTCCCCTCCCCTCCCCCAATCCCATCGTCAGTCCCCGTCATTCGTTTAGACGTCCATCAACCCCCCCAGTTCCTGATCTGCTTCTGCTTCAGCTTCTTCCCTTCGCTTTGGTTGCTGCTTCGAATCCTACATACATAGACTACATACCTGCCTATTGCCTACCGCCTATTGCCCATTGCCCCACTGCCTACTGCCTACTGCCTACTACATACTACATACTACATACCACTGTCGCCGTTAACTACTGGCCTCTACACTTCGATTCTTGCATCCTCCATATTATTACCTTCGTTCGTCTGGAGAGCTGGTTTCTCTTCGTACACACACCCCCGGCAATAGCTACCTACGCCGAGTCGAAACGCGAGATCAATACATACAGCTGTTTGTTTACATCGACAATCGTCCTGCATCGCACCGCATAGAACGTTTCGTTCGGTCCGCCCACCAATCGACAGCTTCCCACAGCTTCCCACAGCTTGCACTACACCAATCGTTCGGACGAGTTGGCCCGCACTTTTTTGTATTATCTATAACTCTTAATCCGGGACGTTCGTTCGTTGCGGCATCTCCTATACTTCGGCAGCCCGTCGTCTTATTTCTCCTTCCGGCTGGCGCTCTCCCGCAAATCATCCAATCCCACGGCGATCTTCGTACATCCCGCCGCTAGATTTACTTACGTAAGTTACAGCCCTGCTACGAAATCCTTCCCGTGAATCCTCAGCATGGCCCCTGCGTGGTCTTCCGGCTTTTCCTCTTGTGGCTCCCCCGTGTGCACACCGGAAGAAGCTACGATCGTCACACGGAAGAGGCAGTGAAGCGAGATGCATGCGAATCTTTCTTTCTTTCTCCCAGGTTTGACAGGCACGATGAAGGCTAACGGTTGCTCGCATGTCGATAAGTTACCTGTTTGCTTGGTTATCACTCTTTGTGGCACTACTGCATCCTGCACTGCCCGTGTTACGGCACTTCTGAGATTCTACGTATGTCAGCGATGGATCCTGTGCTCTCCCAGTAAGATTCGCCCTCCCTAAAAACGGAAATGGAAGAGGCAGCGGCTTCTTTGGGGCGAAGGGGCGAAGGGGAAGTCGAAGACTCGGTGCTGACGGAAACTGCGTAACTGCAGGGTACGGGACCACGTCAAGAGTGTTTTTGGACTCGCACAGACAAGCCCGGTGTACGGACGGTCCAATAATAACATGGACAACCTCCCTCGCTCGTTCCAGCAGCCTCTAGCCCTAGCTATGGACTCGCCCATCTCCACTGGTTCCTTCACGGTATGGCCGCCTACGCCCCGCCACGTCGAGGACAGTCCGACGGTCATTGATTCGCACTACCCTTTCTCCATGGCCGATTGCAGCCCGAGCGGCGACGGGGTCACGGCTCCTTGGGCGGGCGAAATCACGCCGCATACCCCCCACATGGCACCGAACGGCGTGGATATCCCTTGCTCTCCGCACTACGGACAGCAGCAAGAGAGTGAGCCATCCACAGTCGTGTCGGCCTGGTGGGGCAACGATACTGATGGTGTAAGTGGGGATTGGCGGCCCAGAGTCGGCTATTCCCTGTTGGAGGGCAATGCCGAAACCGACCATTCGTCCAGTTACGGTAGCTCGAGCGGCGGAAACGGTTTCCTGCCCGTCCCGAGCTACCAGTACGCACAGCAGCCGTCGGATCCTCTGAGATTGAACACCGACCTCGATGCGAGAAATCATCTATCCGATGAGATTTCGAGCGCGGAGCCCATCGCCACGTCCACAACAAGCTACTACGCCGAATCGGACAGCTCGTTGTACACCACCGAGTTCAGGACACCCCTGATGTCGGCCGTCACAACGCCGCACTCGCCCTCCGTCCGCAGCGTCAGCCGGACGAGCCGTGGGTCTTGCTCTCCCATCTACCGCGTCACCCCTTATTCCGCCACAGATAAGAAACGGTGGTCCGCTCCCGGAGATTCCAGTAATTTCTACAGTCTCAGCCTGGATCCGCAGTTGCAGGGTAGCCAGCTCCGTTCGCATCACTCGTCGCCCATCCGCACACCACCCCACACGCTTCCCCCATCGACACAGTCGTATCTGCCTTCTCACCAACACACCCTTCCCCGGAACATGACCTATCTTCCGGGATTCCTGGACCGTGGCCACCCCCACCACCCACACCCCCACCACCACCACCACGAACCCACCCAGCTGATGCCAAGCCCCTTCTACATCCCCTCTCACCCGGAAAACCACCACCACGCCCGGTACGCCGACTACGCCGAGCGACCGGACCTCTACTCCTGTCTGACCGAGGAGCAGATTCCACCCCCAGAGGAAGACATGAACCCTGCAGACCCCGAGATGAAACCCCACGAGCAAGACCTCCGTTTCGAAGGCGACCTCTACACCCCCCGCTGGGTCCGCGGCCACGGCAACAAGCGCGAAGGCTGGTGCGGAATCTGCAAGCCCGGCCGCTGGCTGGTGCTCAAGAACTCGGCCTTCTGGTACGACAAATCGTTCACGCACGGCATCAGCGCGGCCACCGGCCAGCCCTTTGCCGAACCCAGGGACATGCGCCGCATGGATGGGAATCCGGACGTATGGGAGGGTCTCTGCCACTCGTGTGCCGAGTGGGTCCCGCTCGTCAGCAACAAGAAGAAGGGGACAACTTGGTTCCGACACGCCTACAAGTGTCACACGCATAATAAGATCCGCGACGCTCCGAAACGGAGGAGGGAGGGGAGTTTGAACAAGAAGATTAAGGCGGCGTCAACGTAACTAATGATTTTCCTTTTTGTCTCTTTCTTTTTGTTTTCTGCATGCTATCACGACTATATGCCTTTCCTAGGATTTTTTCCATCATCGGGGGCGCGCGCGGGGGGGGGGGGGGGAGGGGGGTGGGGGTAATTAATGGGATGATTTGGGAGTTTTGCAATTGTCGTTTTGTTTTTTGTTCTTGTTTTTCTTTTTCTTTTTCGGTATTTTGATTTTACTTTACGATGTACTGGGGGGACAAAACGGCGTGGATGGACTCGAGGAATTAACTAGACTGGGCTGGACTGCACGGCATGCTTTGGCTTTGGAGAAGCTCTGTGGTTTTTTTTCTTCTTATCTTTCTTTTCTTTGAAAATGTTTGTTGCTCTTGCTTTTGCTTTTGCTTTTGGGACGGTTTACGCTGGGGGTTACGCTGGGGGTTACGCTGGGGTTTACGGTGCGGATTTCATCATATACTGGAGGGAGGTGTTACGGGAGCTTTCAGGGACTTATAGCCTTCAGAAACTTTTAGGGGAATGGGGGGAATGGAGGGGGTTTATTGATTTCTTTTTCTTATCATGTTTTTCAAGATTCTGATATACCTTGGGTTTCCTTTTTTTTCCTACTATTTTTGTTATTCGGTGGTCGGTGGTCCTCTGTATTCTACTTTCTACTCTACTTAGATACGGCTCTTTAGTTAGAGGTTGGCGCGGTTTGATTTTGTTTTGTTTTGGTTTGGTTTGTTCGAGATGGGGATTTAAGCAATTGACTGGACTAGACTAGACTACTATACTGTACCGTAATACCTAGCATTGGACTCGGATTACCTTAATTATCGCATCGTGAGTCGTGACTTCTGGAACTAGAGCTTTATAACAAATGCTGAGAGATCCCGTGTTGAGTACTCTACGTAGCCTGTAGGATGCGGGTGTACATAAATGATACGTAGAGTAGAGTACATCCATAGAGTACATCCGTATATGTAGTAGATGTAGTTATCCGTCCGTCCTTCGCAGGCTCGCTGCGTGGGTATTGGGCAGACGGATGGCGGCTGCGAGGCTGCGGCCCCTGTGTACTATAGTGTGGGCCCTGGGGCTCTGTGGAGTTTGCGGGAGTGTACTCTGATGGTATATATACGAGTAGAGAGGGGGAGAGGGCAGCATTAGGGAGAGGGCGATCTACCTATATAGTGGCTCGGAGAAAGGGCGTGGCATCCAGTGGCCCGAGAGAGAAAGATCTTCAATTTGCTTCGTATGTTTCGTATGTTTTGTATGTTTCGCACCAGGGAAAGAAAATCGCATATTTATCGTCGCTTCTCGCATAGGTACCTGTATAGACTGTGGATATATGTAGGGTCTCCACGTCCGTCGTTCCGAGAAACTCTGCGCCGCTGATCGGCGAATAGCTCCGCTATGGATTGACTACCCCTTCGTCTCCTTCCCAACCTTTGCTCGCACACATGGCTTTCTGCCGGCTTCTCCACCATGGGCCTCTCTCCATTTCTCGTCGCTGATCCGCCTCTTAAGGTGGTGCACCAATGAGGCGGGAAGGCGCATGTTCCGCCGTCGTCCGTAACTATCCGGAGCTTTGCCGGAGCCATCCTGCTCACTCCATGGTCGGCCGGCTCTTCCGTCACGAGTTTGGCTTATCTAATCTATGTAGTGGTCCGAACCTCGACGGACGGGACTAGGGACGAGTACGCTCGGGCGACAGACAGCGCGTTGTGCGAAGCTCAAGATAAAGCTGTGATGACACGTGCGGACAATCCCTCCTCTGGTCACGTGTGGCTGTGAGATTTGGGCCCTTGCTGAGCTCAGCCTGACCACGCTTCGGGTGGGGTACATTGCCGTTTGGACAATGGCTATCTTATCGCATCGATCAGCCGCCCGCCCTCCCCCTGCCCCCAAAAAACCGACGAGAACCTTCCATGGGTTAAACCAACTGAGACGCTAACTTTTGGGCCGCACTGCACTCACTCCTCCTCCTCCTCTTCTCTCCACCAGATCCCCGTCCCTCAAATTAGTTGACAAAAGTCATTGGTCGCTGTGTCCACTTCCGCTTCCCGCTCCCACTTTTTTCCTTCTCACTCCCTCCCTCCAGCCTCCCTCAGACTTCTCAACACAGTTCAACTCCTACTCCGCTGAGCAGTAATAACCCCTCCCCTCCCTTTTCTACGCCTCCACCCCCCCTCGCTATCTCTCTCTGTACCCTCCCTTGTCCTCGTACCTGTGGATTCCCACCCTCTCACTTGCACCGAACGAATCCCGCACACCGCCGCTGTCCATTCGCTCACGAGATAACCTCCCCCCAGACTTAATCCGTGTTGTTCTCTTTGCTACACACACCCACGCACCGACGAGGGAACCCCGAGACGAAACAAAAGCAACGCACGCCGCAACAATAGCAACAGCAACCCTACTATTGCCGCTCTCTGTGCCGTCCCCCCAGTGTCAACGCTTCCACACTCAGCCCTCATTGGCTTGATTTTCTTGGTCCGCCAACCTTCACCACCTCCGCATACGCTACAATGCCGCCCTCCTCCACCCCCATGGACATGGATCCAACCCCTCCACCTGCTGCCTCCACCACCACCGCCGCTCCCGCCACCAACGGCGTCAACGGTACACACACACTCCCCCCCGATCCGCCAAAGGAGGATCTCGACGGCGAAGCCTACAAGCAAGCCGGAAACAAGTTCTTCAAGCAGAAGGAGTACCTGAAGTCGGTCGAGCAATACTCCAAAGCGATCGAGTGCGAGCCCGAGAACGGAACGTTCCTGTCAAACCGCGCCGCCGCATACATGCTCGCTGGGAAATTCCGCGAGGCCCTGGCGGACTGCATCTCGTCCGACCGCTTCAGCCCCAACAACCCCAAAACTCTCCTCCGGATGGCCAGGATCCAGCTCGCCCTGGGACGTCCCGAGGATGCCCTCGAGACGTACGACAGGATCCAGCCGCCCCCGTCCGCGAAAGATAAGGCCCCCGCTTCACAAATGTTGCAGCACCTCAGATCTGCGAGGCAGAGCGTGGAGTCTGGTACTCACGGCTCGATGACCCTGTACGCTCTGGATAGGGCTGAGTCGGGGCTGGGCCAGGGTGTCGACCCCCCCAAGGAGTGGAAGATTCTGCGAGGAGAGGCCAATCTCAAGATGGGTACACAGCACTCGTGGGGTGAGGCGCAGAACGTGGCTATGAGCTTGTTACGCCAGAACCAGCAGGATTCCGACGCGTTGGTGCTGCGGGGACGCGTCTTGTACGCCCAGGGCGACAATTCGAAGGCTGCCGCCCACTTCCAGGAAGCTCTCCGGTGCGATCCCGACATGAAGACGGCCAGAATATACCTCAAGAAGTCTCGGGAGCTCGAAAGGAAGAAGTCGGACGGTAACGAAGCTTTCAAGAAGGGCGATTATGCCAAGGCCAAGGATCTGTACTCGCAGGCTCTGAGCGTCGACCCGGACAATAAGGGGACCAACGCCAAAATATACCAGAACAGGGCTATGGCTTGCAGCAAGGTACAGTGTTCTTTCACTTGAGTTTTGGTGCAGTCGCCGTGGAACGCCGGATTGACTGTCAACAGCTCAAAGAATGGTCGGAAGCCATCACGGACTGCGACGAAGCTCTGCGGCTCGATCCAACCTACACCAAAGCGCGAAAGACTCGTGCCAAGGCTCTCGGCGAAAGCGGTAACTGGGAAGAGGCCGTGCGCGAACTTAAAGCCGCATCCGAGGCCGATCCCGCCGACGCTACGCTCAAGAAGGAGATTCGGAACGCGGAGCTGGAGCTTAAGAAGAGCAAACGGAAGGACTACTACAAGATCCTGGGTGTTGAAAAGGATGCCACCGAGACCGACATCAAGAAGGCGTACCGAAAGATGGCCATCAAGTACCACCCCGACAAGAACCCCGACAATCCGGAAGCTGCCGAGAAGTTCAAGGGTACGTTTTTTTCTTTTTTCCTTTCTTTTTTCCTTTCTTTTTTCTTTCTTCGTGCGCAGTGATCACGTGATGGATGTTGATGGCTGCTTGTAGATCTCGGTGAGGCGTACGAATGTCTCTCGGATCCTCAAAAGAAGGAGCGGTATGACTCTGGAATTGATCTTCAGGATCCCGAAGACATGTTTGGTGGGATGGGAGGGGGTATGGGCGGAATGGGAGGCGGAATTGACCCAAGTAAGTTCTGTCGGTTTCTGGTATCGGGGTCAGCTACTGATTGTCGTCTCAGGCGTGCTATTCAACATGATGAACGGCGGCGGCGGCGGAGGATCCTTCAACTTTGGCGGAGGAGGAGGCGGCTTCCCTGGCGGCGGCTTCCCGGGCGGCGGTGGCGGACGACGCGGCCGTAACAGTGCGCAGGGAGGATTTCCTCCCGGCTTCAGCTTTTAAAAGATTTTTTAAAGATTTTTTTTTCTTGCAACGGCTGGGACTGGGACTGCGAGTGAGGGGTACTTTGTTGTAATATTCTTGCTTCTATTAGAACCTGTACCAGATGGGACGATGACGACGTACAATGGATGGTATGGTATGGTTGTGTGGGAAAAATGGGCAATGGGCAATGGACATTGGGCAATGGCAACGGGCAACGGGGAAGGCACAAGGTGGCTAGAAAGCTTCATCATGTTCATGGGGATGGTGTTTGATTGGTTTTTTTTTCTTCTTGTTTTTTTTTTTTTACTTTACTTTGTATATGCTTATGGGAGGCGTCTCGTTTGTGTTTTGTGTTTTGTGTTTTTTTCTTCTTTTTTTTTGCTCCATTCTCTACCGATCAATTTCCATGGTCAATGATTCAATGGTCAATGGTCAATGGTCATCTTCAGACTTCAGATTTCAGACTTCGTCGGGTGGATGCTTTACCTTACCGATGCTTTACCCTTACCTTACCGTATTCTTGTGCCGGTTTGTGCCGGTTTGTGTGTGTGTGTTCGTTCTTTGTTCCTTTCCGGATACATGACATGACATGGTAACTCATTTACCTACCTACTTGGAAGTTAGGACCTGGGTGTGTGCTTTCGTGCTCTCGTGCTCTGGTGCTTTTCTTTCTTTCTTCCTGCTTTCTTCTTTCTTCGTTCTTTCTTGGGGCCTGGGGGCCAGGGGGGCGGTAGGGGGATTGGGGGGATTAAGGGGGCTGGATAGATTGGCGGTGGGAAATGGGCATTGGTGGGCATTGGTGGGGCAATGGTGGGCAATGGTAGGTATCATACATACAGGAATGATGAAGGAATGTTTAGGATGCGATGCGGATGTGGGGCGGTCATGGGCGGTCAAGAGTGAGCAAGAACGGTGACGGGCGGTCAAGTGTGGTCATGAGTGGGCACGGGTGGTGAAGGGTGGTCACAGGTGGTCACTCGTCGACCGTGGATTTTGCGAATGTTGGGTTTCTCGTTCTGGTTGAAAAGCCACCGTCGTCACTCGTCCAAGATATTGCACATTTGCCATATTGGTCGTATGTATGCGCTAAGTCGAGTGCGCCTTGAGAATCCTGTTTATTCTCATACTTGCTTCTTCTTCTACTTCTGTCTGGTAGGTACGTCTAGCTGGTCATCCGCTGTGCTCTGCGAATGAATCAAGCAACCGAAGCAATTGAAACATCGATCACGCTCATAATTTCTCAACAGTGAACTCTATGAACCCTGTAACTAGTCGTAGAGTCATAGAATTTGTGGATTCTGGACTCTGGACTGGACTCTGGACTGGACTCTGGACTGGACTCTGGATTGGACTCTGGATTGGACTGGACACTGGACTGGACTCGGTATCAAACCTTCGCCGCGGAGACTAGCTAGCTGCTAGGTAGTCAACGGACAACCGGCCGTGATAACACTGCGCTGAGGACTTTTTTCCACAACCATCACCGCGGCGGACGCCACGTCGGGGAGCCTCGAGAGCAACGAGCACGGGGGCAGCCGTGGGCCCAAAACGGCAGAAAGCAGTCAGGTTCGGGTTGACTTTCTCGTCTCGTTTCGTCTCCCGAGAGCGGGAGGACAGCTTGCAGCTTGGTCAGGGACTCAGGGGCGAGTACCTATCATGCGGTGCCGGCGGTCCTCGAGCTCCATGACTTTCTCTTCACTGCCTACTAGGTATAGTTACTGCCCTCCGCAGCACGGACACCTCGGCGGCCGGACGGACCACGCAGCGACTGTATGTACATTGTACACCAGCGAGCTTGCCGAAGAGGTTGGTTTGGGGCATCGTTGATGGTGCGGTCGAGTTGGTCGAGTTGGGCATGTTGGTCAGGTTCTTGAACTTTGAACTTTGAACTTTCTGGGAGCTGGTGGGAATCAGTGGCCACTGGCCAGTGGCCAATTGGTCTGGAGACGTTGAAACGATGCTGAGTACCGGTAGCAAGTTGCAAAAATGGTGCTGAGCATGAGGTAGTTAATTTCACTGGCGACCGAGGCCCGAGGATCGTGGACTGGGTAGTGGAATGGACGGAGTAGAACCGTGTTACTGGATTAGCTTCAGCCGAACGGCCTTCTTGCTTTCACTCTAAGATGAATAATAGTAGAAGTGATTCCAGTGGCCATTCCCGTGGACTGCGATCAAGTTGTCCGGCCACGTCATGGCCACGCAGTCGGCCGCACCGAATTCTTATATGGTGATAGTGGTGTGGCCATGTTGGCCGTGTCGGCTGAGTATGTCCATCGTGGAGTTTTGGTAGTGAATAGTATATCCATCGAACTCGAGTCTAATATGTAGTGGGAGTGTGATCATGTGTTCTTTATTTTGTCCACAATAACGAATGCTTCGTCTTCGTCTTCGGCTTCTTCTCCACGTTTTCTTTCTCTTTCTCGTTGGTCGGATGTCTTCCAATGCCCGAGCCTTTGGAAGAGGAATTCGCACGGTGTCTAGTGATGTTTTTCTCCTCAGTTTGAGTGCTGATAGTGCTTCATTGGTTGAATGATGGGAAAAGAGGGGATATGGAACCAGGCGGGGGAGGGGGAGGGGCTTACACGGAGTCCAAGATGGCGCTGGCCTTGCATTGATTATCCTGAGGTAGGATTTTGCAAGGCAGCGAAGGCCCTTGAAGTTGGACTCACTAAAACTTCACTTCAGTTGGAGAACGGTGACAACGCACGGTATGTAGGTTGTAAGGTCCTCGGATTTCTCACTCGTCTGGCCACCTTCGGAGGTGTCAGGTCACTGAAGCGAGCTGAGGTTCGCTATGCATCGGAACGGTTCCCCCCTACGTTCACTCTGCGATCTCCTGCTCCAGCAAGTCGTAGTCGAAGTGTATAGTATCGTGGAGAAAGTAGTGTGGCGAACTACACATATGGAAGTCTCAGATTCTTAGTACTGTTACCATATGAGAAAATATCTGCATCAGACATTTACCCATGAATCATACGGTGGTGCAATCAGATGCTGGGAGGACATGCTTAGGCTCAGAGTGCAAGGTCCAACAGCTCGCTTTCCTACGAAAGGCGGTAATCTAGATCGGTAACACTCTTGTCTGGACATCAGACAAGACCCCTGATGACGCTATGATAGGTAGTCCGTACAGCTACACATGGTCACATGTAAAGCCGCATCTATCACCCTTTTGGTGGTATTTATTCACAGGGCGTCACCATTGTAACCCCGCAGTAAGACATGCGATTCTTTTCAACGCTATCGATACTTAGATTTTACCCCCCGTTGTTATGCAGTGGGTTCAACTATTGGGGACGTGACAAGGCCAAGTGGAGAGTTCTCTGTTGTGACAGAAGCTAATCGGCAAAATCCGCCACCAACAATCACTCGAGTCTTGCGTAGCACGCTAGCGTAGCTAGTGTAGGGCTCGCTAAAAACGCAGTCCCACCACAGATCCCACAGATCCACAACCCGCACAATCACCAAACTTTGATATTCCAATTGCGCAGCCTCACACTGACAACCCGACGAACGAACGACCGACCTCCGACGCCTCACGTAACCGACCCCCACCGGAAACCCTTCAACCGAAACAATGGCCACCAACAAGATCGCCCACAACTCCCCCTCGCACGCCAACCCCTCAGAGTTGGAGACCCAGATTGCTCAGGCTCTCTTCGACCTTGAGTCCTCCGTGTCGGACCTGAAGGCGTCTCTGCGCCCTCTCCAGTTCTCCTCGGCCAAGGAGGTAATTTACAAACCTCCTGAAAAAGAAAGAAAAAAACGATGCGGACGGACAACTCCCAGTCTTCCCTTCGAATGAAGGATGGTACGGGATGCTAACGGCGGGAACGTCTTACGTGGTGGGCAGATCGAGGTTTCTCAGGGACGCAAGGCGGTGGTCATCTTCGTTCCAGTCCCCCTCCTCCAGGGTTTCCACAAGGTCCAGCAGCGGTATGCATTCCTCTGCCGCAACATCTGTCCGCTCCCACCACTGACATCCAACTAGCCTGACCCGTGAGCTCGAGAAGAAATTCTCCGACCGCCACGTCGTCTTCGTTGCTCAGCGCCGCATCCTGCCCCTCCCGGGACGCCGCAGCCGCGTCCAGCAGAAGCGTCCCCGCAACCGCACCTTGACCGCCGTTCACGACGCGATCCTGGGCGACCTTGTGTACCCCACCGAGATCGTCGGCAAGCGCGTTCGCACCAAGGAGGACGGCCACAAGGTGATCAAGGTCTTCCTTGACGCCAAGGACCGTGCCGCCGTTGACTACAAGGTCGACACTTTCGGCGAGGTCTACCGCAAGCTCACTGGAAAGACTGTCGTCTTTGAGTTCCCTGCCGTCAGCGGTGAGGGTTACTAGATGTTGATGTTGATATAAACAAAAAAGTCAATTTCTGTCTGGGGGCATACACGTTCGACCGGAGTTTGATAATGGGATTGGCGTTTTGGGGGCGTTCTGGTTCTAACACTCATCGCTCCCCCGTCATGACTTGAAGACCATTTTGTGAAAATCCAATCGACATGAAACCTGACACAAACTCCATAAGAACGCCCCTCATCCGTGATCCATTCGACCGTACTTTGCAACCCACTTCGCCCGCCACTGCCCCAAAGTACTCGTGCCTGCCACCCAATCATTCATCATCATGGGTAACTGTTGCTCGACTCGAAAACGTGAACCTCAAGGCCTCCGCCTGGTGTGTGTCTACTGCTGGATCATGGCCGATGCAGCGCCAGAAATCGCGTACGGTCCTAAACGACTATTCGTATGTGACAAATGCATTGCTGTAATGAAGTGGGTGGATTTACAAAATAAGTAGCGATAGATAGCATGTAATCAAGCCACTTCGAGTCACTCGAGTGACGAAGAGATCCTATTGTTTTATCTGCATCGAGCATCTTGTGACTCACAAAGAAATCCTGTTGATTTACCCGCATCTCGAGCATCACATCACATCTCTCAATCGTCAAATATCAAATATCAAAACACACGAATCAAACCAAACCAGAGAATTGAATGAAGTAAGGCAAACCAGAAACGTAAAAAAAGAAACCGCTCCGTAAGAATGAAAAGAAAAAGAAAAGAAAGAGAAAAAAACCGAAAATGAAAAAACACCAATAAGATACACTACGACTCATCCTCCGAATCCGTGTCAGTGTCAGTATCACTCACGCCTTCCTGTTCTCCCTCAGTGTCGCTCTCGTCCTCGTCATCATCGCTGGTCTCCGCCGCCCCCTTCTTCTTGGATTTCTTGACGGGAGCACCGCTGCCGCGCATGGCAGACATTTGGCCGGCGAGAGAGTCTGTTGTCGTGTTAGCAGGTGCTAGGGAGGATGTTAGATGGGGGGACATACCCTCTTCAGGCTCAGAGATATCGTCCACCTCCTCAATTCTCGAAACCTTGCTGGGATCGGAGACGACAAGGGTAACTGTCTGCTGGATATCGAGGCCGATGTACGAGTCTGAGAGACAAACCATGGTGAAGCCGTATTCGCCCGCCTGCGGTGGTGCCTGGAACTGCATCTTTGCCGTGACGACCGCGAAGCCCTCGGGGCTCTTATCGAAGCTAGTGATGGCCTGTGGGGGGACAACGAGTTTACCCAGACGGAGGTCGACGAGGGTAATGTACCATGCGGGGTGGTGGTCACGGGGATAGAAGGGCGCATGGGAGAGTGGCAGGTCAACACCGTCGTCGCCTTCCTTGGTGCTGTCGGACCAGCGAGACTTACGGCCAAGGAGAGCATCAACGTCGGTCTCATCTGGGTCCTCGTCAAGGAGGTCCTTAGGGTTGACGGGCGGGGGATTGGATCCGGGGGGGACGACACGCATCTTGAGGACAAACTGGACCAGACTCGAGGGGGTGATGAACTTTTCGCCCATGACTTTGAAAAAGGCAGATTCGATCTTGAGGGCTGGCAGGGAATTGGCGAAGGTCATGGCGGTCTTGTATTGTGATTCGGTGAGTAGGCCCTTGCTGGTGCACATCTTCTTACGCTCAACCTCCGGGACGGACATCAGACGTTGGACGGTCCAGTGGTTTTTGCCGCCGTCACGCTCGATAGAGGAGACGATCTTGTTGGTGAAGTAAGGGATCTGAAGGAGCGGCGATTGACCGGGGGCAATAGCTTGGATCAGGTACTGGGAAAGACGGATGGAAGCGACCAGAGGCTGGACATTTCCGAAAGCCAGACAGATAGAGTGGAATGAACGGTTAAGAGCAATCGCGGCAGGAGCAACGTCGAGTTTAGCTAGATAGGGTCAAAAAGGAAGCTCTATCTGACTAGGGGAGATCTCGTACCATTTTCCAGCTTCTCACTATCAAGGTCGACGCGGTACAGGTAAGCCCAGAGCAGGCCCAAAGCACGGCGTCTCCATCCTTCATATTTGTTCAAGATAGCAATCTCCTTCTCGGGCAGTCCGGCTTGGGCAAGTTTCTTCTCGACAGTGGCATCTTCACCGTTGACCCAATCCTTCTCGTGGTCTCCACCGGTGATCTCCTTCATCTCCTCGCCAACGCTTAAGATCTCAACGAGCTTATCTTCCGCGGCGAATTCGTCATATTCCGTGAACAGCTTTCCAGCGCTCTCAACCATGACACCGTCCTTAGTGTGCTTCTTGGTTCCGTACCACCACTTTCCAACGGTGTAGGGCAGGAGAATGCCGAATATCAGTCCGTACACAGCAAGAACGTAGTAGGTATTTCCCGAAGCGACGATCCACGTTGGCAGTGCGATTCCAATAGAGAAGGACTGTTTACCGTCGGGGTGGCCATACTGGATAAAGTTGTTGCGGATCTCCTCATCGGTCAGAGCTTTGTAGGCCTTAGTGATTTCCACGAACTTGTCGTTGAGCATCTCGATCGTCTCGTTGCCAGTTGGGCGCCTTTTGTCAGGGTGATTCTTTAGGGACATTCTCTTATACTGAGACTTGATTTCTTTCTCGGTGGCGGACTGGACGCATTCAATCAGCAAAGCTTCCGAGAGTAACTGCGGGTCGGGGAGGAAGCAAGCTACATACCTCGCTGATTCCCAAAATCTGGTACGGATTCCATAGCTTGGCCGCGGTGATAGCCTCACTGGTAGCAACAAGATAGCACATGTAGCCAAACAGAGCCCACCCAAGAACGAGCGCAGTGAAGCGCTTCAGCCGGCGTTCTCTCTTGGCCTGCCGCCGGCGGGCAGCATCGACGGTTTCATGCTGCGGTGGAGAGTAGTCGGGACACTTTATTAAAGGTTCCTTTGAAGTTCCGAGCTCTATACATGGGGGAGGGAATCAGCCACTAGCTTCCTTCGTTCGTTCGTGCTGCCTAGGAGAAGAGGGAGCTACGTACGTCTACTGGGCTTGAAGGTCGAGTATGTTAATGGGACCAATACCAGCCCTGAGATGGTCAGGACGAAGTAGGGGAAGAATTGTCCCTGGATTGAGCACAGATCAGTTTACGTTCTGGGCTCGGAACGGGTGGCACGGGAAAGAAGACGCACCTTATCGTCGTAGTTGTAATCCGTCGACATGATGTCGGGCGGTACGGTCTATTTTGGACCTTTTGATTCTTGACCGGTGGCGTGTATTCGTCTACTCTCTCTCTGGCGGGGCGCGTCGGTCGTGTTGAGTTGTAGTCGGAGTGGGTGGATGTTGGGAGCTCCGAGGTGTGGATTGTAAGGGAAACGGGGAGTCGTCGCCAAAAAAAGTTGTGACGGTCCGGTCGTCCAAGGTTGACGTTCTGTCTAGTCCTTGGAAGGGGTCAAAAATAAGTGAGGGTAGGAAGTAGCCTAGAACCGGGATGCGAATGGAAAGACAGTGATGAGGACAGATGCACACAAGCGACGAGACAGATGGCGCGTGAGAGAGAAGGGAAGAAGAAGAGTGATATCTCCGGTTGGGACAGGTTGCACTTTCTCCGAACTGAATGTTTGGCCGACAAGCTGGGTTAAAATGATTGACCGAGCTGCCCAGTCAGACTGCCGTCCACCTGAAGAGACGGGGAAGAGAAGAGGTATGTATGGGCGAGCACGAGATGTGAGTGGGTTTGCGAGCCTGTGTTTGTCTTCTCTACGTCGTTATTGTTCCTCACACTTCTTTCATTTGTCTCTGCGGCCTTCTCTGGAAATCGTGGCCTCTTCCTCACTTCAGCCCCCGTTGACCCCTGCATTGAGCGAGCGAGCGAGCTGCGGCAAGGATGCATCACATGTGTCCACTCAGAGGCCAAGTCACGATGACTAATCGCCACCGGACAGGCCATTTGCCACACTTGCATCAGCCACTGGGCTGCACTGACTAATCACCGCCGAGCAGGTCATTCGCCACACTGCCACCAGCCACTTCTTTGAGTTGACGCCAGCCACTCGTTGGAGATGATGCGACCTATAACCGCTGGAAACCCGAGTCCGGCGGGACCTCAACGAAGAAGAAAGAGAACGAGAAATAATCCTGAATGGATCGCTGACTCAGCTATTCATTAACAATAACAATGCTGTCTCATCGGTCAGATTCTCAGCCGGCGTTGTCTTCTCTCTCCTATCACTCTCTCTTGTGACCCCGGCTTGTCGTGCTCCATCCTGCCTTGCTCCTCGTTACCAACATTAGCCTCTTCTCGCCGTCTTCTCTTAACATCACCGCACAACTAACTTTCACTGTTGTTGTTCCGCCTCTCCTATCCAACCCGCCACATCCCCCTCCCACAACCCCCAACCCCCGACACGCAACGCACGGAATTCAATCCAGCTTCGCAAGAACTCCTCGGTATCAGCCATGTCTTACCGCGGTGGAGGAATCACCGGCACGAACAACATCCCGCTCGGGACGCGACGTCGATTCGGCGGCGATGGCCCAAGCGAGTCTTCATCGCCCCCACCGCCAGCTGCTGCCGATTACTCGAGGGATGATGCCATGAAGCGGGGGAGGTCGCCGATTAGAAGTATGTTTTTATGGTGGTTTGCGCGTGGAGTTGGCAATATGACATGACATACTCGCTCGCTCGCCAGCTTTCCTCCGACATTTTGCCCCCTCCATTTTCCCCGTGTTATTGCTTGACTTGACCATACTCACACATTCCCCTCACCAGCGACAACGGAACCTGAGGGACCCAGGAAGCGCAAGAAGAAGAACCGATGGGGAGACCAAACCGACAACAAGGCCGCCGGACTGATGGGTCTTCCTACCGCAATCTTCGCGACTATGACGAGCGAGCAGTTGGAGGCCTACGCGCTGCATCTGCGCATCGAGGAAATCTCGCAGAAACTTCGCATCAACGATGTTGTGCCCGCAGACGGTGACAGGTGAGTTCGGCGACGGCTTTGGCCCGAGTTTTGTCGCGATATATGCCATGACGTGTGTCTGGCATGGCTTACTGGCCAACTAACTTTTTCGTGTCGCTCAGATCGCCATCGCCGGCTCCCCAGTACGACAACTTCGGTCGCCGTGTGAACACTCGGGAATACCGCTATCGGAAACGCCTCGAGGATGAGCGCCACAAGCTGATCGACAAGGCCATGAAGACCATCCCGAACTACCATCCGCCTAGTGATTATCGGAGGCCGACGAAGACGCAGGAGAAGATTTACGTGCCGGTTAATGATTACCCTGAGATCAACTTTATTGGATTGCTCATTGGTCCTCGTGGAAACACACTCAAGAAAATGGAGACGGAATCTGGCGCCAAAATCGCCATTCGCGGAAAGGGATCCGTCAAGGAAGGAAAGGGTCGCTCCGATGCTGCCCACACTTCGAACCAGGAGGAGGATCTGCACTGTCTCATCATGGCGGACACGGAGGAGAAGGTTAACAAGGCGAAGAAGCTGATCAACAACATTATTGAGACGGTTTGTTTCTCCGTGATTCCCTCCATTGCCTATATCCTAACGTAAACAGGCTGCTTCTATCCCCGAAGGCCAGAACGAACTCAAGCGCAACCAACTTAGAGAGCTCGCCGCCCTCAACGGAACGCTGAGAGATGATGAAAACAGCAGTTGTCAGAACTGTGGACAGATTGGTCATCGCAAGTACGACTGTCCCGAGCAGCGTAATTTCACCGCCAACATCATCTGTCGCGTGTGTGGTAACGCCGGTCATATGGCTCGCGATTGTGCGGATCGTCAACGCGGCCAGAACTGGCGCAACGATCGGCCCGGCGCAACCCCCGGAAGGCCTGGTGCCGCTGGACTGGGTCACGGAGATGCTGTGGACCGAGAGTACGAGGTACTTCAACTTCATTTCCCACTGCGCCTCATATGCGGCTACTAACCTGAGTGTAGCAACTCATGCAAGAACTTGGAGGTTCCGGTCCTGCCATCGAGGGTCCTGGTCCTCAAGCTCGCATCGAGGCAGGCCCAGGCCGCGACGGTGGATATGGCGACAACTACGGTGGTCGTGAGGGAGGCTTTGGTGGTGGTCAGGAAGAGCTTGGACCAGACGGCCGTCCTCTCAAGCCTTGGCAGCGTGGTCCCACCGGCGGTCCCGCTCCATGGCAACGTCGCGATGGCCCTCCCACCAAGGCCCCTACTGGACCTTCCGGTGGATCTAATATCACCCCCTGGCAGCAGCCCCAAGGCGCCCCAACCGGTCCTTCAGCAGGAACAGCCGCGCCGTGGGCACAACCCGGTGGTGGTATTCCTCCCCCACCTCCCCCGCCAGCCAGTGGTGTCCTCCCTTGGGCCGCGGCCGCCCCTGGTGCCCCCGGTGCAGCTCCCGGTGCACCTGGTATGGGCTACAGCTCAGCCTATGGACCCCCTCCTGGTGCTTCGTACGGCGCTCCCCCTCCGCCGCCGCCACCCGGGTCCTATGGGCTTCCGCCTCCTCCTCCTGGCGGTGCTCCTCCTCCTCCTCCTCCTCCTCCGGGCGGTGCGCCTCCACCACCTCCGCCCAGCTCGAACGATGCGCCACCTCCCCCACCTCCTTCGTCTGGTGGGTACTACCGGTAGACACCGAATCACAGGCGCGCGATTGTGTACTAACCTGCATGTCCTTTCTTGGATATTGACATTTCTTTCTTTTCTTGGTTCACTTCTGACTGACCTTTTCATTTGATTTCCTTTTTTTGGATGCTACCCCGGGTAATGTTAGGGTACGATTGGACTGGACTGGACTTGAACAGAACTGGATTGCTTCGAGCAAAAAAAACTTTTGAATGATGCTTCGAGAAGTGTGTTGGGCCGATTTACTTCCTTTCCTGTCCTCACTGTGGATGATTTGGTTTTTTTGTAGTTTGTATGAGTGTGTTGCGAATAAAATGGGGGAGCGTTCCCTTCCTGATTGTAAAGATGCGCGGAGTGTGTGATATCTGCATACGCCGTCACGATACCCGCTGGGTGAAAGCCAAGATTCCCTTCCCGCTGCTTGTTCGCCTACAGAGATTGCGAAATGTGATTCCCCACAGGCAAATACGGATGTCCTTCAGTGGCGGGATCGATTCCCCATCTCCGAATCCCTTGGCGTTCGCCGTGGCGACGCTTCACGTGATCTCACTGCCTTCTACAACAACCCTCTTGAGTTTTCTCTGTTTCTCCAGAAGCCAAAGTCCTCTCCTTCGTAGACGATGTGGCCTGGTAGGCAGGCCGAAGCCGGATGAAAGGATGCGGGAGAGATGTCCAAGAAACCGGAGGAAGCAGCGGGATGCTGGAGCCGCCCTAGAGTGGCTGGGGCGGGGCAGCCAACAACGGCATCGACATCGGTTTTGACCACAGCACGGCAAAACAGGCGATCTTCTTCACCAGACGGCGGGAACACCCACCCCCCCGGAAGCGGTCATCCAGGTATGTAGAAGAGCTGGAGATCCCCTTCACCTTTCAACAAGCAAGCAACACGGTGGCTACCTAGGGGTCTGGCTGGACTCTCTGGGAAGCTGACCCTGGTTCCTGAAAGAACACCCAGCCTCCAGGGGCACGGTTAGAAGAGGAAGAAGAAGCGACCTACTACCTAGTACAGAAGCACATCAACCCAGAAGCTAGGGCGGTGACGGGCAATCTTAGGACCACTCCTCACCACGGACCACCGGCTCTGTATCACCAACCCAACCGCGAGCAGGGGCGGAAAGCCGGTCAGTGGGTTAGGTAGGTATTGCATGGAACGCGGACGTGGTGCACACGTGATCACTCGACGAAAGTAGTCCCAGCTCGGCGTACATATGTGCCCGAACGTATGTCCTCTTCCACTGATGTATGTGGGTGGATCCCAGAGGTCGCGGAGGTAGATGTAGCAAGCGGGATGTCGGAGTGAAAGCTCGGGGAGAGGGTGGAGAGGGCGGCGGAGCTGGGGCGATAGGAGGAGGAGGAGGAGGAGGAGGACGCCGCTGGAACCGAGGACTGGGACCACGCCCGCTATTCCTTCCCACACCTTCTTTCGTGGTAGCCCCTGACGAAGAAGCCGGAGGCAGACTGGTGACTTGCGGTGGGGTGGGGACGAGTCGAGGGGGCGGATGATTGAGGGGGGAGGGCGAGTCGAGGGAGCGGAAGTTGTCTTTTCCTAGTGTTATTTCTTTGGTGAGCTCATGTATCGTCGGGACAGGGCGGGGCGGCGGAGCGGCGTGGCAGGGAAACCACATTGTAGCGTATGGGCTAGTAACTCGACAATGACTTGAAGGATGGAGCTATGTAGGAATGAGGTGCGGAAGACTACCTATCAGTGAGGTTGACTGACACTGGGCCACACCGAGATGTGACTCCGAGATATCTGGGCCTCTGGTACTGGAGAGTGTGCGGTAGATGGTTTCAATACCTAGTGCACAGCCTTCCACATTTCAAGGAATTGTATGAGAGATGTTCTATAAACGCTGCTACTGGAAGGCATACTCAGTACGCGGTGGATATTATCGGTGCTTCTACAGGTACAATGGAGGTAACACAATAGATTCCTCACACAACAGCTTCCCTAAGTATGCAATAACTTGCTCATGTAAAAACTTCCCCATGCAAAACCTTCCCAATGTAAAACCTTTCCCATGTAACAACTTCTTTGTGTGAAAACTTCTCCATTCAAATCATCACCACTGTCGACGGCGATTCTTTCCACCACTCCCTACTGATATAGGGAGGGTCTAAGCTCCTCATACCTCTTGTATGCGGCCCTCTCCACCAGCGTCGGACTCCGAGCGCGGATATCTACTAGCGGCTCCTGACCATCACACCGGACCATCTTGAAGCGGTAGTAGCCCTCCTCCGCGTTCGTTCCCTTCACCTTCCTCGTGGCAACCTCGTGCTCCACAACGGTATACAAACCGTCGTAACGATAGCCAACACTCGGCGCCCATTTGCTCGCTCCCTTAGCCCTGACGACCCGTACGGGCCGTTGGTTCTCGTAGCTTCGCATGAGCACCTTCGTGTGCGTCGTTAGCACAGGCCCCGTATCCCCGTTGGCCTTCCACCCATTGGTTCCAGAGTAGAACAGGACATCCCCGTTATCCTCATCGGTGGCCTCATACCCACTGCCACCCGACGAGATAACCGAGAATGCCCCGACATCTAACTGTCCATAAATGCCCGCAACAGGCGCACCATGGGCTCCATCGCGGCGCACACAAATCTGCAGTGGCCACCATGTGCCTAGGTCGATGCCGTTGTGGCCGAACCGGTTAGCTGGACGTCCTGGGCTCGCCAACTTGGGATACTTCTTGCCGGCTGGAGAGATGTGGTGGATTACTCCTACCACCATCTGCTCGTAAACGGGCATCACCGTCTGATCATCGAGTGGGGGGACGTTCTCATCCTCCCCATCCTCGTGATCAGGGTGTGCCATCACCTCTTCACCATCGGCCTCTTCCTCATCCTCTGGCTCCGGGGTCGGTGCGGGGCCGGCAGTGAGTAACCTCTGTGCCAAATCCCCCTCCTCCCACTTGGCACACAACTCCCTTGCCATCTCCTGCAAGTCCTCCCCGAGAACCGCCGTCTCCGACAGCGCCTTGACGGGAATCATGATCCCGCTCGGCTGAAAGTCCTCTTCCCGGCCATGAAAAGAGTACACACTCAACTTCAACAGAATGTTGATCAAGTTGCTGCGCATCTTTTCAATGGCCTCCCTCTCTCTAGGTGCAGGTAGCATTCGCTCGAGCAGCAGACGGTACCCATTCAGACGCTTGCAAGAAATGGCAGGAGCGCTGGAGGTTGGCGGAGGGATAAAATCCGGCTGATGAGTAGTCGGGGCGGGAAGAGGGGCGGGACGGACACGGGGCGAACGTGCTGAATACGGAACCTGCCGTGCCGAAGCATGGCGGCCGCGACCGACGATCTGGTTGAACGATAGCTTCCTCTTCGGAGCCATGGTTAAAACAGATGCGCGGGATGGTAAGGGTGAAGGTGCTTTCTCGCGTGCGGAGGATATCGTCAGCTTGACGACCTAGAGCCTCGTCCTGTATATGAGACGGTGTGTTAGTTGACGGTGAAGATATCTCGATTCGACTGTAGTACCTACATCAACAGCAGAGTACCAGCAGCCTTTGGCTCCTCAGTAGAGGAGGTTCGATATCGATCGGGTCTGCTAGCAGGTGTTAGTTAATGGTGAAGATATCTCGATTCGACTGTAGTACCTACAACAACAGCAGAGTCCCAGCAGCCTTTGGGCTCCTCAGTAGAGAAGGTTCGATATCGATCGGGTCTGCTAGCAGGTGTTAGTTGATAGTGAAGATATCTCGAATCGATTGTGGCACCTACACAACAGCAGACACCCAACAGACTGTGGTTCTTCAACTTGGGGATATAAAAATCTCCAGGTTCTTGGTAGGGTTCTTGGTATGGGTTTTGGCTGTCACCCCTTCTTAAAGTGCAAGATGCTGATTCTCAGGCAAGAAAGTGAAGGATTCTGATTCTCAGGCAAGAGTGTGAAGGATGCAGATTCTCAGGCAAGAATGTGAAGGATTCTGATTCTCAGGTAAGAGTTTGAAGGATGCAGATTCTCAGGTAATAGTGTGTAGACTGTTGGTTCTCAGGAAGGAGGAGGAGCGAGGAGCGGGGTAGTATTTATAACGGAAGGGGAGGGAGAGCGAGGAGCAGGGAGCGGGGTAGTATTTATACAGGAGGACAACCCCCCCAGTCCATACCTGACTCACTGTTCCCACTGAGTCACAAGTGGGCAGATGTTCTGTCCCTCAAGGTCTACACACCCATCCACCTTTCTCAAACCTAGTGAGTACCCCCTGTGTTGGCCATCCAATTAGAAGGAAGGGCATACACTGGTACTTACCGATGCCCGGATCCGGTAGGTAGGTAGCTGCGTTTCATGCACCTTCTCCGGCAGGATCCGCCCCCGCTGCCCCGATCCCCCTCTGATCTCCCTCTGCTCTCCCACAAGTTCGCTGGACTGCCGTGAAGTGGATTTCAATTGTGGCTGGTGTACCACCATCATAGGTATGCCATCATAGGTATGCCGTCTTGTTTTGACTGGTTTGTGCCGTTCATGCACCTTCAGCGGAGGAACCAGCCCCCTGCTCTCCTCTCCTCTGCCCTGGTCTGCTCTGCTCTCCTCTGCTCTCCTCTGCTCTGCTCTCCTCTGCTCTGCTCTCCTCTGTTCTCCTCTGCTCTCCTCCGCTCCCACACAGGTCCGCTGGGTCCCAGTGGAGAAGATTTCAACTGTGACCAGTTTACTGCAGACAGGTATGCAATCTTGTTCTCACTGTTTCGAGTAGCTCCGTAAAATGTGTGAGTGGCCTTGCCGACTGTGTGAGTTGCTGGACCGACGCTGTGAGTCGCTGAACCGACTGTGAGTTGCTCCGCAAATTATATGACCTCACCATCACTGTCCTGATTCACTCTCGCTCCTGGACTACCCACCTCCCGGCCGACCCGCCCTCGAACAGCCCAAGCACTTGCACTTGAAAGCCATCAAAGGGTGTGCCTGTCTTGTGGGAGGGATGGAGGGTATGCACCAAGAGAGAACATCAATATATTTCTCATGCAGCCTATCTAGACTATGGCGAACCAATGCACTCCTTTTCCTGTCCGCCCGGGCCGGTCAATGTGAAAGCCCCGGTACCGACTAGTTCGATGTGGCGCTGGAGAATATGCACATACACATTATCGATCCATCACATGTACCTATGCCAATGACGAGTGAGATTGTGTGAACATGGGATACATTGGCGAGCTACGTACAATTGCAGAACTGAAGTAATGCAAACAAACAGGAGACTAACTTTCTCTCAGTCACGCGTACTAAAGCGGTTACGACATCATCAAACAAGACAAGAAAGGCAGATAGGTAGGTGAACACATCAACGAACTGGCAAAAAAAAAAGAACATCATACACGTCCCTGGGCGTCCGCGTCCATCCATCCCCTTCCCTCCTTAGCACACACCACTCATGTTCTTCGCAATACAAAACGTTTTATTCGGTCGATTAACTCGTTCGCCTTCGCACTATCGCTACCGCTGCCCCTGTCCCACCTGTCCGTACTTAGAACGCACCGACTTCGTAGTTTTCCTGGTACGGTGTTAGATTATATGCATTAGCGAGAAGCAGCGTGTGAACATACCTCGGAGAAGAAAGTGCACACGACAGTCCTGTCGGCGAACTTCCGGCCGGCGAGGGACTTGAGTGCCGTGGCGGCCGACTCAAGAGTCTCGAAGCGGACGAAAATCTACAATCGACTGATGTCAGTAACACACCCTGAAAATTCAGTGACGATGGGAACAAACCTTTCCGACACCGGCTGTCTGTCTCGAACCGCCACTAGGTCGGGGAACCTTGAGATCCACAAGTTTACCAAACTTATGGCACTCATCCTTGATATCCTCGCAGATTTCTGTAATTCCGATCAGTACTCACTTCCAAATGTAGCAGGAAATGCAGTAACTTACCCTCGTACTCGTCGGGGTCCATCAACTCCTCGGGTGTCACCATGTTGAGCAACTGCAGAACCCTACTCGCTTCCAAGTCGGCACTGGTGGTTCCAGCCATCATCGCCATGGCGTTAACACCCATCTCGACTCCGGCAGCCTGCTTCATTCCAATGGATGCACGCTGAACCCGCAGAGAGCTGTCTCCAAGCTCCATATTATTAAGGCCCTCAACGGCGATGTCGGTAGCCGCGGGATCCTGGTATTCGCAGAAAGCAATGCCCTAAAAATTCAATCCGCAGGCGGAAAGTCCGGGAGGCTTAGGTTAATAACTGTATCCTATTTTGCAAGAATACCTTTGACTTGTAATGTGCGAGCAAAAAGGATTGTAGTTTTCTTGAACGAGGGGCAAAGGGGGGTAAGTCAAAGGTATGTAGTGGTAGGTTAGTATGTAGGGAAAATAATACCTTCGAAACTTCATCTGTGGATTCCTTGACAAGCACAAACGCCTTTAGTTCTCCAAAACTCTTGAGCAGCTCAATCACCTGTTCATCCTGAAGATACTCGGGTATTCTCGATACGAGGATCTTGTTTGGTGTATCCGGAACATTGCTGCTGATCTGGCCGGGCTCAGTCTCAGTGCCATCGTCAACAACGAGCGGCACGATGTAGTCTTTCGGCCGTCTGATCTCCAACTTCGATCCGCCAAACTCGATCCCAGAGAAAGCCAAGCACACTGTAGTATCGAGGGTGTTCTTGAACTCAACCATACCCAACGACTTGTCCGAGTTAAGCTGTACCAGGGTCACAGGATCAGGACCACCTGTAGTGACGTTAAGAGAGGCAAGAAGCTGGTTGAAAAACTGCAGAAGGGTTTCTTCGTCAGTGCCTTGGGGAACGCCGCTGACAAGGAGACGCTTCGCCTGGCGCGAGTTCGTCGGTTTCAGGGCGGAGGCCGTGGCGACGCTGTTTGGCTGCGTCATAAACGCGTGGAGCCTAGTGGGATCCATAGGAGCCTGTCTCGGTGCGCCAGGGAGTGGGAACATGCCTATACAACATTAGATATCATATCAACGCAAACAAGCTACCGATGTCGGAAAACCCACCTGACAGCTTCGCTTGTTCGGAAGTGACATTCTCATAGCCCTGAGGCTTGATATCCCACATGGTCATCCGCCTCTTCCTTTCGGTGATGGGCGCTACATCAGTCAAGTCGGGGGTAGGCTCCTTTCTCTTCGGTGGCGGGGTAGCCGAACGTCTGCGAGAAAACGGATCCCTCGCACCCCGCGGGTCCTCGTGTCTGCCACTACGGTCACCACGTCTGTCACCACCACCACCCCCGCGTCTACGGTCTCCGCGCTCGCGCTCGAACTCCCTGTCGCCGCCCCTGTCACCTCTGTCGCGTCCTCCGTATCGGTCGTCACGCTCCCTGTATCTATCGCGATCTCCACCAGTAGCGGCAGGAGGGGCATCGCCTCCATAGAACTCCTCGCGTCGGGATCTGCGGTGGCCAGGAGACCGGGTGCGTTCGCGACGGCGGTCCCCACGATCTCCACGGTCTCCACGGTCTCCGCGTTCAGGGCGCTCGGTGCGTTCGGGGCGTTCGGGGCGTTCGGGGCGTTCGGTGCGTTCGGTGCGTTCGGGGCGCTCGTGGTGGTCCCCCCTGTCCCTGTCCCTGCGACGATCAGAAGTCTGCGGACGTATGTCAGCCATCGCTCTATTCAGAGATTTCGGGTGCGGCAACGTACGTGGTATTCACGGGTGGACGAGTGACCGCCGTATCTGTCTGAACGCCGGCGCCGCAATTAGCATACGGTCTCAGACATTGCCAAAGAACAGACTTACCACCGCCCCTCGAAGAGTAGCTATCGCCGTTCATGGTGGGTTATTTGTAGTTGTAGCTAGGTGTCAATCTCTGCGTGTTTAGATGACGGCGCCTCCCTGAATCAAGTCGATATTGCGCTGTATAAATGAGCAGAAGAGATCGCGCGAGATGGCTGCTGTGAAGATTCCCTGCGGCAGAAGAGACCGTAACGAGATTTTCGATGCGGCGAATAATTTTGGGGGTGTTGATTGCGATGGAATCGGGTGGATGGGTGGTGACTCGCGATCGAAGGGGGAATCGCGCGCTTCAAAAGATGAGAATGAGTTCGCGTTCCCTGGTTGAGTCGCCGGGTAAATTTTATCCGCACTGCTTACGTCCGAGAGTAGCGCTCTACGTAACAACAGTAACACCCAACTATCCCACGAAAAAAAAGTCTCGGACAGAGAAGAAGAACCCAAAGAAACACTGAAAACTGAAGTCAATTACTTCCGGAATGGCCACCAGATCTCTCTACCGGACAGCTGCTTCGAGGCGTTTGCTGGCAGTCTCACCTCGGTTCTACTCCGCCTCTCAGGGCCCTCGCGACGGCTCCAATAACAGCAACGCCGCCGATAAAGAAACACATTTTGGCTTCCAAACTGTGAAAGAATCGCTAAAGGCTAGCAAAGGTGATTATTTTTTTGTCGGACTGTCGTCCTTGCTTCTCACGCTGTGTTTGCAGTCCACGATGTCTTCTCCTCAGTCGCCGCCTCCTACGACACTATGAACGACGTCATGTCCTTCGGAGTCCACCGTCTCTGGAAGGACCACTTCGTCCGCTCGCTCGACCCCGGCCGCAAGCCCGGTGGTCAATCACTCAAAATTCTCGATGTAGCCGGCGGAACAGGCGACATCGCCTTCCGCATGCTCGACAACGCGGCCAAGGTCCACCACGATTTCGAGACGTCGGTAGTAGTCGCCGACATCAACGGGGACATGTTGCGGGAGGGCGAGAAGCGCGCCTTGGCCGCCGGATACCTCCCATCCAACCGCATCTCGTTCAAGGTCGAGGACGCAGAGACGCTCAGCACCATTCCGAGCAATTCGGTCGATCTGTACACCATCTCCTTTGGTATCCGGAATGTCACTCGCATCCAGGAGGCATTGAAGAGTGCCCACAGGGTGCTTAAGCCTGGTGGTGTATTTGCGTGCATGGAGTTCTCGAAGGTGTCGCCGGCGCCGTTGGAGGCCATTTACCAGCAGTACTCGTTTAGTGTTATTCCGTTGATGGGACAGCTTGTTGCTGGAGATCGGGACAGCTACCAGTACCTGGTTGAGTCCATCAAGCGGTTCCCTTCGCAACAGGAGTTTGCCCAGATGATCAGGGATGCTGGGTTCCTGACGGCAGGACGGGGCTACGATGAGTTGACTTTTGGTGTGGCAAGCATCTGGAAGGGCATCAAGCCGTTGGAGGCGAAGAATTGATTTGATGACTGGCTGTATGTGGGATGATCAACGGGGAATATCATTTGTACTATAGAGCATGGGATATGCGTGGCGCATCTTCTGGGTTTCTTGCTTCTTGTTCGGATTAAAAGTCGGTAGATGGATGGGAAAGACGGGCTTGTACTGATACCCCGATGAAATCCTGATGGTACACAGCATCAAGGTACAAACGAAAGCAAAAAAGCGATGCTATAATACACGTCAAACGTCCCAATCCTTCTTCACCTATCCAATCCGGTTGCCCAAGTACGTTGCGCTGACTGGCATCCGTCCACCCGTCAATGCACCTCCCACCTCCAGGATCACATTGTCGCTATCGTCGATATTCAATCCCTCTCCCTTGCTGATTCTATCCTTCTGCACCAGCATCTCCCTGACCGTCGGCGGCCTCGTAGCTGGAGAACCTATCTTCAGATCCATATCCTTGAACTTCTCATCGATAGCTTTATCCAGCTGTGCTTCGGTGAGGATGAAATCGCCGGCGCTCATGTACAATTCATGTACCATGCTTTGCCGCTCCGCGCTCCGCTCCTTCAAAATTTGCTTCCTCCTCGCGCTCATCTCCCTCAGCCTCTCCTCCCTCCTCGGATCTGGCAATCCCTTCTCCTGCAGTCTGGTCGTGCTAAGCACACTCGGCAGGGTGAGCCTAACATCGTTCCTGAGCGCCTTCTCCAGCGCCTGATCGCGCAGCACACTCCTGGCCTTGAAAGCGGTCGCGCGCTTCTCCTCGTAGTGCTCCTTCCTCTCCTTAATCTCGTGCAATCCCTCGCGCAGATTACTCCTGCGCTTCGTGGCCATAGCCGCCTGCCACTCCTGGAACGCCCGCGTCTCAGAATCCGACGGCGTGGCGCGAGTCGTCCGCGGCTTCGGGATCGTCTTTTTCAGGTATGCGGCCGTGCCCTTGTCCGGCCGGGTCTCGGGGAAGATGGTTCGTGGCACCGGGAGGATTCCTTTGGGTCTGAACGGGATGACGACTCTGGGGAGGTGGGCGCGAGGGACTTCGATGAACTGGGGCGACTCGGGCCCCACGAGACGCCGCGGGGTCGTCGAGAACGTTCGCCGGAGGACTTGTGGGAGCATCGTGACGGTTTGGGTGGCAGACAGCTTGGTGGGGCGGTGAACGTGGAAAAGTTTGGGTTGGATTGTACTAGGCTTGGCGGGGGGGGGTTACCCGACAGATTTGCGGGTGAGTGGCTGTGAGGATGACAGTTGTAGATCGATCATCGGGGAGAGATACTCCCTAGGACTAGTACGGTATCTATCGTTATCTCCAACGTTACGAGTGATATCATGACGAGCGGCTGAAAGAGCCGCCACCTCGCTGCTCCAGAAACAAAGAGGAGGATTCGGGTGTCGCCACGAGCCTTGCTTTGCTCAACCCCGTAAGCGCTGTCGTCAGAAGAATTCAAACGATTCCTTTTTATGCGAGACGTGTGTCACATGATTTCACCTGAAGCCAAGCAACCGCCTAAACCCGAGTTCCAGTTCCATAACTTTACCTGACCATACCTGAAGCAAGTCGTCACCTCAGACAACAGCTGCCGTCGAAATATCCTCACCTTATCCCTTCACCATCACCACAACCGCAACTCCCAAACCAATCTACGAGCCACCCTCCTGTACACAAATAAACAAAAGAACAACACCCTCTCGCTTATCACGAGCTCTAGCACCTAGCCCACCGCCACACCACAACAACCACCACAACAACCACATACCAACCGTCTACCTATCCGCGATGGCGTCCTCAGAAGGCGGAGCTCCTAAGCCCAGCAGCAGCGTCAAGCTCGTGCTTCTCGGAGAAGCTGCCGTCGGAAAGGTTAGTTCTATCCCCTTGCCCTCCCTCCGCCAGCCCCCGTCGTCAGCTCATCGGCTATGGCGGGGGATCAGCTCATCGCGTGCCGATGTGTACAGTAGGATAGACAGCTTACATATGTTCCGTGCACACAGTCCTCGCTGGTTCTGCGGTTCGTCAACGATGACTTCCAAGAGAATAAGGAGCCCACGATTGGCGGTATGTTCATATCCCCACGCGGTGGTAAGATAGGATGGGGAAATACTAACTTACCACCACCATACAGCCGCGTTCTTGACACAAAAATGTAGCCTGCCAACCCGCACCATCAAGTTTGAAATCTGGTAGCTATCCCGTGGCTGCTCACTCTACTACGGTGGGACCCAACTGATGCGCGACACCTAGGGATACCGCTGGTCAGGAACGTTTCGCCTCATTGGCACCGATGTACTACCGCAACGCGCAGAGCGCCCTGGTAGTCTACGACATCACAAAGCCGTCCTCCTTGACGAAGGCGAAGCACTGGGTGGCAGAGCTTCAGCGCCAGGCCAGCCCCGGCATCGTGATCGCGCTCGTGGGAAACAAGTTGGATCTCGCGGGTGCCGTGCAGGACTCCAACGAGGAGGACGACGCTGAGGACCAACGCGCGATCTCTACCGCAGAGGCGAAGGCGTATGCCGAGGAGGAGAGCCTGCTGTTTTACGAGACCTCCGCCAAATCCGGAGAGAATGTTCAGGCTGTCTTCGAGGCGATTGCTAATGCTATTCCCGAGAGCACGTTGAAGCCTAGAGGACCGGGACACGGTGGTGCTGCGAGGGGTGGCGAGGCGGCGCCAGTCGTCAACATTGAGGGCGCGCATACAGGAGCAAAGGAGGGTTGTGCTTGTTAGCTGGGGATTCGGGTGTCTATGCCCAGTGCGAACAACGTACGAATCTTTCATTCTTCTTTATGTATGTCTCTGATTGCACCTCGTAAAATCGAGTTGCTCGTAAATGGGTTGGCGCGGAGGGGTTAACTCGGGTTTCTTTTCCTTTGCTATTTTGATAGGTTGTGTTCTTCCCTCCCTTCTTCTCGTCCTATGTGTTTTTTAAACTCACCCCCTGTTGTTTCTGTATGTTGTGCTGTATTTGCGGAATTGAAATGGTCATATCTGTAGGTACTCTACGTCTCTCCCAGCGGTGCATGCAGTCAGCCGCGGGGCCGTTTGATCGCCGCCACCGCCTCGCTCGCCTCAAGCTTCCGTGACGTCACCACGTCATGTCCACAACCTTCACCTACAACCTTCATTCAAAACTTCTCCCTCCCCAACGTAAAAACTATGTGAACCCGCCATCTGTCTCCTCCCCTCCCCCCCCCCCCCCCCCCACCAAATCTTCACAGCAAGTAACAACCAACAAATATGTCTTCCCCACCAGCTACCACGGGCGAAACCATCGACGGCGTCACGCCCTCGACCACCATCGTCGAGCCGCCGACCAAAACAATCGTCACCACAACGACGACCGCCGCCGCCCCACCGGCTCCGACGCCCTCGCCGCCGCCCTCGCGTTCAGACTCCGACTCACCACCTGCTCCGCAGCCGGGCGCGGTCCCGCGCCTCCCCATCCGCACCGCCATACCGCAGGCGATACAAACCTCGATGCCCACGCCGTACGCGAGCAGTCCGACAGTGATGACGCCGCCGACGCCGGGTGAGTACGTGCAGGACACCAATGCGATGGGCGTGAAAAACGGTAATGACACCGCGTTCTATGGGAGTGAGCCGGGCATCGTCAGGTTTGCGGGCGATCGCGAGTATGATGGCGAGGAAGAGGGCTGGTTGAAGTGGTTCACGGAGCTAGTCGATGGCGTCAACGAGACGGTGCTGGGATGGTTCGGTGGCGATGCGGGTGGTGGAGGTCGTTGAGCTAGGGACCGTGGAGGGGTGGAATCTGGGTGTTGTTGATCTGTGGCGTGAATGCTCCTGTGTCTTGCCTTGCTGCGTCACTCGGAGCGTGATGCGCGATGCGCTTTACGTGTTCTTTCTTGGTGTGCTCTTGATGGGCTTTTCTCTATATGGGATTATAATTCATGTTCAACGAACGAGCTACCTACCATTTGGATCTGTCTCCACTAACTTATGGAGAAACGTGATGGGAAGACTGCATGGGTGATCACTCGCATCAATCCGTCATCTTGGTGGAAACATTCTCCCAGACTAGACCCTCGTAGAGATGTGTGTATTCGAGCGTGCGCTCCCTAGACCGTCGTCTATACCATATGGCCCAGTGGATGAGATACTACGGTATCAGATCCAGTCCGTTGAACGTTGCACCACCCCAGGACCAACTGTCTATGAGGTATGTATGTACTGCACCGAGAAATTCTGCAGGTTGGCCATGTAAAACACTCGGCACCGTCGTACACACCTGAGGGCGTGGTGGAGACCGACGGTGCAAGAAATAAGCGAGCCCGGCCGACACATTTTGATGAATGATTGGTCGTAGTTACAGCACTGTAGGTACATAACGACTTGGTATCTGGCAGGGGCTCGTGCTTGTGTTCAGGTTCAACACCTTCAGAAGAAATGCCTACTCTGTCCCCTCATTTTCCCCACTTGAGCTGATAATCGCCACGGAAGACGTCAAATCTGCACTCGACGATTGCAAATATACCAGCCTCGGAAATAACTGCTCTTTCCTCTTTATAACAGTACCTCTATCGCACGAAAATGCCTAAGCGACCAGGCGACGACCTTCCAACTCGTGCGCTGCGACCGAGCAGCCGCCAAAGACTATCTTCATCCCCAGCGGAAATAACCATACAGCAGGCGCCGGACGACGGGTCTCGTTCGGTGCTCAATGTTCCTGCACTTCGTAATGGATCTCAAAGGCGTCCGACTAAATCACCTAAACCTCACAGTGCGGGGGAGGTTTCATCGTTCGAGGATCCAAGTACCGGAGGTTCAGGTAGGATCGAGGTGCCTATCATCGATTGCTCCACGGATGCGGTGTCACCCTCTACGAAACCAACAGAGCCCCAAAGTGCCGACACTGTGACAGAAGTATCTTCGGTTGGGAAACAATACATGGTCAGTTCGGCTGCTGCGACTGAGGCCGTCGATTGCCGCGCACGCACAGCGCCCAAGTGTTTTCGGATATCTGGAGTCCCGCGAGATTGGAGTGAGGATGATTTACAAGCTGTTCTTTATACCATCGACCCGCCTTTGAAAGAAGATCTGGACCACGAACTGTCGATTTATCCAGCGTGTTGCGGCTCCACTAAAACCGCGTTGCTGAACCTGGACACTCTTACTCAATACTTCCGAGGGATTGAAGGGGATACAACGAAGCATGAGCGGGTTCGGAGGACGGGGGTCAAGGCGAAGATATTCCTTACGATCGACTGTCATTCCTACGACTTTACGCCTTTAAACACGCCCAGCGGAAAAATTATTGCCGAGTTGATGCACCTTTCCCTCCAGCTTCATCCTCGTTGAGACGTTAAAATCGGGTTCACTCTAGTGTAGTTGCTGTGACTGGCCTGGCGGGCCATGCGTTTGGATCCTGGCGCAGCCGCGAAACCCACCAAATGTGGTTGAAAGACTTCTTGCCCCAAGATATCATCAACATCAGAATTATGACCTATGGTTACGACAGCCGCCTAGCCGGGCAGCCGACATCCTCCATGAAAATTTGTGACTACAAAAGCCACTTCCTCCAACAGCTCAAGAATTTTAGACCGAACGCCGAGGTACGTCAATATACTTACCTATGTAGTTTTTAATCTGTCTTGTGGGCCTACGTTGGCTGATGATTGATGTGCTTGCCTGTCATCAGCACCGACCAATAATATTTCTGGGGCACAGTTTAGGGGGTATCTTGATTCTTCAGGCAAATCCAGCTACTTTGCCAGATACTTTCGTTCTCATCTCAGATTGCGATTCCAGGCATTGGTCGAGTCCAACCGCAATCCACATCACAGGTCCATTCTAGACGCCACCCAAGGAATATTCTTTTTTGGGACGCCACATCAAGGACTTCGGACCGAAGAATTAGAGACAATGGTTGGTTCGAACACGCAAGCAGCGAACTTCCTGGCACAGCTGAAGCAAGGCTCGGACTTCCTAATTAACCAAAAAGAGGATCTTCTGCACATATGTAAAAGGTTTAAACGAACAATCATCAGCTTTCACGAAACGGTGGAAACGTCTACGGTTAAGAGGGTGAATTGCGAATGTTTTGCCCCTTCCAGGGCTGATTACTTACTGATTCTATGTAGTCTGAATCCGGGAAATTCACTAGAGATGGTGAAAAGGCCATGATGGTCCAGGGATATTCTGCTCAATTATTCCTACCGTTAGAACATCGGCTTCCGGTAAACAAAAACCATACGGATATAGTAAAGTTTGACCCCCATGTCGATTTAACGTATCAATCTGTGGTTCACCACATGAACGCCTGCATTGGTGAGTTATCAAACTTCTGTACGGCTCCGCACGTTGGTAATCAACTATCAAGTCCGTTAGCTTTCGTCATAGTCTAGATAGGCTGCATGTGAAATAAACTGAAGATCTCTCTCTCTCTCAAGTTCGTTGGTGAGGCACAGCCTCCATCGCTTCATAAATAATAGAACGCATGATTATCCCTTCCCCCCCATCCTCCCTAACTACTACTGCTATCACCTACCACTATCCGAGGTTTTCCTCTATGCCCTAAAGCTCACCACTGCTGGGGGAACCCGCCAGAAACAACTCCTCCGCGACCCTCCTTCCACTCTATACGCTACCCCCCTCCCCACTCCCACTCCCGATCTCACTCCCCCGCTCCCGGCCTCCTTCCCGCCCCAACTTTCCTCATACTCCCACTTCTCTTCCACATCCTCGCTCGTCCATGCTGATTCACTAAAACCGAACATCATGTGATGAGCTGTTTCTGGAATGTTCCAGAACTTTGAGGTGTTACTCAAAATGTGGAATCTATATCCTTTCTTGTTCACATCAGTCAAACTATGCACTGTACACGTGAAGTTATTCTTATTGGTATCGTGAAGAGAGCCAGTGCCCAACTGACATCTTTGAAGGCAGGCCCTGCGCTCTAGGAATTCTCCGGTCTCGGATAGACAGTATCAAGCTGGAAGATTTGCTGCAATTTTTGCCATTTGCGGTCGGTCAAGCAAAACATGGGTCCAACTTCCCATCCACCATTACTAGTCAACCGGAGTTTTATTGGATTTTCAAAAACATCGATTTCGAAACATGGATCAACGGTAAACGTTCTATTCCGGTACTATGGTTGATTGCACCATTTCAACGCCGCCTTGATCAAGCTGCATCATATATTGCGGACTTTGAAGGAAAGAGACTTTCTGGCGCACATTCTACAGTCCTATACTTTTCATGCCGCTCTACCACCGAACCATCGATGACCACCCTCTTTATCTACACTTTCCTCCACCAGATATTTTGCTGCACACCACATCCTAAGAAAGAGTTGGCTGCTGTTTTCTTTACTACCCTCCTCATCCAACTTCTCGGAAGGCAAAACCAACCTCACTTTCCAAAAGACTGGGAGAATGGAGACGTCAATGACCCCGATTTCCTGAAAGAACTCCTTGAAGCCAGGACCGACCATGAACAACTTAATGCTCTATCAGCAGTTTTAGCAGCCGAACATTCATCAGACATTTCCATCATTATCAACGGCGCTCGCATGTCAGTGGAATCCCAAGGCAGCGATACGAAATGGATGCAGTTCATCACAGGAATTGCTTCATTTGTTGCACAGTTGCAGAAACAGGAGGAGGGCCGGGTGAAAATCAAACTTCTCATTACAGTCCGGCAAGATGGGGATCTTGGCCCTGTGCCTGCACAATTCCTCACAAGCAACCCACGGCGTGAAATTTCATGGTGCGGGCTCCAGGCGCTGGGCATTGCGCACGACTCGGAAAGGAAAGGTCCAATTGCGTCCCATTCACTCTGATACACCATTATGCTGACCAGGTGTACATGGATGGCAGAATGTCTGAATGTTCTCCGATTTCATAACACACGCTATCAGAAGATCGTTAGAGAGCATCAAGGGTCCTTGGAATGGCTCTGGAGCCATGAGAAGTACCAGAACTGGTCGTTTTCCGATAATTCCAGCATTCTATATATTATGGGAAAGCCCGGCAGCGGAAAAAGCACTCTCGTCAAGTATTTCAGGGAAAACCTCCGAGACCGCGAGCCACTGACGCAGTCGGCATGTTTCGCCTCCTTCTTTTACAGTTTCAGGGACGGGGAATACCAAACGAGTCACTACAGCATGCTTCGATCTATCCTTTACGATGTCCTAAATCAAAATGAGTCTTTTTTTTACCATTTCCAGCGAGAGTTCCATATGTACCAGGACATGAAGGATGGTCGGAGCGAAGAACACCGCACGGGATGGCCTTATGAGTCTTTGAAGCAGATAACTCTTTCTTTGGGTGATCATCCGAGGACGGCGGAACGAAGTTACTTTATCATCGATGCGATTGATCAGTCTGATGAGGATGATAGACGCAGGATCATTGAGTTATTCGGCGAACTCTGTTCCAAGAAAGCTTGCATCGTGAAGGTCTTTTTCGGAAGCCGCCCAATTGCAACGCTCGACCGATATATCAACTCACCCGAAGTCATATGGATGCAAGTCATGAATAAAGAGGACATCCGCGCTTTCGTGGATTCTTTCCTGGGCCCAAATCTGGGGTTCTCCGATGATATTCTTTCCAGGGCCACCGAGTATATCATCGAAAACGCGCATGGAGTATTCCTGTGGATCCGCTTGATTAAAGAAGAACTTCTCGGATACTCAACTACAGGTTGCTCCAAAGGGTCTATCTTCCGCTTCTTGAAGAGGCTTCTAACAGAACTGGAAGGGCTTTATGAAAGAATGCTCGGTGAATTAGAAGGAGGTTCGTGTCAGGACATTACAGATGGAATAAAGATGTTCCGATTTGTCCTATTCGGCCGTCAGCCGCCTACTATTCTAGAACTACAGCATGTACTTGCTATTCCAGACGGTCCGAATGATGGTGTCACTGAAGAATCCTTCCAAGATGATCTGGTTATTTGTATGGACAAGAGAATATTTCACTGCGGACGTAACTTTTTGGAAATCAAGGGTCGCGGCGATGGTAATTACCCTATTCTACTTCTCCTACGCCTTGAGAGGCCTTCTGTAGGCTTGACTGACAATATGAATAGAAGCCAGTGTCCAAGTCATGCACCAAACCGTCCGTGATTTTCTCCTTCGGCCGGACGGGTCCGCAGCAGCATCAAGATTCAAGATCCAAGTAAACGGCAATCATACCTGGATATGCACTATCTGTATTCGATACCTCATTCCCTTTGCCGCATATACGACGCCGAAGGCCAACTCAACGGACATAGGACCTGGGTTTTGGGAGCTAGAGCACTTCGAGAAGTATGTTCAATATCTAGAAGGGCGGCCACTCATCAATTACAGACTGAGCTTTCTGCCGATCCACATGCAAAAGACAAATGGCTATTGTGCCTCAGAAGAATGCTCGCGGCTGGTTTCCATGCTTGTTGGTTACATGGCTCCCGAGAACCCCGCAACCTACCTCATAGGCGACTGGATTTGCACCGTCTTTGCTAGAGCCAAACTACATGAGGCCAATGAAGATCATTTCCGGGACCAACTGCTATAGGTTGCGGCTACCACTGGATCCCATTTAGCAACCAAAACGGCGTTATTGGTTGGTGCCTCAGCAAACTCCCAACGGCAAGGAAAAACGATCTTGATAGCTGCTTCCGAGTATGGACACGAATCTACCGCCCGGTTGCTTCTCGACCGAGGAGCTAACATCGAGCCACCCGAATATCGATGCACAGCGCTACACTCAGCCGCAAAAAATGGACATGATTCGGCCGTCCAGTTGCTCCTCGGTCGGGAGCTAATATTGAAGCCAAGACCGCCGATAACGGCGATACAGCGCTATTTATGGCCGTCCGACATGGATACGAACCTACTGTGCGGTTGCTTCTCGACCACGGAGCCAATATCAAAGGACAGAACCAACAGGGCGATACACCGCTACTTTTGGCCGCCTGCTATAGACACGAATCTACTGTGCGGTTGCTTCTCGACCACGGGGCCAAAATCAAAGGACAGAAGCGAAATGGCGATACAGCGCTACTTTTAGCAACCCGATCTAGACACGAATCTACTGTCCGGCTACTCCTCGAGCAAGAGCCGATGTTTGATGCCAAAGATGAATTTTGGACACACAGCCAGAACTCCGAAAGCAGTGCCTGGAATCTATAGCTCAAAGTGCTCGTCCACTCTGCGGTATGTGTTTAGTAACTTCATGTGTATCTATCTAATAAGTGGTGGGAACGTCTGTTCACGTTTCGGTATGGTTCAGCGAGGAGGAGGAGGAGGAGGAGGAGGAGGAGAAGGGGGGGAGACGGCAAAGCGGAGTATTTTCCTTAGGCATAGATCTTTGGGCGGTGTTGTGCTTTCTTGCTTTCCTTTGTTTGTTTGGATTGTGCCTACCTATTTCATTGTGTAGCTGCAGGTTTTGAGTGTTTTTGTTTTCCCGTGGTCCAGTTCTGGTGGCGGTGGGATGAAAGTACAGGAGCATATTGGCGTTGGCGTTGGCTTTGGGTTATCTAGGTAACATGGAGTTCATAAGACAATGTAGTGTGATTTAAGGGGTTTGAAACAGTTCGGATCCATCAAGTACGGTGGAGGTAAATATATGATATGTTGGGCAATGGTGACCCCTCGGGATATGTATTGGACTGAACGCTCGCCTAGGTATTAGTATATCCATCCCCCCGTGATTTTACCGCGGACAGACGCATGTAAGCGTCTCGGTCATGTTCATGTTTGGATTGGAACGACAGACGCCGACTAACTACCGTTTACAAACCTCCTGGAGGATCCGAGGATGCGTACGGTACTCCCCAACCCGCTCGGTATGCTGATGCTCTGCCAGGATAGTTGCCGTACGCGGCTTACGGTACGTCGTCGGAGTTCGTCCTCCAAGATGGGGGTGATCCACGGTCCACGATACGTAGAACTCGAATGTTGGGGGACGATGGCGTGGTTCGCACATAGGTAATATATTTACCGATTGTTATGTATTGTACCACCTACGAGAGCAGATGACAATTTGACCAGCATATGTGCAGCGGAACGTTCAGCCACACCACGGCCGTCGACAGATCCACAGGGCAAAGTCTATGTATGTGCATACGGTACACGACGATCCGCCGAACCCGCCACCCTTCCTTCCGCTGCCACTTCCGCTTCTCAGTGATTTGGAATTCCTCAACATCTGGTATGTATCCATGTACCTACCACATACTCGACGTACGCACGTACGAGGCAAACACCTATCCACTGGCACATGCCGGTAGTATGTACCCAGAGTAGGTACTCCGCCATATGCTCGGATGGGAGATATACCGACAAACCGGTCGAGTCGTATTTACTAGGTAGTAATATCTACTACTTTAGCCTTACCACACAGCACTGCACTGCACAGCCCCAGTGCCCCACTCCCTCACTCGCTCACTCACTCCCTCGTCCGGTCCGGACAGACAGACAGACATGCGACATGCGACATGCGTCATGCAACCAACCCCGCCAATCCAATCGCATGCCCCGCCCCCACTACCACCACTACCCACCATCCACCATCCACCCAGCATCCGTCCGTCAAACCACGGCGCTGCTCCGACGCCCACACCCACTTCCACGGTCCACCCTGTGTTCGCACAGAGGAGTTTGAGTTCGCAACAGAATTCGCAGGTTCGCAACAGAATTCGCAAGTTCGCAACAGAATTCGCAAGTTCGCAACAGAATTCGCAGAGTTTGCAGGAACTCACTTCATTTCTGTCGCGGCCTTGGGTCCCTAGGGCGGAGGGGGGATCAGTTCGTTACGTGCATACTTTCTACCACGCAGCCTCCTCCTCCTCCCCGCACACACACAAAGGATTCTGGAAGCAAGCTGTGCTATGTATGCTCTACAAGCACAGTATGAAATACGATGCGATCCGACCCCGTGGGTGCATCTGTATGGACAGTGGACGATGGCTTTACCGCTCCATGTATGATGTAGGTGCTCTAGAAGCACATGTTTCGCTTGCTCCAGCCGTGTGGACACTGGATAGGCGGGTTGGTGGGTGGGCTCTGGCGGGTGGGGTGGGTGGGGCGACTGTGACTCGGAGGCCCAATGTCAGGCAGCCAGTCTACCCTACTTCGACTCCCCCGACTGCCTTCGTATCCCCCTCTCCTAGAGACGGAAAAGCTGAGGATTAAAACTGGAAAGGTATGTGTCCGTGAGTCTATGGGCAGTGTTATGTAGGGTATATGTACCTAATGGAGATCGCTGCCTTGCCCTGCCTTGCCCTGCCTGATGGATGAGGGAACACAGACTCCAGACTCCAGAGTCCAAACGAGTACCCAAGTACCCAGGTACCCACCTGTGCCGTGTGTCGTATGCCTGTGCATGCGCGCAGTCGAAAGCTGGAAGCTGGGTAGCTAGAAACAAGCGAAGGCTGCGGAGGCTGCGAAGCGGGGCATTCCCAGGCCCCAAGCTCCAGGCCCCAGGCTCCGGGCTGCCAGGCTGCCAGATCCTCCAGATCCTCCAGGTCCTCCTGCGGCGAATCCGGGATGGCCCATGGGAGCCGGCGCGGTACCGTATAGCCAGTTATGTAGCTAGTGGAGGCTGACTGCGCACTCCCGTATCATACTCGTACTGTCGTACATACAGGTACTCTACATATGTTTCTTCAGAAACGAGCGCCACCAAGGCCACCAAGTCCACCCCTCACAACTCACGAGTCACGAAACCGCCGGATTCTTTTATCGAATGTCAAATGAATGAATGAACTTCGGAATCAATCGTAATAAACTTTGTTTTGTTTTGTCCGAGTACCGTAGAAGTATCCATAGAAGTATAGAGTAACTTGCACCATTCAACCTCCCGCCTCCCGCCCCATTCAGCCTTCCCACCTCCCACCTCATTCATCGTGCCCATATGAAAGTATAAGGTGAAAAGAAAAAATAAAACGTATCACAAACTATGTGAAAAAAAAATCTAAAGTAGCATAGCATGAAACCCATCTCCCCGTTAAAAGATCAAAAAAAAGACAAGCATAAAAGCAAAAAATATGGCCCCGTAAAGACCCCCCAACCTATCCTATCATATCCCCAATTTCCCCACCCCAGTTTGCCTAGTTACAGTGCAACACAACATATCATAACTATCCCCCAACCCAAAGTAAACAGTAAAAAGTAAAATAAAAAAACATCACGATATAACGCCCCAACGGGTTACCTAATATGTAGATAGAACCCTAAATGCAGGAAAGAACCACCAAGTGTGTATGCCGAATAGATAGGAGAAAGGAAACGGAAAAAAGATACAGGGTAACAAGGTATACAATACAGAAAGAAGAAAAATCAAACGTTAGGTGGTGGTGGGAGTGGCAGTGGTCTCCTCGTCCGACACGACCTTGGTCTTGCTCCTGAACGAGAGCGCTCTGCGCATGCTCTGGTAGCCGCGGATAGTGGCATTGACGGGGGGACCAAAGATGGCAACAGACCTGTCCCACATGCGACCGACGAACTCGTCGGGCACGCAGCGGATCAGGACAGCCCAGGGCAGACAGAAGAGGGAGACGACGACGGAGACGGCCCACTGGGGTCCGTTGATGGACTCGATGCTGAACGCCTGCCCGCCGATGAAGATGATCATGATCTGACCGCCAACCATCACGCAGTTGATGCCCATGAAGAAGTAGTTCTTGGTAATGCCCTCGAAGATGTTGAACTTGTTGTCGAGACGACGGTTGTTGAACTCGTTGAAGATCTGCATCCACACGAACGCGTTGAAGACGACGGTGTCGAGCTGCTTCTGCGTCCAGGTCGGGAAGATGTCCTTGCCCGCGAAGTGGAGGATGAAGGTGATGATCAGCTGGAAGATCGCCTGTCCGATGATCATCTTCCACATGTTGAGGGAGACCAGGGGAGCAGATTTCGGCGACGGCTTGCGGTCGAGAATCGCAGGAGTGGGTGCGTCGGTGGCCAGGGCGAGAGCAGCGAAGGTGTCCATGATGAGGTTGACCCACAGCAGCTGAACCGCGGTAAGGACCGACGATCCATCGGCGGAAGAAACAGCGGAGACGAAGGTGAGCAGGACAGCGGTGATGTTGACGGTCAGCTGGAACTGCAAGAACTTCTGGACAGCATCGTTGACGGCACGGCCCCACATGAGAGCCTTGATGATCGAAGCAAAGTTGTCGTCCATGAGGATGATGGAAGAAGCTTCCTTGGCAACCTCGGTACCAGCGATACCCATCGAGAAACCTACATCGGCCATCTTGAGAGCGGGGCCATCGTTGGTTCCGTCACCGGTGACAGCCACGGTCTCTCCGAGCTCCTTGAGACGGCGAACGAGAATGCGCTTGTCTTCGGGCGACGAACGAGCGAGAACCTGGAGCTTGGGAAGGATCTGATCCATCTCGGGCTCGGTGAGCAAGCGGAACTTGGGTCCTTCCATGACGATTCCTCCCTCGGTGAAGATTCCACACTCGCTAGCGATGGCCTGAGCAGTCACGACGTTGTCACCGGTAACCATCCTGACCACGACACCGGCGTTCTGGCACTGCTTGACGGCTTCGGTGACACCGGGACGGAGAGGGTCCATGATACCGACGATACCGAGGAAAATCATCTCTTTGAAGATGTCATCGAAGTTGGCGTGGCGGGGATCATCCTCGAGAGTCATCGCACCGGCAGGAGGCCACTGCGGGTAGTCCTTGTACAGCATACCGATGGTGCGGAGCGAGCGCTCAGCGTAGAAGTTGATGGTGTCATTGAGCTCCTTGATGTCTCCAGCGGAGAGCTCAACCTTGGAGAGTTCGTTGGAGGTGACATCGGCCAATCTGTGAGTGGCCTTGGCGAGGAGGATCTCGGATGCACCCTTAACCATGAGTCTGTAGACACCGTTCGAGAGCTTGACAACGACACCCATGCACTTACGTCCAGAGTCGAAGGGGATCATCTGGACAACATTGGCGGAAGACCGCTCGGAGTCGAGCGAACCCATACCGAGGAAATCGCGGGCGAAGGACAACATTGCGGTCTCGGTCTTGGAGCCAATGAAAGTAGCAACACCATCCTCCTCTCCATCGAAAGCGGTCGAGTTGATGGCGATGCTCTTGAGGAGAAGATCCTTCAGGGGTGCCGAGAAGGAAGTGACGACCTGGGCGGGGGTGGACGAGTTGTCGGGGCTAGCCATGAACTTGGCGTCCTTCGAGATTGTTCCGGCGACGACGGTCATCTTGTTCTGGGTCAGAGTACCGGTCTTGTCGGAGCAGACGGTTGTCGCGTTGCCCATAGTCTCGCAAGCACGAAGAACACGAACGAGGTTGTTCTCCTTGAGCATGCGAGTAGTAGCGAAGGCCAAAGCCAGGGTGACAGCGAGAGGAAGACCCTCGGGAATGGCGACGACGATAAGGGTGATGGCGACGATGAGAATATCCAGGAAAGCCGATCCCTTCAGGGCCGGAGTCCGGTTATCGTTGGGGAGACCGGCGCAGAAGCGGAAGAACAGGACAGCGAAGAGCAGCAGAGCGGCGCCTCCACCCAAGTACGCGATAGCATCCGCCATACGGCCGAGCTTGGCCTGGAGGGGAGTCTGGTCGACTTCTTGGTGGAGCGACATCATGAGTTTACCGAAAGAAGAGTTGACACCGGTAGACGTGACGACGTACGTGCCGACACCCTCCAAGACCTTAGAACCAGAGATCATGAAGGGATCGAGCTTTTGGCTCGCAGTACCGTTCTGCAGGCGCCTGAAGACCTCCTCACCGGCGGTCTTCTTCATCTGGTCGGATTCTCCGGTGGCTGAGGACTCATCGCACTTGACGTTGTGGCCTTGAATGAAAATACCATCGGCCGGAATCATGTCGCCGGGCTCCAAGTGAAGAACATCTCCGACGAGAACATCATGGACATTGATCGGGACGGATTTGCCCGAGCGGATAACGTTGACTTCACGATCCTCTTTCTGTAGCCACAATCAATATAAAAATCCCCTACCACACAAACAGGAATCTAGGTGGTGACAAACCTTGGCGTTCAACTTGACAAACTGCCGTTCCTTCTGCCAGTCGTTGAGAGAACCAACCAGGACCACGATGATGATGGCGACGCAGATAGCAACACCCTCGATCCAATCGACAGCGGGAGGGTCTCCGGGCTTGTGCTCAACGCCCAAACTCTCGTACAGGCCGAGTGCCAGCGAAACCACGGCGGCGATAGTAAGTAGTATCAGAATCTTGTCGTTGTACTGCTCCCACATCAGGCGCCAAATACTCTTGGCCCTTTTCGACGGCAGGCTGTTATCCTTGAAAACTCTCTTCCTGTCGGCAAACGCACCAGGCTGCGACTGCGGTGTGGTGGCTCCGGCTGATTTGTTGGTCTGCGTGCGCAGAACCGCAGCCTGCTCAGCAGCATCCCTGCCAGCCTTGGCTGCGTCAGTTGCATCCGCAAACGAAACCTTCCCTTCCAGGTGGGCCTCGTCCAAACTTAGCCCGGCGGTAAGATTCGTCCGCAACCCAACCTCCAGCCCCCGTATTCCGCCTACCGCCTTGAATGCCGCTAGCGATTTCGGGTTAAGGAATTTGTTCAGCTCGCCGGGCGTGAAAGCGAACGGGCTGTTGTCGACAACGAAATCGGCCTCGGTTCCCGGATACGGGTCCAGTGCCGTTTTGTCGTCGAAACTATCGCTCGAGTCTTTGGGACTCTCGGTCTTATTACTGTACGGCATTTCGTCGTGCGAGTCTGGCGCCATAACTGTTGTGGCGCCCGAAAGCATGGAACTTCCGCCAACCGACGACGCTCGTGAGCGAGAAGGATCGTCTTTCGACGGGAACAGGTGGTTGACTGTGTTTGGTGAAGGGGGAGCGACCAGAGTACCCGCTTCCGAAGGTCTTCGTCGCGAAAACGCAGCCCCTGTTGTTGCTGTGGGCGAGTTTGGTGAGTCTCTTGTTGGGGAGTCGTCTTCTGGATATTGATCGCCGTCTACCGTCTGTAGAGGACACAAAAGATATATACCGTCAGTCTCCGCCAGTTTCGAGTCAATTGGGTAGGAGTGAATCCGTGCAATGGACAGGTTAGGGAGCTACTGACTGTTATGACTGTGATCGGTAACGGCAATGTATTCTGCGGCATCGTTGTCGGGGGAGAAAGGGGGGGAGCCTTTTTCTTTTCTTTTCTTGTTGCAACCGTCTGGCTATGTACTTCTCCAGGCAGGCTGCACGCAAAGTCGGAGTGTTACTTTTCTACTTATAGGGGGTTGCCTTGTCTGCGAATGGAAACCGCAAACACCGGTATGGTACTGTGCGTGTGTTGTTCGGAGTACGATGCGCGATGTGCAGTGTGCGACGTGTGGGTGGTCGCTGGCCGGTTCGAAGGAATCGAGATACGAGCCCGGATGGGTTGATTCGACTTCGGGGAGGATCGGTGTGGTGCGAGAGGTGGACCTGATGCTTGGATGTATGGGGGGAGGGGGATCTTAGGATCCGATGGAAAAGGAGGATCTTGAGAAGACTTTGAGGAGCGGGAACCAAAAGGTTTAATATGCAGCAAGAGATTCAGTACAGATCCAGGAAAAGGTCACGGTCCTTATAATCAGGGAGCATGGAGAATTGGCATGTGTGTAGCTGGGCCCGGCAGAACAGCGGCGTCTACTCCGTGGGCTGTGCTTCAACGGAAGGGATGGCGACACACTAGGTGATACTGCTACTACTCCAACATCCCTAGGTAGGTAGGGGCAGTCGGGAGCTGCTGGCGATGGCAAACCAAGGTCCCCGACCTCTCATTCCACCTGTTCTAGTGAATATCATTGCGAGCGAGCTGGAATTTATTGTGCTGCCGATCCGGCGGGCAGCAACTGACGGGAAAAATGCAGAGCAAAAATTGGAGAGCGGCGGTCCTCCGGGTCCAGTCCTGATCGGGAAAGGACTTTGCATGGAACCCTGCCAGCCATGGCAGCCTGAGGAACTACACAACTTCATCTACATACACATCACAACTACAGCACAACAAGAACACGGAACAAAGAACACTGGACCCGGAAGCACCGAAGCCAAGTTTCGTTCAGAGGCTCGTCGGTTTCAATGGAATTTTGGTCTCGGTTTCGATGTTTGGGACGACGCGAAGCGCCAGACGGGTGAGGGGGCCTTGTTTCCCTAAAGTAACGAGTTAACGATCTACTAGCAAAATGTAGTTATCGCTCTGCCACAGTCTGCGACGGCGGGTATGGAAGTCTGGCTGATGTCGGCGCTTAGTCACAGGCCGGGACCGTGCGTACCGGAATAATCCGACTTGGCGCTGGCTGTGTGGGCTGTGATTGAGTGGCCAGGGCAGCTGAGATTTTTCTCGGGTGACAAATCTCGGCTCGGAACCACAGTAGAGTGTGTACTCTAGCAGGCTCTGGGCCCCGACCGGCGCCACACCGAGGGCTCAGTTGAGGCGGTGCATCCCAACGGAAAACGAAACAGAGAGAAAAACGCGTGTGCAAGCCACACGGGCGCCGATGTGAACATAGGTACTAACCGTTCTAGTCTGTGACACCTCACGGTTCGTTCTCCGCGAGAATATGCGCATAGGGCATGAGATTAGCGAATAGCAAACTGGCTGGCGGATGGCCGCGAGCCCCCGGCGCCGCGAGGGTGTACCCACGTTACTACGTATCACACATATGAACCTACCCCAGGTAAGTCCACTACGCATGATCGATGACCTGCCAGAGTGCACAGCCGTGCTTCTGGCGTTCGTGACCGCACCGATCCTCCGCAAGACTTGTCGACGTTGACTTTGATGGCGGTGGCCACATTCCGTCCGTCCGTATGTACGCAACCACGGTACCTCTGCCACGGTACCTAGTAAAGGCTTCAACGGACGGACAGCGCGACTACTAGTAGTACGCTAGCGCACTCGGACGTCAAAGCTGGATTCAGCTGCGATAAGCGGAGTATGCCACCGAACGCCGTCCACGGCAACGACGACGACGACGACGACTCTTTGCCGCGATCGCTGCGCGTTGTACTTGACGTAGGTACACTGCTAACTAGAGTAGCTGTGCCAGCGCTCGTGACTAGGTACCGTAGGTAGATATCACGATCCTCGAATCTTCTGGTGTCGTAGGTAGAGTGGGTATGGCTGTGCTCGCCTTCGACTACCGCATCACGATCATGGAATCCTCTATGTAGAGCGGTTAGTACGGTAGGTATGGCTGTGCCTGCGCTCAGTGACCACCGACTTCCTATTCACCGTATCCATACGGAGACAAGCAAGCGGATGGATGCCGTCGTCGTCGGAGCCTAGGAGAAGGTCACAAAGGCAGCAAGATAAAAGTGCCCCATACTCCGTAACTCACGACCGAGTCCGAGTGAGTCCGAGCCAGTCCGAGTCCGCGGTCCATCTTCCTCCAATATCCACAGATGCATACAATCCATACTTGTCCCCTCCGCCTTGCGCTATGCTGTGCTATGCTTCGCCAGGGCCGTACACCAGGCTAACTACCTGTCCAACTAATCGATCGTACTGTAGGTACTTTACAGCTCAGATCCGCCCGATATGGAATTCGCTAGGCTATGGGTCTGGATATGGATATGGATATGTATGGATATGGATGTGATGGATACGGTGTTACACTCTAGCCAGCCACACAGCCTCACTGCGGAACTGTGGGGGTGCGCACGACGCAATTCCACTGCTGCGGCGCAGATCATGGACCTTTCGTCGTCTCATCGTCAGGTCAGAAATTTTCCGGCGGTCGTTGTTGTCGGTTATCTGGGCTAGATCTGGATCTGGGAAGACGAGGTGGGTATTTGGAAATCTCACAGTATTCTGGAAGGCGGTCTTAAAGGCATGATTATGGCTGACTATAGGGCTCGTTCTCGTTTGTTTTTTTTGTCATGAGTAATTGATGATTTGGTTATACGAGCACTGCCGCCTCTTGCCTGGTTATGACTTCCATCAGACTCCATCTATACCTCCCTTCATACTCTAGAAGACTCCATCTATGTAGATACCATACCATAGGTAACAGTCGGGCGAACGGCCGGGCTTCTGGCTCTGCTCCAACTTCCTCCTTCTCCTCCTCCTCCTCCTCCTCACAACTTCCTATCCTCCATACCGGTACACAACTACCTACCCAACGAAGGCGAGAGCCTGGATCGGGGTTTTCAACGATCATCACCACCACCATCGGTCGCCGATGTTGACTCTTGACACGATTATCGTCGGCGTCGGCGCCGGCGCCGCAAGCTAGTTAAGTAACCACGAATTTGGGGGGGTCCCGTAAATCCCGTAAACCCGACCGGCCGGGAGCCACGACACGACTCTGGTGACGTGTATGTGAAGTGTGAAAGAAAGCAGGCGGTCAGTTGAGCTGGCCTCGGTGCGACGGTGCATGATGTGATGAAACGTCGCCTCGTTTTCATACCGGGGGACAAGTACACAAGTACCTATAGCAGGTACCAAGCCCCGAACCCCGAACCCATCAACCCATCAAACGCCGAGAAGCTTGAAGCCTGGAACCGACCGGTACGGTGGAGTACCGGTACTTATTACGCGCCTAAGCACAACCAATGGAAACGGCCTCGCTGCGCGAAAGGGGGGTAAGTTACTGACTCCTGACGAGTCCTGAGTGACTGAGGTGTATATATACCCATATCCGTGCAGTTCTCACACCGGTGACCGGAGAGGAGCTGTGATGAATCCACTCCGTTCGTTCGTTCGCGCTGCACCGCTTACATGATCGGGCTCGGACGCGCGGACACCGTTACTGTGCTCTGCTCTGGTCGGTTATGTATCGTACAGTCAGGTTCCATCACTCGCGAGTCGCCGGAAACACCCCCGTCGGGCCTTCCCCCCGCCCCCGCCCACTCTGTCCTTGCACACGACACCTCACACTCACCTCACACCACGCACTCGCCACATTACCCGCCTGCCAAGTACCCACTGCCAAGTGTCAAATACCCACTGTCCACTGTAAACCTGAAATTCCCAATTCCAATTCTCACGAGGGGATGTTCCCTCCCTCCCTCCCGGTTGAAGGTGTACCACTCCACTAGTCCCACTAGTGGGAAGGAATACAGGGATCCCATAAACGAACTTGATCAGTGCAGGGATATCGGGCATAACTCCGCCGCTTGGCATGCATGCATGCTGCAGCCTGCAGGTGGTGGTGGGTGACATGGGAGGTTATGGACCAGTAACCAGATATCCCCACCTGCGAGGCTCTAGCCGCCTGCGGACTAAGGGGATGTCAACTTTCAACTTTCAACTTTTGGGGGGAGAGGGGGAGTTGAGAAGAGGAGAGGAGTTGGGGAGAGGAGTTGGAAAAGAGGAGAACAGGTGTTGGGGAGTGAAAGATCGTGACGAATCCTTTGACATCACGGTTCACGTCCTGTAACACAAAAAAACATGCTATTGCGTAGGCGGCTGGTGGGCACTATGTATAAAAGAGAGCCGCGATGGAAAGGGCCACAGATAGTAGAGTGACGGTGGGTGACACCGGTACACTCTACATACTTGCCCATGATACCAGTAGAGTGGGAGGCGACACTCTATGTACAAACATACTTGCTGAAGATACTGGTACCGGTATAGTACCATAGGTAGAGTGGGAGGCGATACATACCGTACTTGCTACTGATGATGATGATATTGGAGACCACATAGACCACATACCCACTCTACCTACCTATCTGGCGCAACGGAGGAGTCTCCGTGAGTGAGCAAGCGAGTCCTCTATATATATGGTAGGTATCAGCGGCCAAGCCCAGCCAGGACGGACAGGTGAGCCCGATGTGCAGTGCAGTTGCCGGTTGCCAGTTGCTCTAGAGCATCCATCCACCGGATGCTTTTCGCGCTCCGCTCCACTCGGCTCAAAGGTCGTTGGACGTGGTGACTTGACTGGCCGGGGAAGAGCAGGTTCTACCTATCTTCCTGTTGTTTGCATGCGGTGCAGTGGGCATCTATCTACCGGTATGTACATACGGTATGTACGGTTCTCTGCCTGCTAACTTAGGTACTCGAGCCCGAACGGAGATGTACGAGTGCTCCACATACCCGGAGAGAGACCTCATCGTGATTCGCTCGCTGCAGCTCAGTGTGCGGAGTGCAGAGTGCCAGCGAGCTCCGTCCATCCGTCCATCCATCCCAGGGCAGAGGTTGACCGAGAGCGAGGTGGCCAGCCAGCAGCCCACATGCCATCTCTGCAGTTGCATAACCGGCGGCGAGAAGGAGGAGAAAAAGACGCCACTGGAAACGAACGAACGAACGAAGGTATGAGGTATGATATGTATGGAAGTCGGTGCCACGATGATGATGATGATGACATGTAGCGTTTCAGCACCGGCTCGTTTCCTTAGCGTTTCTTCCAGAGACCTTGATTCGAAAGTTAGACTATGGTAGATTCCCACCCCCGCGTGTGTGGGCTTAATTTCGATTGAGCGTCGACGGTTAGAACTTGCCCCTGCCGAGATCTCGCTCTCTCTTTGAATCGCCCCCTCCGTACATGCAGCGCCGGTCGCGGCCGCGGACGGAGCGCGGCTGTGCAGTGAGCACTCTCAGGGCCGAGGAAGTGGGAAGGTGCGGTCCCGGGACAAGGGACCAGGGCGCCGGAGAGGGTCACTCCAGCCGAATCCGCAAAAGAGTCGCCCGACGAGCGCCTTGAATCCCCCCTCCCCCCACCATGCACGATCGAAGGCTTGAGGCGGTGGGTTGGTTGCGGTTAGATACCGACATACTTAACGCGCCGTTCCAGAGCAAGCAAGCAAGCACCGGCTTCTTCAGGAGATCTCTTATTTTTTCTCTTCCTCCCTTGCCTGTTTGCTCATTCGCTCGCTGGCTCGCACAGCCCCCAATCTGCCGTGAATCTACACTAATGTCGGAGAGCCAAGACGACTGCACCACCAGTGACCACCACCTCCACTGCCACCACCTCCACTAACCAACTATACCACCAGCACCTCGTCCACCGCCGCCGGCCACCCATAGCCAGTCAAGTTGCCAGCACGCAGAGACCCCCCAAACGTCCTTACGGTATTACGGTATTACCCTTCGTTCGGTCAGTCCAGTCGCGCGTAATAATGTGCGTTGCATCTCGCTCCCTCCGGCGTGCCTGCTCAGTATTGTTATGTAGGTACGGCCAATGCCGCCTGCGCCACGGCAACCGCAACTGTCTTCAAGATTAACCTCCAACCACTGACTAAACTATTTTGTCATCTCCACTACCTTACTCTACATACATACGTTCCCACGGGCCAACCCGAGCACGCTGCACGCCCACGCCCACACTGGCTCACCCCGCGCGCTGATCCGGTAGAGCGCCTAGGGACGAGGAGAGGAGCCCCCCAGGAGGACCGAAGCTCGCAGTTCACGTACGGGTGTCTTACCTATACTACTCAACTCAACTCTACTTTGTTCTGTTCTGCTCTGCTCAACTCCGCTCGACTCTGCTCTGCTCTGTTCTACTCTCCGAGCACCCTCTCATGTCCGTGCCTGACCAACCTCTGCCGTTACGGATCGACGAGACGCAACAGGCTGACCTGTCCCTCGCAGTTTGGATCGATATCTAGGTTGGCGAGGAGCGCTCTCTGTCGGAAAAGAGGTTCCCACTTGCGGCAACCAATTTTCATCGCATCCTAGCGGCCGCGACGAGCTCGGTAAAGGTCTTGTGTCTTGGGATCCAAGACGGGAGTGTTCTTGGGAGGACAACTCCAAGCCATTATTATCGATCCAGCAGCGATAACCCGTCGAAGCGCGAGTATAGTACCAGCAGTCCAAGTCCAAGTCCTTCTTCGCTTGAGGGAGCCGTGGACGTTGTGGGGCGCAAGGTAAGGGACAGGAGAGACGCACCGCAAGGGCGAAGAGGCGGTCAGGCTATCTTGAACGTGGGGGGGAGGAGGGGGGAGGTTTCAGTGAGGACTCACTCGCCGTGGGACGAATCGCATTTGCCTGCAGGGCCCACAAGGGATTAAGAGCGCGGAAAAAAAAGCGAAGGACACTCACACACCCACACACGTCGAACGACAGCGGTGGGGGGAGCTCTGATACACACACACCCTACATACATACGTTAACGACATCTCGACTTTTATTTACAGCTCAACGGCTGCACGACATCCATTCGTGCGCCATACGACAACCCACCTCATACTCACACTCCCCCCTCCCTCCCCCGCCCCCGCCATCCAATATTATCCATTCCACTGAAACGTAAATAAAAATATATATATAAAAAAATAAGCATTTGCACGGAAACAGCCTGCGCTCACACCACTGGCTCCGAATTTTATTCCCGCTCCTGCATTTTTGTTGCCCGTTTCTGTCGGTCGGATCGACCGCCCCGCGATCTCAACATGCAGAGGGAACGCCGAACATTGTCCGTACCCACCATCTCGTATGAGGATGTCGACCAGCAACAAGATCTGGAGATGGTGCAGCAGCATGGCTTCCTGGGGACGGCCCCGTCGCCGTCGCCGTCGCCGTCGTCCCTCACTGCGGCTGCTGTTCTTGGTGCGACTTCGGGGTGGCCCCCGCAACCCCATCCGGGACAAGCCCCGTCGCCGTCTTTTGGCCACAACCATATGGCCACTCTTGGGAAACCACATGTGGCCAGGTCCAGGTCCGCATCAACCTCGTCGCTGTCGACGCCCACGCCAGGCACGCCGAGTCTCAAAAAGAAGATCGTTACCGCCTGCCAGCGATGCAGGACGAGAAAGATTCGCTGCGATGGCGCTCTCCCAGCTTGCCGTAGCTGCGTCAAGGCGGGGGTGGAATGCATCGAGGTCGACAGGGCCGGCGATAACAACATGCCTAGAAGGTGAGCTTCGAAGTCACGCGACTCTTTCACGACATGCTCTCATTGCTGTCGACGGAAGAGTTGGCGCATATCTGGTGGCGTTTCTATGGCTAACCTCTTTGCAGTCATGTGCTCGAGCTCGAAAACAGGATCAAGTGGCTTGAAGACATCGTGAGAGCACAATGTCCTGAAATCGATCTATCGATCGGCCCGACAGTGGAGCTCCGCTCGAGGCCAGCACCGCCCGCAATACGGATCGTCACGACCGGGCCAGACTTCCATCAACCTCTTCAGTGCATGAGCTCTACGTCCTCGCCCGTCTTCGCACTGTCACCGGCATCGACATGTGCCACACCGGTGTCGTTCGAGTTCTCGTCTCCCGGTGTATCCCCGGGATACCTACAGCCCATGAGCCCGTTCACCTTCTCCGAGGTGGGACCTTCCCGTGCTCCGTCACCCGCTCCAGCGAGCCCATTGATGCTGGCGCAAGATACTCCGGCACTTCCCCACGAAGTCTGCTTGCTGGCACTGTCAGCGGCGGAGGAGCCGAAATATTTTGGATCCTCATCGGGGGTCAACTTCGCACGCATGGTCTTTGCGGACGATAGAGGGGACTTGCAGGATGGTGACCTGGAGGGGCTGGAACGACACACACCGGTTCCGAACGTTGAGCCAGCCCCACTGCCGAGCATGGAGGAATGCGCGCCGTTTTTCAAGACGTATTTCGAGAGTGTCCACTTGCAGTACCCGTTTCTTCACCAGCCGACCTTCGAAGCCTGCTTGCAGGCCGTATGCCAGGCGCGAGGCCACGACGATGCGGAGGGGTTACCCCCGGGCTTTTCGGCACCGGTGGCTCGATTCCAAGCATTCATCGTCCTCTCGATCGGAGCACACATACTGTCGACACGAGCGGGCGGGAATTTCAACAGCGAAGGCTATTATGCCGCGGCAATGCAGCTAGCCGGTGATGTTTCGCTGACGGGCAGCCTCCAAGGTGCACAGAATGCGCTCTTGCTGGCTATGCACAGCCTGTATGCAACCGGCGGCCGGAACGTGTGGTATCTGAATGCGATAATCATGGCAACTTGCATCGACCTGGGCCTGCAACGAAAATTCGAGATGCCCGGCGACCAGGGTAAGGCGGCTGTCAAGCGTCGCGTGTTCTGGTGTGCGTACTCTCTCGATCGGAATCTGGGCATCGCCCTTGGCAGGCCTTTCTCGCTTCGCGACGAATCCCTCGATGTTGAATTTCCCCAGGATACAGACAACGACGAGGAACTCGCGAATCCCTCGCATTCCCTGGCAAACTCAAAGTCCATTGGGGCCTCGAGAACCCTCTTCAGCTGCTCGGTATTCGTTTTTAAAATAATGAAGATCATCTCGAGCATCAAGTCCATGCTGTATCGAGTTTCACCATCCACTGGCACTTGGGATATCGGGGAGTGGCAGATAAGAACTTACCAGCAGCTTCTCGACCTCCAGGAGCAGGCTCGGTCTTCCCTCACGGGCATACGTCGGGGTACCGGTTCTCCGTCACAAGTCGCAGGAACACAACTGGTTGAGCTGAAGGTCCACGAAGCCATCCAGTTGCTTTTCCGGCCAAGCCCAATAATCGTCCACCCGACGTCTTTTGCTCTGGACAAATGCTTCCACTCGGCAGTCGAAACCGTCAGGATATACTTCAGGCCGAAGCGATACAACGAGACACCGTATCACCCCTACACCCGTCTGACGGAGAACTCGATATTCCTTGCGGGCATCACGATGCTTTACAGCCACCGGACCTGCCAGGAAGTCCGCGCAAAAGCGGGGGGCGGGTTTCTGGCGGAGGAGATCAGGTGTTGCTCGCAGCTCTTGGCCGACCTGTCCCAGCTGTGGCCGACCGCACAGAAATCAAAGACCAAATTTGATTCATTGGCCCACTCGACGCTGGCGTACTCCTCCGCCACCGCGTCGTCGCGTATGCTCTCACCTCACGACGGTGCGCGCAGGGCGTCGGGCGGCTCGGTCAGATCGTTTGCCGAGAGTCAGACACTGGAAGTGCCCTCGTTGACGCCGTCGGTTCCACCGGCAGCACCGCCCTCATCACCAATGCCCAACAACGGGTGGTACGGCGCCGAAGTCGGGGTACCCCCCGGCAGTCCCAGTCCAAACCTCTGGGTGACCGATCCGGGCTGGGATCTCCAACAAACGACGGAGGACTTCATGATCAACGAGATGGAGGGGATCCAGCGGGGAACCGATCTGGACATACTGGCGAATCTGATGAACGATGATACGGCCATGTGGGGGATGGGTCCCCTGGAACAGCAACAGCAGCAACAGCAACAGCGGTGACTAACCGCCGGTATTCTGGACGAGTGGCTTGAAGGTTTGGGTCTCCCAACCAATGGATTCGACTAGCTAGCTAGCTATCCCTTCTCGCCACCGCTCGTCGCCGCTGCGAACGGGTCACCATCACCATCACATACCTACACATTCACTCCGCCTCCACCTTTCTCTCTCTCTCTCTCTCTCCCATGCGCGCATGGTTGCATGGAGATTGAAGTGGTTACCTACCTTACCTTGCCTGCTTGATTCTCTCTTGTCGGACCTACCTACCTACCTAGTTGTTTCGTTCGTGTTCATGTTCATGTTCGTGTTCGTGTTTGTGTGCGTTTATACCATCTCATTTCGTATAGTCTCTTCTTCTTTCCTTTTCCTTTATGTACGAACCCTTTTTTGCGTTGCATGTGTCCGAAGGAGTAAGAAAGTAGTGGAGGGGGCTGGGGCGATCATTTCGGGTGGCGAGATGGAGGGGGAAGGGGGGGCTATGTATTTACTTACATATGTATCTAAGCTAAGCTACGGTAGACAATGGTTTCATTTCATTTCGCTTTTCCGTTGTGTTGTGGTGAGGATTTGTAGTTGGTTATACGACACGATAGGTCATTGTGCCCATCGAGAAGTTCCAGGCGGGTATGTATCACGGGATATCACTCGATCATTAGCGACGAGGGGCGAGGGGGCTGAGCCGTGGGGCAAAAATGTGGAGCTGATCATAGTTGTCGCGGGAGAGACTCCGCCTCCACGGAGAAGAGTGACGGAGATGAGACCGCAAGTACACACGAGCACGCAATGTGAATACTTGGTGAAAGGGTGGCGTTAAGGCGGCCAAGAGTACTAGGAGGTAACGATCACAAGACGAGGAGATTGCGCCGCTGCGCCTTCGGGTAAATTTTTCTAATTTTTCTAATTTTCTGAGATTTTGAATGTTTTGGAAATTTTGGAAATTTTAATGAATTGCTTTTCCGACGGGACCAGCGGGAATAGGACCGAAGACGGGACTGACGCCGCGGCTGAATGGTTGGCGGGCGGCAATAAGGGGAAAACGTGCGCAGGTGGGAGGGGGGGGAGTGGGGAGGGTTTTACATGTGCTGTTTGCAGTTTTGCCTGTGGGCTTATGTAATTGCTTATGTAAGTAGGTCAGACAGACAGAGAGAGAGACACAGATAGACAGATAAACAGACAGACAGACAGACGGACGGACAGATGGACAGACGGACGGACGGACAGACAAACCGCTCGGCGGCGAGGAGAAAATGAAATTGTTATTTTATCTATTTTCCAAGTCCATGGCAGATGAAAGATGGCAGAGTAATGGTAGACTGATTTGGCTTTTGTGTCATCGTGTCTTTTGTCATTGTCTCACTCGGCGAGGCTCGTCGATGGACGGCGCAGAGTGAATGGACACTGCACTGCGCAAGGTGAATGGACACTGCACTGCGCAAGGTGAATCGACACTACATTGCGCAGGGTGAATCGACACTGCACTGCGCAGGGTGAATCGACACTGCACTGCGCAAGGTGAATCGACACTACATTGCGCAGGGTGAATCGACACAGGACAGCGTAGGGTGAATGGACAGTGCAGTTTGGCGAGACTCGTCGTGACTCGCCGTGACCTGTGCGTGTTTCGGAGGACCTACTGTCTAGGGGCCAGAGGACGTGCCAGTACTAAGTAGTGCTAGGAATCACTCGCTCGCCGCTCGCTGCGCCGTGCTGCGTCACCTCGGCCAGCAAAGCAGGCGGACGGGGTGTGGCTTGGTTTTTCATGTGCTGTTTACAGTTTCGCTTGTGGGCTTATGTAAGTAGGTTAGTCAGACAACTAAACGAAATTATTATTCATTGTTTTTCCCAATCCTAGATGGCAGATGGCAGATGGCAGTGATGTGTCTTGTATCTTGTGTCTTGTCTTTGTCATTGTCTCACGAGGCGAGGCGAGGCTCGTCGATACATATTGGGCTGCGCAGGGACAGCGGAGGGTGAATGGGTAGCGCAGGGTGGATGGACGGCGCAGGGTGAGTGGACTGTGCAGTTTGTCGTGACTCGGAGGGACTCGTGCGTGCTTCGGAGCGCTCACTGCACAAAGGCCAGAGGACCTGGCAGTACTAGGTGGTACCGGTGCCAGTGCCAGTAATCACTCGCTCGCTGCACCGTGCTGCGTCGCCTCGGCCAGCAGAGCAGAGCAGGTGGAGGCACGTCACCTCGACCAGCAGACCGGAGTAGATCAGAGCAGATCAGAGCAGACCAGAGCAGACCAGAGCAGACCAGAGCAGACCGGAGCAGACCGGAGCAGACCAGAGCAGACCAGAGTAGGTGAGAGTAGGCTGTTCGGGGGGATACGTGCTCACTGCTGGCATCGAGATAAAGCAGGGACTTTACTCGAGTAGACACGTCATGGCGAGCCTGGAGCCTGGAGCCTGGTATCCTCGCCTCGTCTCGCCTTGCCTTGCCTCGGCCAAAAACAAAGACGAAAATCAGTGACGGAAATCAATGACGGAACTCCATTGGAAGTCGACGGAGTCTGGACAAGATGCTCAACGCAACGCAGCCCAGCACAACCCAACGCCCCGTATGCCGTAACTACGGTGTACGTACGGCGTACTGCGTATGTACGGCGTATGCACCCCTTCCATCACAGGGAGGTGCGTGTGTATGTGTTTCAACCTAGACATCAGATCACTCGGTCTACAGCTGGTCTAGCCCACTGCTAGATTACTCGCTCCTAGTTTTTTTGCAGGTCCGTGGCACTGGTACACGCCGGGTTAAAACTATACGTTATACAATAGTTACCACGATACAAACGTCGCTCCAGCACTGTGCTGTCTCCCCCGTGTCCCTGATCGTTCCATCTGCCAAGTAAACCCAAGATGCCAGCCTCACAGCAGATCACTCCATTCGGCCGCTCAAATCCGCCGTCCCGCCTCCTCCTCCATTCAGAGAGTTCTGTATGCGAAATAAAACAGGAAGGTCTCTCTCTCCTCCATTCAGAGACTTTTTGCTTGTGTCGGCCCGAGGCGGATGGGCAGGGGAAGTGGGGCGCCGCATCGGACTGGCCGGCACCGGGGCTTTCACCTCGACTGGCCAGGGCGGGCAGGAAAAGGAGTTCGTTGGTTTGCCATAGTCTAGATAGGCTGCATGCGAAATAAAACAGGAAGATATCTCTCTCTCTCTTCCATTCAGAGCCACCACCGCCAACAGCCCAAGTTGAATGGCACACCCAGCTACTATAGAGTATGTGACAAGTTGCTGCCCACCTGTGAACGAATACCCCCCGGCTGATATAGTACTTATTCATCACGACAAGTCGACAAAAGTTCATAACAGTCAAACGCATCGTGACAGCCGATCTCCTCCAACCCAGGAAGACGGCTATGTAGCAAGCCAGACGAGCATCGGTAATCGCAGGGAACGGACGAGGCATATCTACATCCGGGGACCCGGTAGGTGTCTAGCGGATAATCATACATCGTCACTCGTTATCCCCCACACATTCCTCTAATCTCCCGCGGCCCAAGCCGCGCATTGCAGTGCAAGCGCCTTGAGGATGATCTGTACATACACCCAGCAGCCGGGGCGGGTGCAGGTGCAGGTAGTGAGCGGTTGCGAGTGGGCGGGATATCGCCAGATCGGCTTCCACCACTGGACGGAGGCAGCGAAAAGCCGCGCTTGTATGGGCGCACCCACCCATTCACCGTGGTGAGAAGTCAGAGACAATATTGATGCTGAGAAGCCACAAAGGCTGCTTATGTACGGCCACGATGTGCCAGCTTTCCGCGGAATGCTGGCCAAGGCTGAGGTACCTACCTATGGTCACGCCCATGGTCATCCCCAAGTCAGAACACCCGGCCAGGCTTAGCATGTGCAGGGCTTCCAGCCTCGTTGGGATAATTCAAACGATCGGCCCTTTCGGAAGTTGGTAGTGTCATGAGGCGGCATGCTGGGTCCCTCAGTTGGCTGGCACATCTCTCTATGTACCGCAGGCGGTTCTAACCTTCTTTCGTGTGCTCGGTCATCCACAGTTCGGATACTCCGCCCATCAAAACCGTAACTTTCTTTCAACTACACGACGGCTAAAGTATGTACGCAGTCTATATCTACACCCAGATCTTCACACAACGTCTTACTTCGTCGAAACCTCCTCCCAATACTCCACCCCTTCAAACGCCCCAACCGTACTCCTACACGCATCCAAGAACCTCTCCGGCCCACACGCCATGACGGCCAACCTCGTCTTCCCCTCACCGCTCGCACCGACTCCGACCCACGCCTCAACCGCATCGCGAATCGGCAGCCTTTCCCACACGACTCTGGCACCAACCCTGGCCAATTCTCGCAGAATCTGCATCTCTGGCCGTCCCCTAAACGTTAACCAAACCCTCAAGCCCTCGAGCCCGCGATTGGGAGTCTCCTCCAGCACGCTCTGCAGCGCCCACAGATCCTCCGATCTCCCCAGCACCCAGTGTGCCTCCTGCGGCTCCGCGCGGAGATACGGCAGCACCAGCGCGATCCCGACGCCGGCGGCAAGGAAGAGCGTGCGTGGTGGCAGCGGGATGTGGTGGTAGTACGGGCCCTCAACGCCCACACTCAGTGCGGACCCGGTGGACGGAGTGGCGGCGTAGGCGTGCAGTGCCTTCGTCATGCCCGAGTAGGGGCGGATGATGAATGTGAGCTGCAACCTCCCATTGTGTTTTCCGCCAGACGTTGGAAGGAGCGATGTTGCCTCCGATGATGCGACGGAGGTGACAGAGTCGCCCAGCCGCTTCACGTGCGCGACAGAGAAGGGGTGGCTCTCGCCCCAGCGCAGCCCTGGAAATCGCAGGTGGAAAAACAGTCCCGGCCTCGCATCGCCCACGGACTTCGCCGGCACCGTGACCTGGAGCCGTACCACATCCCCCCGCGTCTGCGCTATCCCCTCGCACTCGCCCCCACCAACACCCAGCCACAGCCGTAGCCCCCGGTCCAGCAGCCACAACCCCGCGGCAGCCCACAGCCACTCCACACTCAGCACCCAGAACACATGCACCGCACACGTATACACCACCACCAGCGTGGCCAGCACATGTCCCCAGAGGAAAACCTCATAGCTGCGCCTCCTTGCCCACCTCACACTCGGCGGGCCAGCGAGCCACAGCATGCCGACACCGGCGGCCACGCCACCCCACCAATACTGCAGCCTCCACTGAGGCGCGAAGCGCTCCCCGCGCTCCACAATGTACGCACAGAACAGCACGGTATGGACCGCGGTCAGCACGGCAGCCAGCCTTCCCAGGAACCTATGGAAGACGTTCCACGAGTCGAGGCTCCAGCCGGTAGCGTGGGCGAGGATGTTCTTGCGGGCGGCGGAGAGGACCAGTGCCGGCAGCAGCGCGAAGGAGAGCACGCCGGTGCGGTTCGCGCTGTAGCGCAGGTACTGCGACGTTGTGGTCGTGAAAAGCGGGTTGGGCACGTAGATGTCCTGCGAGTAGGATGTGCAGCTGACCACGGCGGTTATCATAGTGGTCAGCACCATCGCGAGCGCTTGCGGTGCGGTCGGTAAGGTGAAGGCGCTCCATGCTGCCCGTGGGAGTGGGGTGAACGCCCGTGCGTGGTGCGTGGGATTGTAGAGTGATACCCGCGGGATAAGCAGATGCAGGTGTTTTGTGATATGTCGGATAACAACGACCAGCAGGAACAGGACGTTGAGGAGGATACTGCGGGGGGTGCTTCGTTAACTGTCACCACCTCTCTCGGGAGCCGGGAGGATATGCACACCCGTAGTATAAGTTCCAGCTGCGCTGCTCGACGAACGCGGCAATGGCGCGGCGGACTTCGTCGTCGTCGGCGGGCGCAGGCGGAGGATCTGATAGCATCGTGGAGGATCTGATACTGCTATACTCGTACAACTATATGCGAGCTCGGTCGGTGTTGTTTCGGTCCGGACCGGCCATGGGCCTGGAGCATGGCTCGGCGTCCTTGCGGACTAGGCTGCGTGTGGTAGGCGGACGCGCAGGGTTCGCCGCTCAGCGTGTGCATCGCGGATCACTCGTCGCTGGCTGATGTTCTGAGGGCGAAGCATGACGAGCGCTCTCTACGTACGTGGTGCACTTTCCTTCGCCGCCGGAACGTCGAGTACACTCTGGTATGTTTCTGGGCTTAGATTCCGACGAAGAACGCAAGAAACGACTACTTTTGTCGCGAGACAGCTCCTCCGGTTTATCCCCACTAAGTAGAGAATTCGAGACACTCGGAGCAATGTTTGAAACGTTGGAATTCAGAGTAGGAAAAGATCAAGCTAGCACTGGCGCTCCAGAGAATGTTGTCTCAAGCCCGAGACCAGCAAGACCAGGAGGCAGTCTGGAGTCTGGACTCTGGCGGCCCTTACCTACTATCTAGTAGCCTGCCCTTCTCACAGGAGCTCTGAATCCAACCACAAGACCTTGTCAGAGCATGAAGGTAGAAACGGCCCCTTTCCAGCAGATATTCAACCTCGACTTCTCCAAGCGGAGCGGGGAGAAACGTCGTTATCACCCACTTTCATGGGTAGGGCACACTGCACTCGACCTGATTCTTGATATTTCCCCCGTTCCGTCCGCACATGTCTCGAGCTCCAGCTCGAGCTCGCCGATTGCCTACATACCTACCTATCGTTGGCGGGCGTCATGGCGGGCGTCATTGGAGAACGACAATCGTGTGGTGGGCTCTGGGCCTACACATCTAGATCTACCTATCTATGCTATGTATAGCACTCCACTCAAATCCAATCCACAGAGCCGGATAGATATCATAGGTAGAGACTCGGTGCCAGTCGTTGCATGAGCTGAGGAGCTGAGGAGCACAATTGACTTTGGCATGTGGACGATTCACGATTTACTCACGTTTCATATCTACCTCATATCTACAATACATATGGAGAGTTGACGAGCCAGTAATAAGCAGAACAAGTGCGGACACGGCACGCCGGAAACGTCGGAATTCACGCCATGTGTCCTTCCCACAGTGGCCGGGAGCTACCGTCTCATCCGGCGATATCCGGCCTGCGAAGTTCGATTCGCCATGGGGCACGGGGGGATGAAGAAACGGCTGGAGAACGGCTGGAGGACGGACGAATCGTAAGGCCGCGAACGAAGTACTGGCGTAGCAGACGATATGATACGGCGAGAAGGAAAAACATCCCCCCCTCCTTCGCGGATCAGGTCAGGGATAGGGTAACGGGGGCACTGTTATAGTTCGAGATGCGACACTCGAAGCTCGAAGTTCGAAGCTCGAGTGCCAGCTGCAACCCAGGCAAAACCATCAGAAAGGCCACGGAGGTATGATAGTTATCGGACTCGCGTGTCGCTACTGTAGTCACTACGGTATCTATACTAACACGGCCGAGAGCACCTCCGGCCAGCAAGCTCCGGACCCCCAAGCCCCGAGTCCAAGTCCGAATCCGAGTGACATCCCGAGCGAGTGACATCCCATGAGCACCACCCATGAGCACCAGCTTACCACCCGACTCCCCGACCACCTTGCCGCCCGACTCCCCTCCCCGAGCCCTACATTACGTATCCCCTCCTCTCCCCCATCCCGCCGCATCCAATCCCATCACATCGCAGTGCAGCGTCGTGCATCGGAATAAATTCAATCCTCCCCCTCGTCCAAAAATATTTACCCCGGCGCCCGGCGGCGGTGTCGCGCCCGTATACGCGTGCGTTCGTGCGTGCGTGGGCTCGGCCGCATTAGCGGGATGCACGCCCGCCTTGTTTCCCTTTTTTTGGGTTTCTGGTGTCATGGTTACAGCTCCATTGCGACGCCGCTGCGACTCACTCAGGCAGCGGAGGTGGAGAGGGGGAGGGAGTGGGAGTGGGAGTGGGCGAAGGGGGAGGGAGTGGGTGAGGAAAACAGGAGGCGGGGGAGGGGGGCGGAGGGGGGGCGGAGACGCGGCCATACTCTACCCTAGAGTAGAGTAATCGTCTATGTAGGAGTCTAGGAGTCTGGGAGTCCAGGGGCGCAATTGGGTATACACATCTCTGGTCTCTGGACTCTGGACTCTGGAGAGCTGGCTGGCTGGCTGGCCGGCTCGCTGGGTGATGATGAATCATATGACACGGTAGACACGGTAGGTCGGTAGACTACCGGTACCGCTCTACTCTACATATGATACCAGCCACCTCTTTTCTTACCAGCCAGCCGACGACGCGCTGCGCTGCGCGACCACCACGTCTCCTCCTGCCCATCCTCCTCCTCGTCGAAACGAGAGCGAGGGCGACTACCTATCTTTGTATGAGTCTATGACTGCGATCGTGAGCGGCGGGCGCCCCCATCCCTCCTCCGGAGGCTGATGCTCATGCTGCTGCTGATGCTGTGAGGGTTTCACGGCGGGCCGCACCCCCCCTCCCCTCCTGTACACTCCCGTCCACTCCACTGCACTCCAGAAGAGAGGTTGACACCCGTTGTTGCACTTCTAGAGTAGAGATAGTAGACAGGTTGATGGATAAGTTATAAGATAACCAGCTGGCCAATGGATGATTTTCTTTCACATGTTTCGTATGCATAGAGTAGAGTACGGTACCCGCCACAGCCGTCGTCATCCATACAAACATCCAAATATCCAAACATCCAAACAAACCCCTTGAAGAGCGACACTTTGAGCTTTCACTCTGCAACTTCGACATGTGTATCTCCCGTTTTTCTGCAGGGAGGAGGAGGAGGAGGCGAGGGAAATTTACCGGTCCTCTACTCTAGCTCAGAGGGAGGGAGAAGTGCCCTTCAAGCTTCGACTGTACCTTCCCACTCCTCTCCTCTCCTCGTTCGTCGTCGTCCTTCGAATCTCGATAGAGTGGATTACGGTATGTATGGAAGCGGTATGGAAGGAAGACAGATATGTATCTACCTATCCGTCGTATCCCCTTTCACATCCGCCCACTCTCCACGTAAAGTACCTTATATCAACCGTGTTCTTACCAGCCGAAATATAGTGGCCGGAAGACTGGGGCTGCGACGCTTCGTACTCTATGTATGTTCACAGACTAATTGCATAATTTTACGCGGGGCCCTGGTCGGCGGCAGTTGGGTACTTTAGTTGAGGACTGTCAGGCGGGCAGGCAGGCAGGGCAGGAAGTGTCAGTCATAGCAAGCTCTCCAGGAGCCGAACGGTATGTATACGAGCTGCGGAGGGCAGGAAGTGCGAAGGGTGGGACGGAAGGAAGGAAGGGTGGAAGGGTGGAAGGAAGCTGAGTGTTTTCTGTCCATCCACCAAGTAGGTGTTTGCGTCGTTTTCCCGGTCCCAGTCCCAGTCCCAGTCCCGTTTCATGGGATGTGCATATGTGCATAGAGTAGGTAGATGCATACGGAATGTGGAAACGAAACCGAGGATGATATGTAGAGTATGATGATAAGATGTCCGGCCGCGGGCATCGAGCGAATGATGATGCCCATCATCACCGATCGTTTCCCCCTCCAGAGTGAACCAACCAACGGGGAGACGGGGAACAGAACAACCGCCCACGCACTCAACCGCCGACTCACTCAACAGACCCGACCGACCGCCCACCACCCACCACGCACTCCACTCAACAGACCAGACCGCCGCGCCGTATCGTATGCATCGCATCGCACAGCCAGAAAGCGCGCTCAAAAAAAAAAACAAGCTCCTCAAAAAAAAAGCTGAAACGAAGGGCTTGGGGGCGGGAGGGACGTGCGCACTGGGGGCGAAATGGACCGTAGTGGGCATGGTGGGCGCCGACTTGCTTTGCTTGTGCTGCTTGGCTTGTGCGAGTGGTCGAGAAGTGACGTGACCACGCGCGTAGACAAGTCTCTAAGAGAGCTTTCGTATCCAATCCAACGGTTCCTCCGTCTCCGGGATATGTATGGGTTATGAATGGGTGAGCGGGGGAGCGAGGGGAGGGAGGGAGGGGGCGTGGTGCTAACTATGATGCTACTGATGCTACTGATGCAAGTTTTCGGTGGGTTGGTTAGGTGGATGGAGGAGGAGGAGGAGGAGGAGAGGTGAGGACTGAGGAGGGCGTAGTGCGCATCGCATCGCATCCCTCCAGTCCGCTCCCCTCCCCTCCGTCTGCCGTCTGACGAGAGGTTTAAGGAAATTCCTGGCCTGTCAGTTTTTTGCTGCGGGGAGGGAGGGAGGGGGCTGGCGGGATTTCATGGGCCGGGCTGGCGGGAAAGATGACGGGGGTGGTGCAATAAAATGGATGGGAAATGGAGACATTTCTTTTTTTTGCCCTTCTTTAATTTTTCGGATTTTTTTTGGTTCTGGTTAGAGGGTGTGTTGGAACGGCCAGAGCAGAGCAAAGAGAGAGAAAGAAATCCCATATCCGACTTGAGCAACTTTCCATATCGCAGCAGCAACAACAAAACCAAACATGCTTCAGTCGTTGCTTTCGAGAGCGCAAACAAGACGTGGTGGTGCTGCTCCCGTTCATCAGCTTCATGTCAAGGTCAGTCTCACCAGTTCTTCTATAATCATCTCATAAACACCTCCGCACGTCATCATCTTCGTTCAAACGCGGTACTCTACCCTACTCCCGTCATAACACGTCGACGGGAATGCTCAGGCGGTGGTGGTGGTGACAGCACTGATACACTCCCCTCGCGCTGTCCTTCCTGCTGGGCGGGCATCTCTCTGCGCTCCTCCGTCGGGGCTGTCTGCACTGTTCCGCTCCGCTGGATCTCTCTCTCCGGATCTTGGAAGTGCCCGCTTCTCGTCGCTGCCCAGCCTGCTACTCACTTTTAGAGTGAAGCCGCCCCGGTTCGGTTGTTTCCTACCTGGTGATTTTGGTTGGTGGTTGTGGCTGCATCACGGTGGTCACTGGTGGTGGTTGTAATGCGCTGCCGAAGGCTTGTTGTGCTCTATCGACTGGCCTGCTACCTGCTACCTGCCCTCTCCTCCCCCCCCCCCCCCACCCCGTCGGATACGACACTCCGGAACCTCTCTCTCTACCCCCTCTCTGCCTAAGTAGACGGAACAGAACTTTACGGAATCTCTCCTCGCCCTGCGCATTTTCTTCGAGAGGGAAACATTCGCGCCTCTCGCTTCCGCACTTCATCGTCATCCACCCTGCGGAATATTCGCCCTACGTCTCATCTCACTCAACCGGTCACTCATAATCACCCGCGGTGTATCGTCCGGAAACGTTGACGGTGGGGGATACAAGACTGTTTCTCGGTTGACTACTGCCGCTGCCGCTGCTGCACCTCACGCCCATCAATATTTAAGATCAATATCGTCACGATTCCAAGAAGAAAAAAAAGAGACGAAACGAAACGAGACGAGACAAAGACCGAAGCGAACGGGCTGTGCGTTCCCACGTCTACGGGCCGGGCCACCCAGCAGCGGTGTGCGTGAGAAGAAGCAGAACCGAGAAGCAGTGACGCGAATCGGTCTTCCCGAAAAATCCAAAATTCGATCTTGCACATTTCATGCGACGGCAAGACGACATCACGAGATCAGGTGGACACGCATCGACCAAGAGGGAAGCTACGGCAGCAGCAGCAGCAGCAGCGATTGCAGGTGGGAGGACGCAGATCTGGGGGGGCGGGTACGGCGTCTGCGGGGACAGAGTTTGGTGGGTGCAAAGGGAAGGCGAAAGTCGAGAAGCTCCGACGGTAGCAACGGTCGCAGCAGCGGCATCAGCATCAACGTCAACATCGGCAGTCGTTGAGTTCGGCGGTACGGACGCGGACGGCGACGGGGATAAGGACGTGGACGAGTAACGATAGCCACCCTTCACGCACTCTTTCTCATTCTCTCGGTTTGGAGACAAAGAGGCAGGCAGTTTAGTTTCTGTTTGGGACTTCTAGAAGCCGGTTTTTAGAGACGTGATCGAGCTGCTTCTTTTGGTTCTACATAAGAATTTTTTTGTTTTGGTTTCTGCTCTGCCCCAGGGGACGGCAATAGTACGGTGGGACACGGACGACTAGGATAGCATAGCGACAACGAGACACGACAACGACGGACTTCCCCCCCAAATCCCCCATACCCACCCTCACTACCCGCCCGATTTACTTTCTCCTCCTTCCTCTTCCTCCCTCCCATTCTCTCTCCTCAATCCCCTCTACCGATCATTCAAGCGCATCTATTCTTCCACCAAATTCACGGAAACATCGCCACGTCCTATGTCTGCACCGCGACAACCATCACACAGCTCGCGAGACCACGTTCCACCGCCACCACCGCCCCACAGCGCAAAGCCAAGCACGTCGCGCGCAGTGTCCCCGCAATACGATATATTTGTTATCCCGCAAGATCAAGTAGGCGGAGGTATCATCTACCTTCCGTCGCTGCGGTTACACTACATGTCGTTTGCGGTGGGTGTTGTAGCCACACTAGTCACGGTACTGCTGTTGAAGGTGCTGGGTCCGTTCATCATGACGGGGCTCCAGACACTGTATGGCACGCTGTTGTTTGCGGTGCTGGTCGGCGTTGCCGGTTGGTTCCTGAAGGGCTACTTGGATGCGCGACCTGCTCCTCGCACGAGAGAGTACAAGGGAGATTATTGGGGAAGCTCGAGAGAGAGAGGCTCGGGAAGCAGACGTCAGGGGGGTGAGTCTTCGCATAAGCGTCAGAATTCCAGTGCGAGTGCAAACCAGTCTTCGTGGTCGCAATCAAAACCAGACGAGAAACAGGACAGGGAGGAGCGTCGGGAGCGTCGGGAGCGTCGGGAGCGTCGGGAGCGCCGCGAGAGGCAGGAACGCGAGTGCCACGAAGATCAGCAGTGCGCGCACGAGCGGAAGGAGCGCGAGCGGCAGGACGAGCAGCGGGAGCACCGCGAACGCGAGCAACGCGAGCAGCGGCAGAGAGCGAAGGAGGCAGAATTGAAGCGGACGTCGTGGGACTCCCCGTCTTGGGACACACCAACGTGGAATAAGCCGGTCAAGTCGCCATCCGTGCCGAAGGAATCGGCACCTCCGCCGCCGTATCAGCCGCCTTCACCGCAACTACCTCCGCGGTCACCGTCACCCCCGCCTCCGTCCGCATCGAGGCCAAAGCGCGCTCCGCCACCACCACACTCGCAGCCGCAGCCGCAGTCGGTGCATGCATCTATAAAGGTGAAGCCAATACCCGAATTTGTGCCCGCATCGTTCCCAAAACCGGCAGTTCCGTCTGCCAAGAACATTCCCTCCGCAAACCTTAGAGTTTCAATACCGCAACTCGTGTCATCGTCACAAACACCCATCTCCGCACTACAGTCTTCTGGCGATCAAAGAACTTCAACGCCGAAAGTTCCGCAATCTCTTCCCGCAAGGGTCAGGCCTGCACCTGCACCTGTATCGGCGCCTGTGTCGGCGCCTGTGCCCGTGCAAAGGCCTGTCGCTCCCGTCAAACCTGCATCGGCACCTTCGCCGATGTTCAGGACTACTCCGTTTCCTGCTCCAGCAGAACCACCAAAGCCCACTCCCAAACCCGTGGAACCAGTCCCGACGCCTCCCCCGCTCCGACCCGCTCCGCTACCGTCACCGCCACCTGATGGCGGCGGCGGCGTCATCTCTCTGGATACTAACGATTCAGACGTGCCTTTTGTTTTTGAGCGTCCAAAGTTTGCATATAGTTTTGTCAAGGAAGATACTAAACAAGACGTTACGAAGACTCAGAATCCGAGCACGAGTACGACGACCACGACGACGGCAACGGACACGAGTACAGTTCCAAGTCAGAGCCCGAGTACAGCTACGACTCCGACTATTAGACCCGCTCCGCCTCCTCCTCCACCTACGAGTCCTCCTCCTCCGCGTTCGGAGTCCAGCGAAACCAAGCGGGAACGAGATCCGGCACAAGCGAAAGCGGAGAGGGCGGCTCGCGAGCAAAGGGCGAGGGAACGGTTACGAGCCGAGCGGGAGAGGCGGGAGCGGGAGGCACGGGAAGAGAAGGAGCGGGTTGAAAGAGTCAAGGCGGTGCGAGCTGCCAAGGATCTTAGGGAGAAGGAGCGAATTGAGCGTGAGGCGGCGGATAGGCTGAAGCGCGAGAAAGAGGAGAGGGAGCGCATCGAGAGGGAGAAGGTCGAGGCGGAGGAGCGGAAGCAAAATGAGGCGCTACGTGAGAAGCAGGAGAGGGAGCGGAAGACGAGGGAGGTCGCTGAGCGGGTCAAGGCGGAAAAGCAACGGCTAGCGAAGCAGCGGCAGCTGGATAAAGAGCGTAAGATAAAGGAGCGTGAGGAGATGCTTAGGAAGCAGGAAACCGAAAAACAGGATATTATCAGAAAGAAGGCGGAAGATGAGGCAAACGCTCTGATGCAAGAGGAGGAGCGGAAGAAGGAAGAGGCGGCAAGGGTGGAGCGCGAAAGGATCGACAAGATTCGGAAAGGACGCGAGAAGATCATTCGCGAGAAGCTGGAGAAAGAGAAGAGAGAGCGTGCTGAAACGGAGCGAAAAGAGAGGGAAGCTGCGGAGCGCGTTGCGAGGGAGGCAAGGGAGCGGATACGGGTCGAACAGGAGGAGAGCGAGCGGTTCCGGAGGGAGCTACTTCAGGAGATTGAAGCCAGCACCGAACAAGAACAACGCATGAAGCGGGAACGAGAAGAACAGGAACGCCTCGAACTGCTGCGTGAGGAGCAAGAGAAGCGCGAGAAGCTCGAACGACAGAAAGCCGCCGAAGAGCGCATCCGCAGCCAACGCGAGCGGGCAGCCGAGAAACAGAAACAGCAGCAAATCGAGGAAGAGAAACGTCGGCAACAACAGCAGAGGGAGAGGGAGAGAGCAGAAGCGGCCGCGGCTGCAGCGGCGCAGGAAATTCCACCGCCACCTCCTCCACATCAAATCCCCCTCGATCCTCCTCCGGAATATCATGCTAGCCTTCCTCCCAATCCGCCGCTGCGGTCCCAACCATCGCACAGATTGTCAAATCCGCTTCCCAGGCAACCAACGACCGCTTCTCGGCGGACATCTAAACCTGATGTTTCGGCCTACCAGACACCCCCGCCTTCGAACGGACACAGCCGCAAACCTATGTCCGATGGTTCCGCCGGCTTGCCACCTTCCCCGCCCAGGAACACCGTCTCCTCCTCCAGATATTCGGACCCGCCCAAAAGGCCGGATCCCGCACCGCCCCCACCACCTCCTCGGCGCCAGAGACCGCAGTCAACTTCATACAATACCCCTGATCCCAATAAAATTGTGATCAAGGCTGTATACATGTTCACTATGCACAGTCAGAACCGACCTCTTGCTTCGCTCGTTTCCAGCGTGAACGGTGTCTCCGACGGACTTGTTCTCCGCGTATCGACCGAAGGGCTCTTCATCGATGACGATCGGTTGAGCTACTCTCACCGCGAATGGGATGTCAAGGCATGGTCAATCAAGCTGATCGAGATCTTTTGCCCACGATACACCCCTCCTCCCCGCTCCCAGAAGGACTCCAAAAAGGAGAACCCCATGCGCAAGATGTTTGGCGACAAGGATAAGGCGCAGCAACGCTCGGAAGAGGATATGGATCTGATCATTGAGAGTCTGGCACGGGTGTGCGGCACAACGTGCTCGGCTGTCTCGTCCGATGGGGGCGGCCGTCCTATCAGGCAGCACATGTTGAGGGTGAATCTCCGAGATACCGACGCCAGAAAGCTTGTATTCGTATGCGACGAGGAGGAGGCATGGAAGATTGCGGGCGCCGTGCAGAGGCTGCGAAAGGGATCCCAGGCGCGGCAGCTGGCGGTTGAAGGGCTGGGCACTGCCGAGGCGAGCTTGATCATGACGAATCTTCGAGCGGCTGCATGAGAGACTGTCTCTTTTGTTCTCTCTACTTCTCTTACTTTTTTTTTGCGTAGGCTGTCATATATTGTTCTATCTGTGTTTTTTCTTTTCTTTTCTGTTGGGTGCATCTATGGGTGTTGTGCTGTTGTATGAGCATGCATGTGTTTTTTTTCTATCTAGGTGGGCGTGAAGCGGGAGTTTATAGTTTTATAGTATCGAAGAGTTTGTTTTGTATTTTTCTCATACTTTTAACCAACCACATTAATGCCCTTTTGTTGTTTTTGATTATGATACTTGTTTAAAGAGGAGGACGATACGCCGTCATGAATGGAATGGAATTGAATTGAATGGGGTGAGATGGGATGGATGGGATGGAGAGCTTCTGGCGTGAAAAGATGGGGGTTTCGGTTTCTGTTGCTTGAGCTTTGAGGGGGGTTTTCTGTATGTACCGATGTGGATACCTAGCTTACCGTAGTATTATCATCTCGATTCTCGAATTTCCCGTCCTGGGCGAGGTGAAGACTCATCGGCATCAACTGTCCGCCTATCTAGCTGCCTAGCATCGACAGCTTGGCTAACGACGTAGACTCATCAACGCCAACCATCTAATTACCAGGCAGCAACAGCTTTAGTCTGACGATGTTGACTCTTAGCACCATGGTCTACATATCTAGCATCAACAGCGGATCAACAGCTCTAGGCTGACGCCGTTGCCTCGGTGGCCTCGGTGGCCTCTGGCAGGACGTCTCACAAGATAAATACCCCGCGCATTCCCCGCCCTTTCCCCCACCAACAAACCCAAACCCATGCCTATCTTAACGCCCACCGCGCGGGCCGCCATCGCCTCTGCCGTCCTCTCGGAGACGCCCGACATCATCAGCACCTTCTCCTCCGCAGGGGCCACCGCGGATTCCTCCTTCCACCTTACCCTCGCGCCGCTCCCGGCGGCCGACAGCCCTTCCCTCCCCGCGGCGCTCACCCGCGTTGTCAACCTAGACACCTACTCCGCTGCACGGGCGATGATCCGCGACGGCGCGGTACCCTCCGAGACGGCAGTGCTCAACCTGGCGTCGGACCTCGAGCCCGCCGGCGGTTGGAAGCGTACCCTCCTCGAGACGCAGGAGGAGGCGTTGTGCTACTCGTCGACGCTGTATGCCACGCTGCGCGAGGAGTGGTATCCGTGGGCCAATAGTGTTGCCGGCGGGATATGGAGTCCGGGCGTTGTTGTGCATCGCGATACGCTCGCGAATGAGTGTAAGAGGTTGCCGGATGACGAGGTGCTCGTGCTGGGGGTTGTTACCATCGCTGCGCCACGCTGGCAGAGGGTCAGGAAGGGGGAGTTTGCGGATCCGGTGGTGAGGGAGGGGTTGCTGGAGAAGGTTAGGGCCGTGCTGAGGATGGCGGCGGGCAATGGGAGGAGGAATCTTGTGCTGGGCGCGATGGGATGTGGCGCCTATGGGTGTCCGCCTGCGGCTACCGCTAGGGATATGGCGGCGGTGGTGCAGGAGAGCGAGTTTAAGGGCTGGTTTGAGAGGGTTTGGTGGGCGGTTGTCGATCCGCTCGGAGAGGGGAATGGAAAGGTCTTCACCGAGGCATGTGAGGGGCTTACGGTCGGGGGTGGTCCCGCTGCGGAGGTGGAGGGAGCGGCGGTCGAGTGAGGGTGGGTGATGCGCTCTTCCCATGTATGTTCTTTTTCCTGAGTGTATGTACATAATGCTGGTTTGATGATTCGTCATGGCTATCGTGTTATCGCGGATCTATGCATAAAGGCCACCTTGCTTGTTGGTATCTCTGCGCACGGCGGTGAGGTAAACGTCGCTTGGAGTCCTGGACAGTGACACGGGCAAACATCCAGCCGCAGCGCAACGAATTGGGGTCTGGCTAGGGTCTCCACAGGGTTCCCAAACAAAGCTTGAATCCAACGTGTGTGACGTACCTGATAACCTCCCACAAACCAGCCAACCGAGACCCAACAGCACCCCGCACTGTTGGTTACACGACGTGCACCGCCCCGCGTGGTGCTGACGCGTTGGATTCGTAACTTTAGGCAGAGGTGCGGGAGGGCGGAGTCATCGAGTAGATAACAGAGTAGCGCGCCCGGTTCGGGTTCCATCCAGCCCAGCCCAGCAGTCGTGTGGACAGTTTTCCCTTTCCATCCTTTCCTCCTTACAGCCAGTCAGTCGGTCAGTCAGTCAAAGTCAAATCAAACTCACATTCCTGACGACGAGGACGACGACGTGAATACATTCCACCTACCTAGCCAAAACAAAAACAGAGTTATGACTGACGCCGACGGCTTCCGTGGCCACAGCTACCGCCCGCATGGCCTCCCCCAGGACGTAGTCGACCCGTCCCCCGAGGAGGACGACATCTCCAAGCAGCCGCACGTGGGCACGTCATATGGCCATGTCTACGCGGAGACGGATGCGGATGTGGAGGAGGATGCGGAAACAGCATCACAGACCTCGCGATCGTCGTCGTCGTCATATACGTACGTGAACTCGCAGCGGGTGCCTTCGCCGCCGCCACCGCCGGCGGCGTTGGCGGCGGGGGGGTACGAGTACATGTTCCCTGCACGACGAGCGCCGGAGTCGATGTCGGATCGGAGTTATGGACAGAGGTCGTCCATGGACTATACGCCACGCACGAGTGAGTATGCGCCGTCGTACACGACCGAGTGGACGCCGCCAGAGTCGGCGGATGAGCATGAGCAGGAGAGTGTGGATACGAGGCCGCCATCTACGTATGTCCCGCCGACGGAAATTGAGGATATATCAGCGCAGACGCCGCTGGTGCCAAGGGCTAGATGGAGGTGCTTTGGAGCACGGTCGTCGCGCACGCTGCCGGCGCATGGTGGGAAGCGCAGGCGCAGCGGCTGTGTTCGCACGACTGCCCTCTTCGTTCTCCTGTTCCCACTGTTGTTTTGGGTCTATGGCCGCAGTATTATGAAGCACACGTTCGCAGAAATTGAAGTAACCTCCCCGTACGGTCTGCGCAAGTAAGATCTGTGTTAACATCCCGCAACAGGTACTACTCCCGCAGGGCTGCAACGTCACCCCCGAGGATGCCTTCGCAATGCACGGCACGCACTCGCTCCCCGCGGGAGATATCTTTAGTTTCGCAGAGGCGTTGTCGGCGCGGCGGATCATGCTGGACGGCACAGTACTTGTCCAAACCGCCAAGGATCCCGACGCCGCAAATATTACAGTATCGTACACCATTGCTTCCTCGTCCGAATCTGCGCTGTCACTCGCCTTCTCCGATGACCTGGCCGAGCTCATCTCACTTGTCGATGTGTCTTCAACGACGGAGGCGAACATCCTCTCAGCGCAGCGGTACACCAAGCAGAGAATCTGCGCAACCGCACACATAGTCATCACTCTCCCACGCTCAGTAAAGGAGCTATCCCTATCCACCACCTCCCTGGCCATTTCCCTCGCCGACGGCATCAGCCTCGAAACTCTATTCGCGGCCACCTCCCACGGCGGGATCCACCTCTCCAAGGACGCGCAGGTCAGCAACTGCACGACCGCGCGCACCTCCTTCGGGAGCATAAGCGGCACCTACGACCTGGGCGGACACCTATGCCTCGAGACGTCAGCGGGCAACATCAACGCAGCGATCCGGCCGCTCGCCACGCCCTTCTCCCCCGCCGCGCTCACCGCCAAAGCCGACAGCGGCTCGATCCACCTCAGCATTATCGGCGGCGGCGCCGGCAAAGCGCCGGTCCGCAACTACACCGCGGACATTTCCAGCACTACGGGCAGCATCAGTGGCGAGATCCTCCTCGGCCTCAAGGCGGACCTGTCGACGCACACGGGCACGATCCGGGTCGACTTTGTCCCCGTTGGCGATGCCGACGCAGATGTCACTACAGAAACGAAGTCGGGCAATATCGTTGTCGGTTTCAAACACCTGCTGCACGGGAAGAGTGTTTGGGGACGACATGAAACTCGCACTGGTGCCGTCGCGGTAAGGTACCCCAGCGACTGGGAGGGCCGTGTGCGTGCGACTTCGAGACTAGGCGTCGTGGATGTCCGTGGCAAGGGCGTGGTAACGGAGAGGAACGAGAGGGATGTCGTTGAGGGGTATAGGGGAGATCGTGATGCGGGCGGGATCGAGGCGGTTAATGGCGTGGGTAGTGTCGAGGTTTTGGTGGGGTAGTGTGTTGGTGTGCGGGTGTGCGGGTGTGCGGGTGTGCGGGTGTGCGGGTGATGAGTGATGGGGGGTGGGTGGTCACTTTCTTGTAAATACTTTGGCCCATGGGCAGTTATTGGTTTTAATCAGGTGTGTATATCAGCGGGAGCGAGCGAGGGTAGGCACTGGGCAGGGAGAGTGGTAGTTTTTATTGTATTTTTTGCTTGTTGGAAGCCCTGGATAATTTGTATTTACTTTATCTATGATTATACTTACATCTTATACTTATACGAGCACGTTGACGTTACATCACTCGTCATATCGTTCGGTAGCCAGTATCCTCATCTTCCTAACCTTGATGGCGGTGAATTCGGCTTGCAGCCCCACAGGAGATTAGAGGAATTGGCGGAGACCACCGAGTGACGGCAATTGATCATCCGTATCCTCCCATATCAATCCATATCAATCCATATCAATCCATATCAATCCATATCCTCCCATATCCTCCCATATCAATCCGTATCCATCCATATAATCAATCCCCTATCCTCACCATTTGTGCTCGGGTCTTAGTTAAGCTCTAGGTTGCCTCCCGAGGACCGGTTCATACATAAGCTCGAGGGGCTACTGTGCAGGCTTTGCTTAGCCAGAGTATGTAACCGGTCAGCTCATCTTGCGGAGATTTTGCGGGTGTTCTTACTTATGTCCCTATAGTAGCCCAGTCCGGCAAATTTCCTATAGTACCGTATGTACTTAGGGACGATTCTCTGTCTGAACCTCTGAGGCTTTATCCCTTTTGTTTACTACCTAGTACACGGGCTGGTTGTTTCCCTTTAAAAGCAGTCTCTTCAATTTAATAACTCATCTTTCTTAATCATCTCATCAATTAAATCAAGTTCTTCTCTCAGTTTCAACAGCCGCAGTGGATGACAAACGAGTGATATGTACCGCATGCCGGCCACCTGGCCTCACCCACCCGCCCGTCTACCAGATCCGAATGGGATAAACTTTCCACCCCGGGCCCCGACTCGGCCGCCGCTAGTGTGCCTGGCTTTTGCTTCGTCCGCGCTTAAAATGCCTGCAACATTGAACTTCCTGTGGGGATGTGTGCTGGAGCGTGGGTTCTCCAGCACGTGGGATTATCGCTGAGGTCAGCCACATCAGGGGCGACGTAAGGGTAGGGGGCTGACCTTCTGCGAATGCCTGGCTCAATCAATCCCCCCCAACCCAACCGGCCGGCCGGCACGAAGAAGGACACCCGAAGACTAAATTCTCTGCTCGAGTGACAGATCATGCCGAAGTGCGGACCACCACCTACGACCTTCCACTACCTACCAAATACTAATCACCATTACCGCCTCTGCAAACATGAAGTGGGCACTGGGGTACTATAGGTAGGCTGGGCGAATATTCGAGTTTCAAGGAGACAGGACAGCGCAGCTAAGACGAGAATACATACTTTTTAGGTAAGTACCTAATACTGGTATATCAACGGCGATCAATCATCAGGCTGGAAAATAAGGAGAACGGCGAGGACCACAAGGAGGGAGTTTTCTGGGCACAAGTACCTACATAGGTCGGTAGGTATTCCTGGAAATCTAATCGAGCGGATGGGGCGGGTGGGAAGGGGGGGCATTCAGAGGCTGGCGTCGAGTCTCGTTGGTGAGCCATGACGATCTTTCTAGCATCAATTTCCAGTGGATGGCCTAGGCTACATTTTATTTTCTAATCTATTCTTAATGGCAATGGCGGGCCCCTTAGGATGCTATGTAGATCCGAGGACTCGGTTGGCCAGTGGTCGGTCATGAGGGGGGTGATGTGATTTCCGAACGATTGGGATGGGATAGAAGCCGGCAGATATTTTAGGATCCTCCCTAGGCCTCACCCTCACCCACACCCTCAGGCTTAGTTACTCTAGATCCGAACTCCGTGATCATGGGCTAGGTAGGTATTAACGGGCATTTTTAAGTTTGCCTACCCCCATACCTCGTAGGGGGGTGAGGTGCGATGTGATGAGGTGTGATGATTCCCATTCGCCCATCCGCTCCGCACCTATGCTAGAGCTATGCAGACGGACGGACGGATTTAGTTTAATCTCACTGAGAGCCCGTGATAATTTCCGGATTCCTCGAATCCGCAGCCCTACCTACAGTATCGAAGTGTGTTTCACCCCTCGGTGCGTGCAGTGGGCACTCGGCCGGTCGAGGCCATGCATCTATACTCCGTGAGCATATTCTTACAGTCTCCTCTGTACCTACCCCTTCTCCATTGCGGTGTGTGGTGTGGCCCGGTCCATAGGAGCGCATAGAAGCGCCGGCGCTGGCGTTCCACCCCTAACAAACGAACGAAACCATCTCTCATCTCACGCAGATCCAAAAGCAAGGAACCAAGGAGTAAGGACTGGCAAGGACTGGCAAGGACTGGCAAGGACTGGCAAGGACTGGCAAGGACCAATGGCCAAGGAGCGAGCGAGCGAGCGCGACTTCCCCCTCCTCCACTCCACTCCACTGACTGCCTTTCGCTCTTACTCATCCTCCTCCTCCCCCACCACCCACCACACACACTCACACACACACTCGTCATACCTACCCGCCCCATCCATGTCGATTCAACCGTCGTAGCGGGATCCACAGCCCTATGTACCAGTACTAGCACACTCCACTATACGCACGTCCGCGGCCTCACCCCCTCCCCCGCGTGTTTCAACGCTCGAGTGACTCCCCATGCAGCCCCTGCAACGGCGCTGGAACGGCGCTGAGACGGTAATGCACACTCACACGCTCACACTGCCCCTTATCAGGTCCAAGCTCCTCCCCGAGCCCCAGTCATCCCGTCATTTCTTGCGGCAGCCTGTAAGATTCCCTAGGAAACTAGGTGGAGTATGTGGGTAACTAGGTGGGCAACTAGGCACGACATCATGATGAGTCGTGCGTGAGTTGAGCGAGTGTGGCCGTGCTGGATAAGTGCCGTGTGTTGATATGGTATGGTGCTAGTAGTTAGTAGAGGATCCCTGCAGGCAGTGGGTGCCAGACGCTGGATGAGGCTGAACCACGCTAGAGGAACTCAGAGAACCGACGACCAGCGGCGCCCGGCGAGCTCGACACCGCCGTAGTTACTGCTGTATGTATGCACCGCGCGAAAGGGGTAACCAAGTATGTAGATAGAGCAATTGCTGGTTAGAAGGCACCGCAGCCAGGCCGCCGCCGCCAATCATTGCGCGCACCACCGACCCCATCGCTCCCACCGCTCCCACAGTGAGTGAGCAGAGTGAGCATCAAAGTGCGCGGGCTCAAAGTCTGGGCGGCAGTGCAGAGTGCAGAGTTTCTGTGCCTGCTGTGTGCCTGCTGTGCGTGTGACAAAGGCCCGCCTGCGTCCTGTCCTGTCCTGTCCTGTCCCGACCTGTCCAGTCCTGTCCTGTCCCGACCTGTCCAATCCTGTCCTGTCCCGACCTGTCCAGTCCTGTCCTGTCCCGACCTGACTGACGTCGCGCGGGGCAGACCCGACGCCGACGCGAACCCCGGCTAGCGCAGAGTGCTCTACTCTATGTAGCATATGCAGAGTTGCAGAGTATGTGCGGTAGAGCACCGAACCTGACTGCACTGGACTGATGCGTGCGGGCGTGAGAATGCTTGCGCTTGTGAGGTTGATTTGAATTTTGAGGTTGATTTGAATTTTGAGGTTGATTTGAATTTTGAGGTTGATTTGAATTTTGAGGTTGATTTGAATTTTGAGGCTGATTTGATTACTGGTGATATGATATGATATGATATGATATGAAGTGATGCACAGATTGTGGTGGGTGGGTGGGTGGGTGGGTGGGTGTTCCTGAGGATCGCTCGCTGGGGTGGGGGAGGGGGGGGGGGGCAGTTTATGGGTAAGGTATGGTACTCACTTACTGTACTGTGCGTGCGGCGTGCTGTGTGCTGTGTGCGTGCTACCGAACCCGGAGCACTGGCTGACAGGTCGAGAGTGAGGTGAGTGAGGTGAGTGAGGTGAGTGAGGTGAGTGAGGTGAGTGAGGTGAGTGAGGTGAGTGAGATAAGTGAGGTAAGTTGATGTGCGCTCTCCGTCCCATCCATCCATCCATCCCATGCCATGCCATCTCATCCCATGCCCTCCACTCCACTCCACTCCACTCACCTCCATCAGCCTTGCTGCGCAAAACCGATGGATACCTACCGCAACTGAGGATCTCGTGCAGTTGGGCTGGGTAGGTGTGTAGGTGTGTAGGTGTGTAGGTGTGTAGGTGTGTAGGTGTGTAGGTGGGTAGGTGGGTAGGTGTGCAGGTGGGTAGGTGTGCAGGTGTGTAGGTGTGCAGGCGTGTAGGTGGGTAGGTGTGCAGGTGGGTAGGTGTGCAGGTGTGTAGGTGTGCAGGTGTGTAGGTGGGTAGGTGTGCAGGTGGGTAGGTGTGCAGGTGTGCAGGTGTGTAGGTAGGTATATAAGCCCGCCCCCCACCGGCCCCATTGCGAACTTTCTTTACATACACTCCCGAGAAAGACAAATACCCAAGTGCCTTCCACCCCACCCCTCCTCCCAAACACATCAACACATCAACACATCAGTACATCACCACCTCCTCCACCATGTCGCAGCCCAACACCAGCTCCTCCGCGCAGTACTACACCACGACGACCAGCGCGCCCCGCCCGTCGGCGCCGCGTCCCCCGCGCCTTCCCACGCCGGACCTGAAGCCGATGCCGATGGCGATGTGGCCCAACAGTGGCTACTACGTACGTTCCCCGTCTCCCTTTCCCTTTTCCGTGATCCAGCAGAGGGCTAACTTTCTCGCAGAGCTACGGCAAGTAACGTCCCCACAAAAATACAAAACACACAAAACATACTTTCACCTATGACTCCCAGTCGACGGTTGAGTCGAATCGCTATTTTTCGATACTACCTGGCTCGTTCGAGCGCGATTGATTGATCGCTGGATCTTCAACACGGTCGTGGTACATGGCTGTCGAATCTCCACTTCGGTACCGGGCCATTATCTGGCCAGTCTGCTGGCAAGGCAGAACAGGGCTGGGAATGCGGCGGCAGAGGGGGAGGGGGAGGAGTGGGAAGAGGAGGATCTGGGGGAGGATTTGAGTGATGATCTAGGAGGAGGGTCTGGAATTACTGCGTTGCTTGCGGTTTGCGAACCGATTCTCTCTGTCTCTGTCTCTCTGTCTCTCTGTCTGTTGGTGTTCATTGCTGCGGAACGTTTTTCTTGGCTTATTTGCCAACCAATTCTCTCTGTCTGATTATTCTCTCTGTCCGTCCATTTCATTGCTAAGAACATTTTTCCTGTTCGCCTTGATCTCACATTCTCTCTGTTCACTGAACATTCTATCCATAGCACACAAGAACCATGTCTCGTGCGCGCACACATCGCACACATTGAACGCCCTGAGTACCTGAGGTCCCACCACAGTACAGTAGATTTTTTTGTTTAGTGATGCCGTAAGCCAGCACCCGCAGCTATCCAGCAGCATTGGATGGATGTATGGATGGATGGATGGGCTGCATATGCACATGCACAATCCATGCACCCTGCACATGCTCGAGCGAGAGCGTGCGCCCCAGCTCACCGGGCGTGCGACAGGGGTAGTTTATGTACCGTAGGAGGCTGCTGCTGGTGCGCTGCTGCTGTGGTGGCTGTGCACCGCCTCCTTCGCTGTTGCCTACAATTACATGTACATGCTTACAGACTAAGGTAAGTAAGGTAAGTAAGGTAAGTAAGGTAAGTAAGGTAAGTAAGGTAAGTAAGGTAAGTAAGGTAAGTAAGGTAAGTAAGGTAAGTAAGGTAAGTAAGGTAAGTAAGGTAAGTAAGGTAAGTAAGGTAAGTAAGGTAAGGTAAGTAAGGTTGACTGCGCTTCATGGTGGGTCGTTCGGTGGCTGTGAGTGTCGGAGCCGGCCGACAGGTTGTAATCGTGGATGATCGCCTTCAGCCTTGTGTACCTAGAGCACTAGTAAATAGTATAGATACATCTAGATAATCCAATCACGACGCGACTCAACCCTACATACCTACGGTACTTGCCTACTCTATCTGACAAGTGCAATTGCACGTTCCAGCCTTCTCGTCCACTTCGATTTTGACACTGGGAAGCTTAACCTCTCCGGACGGCTTCGGCTTCGGCGTCGGCAGCGCAGACGCCTCAATATCAGCCGTGGAAGTTCCCGCCGCGGCCCCCTCACTCGTAGCGGCACTCTCCGCCGAGCTCGCCGTCGGCCTCGGTCCTGCCATGCCATCCTTATCCTTGACGGGCGTACCCTCACCCATACCCGTACCCGTACCCTTACTCCCAGGAGCAAAGCACTTCCCATCAGTCGGCAGCTTAAATGGTATACCCTCAACCAGCCGTTCGGTAACCTCCTCCCCAGGGTTCGGATACCTCAGCGCCGCCCCAGGGGTGCTCTTACACTGGCCCTGGCCAATGTGTCCCTGTACGTTCATATCGCCGAGGAACATATCCGGGCTCTCCTCCAACATATCCCCCCCATCCCCACCCCCGCCTTGAATTTCCACCTTCGCGCAATTCATGTAAAACTCATCCCTATTCCCCGTGACCGCGATCCACGTCCATGCGAAAAGCGCCGGACCCGCACGCGTATTCGCGGGGATAACAAAGTTGAATCTCTGGTCGGGATCGGTGGACAGGTTGCTGCCGAGCGGCACACCGCGCGGACACCCGCCGATATACGAGTGCAGCACTTTCCAGGTAACACCGCCGTCGAAGGAGAGGCTCGCTTGGCAGCTTCCGCCAGAGTGCGCGGCTAGCGCGCCTTCGGCCCCTGGGATTAAGTGGCCGAGGATTCTAAGGGGGGTTAGTGAAAGTGGACGGGGGAGGGTGGGAAGGGGGGGTGGGAAGATACTCGAAATATGCGCTCTCACCCGCGGTCCACTTGGTCGTTGCGGACGTGGAGAGCAAGGCGGACTTGTGCAGGCCTTTGCATGGGAATTGGCTGCCGTCCGCGGCTAGTGGGGCGTTGTAGGCGTTCGCTTCGGGCGCCTCGGCGGGCGCGCCGATCGGGGGTGGGTACTTGATGCGGGCGTGGGCGGAGACTAGTGGTAGCAGCAGGAGGAGCGGGAGGAGCGGGAGGAGGGAGGAGGGAATGCGCATGGTGGATCTTGGTGGATCTTGGTGGATCTTGGTGGATCTTGGTGGATGGTTGGTTGGATGGATTGTTAGATGGCTGTTCTGGCTGTGTGTGTGGGGGGGTTCCTGAAGGCTGATATCTACTAGTTAATGCTTTAGTTAATGCTTGACTACCTGTGAGGAGAGGAAGATCTGTCCGTTTATATGCAGACGGGGCGGGGCGGGTGAGGGTCTACATGAGCCACGGAGGAGGAGGGGGGGCATGTTGATCGAGCTGTTGAGCTGTTTGTCGTCCACGGCCCACGGGGGTTCAAACACTGACACTGACACTGGCGTCTGGGGCTTTCGGGATGTTCGAGTTGGCTCCAAACTCATCTAGACGGCTAGTACAATCCCGTAGCAGAATCCCCTCGCCGACCAAGTGGGTGCCCGCCCGTAGAGTAGGAAGTCCTCCGCTGATCAAGAATCGTCCAACTATTTCCTTCGTCCATCACGACCAGTCTGGCAGCCACCGCTGCTTGAAGAGCCATGCAAAAGACTGGCTATTGCTCCCGCCTGGATGCCATCACTCGCATCAAAAAGAGTTGAAGAACAAAAGAAATGATTGATTCAGCCGGGATTTGAACCCGGGTCGGGCGCAGAATGCTGGTTGGCAAGCGCCCATGATACCCCTACACTACTGAATCGAGTGATATCTTTGGCAACTATTAGTAGCATATATACCGTGTGGCGCCTGGTCACAAACCCACTGCACAGTAACAACCACCCCAATGGAATACGTTCGTTTCTATACACTTTTATTGCCCCATAACGCCCATAGAAGTACCCTCACATCCGTATCGAAGACCCCCAGTGGCCGATTAAGGCCACTACCTCTTGCGCCTCCTCACAGTCTCGAAACCATCCTGATCGACCTCGGGCTCCTCTCTCTCCTTCGGCGCAGGCGCAGCAGCAGCAGGCGCATCACCCATCTCCTCATCGTCATCCTCGTCGTCGTCCTCCTCATCACTCGAGCCAGCATCCTGATCGACGGCTTCCACCCTCGGCGGCAAGATCATCTGTCCCCTCGGCTTCGACAGGAACCGCTGATGCAGCGCGTCGACGGCAGAGAAGTTGTCTTCAGCGATCTGCCTCCGCAGGTCGACGACTTTCTTCGCGACCTATCCCCCATCACAGAATTAGCTTTCGGCTTCCTTCCTTCCTTCCTAAGGAGTGCAGTGCGACGGACCTCGTAAGCGCTGTCGTCCTCGAGCGCAACCTCGAACTCGTCTTCCATGACCTGGACGAGCGTGCTCTCGACCTCGTACTCGTCGGCGTCCGGAATGCTGCTCCACAGGTCGGCGATGGTGCCGCAGAGCCAGTCGCGCTTGTCGCTGCTGTCGGCGCCGCCCCACTGGCACGCTACCGCGTCCGTCAACGGCGGCCAGAAGTTGAGGAGTAGCGAGACTCCGAGCTCCCATTTGGGGGTTTGCGCGGCGGTCAGGTTGGCGGGTATGGGGGCTTGCGTCGACATCGTGTGGTTTGTGGTGGTGGTTGTGGTTTGGTGAGGTGGGATGCAGGTGGGATGGCAGGTGGGATGGGCACGTTGCACAGACAAAATATTTTGGACCCCGCGTTTAGCCCTAACCTTGCGAGCTTATATTCACGCTGGACAGATAAAAAGCTTGGATAGTCAACGTTTGACGTCTGGATTACGTGCGCAGCCCTCTCCTGCCGGAATTGGACGCAGGAAACAGCAACCGGCGAAAACATCCGTCACTTCGTATGTAGCTATGAGATACGGCACGATTGCGGGCTGTTGTAGCTGATGTGCCGTGCAATTGCAATTGCGACAGATGTTCCAGGGTGCCCACCGAAATCTGTTGTTACAAGAGTGATATACACATCCCACCCACCCATCCTCTACACCGTCACAGCCTCCTCCTTCGGAGCGTCCGCTTCCGGTACTGCTTCCACTTTAGGTAGCTCCACCTTCGGCGCCATATACGGCCGGTCCGACCTGCCCTGATCCGCATGTCCCACGAGTTCCGGCCACTCAGCCGCATACTGCGTATCCAACATATCCCTCCAGCGCACCATCACGTCGCCGTTCTTGATGGCCACGCCTTCACTCGCCGAGCGCGCGATCTCGATGCGCAAGCTCTCGGCCAGATCCGCGATGGAGTTCGCCTTCTGGTTCATGATGACGTACTTGCGCTCCTTCTTTGGCATCTCGAGGAGCACGGGGTCGTATTGTGTCTCGTGCAACTTCCGGAACTCTCGGAGCTTGTGATACGTCTTGAGGCCGAGCGCGGGCTCGGGGAAGGACACAGTCGCGAGCGGAGACCAGTGGTCCTTTCGGAGCGCGGCAGGAACCGTCTTCTTCGCGATGAACGGGAGTTGCTTGAGTGCATCGTTGTTCTGCGCAAGTGTTTTCTCGAGGTCAGTGGCTTCTTGTCGTCTCGTCCGGGAGTGAGAGTGCTAGAGGCGGAACGGAACGGACATTCAAGGTTCGCGTGAGGGAGTAGACGACTTGGTTGGTGTGGATGTTATTGTAGATGAAGATTGTACGGCCGTGGTTGGCGACATTCTTGACCGGTCGGACCATGGCGGGCAAGCAATGGGTGGACGGGTAGGTTGGCGGGGGGGTGTTCTCGTGTGCGGGCGGTGATGCCCGGTGGAGCTTTCGAAAATGCTAGACGTTGCCAAGTGGCCATTACCCGGATTTCTATTACTAGTACATGTGTTACAAGTAACATCCCTTGTGATCTCCCCCATGTGAAAGACTGTACTCCAGTCAGAGTAAACATCTGTTCCTTGACGCGAATCAAGACCCTGTTTCTTCTGTCTCTTGTCTCTTTACCCCCAATCACACCTCCCTCCAGCTTTGTTGATCACCGTGTACTCCCTTCCGCGCTGCTCAAAAATACGCACGACGAACACACTGCATCTATTCATTGACTTTACACCATCAGTACCATTCCAAAGTCACTAGACCAGTGAAAGGCGAACGCAACACAACGCGCAAACATAACTTCGAATTTCCCCGGTGTGTGACGGCGTCGCTCCCGAAATGCCGTCCTCCTCGTTCCGCAACAACTACCGTCCACCACCTCGAGAATACGCATACAACCAATACGAGCCCAACATCGCATTGTCTACGGTGTCTACGGTCGTCGTCGGGGGAGTCCTCCTGATCTACTTCCTGCTCGCCGACTTTCTCGCGCTCCCATCGCCACTCGACGCCATCGCGCTGATGGCGGGTCGCCTCTTCGGTCCCGCGGCGCGCGAACGCCTACAAAACGCCTTTGCGACGACGCCGCGACAGGTCGTGAGCCAGGTCCGGAACCGTGCCGCGTCGATAGTTGGACGGGCGCCGCCCCGTGTCGGCGGCGGTGGCGTGGTCGGCGGCCTCTGGAACGTGGGTAATACGTGTTATCAGAATTCGGTGCTGCAGGCGCTGGCGAGTCTGGAGGGGCTGAAGTCCTGGTTGGATGCGATCGAGGATGGGATCACGGCGGAGGCGCTGGGCGATCTCGTCGAGGAGCTGAATACTGTTTCGGACCGGCCCAAGGTCGAGACTGCGAGTGCGCTGATCACGCAGGCTAGTGGCGGCACGCGGGGCTGGATGTTTAATGAACAACAGGATGCGCAGGAGTTTCTCCAGGGCTTGATGGGCGTGTTGGAGAAAGAGGTTGGGGCTATTGAAGAGCGGAGGAAGCAGGATACGACCGTGGGGTTGGAGGGGATATTAGGGCGGAAGGATTACATGGTGGCGCAAGATACCTCGCTGAGGAGTCCCTTTGAAGGGCTGTTGGCGCAGCGGGTCGGATGCTTAAAGTGTGGATATGTCGAATCGATATCTCTGCAGCCCTTTACGACCTTGTCGCTACCAATACCAAATGCCTGGGCCACAACACTGGAGGACTGCCTCCACGGTTTCACCGAAATCGAAAACATTCCGGAAGTGGACTGCGACAAATGCACTCTCCTTTCGATCCGCGACCGCCTCATCGAGTTCCGTGCATCTTTATCAAGTGCACCACGTGCGCCATTATCACCCACCAATTCGGACCCTGAGAGCGACAACGAGAAGTCGCCACCGCCGCAAGCATCGCAAGCGATGATAGAAACTATCGCTACGCGCCTCGAAGCTATCGAGGAAGCTCTCGACGACGATAATTTCTCGCCGCGCATTTCTGGCGTCAAACTGGACGGTTCGCTTAAGGTCTCGTCTACAAAGACGAAGCAGGTGATGATTGCGCGTGCACCACAAGTGCTGGTGCTACACACCAACCGGAGCAAGTTTGACCCGCTCACGGGGACGGTGGGGAAGAACTATGCTGCTGTCAGATTTCCGGCCATTCTCGACTTGGGTGCGCTTGGCGTCGTCACGAGACACGAGCAGCTCTCTACGAATCCTGGTCGAGCGATCAGTGACTCTAGAAAAGAGGATGAGAATGTCGAGGACGATATGATGGCTGCTGGCGGGGAAGGAGTATATGAGCTCCAAGCTGTGGTCGCCCACTACGGCGGTCACCACAACGGCCACTACGTTGCCTACAGGAGCTGGGCCGACCGGTGGTGGAGGATCAGTGATCACGAGGTCATGTTAGTTGCTCTTCCTCTCTTGCTACCCCAACCCCACTGACCGGATTAGTGCTTGCCATGAGGAAGATGCCCTCGGCGCTTCAAACGCATTCATGCTATTCTACGAGCGCGTCTCGGCAGAGGCACTTGCACGGCGGCGCGAACGAGAGGCAGCCGAGCCGCCGATAGAAGCGTTGATCACTTCTCTCCCAGCCAGTGAGAATGAGGACGAGTCCCAGTCCACTGTCTACCGCGCGCCGCAGCAGCTACCCACACCTCCTGACTCGGACGGTGAGGACGACTCCTCGGCGGAAACCCCCACGCCCACACCCCAATCACCGCCATTATCGCCCAACAACGAGTTGGACCACGTCGAACATGACGAAGTGCCAGAACTCAGCAGAGACGTAAGTTCTCGCGACTCCTCGCCGGAAACTCCGCCGCCGTCCGCGATGCCTCCAATGCCGAAATCGAAGAAGACGGGCAAGGGCCGGCGGAAAGGACGCGAACGGGTTGGCGGCGCGGTGAATTAGGGATGCAAGCACTGGGGGTAATGGCGTATGGAGTTTTTCTTTTCCTTTTCCTTGAGGCCCGGCCTGTTGTACTATATGTGTATTGGGATGGATCGCTGGGCTTTTTATGGGCTTTTGTCACGTTTCGGGCGGGTTGAAGTTTAATTAATTACTTGTATGGAGGGCGTTTAAACTTTGAGGGTTATTCACGAGCCCAGTATTATGTTGCGGCGTTGGAGTTGTCGCTTTGAATGGGTGGCAGTGGTTCCATCTTCCATCGTGGCTCACTCGTTGGTTTCCTTCTTTTGGGTGTTGGGAAATGGATAGGATGGACGCCTGGGATTAATGGATATCATTGATGGATGGGACGGGACATATGCATACACGCTATAATCAAACGGAGGGGCGGATGGTATTTTATGATTTATCCTATCGACATGTAATTGAAACAGCCGCATAGTACCAACCTACTTTTTGAAACAAATACCAGTGAGATACTTAGGTGACACTGTTTTATACCCACCATGAAGCAACGGTCGATTATGCATGAATACGAGGTATATCGATAGCATAGATCTCACCTCGCCTTGATCATACTGTAAGTAGAGTAGACATAAGGTCATGGCGGTCACGACTACGGTGGACTATAACGAGTGATGAATAGTGCCACTCGCAGTGCGAGTGAGCCGGCATGCATGGATGCAGACAAAAACAAAAACAAACCCCACTTCATCCTCTCCCTAGGGCGGAAGATACGTGGCGCATTGTGTAGCACGGTATTACGTCGGCAGATGAACCGCCGAACCGGTGCTGCTGCGTGCACCGCCGGTCCGGATAGGTTATGTAAGTACCGCCAGTCGGCACTGGCACTGGCACTGGCGGTGGATAGCGGTGGATAATTCCATAGAGCGAGCGAGCGCGAGTCTTGAACACCGAATTCCGAACATTGACCACCGACCACCGAGTGATCTCCGTGTTCTGTCGGCTTCGGAACCCCTTCCTCTCCAGAACACCCCGACCTCGGCCTCGGCTTTAGATTCAGACTCAAACTCAGACTCAAACTCGGCCTCAGATAAACTCCCCGACCGCGGCATATCGCCCGATCGCGGCACTCCCCCGCATCACCCTACCCCGTGCCCCCGTGCCCCCGTGCCCCCGTGCCCCCGTGCCGAACCCGCACTCCCTCCCGTACTCGCACTCTATGTATGTAGGAATCATGTAGGTGTGTAAGAAGTATATAGTTGTGTATGTAGGTGTGTAGGAAGTGTGTAGGAATCATGTAGGAAGTATGCGTGAATGTACTCTACTCTACTCTACTCGCCGTGCACTCCGCAGACTCCAATCTACTCGCCGTGCACTCACCGCATACTCAATGCGCGAGCGCACGCCGAATAGAGTACCTAGATGAGCTGCACGCACGCCGGAGCTATTACCTACATTGCTTCACCTTACCTTGCCTGCCTTACCTAAATTACCGTGCAGGGGGGATCGGGTGTTACGGCATAGCTTCGGGCTCCACGGAGCATCTCACTCATTCAATGCCTTTCTTTCTCTGTGTATGCAATAGATTACCTACCTACGCAGTCATCTCCGTCTCCGCAACCATCTCCGTCGCCGTATTCGTCGCCGTATTCGGTCGTTGAATCGCTTCGTCATGTTTCGGAAATCCAGCTTGGAATCCAGCCCTGAGCTCTAAGCTTGGAATCCAGCCTTGAGCGTGGAGCTGACTGTGTAGAAAGTAATGTATGTACGGTATGTATCATGTAAGAAGCATGTAGGACTTAGGTAGTACATCCTCCCGACTCCCACTCCCAACTAAAAAAAAACCCCCCCACGCACGCTCCGCATACGTATCACGGGTATCATCATTCGATCAACATCGACCATCATCGATCAAGACTCTCTCTCGAGAAAAAAAAAATACAGACAAAAGAAAATGAAAATAGAAATTAAAAAAACCCAGATTTCTTAACACCGTCCTTCCCCGCCCAAAAAGGAGCCCAAAAAGAGACCAAAAAAAGAGACCATCGCTATAAACACAAACCCAAGACCCATAGATAGAGAGAGACAGAGAGACCCATAGAGAGACAGAGAGAGACAGAGATAGACCGCCCTCCGTTATTAACAGACCCAGACCCAGACCAGACCCATCTAGGAAAAAAGAAAATAAGAATAGAAAATAAAATGGCAAGAAAATAATGTTGGTACAACTGTATGTACAAGATGTAGAAGTGAATTAGTGTTGGTGGTTGGTGTTCAAGGTTTTAGATCTACCATCTACCAGCCGAACGACTCGGTGTGGAGGTAGACCTCTTCCCGCTCGTCGCTGGTCCAGATATCTGCCTGCATGGCAGCCACAGCGTTTGCGACATCGACCTTCATGCCCGGAGGACCACAGACTGCACCGAATGTAATCAGTATAAGAAACAACACAACAGAAACTTGGGAAAAAACATACCATAAACGCAGGCCCTCTTCCCAAAGCCCTCAGACCAGAGTCTCAAGCCCTCCTTCAATGGCGGGCGTCCAAACTCGAGCAGCACCTCGTCGCCCAGCGGTGGGAGTTTGCTGAGTCGCTTCTCGGCCTCGTAGATGGACTCGCCGCTGGGCGACTGCGCCATGTCTTCCTCCGAGTTGCTGTGGCCGAGCTCCTTCCGCAGCGCGATCACTTGCATCTCGTATTCCTTCTCGTTGGGTATCTCGCGGACGCCGTGGAGCGGCTCGGCGGCGTTGAACATGGGCGTCATCGGCGTAGACGGGGTGCGTGGGGAGGCGGGCCAGTCGCGGGTCGCAGAGAGCGGGAAGGATGGCCCAGGCAGGGGCACAGGTGTTTCTTGCGTCACGTAGTATTGGACCAGGAGGCAGTTCTTGGGCATCGACCGGGCGATCTTGGAGATCTCATCCTTGAACCATTCGAAGGCGTCTGGGAAATTCTGTTAGCCGATATAAAGTGGAAGCGGAGAGGAAAAAGGGCCATACCAAAGTGCTTGACAGTCCAGATCAGGCGGACGTCCCTCGTCACCGCCTCCTTCGCTCTGATCTTTGCCGACAGCTCCCACAGATGGCCGATGACGGGCGTGATACCGGAGCCACCGCAGATCAACAGCACCGTCTCGAACGATTCGAGCGGTCGTGCGAGACCACCGTAAGGCCCATCGAGATAGACGCGGAACGAGTTATCGGGCTCACTGCGCGAGATGTCATAGACCTTCTTGGTGAAGCCCTTCTGGGGCTTGAAGACGAGCACGAGGTCGTTGTGCTCGCCCTCCACCTTGGCTGGAGCCGAGGCGACGGTGAAGGGATGGTTGTCGAGGAAGGCGATGCCTGGGATTCGGATAAAGACATGCTGGCCAGCTCTCCAGCGGAGGGTGGTCGGCACGGTGATCTTGATGCCGTCGTCGCTCAGGCGGGTAAAGTGTGCCATTTCACCCGAGAAAGCCCGGATGAAATTGGTCTTGAAGAAGAGGCGGTAGATGAGACAGCCGACCCAGATGGCGAAGCCGGCAAAGAGGTAGTGCCAGCTGGTGAGCATGTTGTTGCAGTGCCAGAACATCAAGCCGAGGAAGCCCACGCCGGCAACGATGTGGATGTGGACGAAGAACTCGTAACACAGTTTCCTGCCTCGAGTCAGTTATGCGATCATACAGGGAGGACACCGGAGGGAGCAAACCTGATGGGTGATACCGAGGCCGCGGTGAGCCAGAACAAGCAGGCAAAAGCTCCAACGCCGTTCCAGTAGACAATATTGGACATGAACTTCTCCTTCGCCTGTCCCCAGCCGCCATTGACCACGGGCTCGACGATGTACGGGATAGCGTGGATGGCACTCAGGATGGCCATCAAGATTCCCAACCAACGATGCAGCACGTTCAACTTCTCGTGTCCAACACCGGTGACCAAGCTGACCAAGTTGACCTTCATCCCGAGCGCAAGCACGAACGGGATCATAGCCACAGCGATCATGCCCGCTCTCCCCGCTATCGGCGGCGGGCCGAGCTCTGGGGAGCGCGAGTAGTACGGGCGCTGGGTGAAGACCCACAGCATCGGGTACATGAAGCCGGCCATGATCAGTGTGCACATGCCGATCGAGATGTACGCGGCCCGGCGCCAGCGCAGGTAGGCGAACGCCCGGAAATGCGTCGATATGCGGTCGTACAGACTCCGCTCCGGCAGCTTCTCCCTTATGCCGTTCTTCATCCGCCTGTTGGTGATGGTGATCCGGAGACGATTCGAATCGAGCCGGATGTCGTGCCAGTTGAGAGCACCGTAGATGAGGAGTATTCCCGATATGAAGAACACCCAGCCCAACGCATGCCAGTCACCCCTTCGCCACGGCCATATCAGCTTCTTCTGATACGACTGCAGTTCGATGTTGTTGACGTCGTAGAGCTCCGGGTTCAGTATATTCGGATTGATATTCAAGTCCGACATCTTGGGGGGTGCTGGGCTGGGGTGCGGAAGCTGAAGGTGTCGGTTTCCGCGTTGTTTATCTCCAGCTCATTATCCTATTTTCCTTCCTCTTCCACCGGTTGCTCGTTTTTGTGTTTTGTTTTTATTTCTTCCTTTCCGGGCCTTGGGGGCTGAATATATCCTCGAGTCTTTCGGTTGTTGTTTTTTCCCTCCTGCGACGATAAACGAATGATGGGGACAATGCCGACGGAAGTGGTGGAGCGATCGATTGAAGGGTCTGACAGCAAGCAGGAAGTGGAAGGGGGGGGTTACGCAGTAGAGATATATCGCTCCCGGCTGCATATATTTTTTTATTCCGCGAGCATGGGACATGGGGGTGTGGTATTGGGGGGGGGGGGGGTTGTTCATGTGGGCTGCAGAGGAGAATTCGGCATGAATCCCCGCCCCCTCTTTCCAGGCTATGCCCCCCCGGAGAGCTTCTTCTTCTCATGGTTCTGCCTACCCTGGCCCGCCGGTCTTCGCCTTCGAACAGCCCTTTTTCGATACCTCTCATTACTATTGCAGAAGACTAGAGTACCGGAGTAGTTGGATGCGTTGATAGTTGGTAGTTGGTAGTAACGAACCAACACTGGGCGACGTGAAGCAGTGGCAATGCTTCCCCGCCGAAGGAGGGGAGGAGTAAGAGTATGAGTATGAAGGAGGAAGAGAAGAAGGATGAGGAGGGAAGTTGCATTGCTTCTTGCGTGTAACGGGACCTGTTTGCTCCTCCTGTTCCTCGTGTTCCTCCTCGTCCACCGCCTGTCGAGTATGTCTCAGTCCTCGAATCCGCACGTAACGAGGTATCAATCCCCGTTCATCCATCCATCCTCCAGGCTGTCGCCCCCCACCTGCATGCCGGAGCCCATCGTCTACCCTCTCCACACACGCACGCACGCCGCAGGCAGCATGCCAGCGGAAAGCCTCTCCCACAACCACAACTACCACCAGAACCAACATCAACCTCCCACACCAACAGGACTGCGGCGGGCATCCAGGGAAGCTTAACCGTTTAGCGAGACATCGCCGTCCGAGACGGACGCTGGGCGCGCAGGTCGAGGGCGCGTTCTGACTGGGAAGCCCATCCATCCACCCACACCACATCAGCCCCGGGCGCTTAGAGGGTGTTGGCGGCCCATCAATCGAACGGCAACCAACATCTGTGAGAGAAAAAACGAGCCCCCATGTAACTATACTAGTTGGTCGGTCGGTTGGTACTCTACTCTAGGTGTGAGCACGGGCAAGTTGCGAGAACAAAAAGGAAAGAGACAGAGAGAGAGAGGGGAGGGGGTGGAAGATGGTTAGACAGACAGACAGACGGTGGAGATGGTTAGACAGACGCGATAACTAACTGCTTAGGGCCCGAGGAGCGCTTCCCGTCCGTCAATCACGCGAGAGCGCTGCAGAGTGCTCACGTTGGCTTTCGTGATACGCACGCCCGTGCCCGTGCTCCCGTCCGTCCGTCCGCCCGTCCGTCGATAGAGATACAGAGCACTTGTGTCCTCTGTAGCACACATAGATGATAGATATCCATCCATCGCTCGGAAGTAGGTACGAGGAAATATCTCCTAACGTACAGACTGCACACCGGGGCGGGGAGGGGTGGTGGTCCAGGTGGTCCAGGTAGTTCAACTGGCTCACTAGTTCGAGTGGTTTGAGTGGTTCAAGGACTGGACAGCAGCAGCCGAGCGGAGACTCTCGAGTGGAGAGTGGTTAGGGTGGGCGACCCTTGTCGCTGCAATGTGATGACCACCTCCGACCGGGGTGCTGGATCTCCAACCAACGAGATGCCGCAGCGCTGATTCTCGGGCGACCCAGATGGTGGTGGTGGTGGTATGCTCATCATGTAGCGTACCTAGAGTACGCGTTGCCGCACAGGCTAAGGACCACCGTGGATGGGCATGGGACGGTTGGAGTGACGGCTATGTAACTTGCCTGTGTATGCACCGACTATGGTAGGTAATAGTATTCGTTCTCCCTCACCTCCGACCCCTCTCCTCTCCACAGATATCTCCGGCTCGTCCAATCACCGACCGAAGCCCAGCAGCTGGGTGACGGTTTGTGACATCTTTCTGGGGAAAAGACGGGACACGAACGAACGAACGTACGTGTCTGGTGGTACGTAGAACACCGGAATGTAGATGCCAGTCCTGCTGATACATATGCAAATATGTAGAGTACCCCCCGATCGACGGGGACGTCGTCGTCGCAGGCCATGTGCCGAACACAACACCCCTTCCTTTCTTTTCCCCGGTGCTGCTGCTGTCGGCGTATGGATCCCATCCCCACGTAACGTAGCGCAGCATATGTACCGGTACCGTACTCTAGGTCCTATCGTGCGGCTATGCCTCAGCTGTGCCTTTCCCCCCCATTCCCACCCACCCTCGCAGGCCATCCATCCATCCATCCATCCATCTACCGCGTATGTATGTATGTAAATTTGCAGAACGGCGGTAACTAGTCAACGGCTGCATCAGTGGAGAGAGAGAGAGAAACAGAAAGAGAGAGAGCCTACTCTTCCAAGTTCCGTTCCCGATCCGCTCAGCATCCCAATCCGTGAGCATCCGTCCGTATCGAGCAAGAGCGATCAATCACTCAATCAATCGATAAATCGTCGTTTGGGGGAGGGGGATCCCCGCAGGCCGGCCAGCCGGCTGATGTTCCCCCCTCGTCCTCGTTCCTCGTTCCGGGCAAACAACCGCCTTGCGAGTAGGTAGTTGAGTGTCCATATGTGGTATCCACAACACGGCGGTGCTTGGTCTGCACGCCGGAGCAGGAGCGAGCATCTAACTGGTCGCTGTACCTGGTACCTAGGGTGTACTCGGTTAGTCGGTACACAAGTAGGCAAGTACACACATCACATGTACTCACAGTAGATATCTACATGTCTAAGCGAGCGGATTGTCTGTGTGTTGTGTAGATATGTGGTTATCGTCGCCCATTATGATATGCCTACCGTAGTCAACTAACGCAAGTCATACCGTAGGTCTGTCGATGAGCGGCTGGCTGGTCGGCAGCAACAGCAACAGCAACAGCAACAGCAACAGCAACAGCAACAGCAACAGCAACAGCAACAGCAACAGCAACAGCAACAGCAACAGCAACAGCAACAGCCATTCCATCATCCCACCGTCCCACCGTCCCACCGTCCCACCATCCCACCATCCCACCATCCCACCGTTCCATGCCGTCCCATCCAGCCCGGCATCGCGCAATGCTTCAGAGTCCAAAGCGAGACCTGTTCCGCGATTGGAGTCGGAGTCGGAGCTGGAGTCGGAAAAAACCGAAGTTATGTACAAGGAAGCCCGGAAACTTCGTCGTCATCATCGTCATCGCATCGGCTGGTGCGGAGTGGAGCGTCGAGTGTGAGTGAGGACCCATGGACATGTAACGGTTTGTGAGCTCTCTCTCTCTGTGCGTGTGGGTGCTGTGCATGTGTGTGGGTCCGTCGGATTCGCACGGCGGCTGGGTGGGGGTGGGTGGTGAGAGAGTGAGAGTCGCGAGTGTTCCGGTCCGTCCGTATGTTCCGTATGCATGTAGATACCGGTAGATACTGTATGTATGCATCGGATCATCCCTTGAGAATCCTAGAGAATCTTGAGAATCCTGAGTACAAGAGAAGAAGAAGAACGAGGGCGAATCATGCGCTTAGACAGTGTGTTCCCACAACCGTTCTATCCGTACTATCCGTAGATACTGTATGTAGGTGCCCAGGTATGATGTATGTAGGAAGTGCTCTACGAGGTATCTACCCACTCTGCCCCTCCGTGCGCGCGCCCGGTTTCCTTTCCTTCCTCTCTTCCTTTCCTTCCGTACGGTAGTTACCGACAGTGTGGGATGTGGATGTACAGGCAGGCAGGCAGGCAGGCAGGCAGGCAGGCAGGCAGGCAGGCAGGCAGGCCAGTGGCGCACAGCACAGTGGAGGTACTCTAGAGCACAGGAGCACAGTGCAGCCAGCCATGCATACGGCCCAGAGTGAAAATTCCTTCCCTTTCCCACTCCCAGGTCCCTCGGGCTCAGGGTTGTCTGTATCGCTCCACTCTGGGCAGAGTAGGTGGAGTATGGAAGCGAAGCCTGCGATTGTAGGGGGATTGTAGGCAGTTACCTGTTACCAAGGACAGTCCGCAGAGCGATAAAGTCACAAGAGCTGCACAGTACAGTGCAGGCGACAACCCAACCCAACCCAACCCAACCCCGCACTCGAAACGGGAGGGGGGGTTGCATAGAGGTTCTCGAACACTTTGATCCCCGTAGATGTCGTGAGCAGCAGGAGGGGAGCGAGATGTTTGTTGAACGAAACGCTGGCCTGCATAGAGTATGTACCTATCTCCGCTGCCGCCCTCTCCAGCAGGATGTGGACACTGGAAGTTACTTCTCCACCAACCCGCGACGTCGTGCATACGGTAGACACGGTAGATACCGTTAGTAGGCACATGTAGCAAATACCGTATCTACCCCACCCGCGGGGATCGACGACAGCGAAAGAAAAGAAAAACCAACACTTCCACTTGCGCTTCCACTTCCACTCCTCAGCGCATCGCGAGAAGCAAAAGGAAAAAAAACAGCCGCAGCAGCTTCGTCACCCCTACTCCTCTCTAGATACATTGTACATGCGTATGTACAATGTACATACACGCCTCTACCCATGACCTATCGGCCGATGCGGAGCGCTCGCTCGCTCTCGCTTTGAATGCTACGGTATGATGCTATGTAAAGAGTTGCACGCAACCAGGCAGATAGAATACCCCCGTTGCAAACGAGTCGGTCGACCAGTTACATAGAGCACATACCATGCACCCCTTCGGCAACGTAATCCCGTCCCTCCCTCCCCCAAGTAGCAAGCTCAGCTCAGCTCAGCTCAGCTTCTCTACTCAGCTCAACCCGGCCGATGTCTCCAGGGCATGTACAGCCAGCCGACGACGCTCGCCGGCGGCGTCGGCGGCGGGCACCTATCCCATATCCTCGTATGTATGATATGTAGGAACGGCCGGGAAGGGTGATCACTGATCTGACTCTCGCAAGACCTGTCTGCCTGCCTGCCTGTCCATCTCTATCTCTGTACGATCATCGTAGGAGAGACTGGGGGGATCGGACTCTGCTAGTTATCTGTAAATCTACCTACTCCACATATATCCGACCTCCGCGCGCGCTCTAATTATGAACCCCCGTTGAGTCGCTGAGTCGCTGGCCGACCGATCCGGCGACCCCCTGCGCCGGAGGGAAAAGGAGGCTGAGCAGCACGAGTAAAGAGTGAAGATCCTCATTAGACCTCACTCGCTCGCATGAAGTTTACGCGGCAACTGCCCCACAGCTGAAATCGGTCCGAGTCGCCGAGGGAGCTAGTAGAGTATGAGTATGAGTTGCCTCATAACTGCACTTTCTCGGCAGAGGAGGGGCACGGACACGAAGCTTTTCGCTGGCATAGATAACCTTTTAAGCATGAGGCGGGGGTCTGGGGTCTGCGATGTGGTGCGGCGTGATCATGGACAAGTACGAGCGGTGAGCGTCGAGGGGAGATACCGGTATGTGTAGGTAGACTGCGGTATGCATCGTGTATCGCTGCGTACCAGAGTAAAGCACCGATTCGTCTCGAGCGCACTCTTACACATCCATATCTACATCCATCCATCCATCCATCCATCCATCCATCCATCCATCCATCCATCCATCCACCCATCCATCCATCCACCCATCCATCCTCCCACAAACAGTCGCCTCGCAGCAGCAGCAGCAGCAGCAGCAGCAGCAGCAGCAGCGGCGCGCATCGCCAGACAGAAACATGTTATGTTGGCCGACCGACAATACTTCCCTTTTTCCCTAGGTACTAGTACCGTAGAGTAGAGTACACCGTGCATCGCCGTCGCCGTCGTCGTCGTGGTGCTGGAGGTGGTGGGGAAAACAGGAAATTGCACACTGGAGCGCGCGCGCATAAAAAAGATGCATAAGTTTCTCTGTATGCACCTATGCAAGTTGGGCGGTTGCGGGAAGACCCGACTCGACTCGATTCGAGCTCTCGCCCTCTTTCGCTCACCGCACCTCTGAGTGTGCGTCGGCGGCGGTAGAGAAAGTTACCACTTCGGCGAATTCGGCGAATTCAGGCAGATTACCAACCTGCGGATCTCCTGTGTCCACAGGTTTTCCACGGGGTTTCCACAGGTTTTCCACAGAGAAACATTCCCCTCCCCCCCTCCACACACCCACACCCTCCCACAAAAGTGCGGACCTCGCTAACTAGGGTGGTTAGCCCCATCGCAACCCTTTCGATCCGCATGCGAAGAAGCAATTACTCATGTAGATAGTTAGTGGCCGCATGATGTTGGCGAGCGAGCGGCCGGGCTGCGCTGGGCTGGGCGTCTCGCCTCCGAGGAGTCGAGGCGTCGTGTCCACGGTCCACCACGGTCCACCACCGTTGCCACCACCATCTCCACCACCACTACGACGGGGGTTTTTCGCGGCTATCTGCCGGCCCGGAGAGTGATCGTCGTTCCTGGAAAATAACGACATGAGGTCTGGGCCCCCACGAGTGATCAAGCGCTACGTACCGTTGGTAGTGCATAACTACTCGCAAGTTAAAGGAGTGATGGACGTCGACTGAGCTACGGCCTACCTATGCCTCAGTGATCGTGTTGGCGTCTATTGGATGATCAATCCACGGGTCTGGCTTTACTGGAGCCCGGTTCTTGTCAATCACCGCCGTGAAAGCGCCGTGGGCTTCTCGGTCACTGCGTGATATTCCATGACTCGATCCCTGCACAGTCCCCCAGCTTCGATCCCGTATGCAAGTAAACGCCAATGTCGCATCCACTATACTAGTACCCACTCTACTTCGGCCTTCTCCGTGCTGGGCCCTTCGTATGTGCTCATACTCGATCCGATCCCCAGCCTTCAAACTGTCCGGTCCTCTGCCTCCTTTGCTGCAGGCTTCACTTTCCCCTCTACACCAACATCTATCTCCGCGATAGGCTTTCCGTACAACTCTTCCGACGGCACAACCTTCTCCATATACGTGAGCTTGCCTCCTATCCGCCACAGCACTCGTTAACCCATCCCGCCCAGCCATCACCATCACCATCAACCATCACCCATCCTCCCCTAGAGCGAAGCACATACCTTGCGGCGCAACATTGAACCCAGCATACTTCTCGTACAGGGCATCCGCGCCTCCCGTGACGAGCATCAACCTCCTCAGACCCTGAATCTCCGGCAGGCGCATTAAGCAATCGACCATCCACCTACCTAGACCTCTTCCGGCGTCCCACCATCATCAGTCCCCCCTTCACACCCACCCTCCACCCCCACTAGGGGAGCACTCACCGTCCCTGGTACTCATCCAGCACAAACAAATCGCTGAGGTAGGCGAACGTGGCCTTATCGGTGATCCAGCGCGCGGAGCCCACCAGCTTGCCACCTGCTCTACCTGCTCCTCCTCCCCCTCCTCCCCCCGGCGCGGAGATGTCGTAGATCCCAAGGCTCAATGAGTTCTGCAGGCCCCGCTTCACCACGGAGTAGGGCGTCCCCCGCGCCCAGTACGAGGTTCCGCTGATGTATCTGTGGATCGTGCCGATGTCGAGCAGCGCGGGGTCGGTCGAGGCGAGGAATCGGGGGTCGGCTGGGTATAGGGCTGTGAAGAAGGGGGAGTGGTGATGGGAGACATTGCGGAGGTGATTTAGTGCTTTGGGTACAGTATGCGGAGGAGTAGATGCCGGAGGAGTAGATGCGGGGGTGAGTGAGTGAGTGAGTGAGTGAGTGAGTGAGTGAGTGAGTGAGTGAGTGAGTGAGTGAGTGAGTCAGTGAGCGAGCGAGCGCACAAGGGGATTGATAAAGGATCCAAGGAAGAGCTCAGGTCTGAATATATGGCTTAACTTGAATGTGCATGGCTCATCTTTGAATTTACATGCAACTGTTTGTTCGGACTGATAGGATGTATGTGTGTGACCTATGCTCGATAACGTGGATGGCGGCGGGGGTCTCCGATACCGGTATGTGTCATCGCTGCCACGCTCAGCCCTATGTACCAGGTGCATGCATATGCCATTCTATGTATATAGTATTTCGATCGCTCCGTTGACCCGACCCGAACTGAGCATGCCAAACCTTAAAGCACATAGAATGAGCATACAGGCATCGCCACGATCAACATGGTCCGTCACGGACAAACGGCTCGAAAAAAGACTTTGAATAACCCCCGGGAGCTATGTACGGGCTTGGGAGATCGGAACGACTGTAGTTCATTCCACCTGCACCATATAACTTGAGTCAACATGGGAAATTCTGACAGCCCGTCATGAATCATGATGGTATGCATACACATACACATACTCGTGCGTGCGTGGCGAGGCCCGGGCCCGGGTCGAGTCCGGCCGCAATCCAAAACCAAAGCGACAGCATCCGGCCAGGATCCCGCATGTAGCGAGGACGGGGCCCAGCATATCCACCCATATCAATCCGTATCCTCCCATGTCAATCCATATCCTGCCATATCCTCCCATATCCTCCCATATCAATCCATATCCTCCCATATCCTCACCGTTCGTGCTCGGGTCTTAGTTGAGCTATAGGTTTTCTTCCGAAAACCGGTTCATAAGCTCGAGGGGCTGCTATACAGGCCCTACTTAGGCAGAGCAGTTAACTGGTCAGCTCATCTTGCGGAGATTTTGCGGGTATTCTTACTTATGTCCCTTTATAGTAACCATATTTTCTATAGTACCGTAGCATTCTCTGTCTGAGGCTTCATTTCCTCCCTTTGTTTATGTAATAGTACACGAGCTCGTTGTTTCCGCTTTAAATGCAGTCGATTATTTACTAGTCTTTCTCGTCCATCTCATCAATCAAGTCATGTAAAGTTTTTAAATCTGAGTCTGAGTCTGAGTCTGAGTCTGAGTCTGAGTCTGAGTCTGAGTCCGTAGCCGAGGCCGATGAGTTGCAGAAGCCGACGGACCACGGAGATCACAGCGATCACTCGGTACATTATCCGGAGTTCGAAGTCCGATATTCGGAATTCGGGACCCGGAGTTCGCGACTCAAACAGAGCGAGCTCCGCGGAAGTGTCCACCGGAGTTGTCCACCGAATTATCCACTGCCAGTGCCGGGCGGCGATAGGTAGTTATCCGCACAGGCAGTCACTAGTACAAGTCACTGGACCGCAGCACCAGTTCGTCTACTGCTTCTGCCGTTTCTGCTTACAAGACCACGCTGCATACTGCACCGCGGATCTACCGCCCCTGGGGAGGATGAAGCTGGGTTTTGTCTGCATCCGTGCATAGCGGCTGACTCGCACTGCGAGTGAGTTCGCATGATTGCTGCTGTGGGGGGACAGACCTTGATCCAACTACCTAATCGCCGTTCTCTACTTCTCGAGGTATTGCAACATCTCATCTCATCTAGCATCGTCTAGGTTCGTGTGTGTGTGTGTGGGGGAGGGAGGGAGCAAAGTTCAAAGTTCAAGGTCCCTATGTACATAAAAAACGATTGGTGACGCCTGGTCTACTCTAGTGCCTACCGGTATGTATGAGGAGAACGGGGAAGACTGGCGGGATGGAGGTGGCACTGGAGCCTGGAGGGCTTTTGCCTAAATACGACTCCGATTCGGTGTCATGGGCATTGGGGCCAGCTCTTTTCTCGTGTCTTCCGGCCCGGCCTCCAGCCTCGGGAGTCGGTGCCGATCCAGGCTTCCGATACGGCTGGTACCGGTATATATGCAACAGAGTTGAGAACTCCGCACACGGTCTCAGCCCGCTCGCACCGGCAACTCCAGACAGATCCAGTAGTTACCTGATCCCCCTCCTCGCAAAAAAGAAAGACCAAAAGACAACATGATTCAGCCGGGATTTGAACCCGGGTCGGGCGCAGAATGCTGGATGGCAAGCGCCCATGATACCCCTACACTACTGAATCTTGTATGTTAGCATTTCCATCTTACTTCTAAATTATAATAATATCCATTCCATCAGTCAAATAATAAGTACCAGGCAGCATCGCCATCTTCCCCAACACCCGTACCGGAGCTTTCCCTCCCACTTCGCGGAAACCCTTCTCCCAAGTTCGTGGCCGTCTCCTGAGTCCGCCGTAATCTCCAATCCATCACCAAGCCCCCTCTGATGCTCACATCAATGATCAACTCCATATTCCCCACGACTATGTACGTATGAGGATCGAAAGCGGGACGTCGACCAGGTGAGGTACATAACTACTGGCACCGAGGAGTAAGCCTGCTAGGTATGTAGGAGTTGCTCTGGTAGCAAGATACCTACGACCCGTGAAGCAACGAGGACGCACTTGGGGCCCGGGGATCGGAAATTAGAACTGTTCGCTGTCGTAAGTGCAGTGCAGAGAGTGAATCGGAAATTAGAACTGTTCGCTGTCGTAAGTGCAGTGCAGAGAGTGATCGTCTGTGCGACCTCGCCGCCGTCGCTGCCGTGGGAAAACCCTCTTACCTACATACTACACGAAGCGTTCACTCGGTTGCGATCCGATTCGACCGAGCCTCAGCTGTGCGTAGGCTTCACCTCACCTCTCCTCCAAGCTCCCGCGGCCTTTCCAGTCATCCGAAGCTCCCGCGGAGTTTCCTCAAAGAGGAGGGTGCGAATTGTAATACCGTGGCACTGCTGTTGCTTTGTTACGAAATGGTAGTGACATCACCGATACGATCTATACGCGTGCTGTGGGCGTGTTGTGTTCATTACTCTAGTTTTCGTCTTCAATTTTTCGGGTTACTCAGCACTCTATTCTACTTCGTCAGTCGGGCGGTGATTGTGCTACTGGACAGTGGAGATATTGACTCTTCAGTACCAAAGGCTATGAAGCGTCCCCCACGGCGGAGTATAGGGCAGATAAATGGTACTCTACAATGTATCGAGGATTGGAATCCTCTAGAATTTACCCTCCGCCTTAGGGAAGCAGTATAGGAAGCATTTTGAATAACCCTTTTGAACGCCCCAGCACCGTCGACTACTTGTATATAACCCCCGCGCCAGCTCATGTTATCGCCGAAAGCGACCTTTGACACCCCCCCTGAACACCAGAAGCAGAAGCAGAATCCCCATCACGAAGCAGCCGAAAAAAACAATGCTAGAAGACAACGCCAAAAGCACAAGAAGAAAGCAGCAGGACAATCATAGCAGCATTACACTCTGGGATGGTACGGAAGCAGCGGTTACCAGTACCCAGAGAGATCAAAGTACGGAAAGCAGAGGAAAAAGAAACACCCCATAAGATGGCACAGGAAGTGGGCAAGAGGAACATCATGCGATTCCTTCGCCCTGAGAAGCGTCGGCGACTCGTCGTCATTAGGCACGATCTTTGCCCTTGGACCTCTTCTTAATTTCAAGAACGATGATGTCCTTGATGGCAACCTTACCTCTGCAAACCGGACACTTTCCGTGAACCTTTTGAGGCGCGGGTAGCGTTGACTTGATGGCTCCAAACAAGCACTTGTTGCAGAACATATGGCCTTTGTAGCGAAATCTAGGTCAGCTTCACCAAGTAACCACACAGCCTGGCAAAACTTACCACAAGGTGTGATGCTCAAGTCGACGGGCTCGTCCTCCATGCAGATGATGCAAGCGGTGCCCGCGAGCTTCTTTGGCTTCTCGTCCTCCGCCGGCGGCTTCTCTATGGGAATCATAGTGAATCCGTCATCTTCGGTGTCGGCGTCGTCGTCATCGTCATCGGCATCATTCTCGCCTTCGTCCTCTCGTTCGTCTTCGGATAGTTTCTTTAGGGCCTTGGATGTTTTTTGTTTTTTGCGTGCTGGGCCTTGCGCTGCGGAGCGTTTGGCGGTGGTGGTGGAGGGTCCACTCGGCGAAGACAGCGTCAGGTCGATCATTGGTGGTGGCTGTCTAGACTGCGATCTTCTCGAAGTCTGTGTGGGTTGGGCTCTTCGTGTTGGCTGGGACGGTGGTGCACCCGGAGGCAAACGACCCGTGCGTGACGCACCACCACCACCACCACCACCACTACCGCCGGCTGTGGCGCCAGAGGGCGGGGCTTCAGCGCCAGCACGGGAGGATGAGGCTCCAGCGCGAGCGGACTGAGCTGCATTAGGAGGTTGATCGTAGGTCCTGGAAGATGAGCGTGTTTGCACCATCGCTTGCCCTGGGTAGAACGATCCTGCGTAGTGGTGGCGGATAGGACTTGGTGGGAGGTTTGCAGCGTAGTGGGCGAGGTAGGATTCGGCGGAGTCGGGGGTCGAAGGCTGCTGCGGCGAGGTAGGACCTGAGCGCGAGACGCGATCCGAGGAAGGAGCGCCGTGTTCGGAAGCTGAACGTTGGTCTTCGGATGAATAGCCTTCTTCCTCGTCCTCCTCCTCCTCTTCGTCGTCTTCTTCGTCTTCCTCTTCTAGCTCCGAGGACCCTGAAGGTGATGTAGGTGGGGAGCCGGAGTCGAAGGTTCCCGAGGATGAAGGGGCCTGCACGATAACAGGGAGGGGGAACCGCCCGGGAAAAAAACCACCGAAGACGTTGCCGTTCTCGTCGTTTGGGTGGAAGTTGAGGCCGTAGAGGGGTGGAAGTGGGAAGTTGTAGGACATGTCTTTATTATAGCTTGGGAGCTGGGGTGCTTGCTTCTTTTCTGTTCGACCTAGCCTTTCGCCGTTCTTACCCTACTTCTTCCGTCTCTCTCGTTCTTTTTCTTCCTTTCCGTCTCTTTTCTTGTGTGAATTAATTGGTATTATGATTCCGCGGTGGTGGAAGCATTCGTATCGTCGCGTTCGAGGGGGGGTTTGGTGGGTCGTTGGATCGTCGAATGAGCAGCGCGGCGGCTGAGGGACATGTGCCTATGAGGGATAGTTTCGACGTGAGATCGAATCGATAACGAAGAGCCGCTCCACGAGCCCGCTTAGTCAAACGAGCCACCTCCGAGCGATGGGTTGCAGCATGTGAAGTGGGAAAGCATTGGAGGTTTCAGAGGGAAATGCAAAAGGTTTGACTGTATTCTTCATGTTCTCCGCCCTCTATTCTCTACGATTTGGATGCACAACTCATGATGAATGAAGCGGCGAGTGCGATACCGTAGGGCTTAGAGCCTGGGCTTCACCTCGGGCAAAATACATTCGTCGCAGCATACTTCAGTCTGAAGAGTTTGGCTTTCGAGAGGCCTGCCGTGCTCGTTGGAGAGTTTCCTTTCGTCAGATCGCTCCCTTCGAGTCTTCTTGATGTCGAATTGCACGTGATGCACCACTTTCCGGCAAGCGATAGCCATCGACACATTGCCACCAGCTGCAGCGGAAGCTGAGCTCCAGCTAGGTATCGCCCCCCCATGCGGCCCCACCGCTAGGGTGCTCCAAGCTGAGTCTTGTGATCTTTTTATACCCAACTTGTAATTCTTCTCATCTCTCCTGTCCAAGCTCGCTACAGCTGCACTTTCGATCGTGTGCTTTGCAACACTCCTCTCTTTCAGACCTGAAGCTTACATACGACCTGAACCGTCGCCACACTCTCTCATCTCTCCTGTCCAAGCTCTCTGCAACTGCACTTTTGATCGTGTGCTTGTAACACTCCTCCTCTCTTTCAGACCTGAAGCTTCTACGACCTGAAGCTCCTACGACCTGAACTGTCGCCACACTCCCTCATCCTCCATCGCCACCCACCACATGCACAACCCACAGACACAGAAGCAGACAGACATGACCGACGCCAAATCCAAGCTCGCTTTCTTTGGTGGCTTCGAGAAGTAGTCCATCTGCCCACTCCCCGTTGCCGCGCTGACAACATGGTGCCACAGGCTCTTCAATAATCCCGCGCACTCAGACATCACCGTCGCTGTCGGCACCTTCGAATTCTTCGCGCACAAAGCCATCCTCGGCTTACGAACAAGCTTCTTCACGAATGCCACCAATCCGTCATCCGGCTTCGAGGAGGCAAAAGGTGTCGTGTGGATAGAGGAGCACAGTTGCCATGCCGTGTGGCGGTTTCTGGTGTATTGCTACACTGGGGATTATCCGGATAAGTCGAACTGGGAGGAAATTGAAGGTACCGGCTCGATCCCACCATGATCAGCGAGGGGTTGTCACTGATCCTGGTCACGGCAAAAAGACGATCCGATCCCCTTGAAGCATACCCGGGTGTATGCGCTCGCGGATATGCTTGGTGCACCGTGTCTGAAGAGCGTTGCCACGGCGAAACTCAAGGCGACGCTGGATGACGACTGCATCGCCGCCGACTTCCACGAGACGGTCCGCGACGCATACTCCACCACATACCCGGGCGACAAGGAACTTCGCAACGTCTTGGTCCACGCCACTCGGAAGCATCTGCCCGAATTGGTCAAGCACGATGCATTCCGCAAGGTTCTGCTCGAGCTTTCCGAGTTCTCGGGACAGCTGGTGCTCGAGAGTGCTGCGGCCCCAAAGAAGGTCACTTGTCCGACATGCAAGCCGTGCTCGTGCTCGAAGCCGATGCTCTGCAACTATTGCTCCCTGTGCAATAAGAACGTGGATTTGGTGCCAGGCTTGCAGTGTGGCACCTGTGGGACCTGCAAGATGGACACGGTTAAGCATTTTTGTGGGAATTGCAGTCGGTGGCTTTGATACTCTTCTTCTCTCTTTTCCGTTCTGTACTGTATCATAGTGGTTGAATAGAGCAGGCAGGTCATCACTGGCATACATATCTCACCGTCCGTGAAAACAGAACAACAATGCTAGGGAAAGAGCTCAAAGCGAAAGGCTTCGGATTATACGGACGGTTTGGCAATGGCACAGCAGAGTGGCGTGCGAAGAGAAGTAGAAGAGAGGATAACTGTAGATTCCACGACTGAGCTGCATCGCCTCATCACTCGCCAGGAGAAACATCTTTGGGCGGCACCCAGCAGAGTGCTTACGATTGGACCAGGGGGACTACCCAGCTGTTTTATTTGCACTTTATAATGCGCGAGAGCATTGAAACCAACAGAAGAAAGTCAAGTCGGATTTCCGTGAAGGACTGCAAGACCTCCGGCCCACTTGAGAAACCGCACCTGTCCGCATCCGACGCAGATATGATCTTGTACATAATCTAGCTAATAGCTCCCACATCTTCAACTTCATCTTCAATTCCGTTCACACCATCACACCGACGGGGCTGCGAGCACCCTACAATCAAAACTATGTAGCATCGACCCACAGGCTGTCGGACCACAGTCCAGCACGTCCCCTATCGAAGACGATGCACTGGCTCATTTGAGTTCCTAGCTTTCCGGGTAGAAGCTCCTACCGCCTGTCACTATGTATCCCCCACCTGTGCTGCGATGAGGTGGCTGCGCGGCCCTCCGAGGTAATACGTGGAACTGGTGCGCTCGAGCATGAGCAGCCGTGATCCATCCCATCTCCTCGGTTAATATTCAAGTTCCAATTCATGTCGATCATGTCCGTGGAGCGACCGCCAAAATAAAGCGAATTTGCAAGTGCGGCCATCGTGAGGATTGCCAGCGATGTAATTCCGGGAATCGTCCAATGAAGTCCGTACTTTCTTAATGGAAAGCCTACAGATGTTGGGCAGTAACTGAACCAAATTCCTGTAGTCTGGAGACGAGACAGGCGCTTGGTGCGTCTACCAATAGCGGGACGCAATTGCTTGGTCATCGCAGAAAAAATAGTCGTGCTGATGTCATGTCACACGACGTCGGCGATCCTTGACATCGAGTTTCTTCTGACTTTTTTCCCCGCCGTCGCCGCAACTCGACCACCGATTTCCACCTCGACCTCCGATATAACGAAATTCTACATCGACGAGGCCCCCCTTGGCCTCTGATTTCGAGAGCATGCTGTCTTCGCGGCGCGCTCTCAGCAGAGCAGTGCGGACGCAACCCTTGCACATATCACGCTACGCAGCACCGACAAACCTTTCGTGGCGGCTTCGCGACTCCTCACGAAAGTATGCAACCTCAGCTGAATCGTCCAACTCACATACTGGTACAACCCCTCCGTTTGAAGTCGCGGTGCGCAATCGCTAATCGGATTGACTAGCTACTCCAGAACCCTTGAAGCCCCGTTATAATGAGATTGGCGTGCAGCAACTCCCCTTCGACGTCCGCGCGCAGCTCTTCTCTGGCCCGCCCCCGACAGCAGACCCGGAGCTCGTCGAACTCGCCAGGAAGCACCTAGCGAAACACGAGTTACTCGGGAAGACAAGCGACACCACGCCGCCCATCTCGGTGAAGCTTCCGCAGTTACAGGGAAAGACTCTCGATGAGCATTTCTACAGGCTTGGACTGGATGCGGCTGAGCCGTTTCGTGAATATGCCGAAACGTTTTCCAAATTGGAGTTGCCGGCGCAGCCGAAGGAATGGGTGGCGCAAAGTGGCTGGACTCGTTACGATGTCCGCACCGGCGAGGCGATGAAGGTGGATTTTCCGGATCCGGAGGACAAGATGCTGGTTTTCGATGTCGAGGTGTTGTACAAGATTTCCCCGTACGCTGTCATGGCCTGTGCGGCATCGCCGGATACGTGGTATGCGTGGTTGTCGCCGTGGCTGCTCGGGGAGACCGAATCGGACAAGCATCTCATTCCGTTGGGGGATCCAACAACGCCGAGAGTTATTGTGGGGCACAACATCGGCTATGATCGTGCACGAATGTTGGAAGAGTACAACATCAAGCAGACCAAGAACTCGTTTCTGGACACCATGTCGCTGCATGTAGCTGTCAACGGAATGTGTTCTCAGCAACGGCCGACGTGGATGAAACATGCGAAGAATCGGGAGCTGCGCCAGAAGTTTACAGGGGATTCCCAATCTGCGTCGCTCATTGGTATCCTGGAGTCTGGGGCGGGAGATGAGGAGGAGGAGGCCTGGGTGGGAAGAAGCTCGATCAACTCTCTTCGAGATGTTGCGAAGTTTCACTGCAATATAGACATGGACAAAACCGTCCGCGATGAGTTCGGCACACTCGATCGTGAGGGCGTCGTGGGTCGTCTCAATGTGCTTCTCGACTACTGTGCCACTGATGTTGCCATTACACACAAAGTATACAAGGAAATCTTCCCGCGCTTTTTAGAAGTATGCCCTCATCCAGTGAGCTTCGCTGCGCTGAGACACCTCTCCTCTGTCATGCTTCCTGTCAACGATACTTGGGATGAATACATAAAAAATGCGGAAAATAAATACCAGGAACTCCTCGAGGCTGTCGGCAAGAACCTACGCCAGCTTGCCGAAGAGGCGCGAATGTTGAAGCAGGACCCCTCCGTACACGAAGATGAATGGTTTCGTCAGCTCGACTGGTCAGACCAGGAGATTCGCATGACGAAAGAAACCAAGAAGAACCCATCTCGGATCGCAGCAAACCAAAAGATGCCCGGCGAACCAAAGTGGTACAAAGACCTCTTTCCTAAGGCCAACGGCCCAATGAATCTGACAGTGCGTACACGCATCGCGCCTCTGCTCCTGAAGATGTCATGGGACAAGAAGCCATTGATCTGGTCGGATCTCCACGGTTGGACATTCCGTGTCACGCCCGACGAAGCGAGCGCGTATGATGGGACCCCGGCCGTTAAAGTCTCGATGTTGGACGAAAAGAATCCCGCTCTTCAAGACGATACCGGCTATGTATACTTCAAGATACCTCACAAAGACGGACCGCAGGCCAGATGCGCCAACCCTCTAGCGAAAGGGTACCTTCAGTACTTTGACAAGGAAGTTTTGTCGTCCCAATACCCACTCGCCTTGGAAGCCCTGACGATGAACGCTCAATGCTCATATTGGATATCTGCTCGTGAACGCATCAGAACCCAAATGGTAGTTTATGGCGATGATAAGAATAAAAACCTTGGACTTGACGCCTCCAGTCTCGGAAGCGAACACAAGCTCGGGATGATTCTTCCTCAATTAATCCCGATGGGTACGATCACTCGCCGTGCAGTAGAACGGACTTGGCTTACGGCATCAAACGCCAAAAAGAATCGCGTTGGTTCTGAACTCAAAGCCATGGTCAAAGCACCACCGGGTTACGTGTTTGTTGGTGCTGATGTGGACTCCGAAGAGCTGTGGATCGCTGCGCTGGTTGGCGATGCTCAATTCAAAATTCACGGCGGCGGCGCTCTGGGTTTTATGACCCTTGAAGGTACTAAAACTGCAGGCACAGATCTGCACTCGAAGACTGCAAGTATTCTCGGTATATCGAGGGGCAGTGCCAAAATTTTCAACTACGGTCGAATCTACGGCGCCGGACTGAAGTTCGCATCCACCCTACTCCGACAGTTCAATCCCACGATCTCGGACACGAAGGCCGTTGAAACCGCCGAGAACTTGTACCGCGAGACCAAGGGCATCAAAGTCAAGCCAAGCCAAGCACTGTTCAACCGTTCCTTTTGGAGAGGAGGGACGGAGAGTCTCGTCTTCAACAAACTCGAAGAGTTTGCGGAACAAGACAAACCTTGTACCCCCGTCCTTGGTGCTGGAATCACCGAGGCCCTGATGCGCGGCAATCTCAGTAGGGGCGGTTTCCTGACGTCCCGCATCAACTGGGCCATTCAGTCTTCGGGCGTGGACTACCTCCATCTCCTCCTCATCTCTATGGACTACCTCATCCGTCGCTACGGCCTCACCGCGCGTGTCGCCATCACCGTGCACGACGAAATCCGCTACCTCGTCAAGGAAGAAGACAAGTACAGGGTTGCCATGGCGCTCCAAGTGGCAAACATATGGACGAGAGCGATATTTTCACAGCAAATGGGTATCGAGGACCTACCTCAATCCTGTGCGTGGTTCTCGGGAGTTGACATCGACCACGTCTTCCGAAAAGAAGTCGACCTCGACTGCGTCACGCCCTCGCACCCGGACCCAATCGCGCCAGGAGAGTGCGTCGGTATCCAAGAGCTTCTCGCCATGGGGGACGTCGCAACACTGGACGAATCAAAGCCGGAAATAGACCTCTCTCGATGGAGCTACACCCCGCGCATTCCAGTCATGAAGGAGCTGGAATCCAAAGAGTCGAAGGAGAAGTCGATGCTGCAACTCCGTGCCCAAATCGCGGACGAAAAGGAGCTGAAAGAAATTTACGAGGAGTGGCGGGACCTGCAACCCCCAAAGACGAACAGCTCCTCCCGCGCATCGTGGGATGACTACGACGACGATCAACGACCGTACTGGAAGGGAAGAAGCGGGCAGGCAAGATCGAGCTTCCAGAAGAAGATGACTACGGCAGTGGCGATGCCGCAGAGAACGCTGGTCAGGAAATCGGCGTATTAGGCCTCGACGGATGGAGCGATGTTTGTTTAGAGTTTGGGGGTCTTCATTCCTGAGGGATTTTGCTTTTTCCTTTGTTTGGGCTGGAGTTGGGTTCTTTTGCTGGACTGAATTTTTTTTGCTTCTTTCTTCATTTTTTTTCATTTTAATCTCGATAGAGCTGCATGAACTCTATTGCAGATATTGTTTGCTTTGGGAGAGGGTTTCTTCGCATTGCCTTGTCTTTGGGAAGGGAAATTATGTGTACATATGCTGCGGGCAAAAGTGCTTTCTGCTTGTGGTTACTTGTAGGATTCCGAGGGGTTTGTGGGGGGATTTGTGGGGGGTTTGTGGGGTCTGCCGAATGGAGAGAATACTTAGGCTACCAGTATCGATACTGTTATGATGGTTCCTGGCGGAAAGGGGCGGGAACGGGGATTCCTGTAACTGTACATGTATCTTAATCATCATCGTTGCCTGAAAACACATTCGGTTTGAACTTGAACTCAAAGATGTTCTCAAGCTGTTGCCCTGCACGTAATGGAACACCGGGCTGATTACTTGAGCTCTTCCCTACACCATGCTACCATCTGCAAGTTACATACAGTATCTATTTCGGCTAGTAGACGAACCTCTCCACTCCGAATTCCCCGAACACCGCGCCCTCCATCCTTCCCCCCTTGTCACCCAGGCTAGCCCATCGATACCCACAATCACCTCCTCAGCTGCATGACAAACGACGACGACCATCCATGAATCCATACAAGGTACATACATAGTCGGGACTCAGTCTTCGCTCAACCACCGACCACCGGCCCCGGCCCCCCGTCTTCGGGAAGCTACTAGCAAAGCACCGCCCCCCGCGCCGCCCCCGCACCCCCCCTTCCACATGGAACTAATTAGGTAGACGGGAATCCCGTCAAAGAGCGGCAGATCCTGCTTCAAAGCTGGGGGTTTAGACCAGACCCCGCTATGCCCCTCAAGAGTGAGTGGGCTTGGCCTTCCACGAGACGACTGCAGAAACGGAAGAAGCTTGTCTTGTCTTGTCTCCACATTGAACCTGAGGCGTGACTTCTCGCCTTTGGACGACGCTGGAGGTCTGATAGGTCTGATAGGTATCGTGACATTTAGTTGCCAGTTTGCAGCGCCAATCACACATTATCACTCATGTCGTCCCATCCCGCCCCGCTGGCCTTTCAGTAAAGTGTGCGTGTACCAGAGGGTGGAGCCCGTACTAGGTAGAGTACATAGGGCAGACCTGCAACCCCACGCTCGGTGCTGCATGGTCCATGGTCGGGTCGGGTCTGGTCAGTCTTTGAGATCCGCAAACATGGGATTCCAGCCAGACTCCAGACGTTCGTCCGGGGGTTCCTGCGGGTTCCTGGCATGGAAGATCAGGTTCATAACTTCGTGGGGTGGGTTCTTGATCCTTCGGACCTGAGGATTCCTGGAACTGTGTTGAAACGCTCACGGCTAACTAGTAGCGCTCGGGATGGGTTTAGGAATCGACATAGGACTCGAACCGAACGTCTCCCGAAATCGAGGAGATCCCCAAGAATCCAATATCTCTGCTCGTTCACCTAAGGAACGGCGAATCTCCTCGCCTAGTGACTGCCGACCGTAGAGTTACCGACGCATATGTAGAATAGATTAGAACTGGCAGTTTTCCTTATCCAAACATCCGCGGGAACGGAACTGGGATCTGAGCCCAGATCCTTGACCATGGAAGGTTAGGTTAGCGGGGCAGTTGCGGGCACGGAGCTGGCATGTACATACGTTTGCCATGGTTTCCAGTCCGGTGCCGGTGCCGGGTCCGGTGGATACATATTCTGGATGAATCTAGGCTCACGACCAACGGGTTCCTCGCCTTCGCAAACTACTAGTTACATCCTGCGTAATTCGCTGTTATCAATTGGTCGTATGATAGATGGATGGATGTAGCCTGTACTTACCTACATAGCTTCCGAGTGGGGCACTGTGGGCTGGGCGATACCTTGGATTCGAATGCACATGTCGTCCGTATCCGTGCAACAGTTCCGGCCGGCAATGCATGGTGTACATACACTGTACATACGGGAAGTCACACCAGTGAACAGAAAATTCTGGGCGGAAAAGAAGGGAAGACGACAAGAATTGAAAATACTCTAGGGTACCTAAGGCGGTGCAATTCGTTGCGCTAGATGTCGCTCCTCTTTCAGGGACACAGCCGACAGAGCAGAGGATGGGACAGACAGGCCTCACAGCATCCACCAGAACCCCCACCCGGTGAAGCGGGCTCGTCCTCTTGCTCTCTCGTTCGAAACCTATCGCTATCGGGACAGGATGTCTTCTTCTCTCCGCAACATCACGTTCGGCACTCTACGCGACGTACATCCAGCAACCCAGACACAGCCTAGCCAGGAGGTAGTTATGTAACTACGGCAAACGAGAGACACGCTACAGAATTAACGTTCACCATGGAAGCCACGTCGGCGGTCCGCGCCTTTTCCGAGCTAACTACCGTCATACCTAGTGCTCTGCGGTCGGTCGCTGGGCGAACCGGCGCCAACTGCTAATCAACTGCTCGAACTACGAGCCGTCCGCGACGTTCTTAGGGCAAGCGATCTGTAGCCTCCGGTACCGGTATGTAGATATCCCACCCACACAGTCCCCACGTTTCTCCCGGATCCGCTGACCCAAATTCCTCAGGCTGATTCACCCCTCTCCGATCGCGAGAACTCTCGATCGTCTCTTGCCTCGCCTCACCTCACCGAGCACATGCGGGGAAAAGGTACATAGCCCCCAGGGCCAGGGAAGGGAAGGGAGGGACGCTGGTGGTGGTGGTGGTGGTGGTGGAGCCCAGATATTGCGAGCAGGCACAGGCAGGCACAGGCACAGGCTACATAGATGCCTGTACCTGTCACCAGGGCAATATAAAACCTACCTATACATACGGCACAGCAGGATGGGACCTTCCCTCTCGTCCTTACCCGCGTTTGAGCGGTGGCGGCTAGTTAGCACTCTATCTCGGCCAATGGCGGCCGGCGCATTTCATTATATCGCGCGTCTGCTATGGTATTGCTGCGAGCTGCGGGCGATAGCTCGTTCGTCCCTGCAGATGGGGGTCGACGACTCGACGACGACTCGACGGGTCCTTGCTTGCTTGCTTGCTTGCACATGTCGTGTCCGGTTCGCTCTACCCTGGTGCTGGCTGATGGGAAAAATTTATCGGATAACTACCATGAAGATAGTACATATCTGCCCAAGGGGGGGGGCAGTCCGACCCGTGGTCCGTGTGCTGTGTGCTGTGTGGGAGCGTAAACACCAATCCGACGCACTTGGTTGGGGATGGGGTCTAAGCGGCACAGCAGGTAGAATAATGAAGCTACCTACTTCCTTCACAACACATAGGAACCGGGGAGATATGCCGGATACGGAAGAAGAGGAGCTCCTGAATTATCTGACCACTATGATGATTGTATTGCGGGGAGAATGGAGGTAGAGGGGAGGGGAGGGGAGAGGGGGGAGGGGAGGACAGTCTGGCGAGAGAGGAACGTGCGGTGCAGGCTCAGTATTCTTCAGCCATTGGGACTTGTATATAAAGTACGCAGTTCTCACCGGTGGGGTGATATTCTCCATCTTGCTACGGATACCATTTACGAATTCCTACATCTACCAGCTTCCATTACTCTCTACCTCCTCCTACTACCACCACTACTTCAATATGGCCGCCGCACTCCCCGACTACATGACCGACCCCAACATCGTCTTGAAAGATGGTACGTTCCCGATTGCCCTCCTCCCATCTTCTCCACCTACACAACAGCTTGAACAATGGACTAACGCATTGCTCCTCCAGATGCCAAGTGGCGATACAAGAAGGCCCCGGACTACAACCTGACCAACGCCACCTTCGAGACGACCAAGAGCGTAGACTGGGCACCCGACTCTCTCGAGAACCTGATCCAGAACCTTGTGAAGAACTGGGAGAAAGAGGCGTCGTACAAAGTCGACCCTAAGGAATGGCGCACGATTTCCCAGGAGAGCTACAGCTTCCACCTCAACGGCGGACCCGGCATGAGCGCCGAAGACATGCTGCAGATGGGAACCTACAACGCTCTCATCGGCGAGGAGGGCATCAAGGGCGTCTACGAGACTAAGGAAATGGACTTCTCAAAGAGCCACAAGCTCTTCAAGGGCGCCATGAAGACGTTTAACTGGGAGGTGGTCGAGGTGCTCGGCGCACCGCCAAAGGTCTCCGTCAAGTGGAGGCATTGGGGTACGTTTACATTCCCTTCCCCCTTCCCCCTCACCTTCAATCGCAGTCCAAGTCTAACAGAATAAAAACACAGGTGTGATGAACGGCAACTACCGAGCCAAGCTGTCCTCTGGCCGAACCGTGACCGCAAAAGCGCACAACAAGATGATCGAGATATTTGGGCTGACGGTGGCCGAGGTCGACGACCAGTTCCGCATCAAGTTCCTCGAGACCTTTTGGGATCCCGCCGACATGTTCCGCCAGCTCATCTCCGAAGGGCTCGAGGAGCTCAAGGAGGGAGAGAAGGTCGAGGACGTTCAGGTCGGCGGAGCGTGTCCTGTCGGCGCTCATAAATAGTTTTTCTCTTTCTCTCGAGAGGGAGGGTGTGTGTGTGTGTGTGTGTGTGTATATAGTGCACATTTGTATATAAATTTTATGGAGATACCTACCTACCTACCTCTATGCCTTGCTGCAAAAGAGCCAGCCAATGCGCAAGCAACTCCGGATCGCTCTCGGTATCATACACGGGTTGAACACCATCCTTTACTCCATCTATAGTAGGTGATTGGATAATGGATCGGATGAACCGCAACCGTGTCCATACCATAAGTCCGCTCGCTCGCCGCTCGGACCCGGGGTTTTGGCCGGTAGTTTACAGACTGTCCGAGTCTTCCATTCGGCCAGTACTATACACTGACTAACTACATACCACCTACTTTACCTACTCCAGAGCACTACATAGCTGCTGTTCGGTGGCGAGTGGCCCGAACCACAAATCGAATCGAATCCGCGCGGGCGGATTCGCGGATTCGTGGGTTCGACGATTCGTCGATTCCCCTGAGTGAGGCCATTCACGGCTACTCTAATGTTAACATACCAAGCACTGGGCGGATTTACTGCCACTCCATCTGATCTGTAACTACTATACCTAACTACTACCCTATAGTTATATACTAACTACCGGTACTCTAGAGTGGCGTCCTCAAGAGATAGATACTGCATATGCATGCGCTATAGCCTATACATTCACGGGGGGCGGGATGGCGGGTTTTTTGGATTGATTTAACAAACTCACTTCTGCGACTCCTGCACAGTCATGGTACCACTAGGTATCTTTTACCAGGGCCATGGTTCGAGCTGTACCCTCTGCCACAGGTGTAGCTCGAGGACTAGGTGGGTTAGAAAGACTGATGGTGAACTGGGAGGAGGAGGATCGAGGACAAGTCGTTCTACATATCGTCTAGTCACAGTATCGTCACACGAGTCCGTGTTCGATTGCCACCAGAGCACCCGAGTACCTATGGTACTCTATACAGAATGAATGTACCCCCAATTCTCGCTAAAGTACAGAAAAGTCTCGACGGTTCTCATTATGATACACAGCGCTCTCCTCTCCACGCTCCACGCCCACTCCACCGCTAACGAACCTACCTCCTCTGCGCAAATCCTGCCGGTGGAGGCGGCGCACCCGGGTAGCCTTGGGGCGGAATTCCTTGTGGAGCATAGCCGGGGGGAGGAACGCCCATCTGCTGGAATCCCTGCGGCATAGGCTGTCGTCCGAATCCTGGCGGGGGAGCTCCGGGCGGCGGTCCAAAGCCCGGAGGTGCCATGCCCGACATTGCTTGCGGATATCCTTGTGGTAACTGCTGCTGCTGCTGCTGTTGCTGTTGTTGCTGGAATCCGACTGGCGGAGGAGGTCGAGGGGGAAGACCCTGTGGCGGCGGTGCGAGCTGGCTTTGCTGGAATCCTTGGGGGAGACCCTGTGGGGGACCTCTCGGTGGTGCTGGAGTGTGATGGTAAGGTTGTTGCTGCTGTTGCTGCTGTTGCTGCTGCTGTTGTTGGTGATGCTGATCGTGACCGCCCATTCCCATGTTCATGCCATTGGGTTGACGAGGAGCCTGCGGAGGAGGGGCTCTGAATCCGCCGGGTCCATTCGGCATCGAGGGAGTCTGGGGTGCGCCGGCGGCAGGTCCTTGTGGCGCGAACAGCGCTGGCGGAAGCTGTGCACTAGGCATTGAGATGTTGTGTTTCCGCGCTTGGGCTGCTAGGAGACGTTCGGCCTGGTCTCCGTGGCGCTCGCCCTTGCCGTCCTTTTTGTACGCATACTGCACGTTGATCTCTTTGTTCATCAGGAACTGCTTGTCCATGCTCTCAATCGCTTTGTCGGAGGCCTCGAAGGAATCGTATGATATGAAGCCGAAACCCTTGGAGATACCGCCTTCGTCGCGTGCGATCTGGTTCATCAGCAACAAGGCGCGAAAAATCACGGATAAGAAAGGTCCCACCTTAGGCGCTGAAATCAAACTTCCAAACGTGCTGAAGGTATCGTAAAGCGTCTTTTCGTCCACCATACTGTCCAGATTGCCTACAAACAACTCTGCACCCACCTCTACCGTCTTCTGCTTGTCCGCCGACGCCTTCCGGAACAATTAGCATCCCGTCTCCCCGATCGCACCCCCCAGTGGATTGTGCCAATACCTTATTCACTCGAATCGGCTTTCCGTACAGCCGCACCTGATTCATAATCCTGGCCGCATATTCCGCATCCTCTTCCGAGATGAATTCCACGAAGCCAAAGCCCTGATGTGTTTGCGTGACTCGGTCCTTGGGAAGATGTACGTTGACCTGTTTCCTCGCAGTCGTCGTTAGCCTCCGTCCGAGCATGCTACAAACGCGCCCACAATATAGAGAACTAGGGGCTCACTATTCGTCCCGCCTGTAGCATAAGCTCCCAAACCAGCGCATCCGTAACTCGTTCGTCAAGGTTGCCAATGTAGACAGTCGCCTCCTTGTCTTGTTCCCAGTGTCGTGCGCCCGACATTATACGCGTCGCGAGGTGGTATTATATCGATTCGAGGGTACGGAGGGCTCAAGTGGTTATGGGGTTCGGGCAGGAGATTTGGTGGTGAAGCTGTAGCGTGTTGGGATTCGCGATGGTTGTGCAGTGCTCAGATTTCTGACGCGATTAATTGCCAAGGCGCTAACTACGGGCTATGACTTGCAGTCCCATTTAATTGGCGCCACCCAGCTATCACTCGGATACTCAGAGACATAACGTGAATTCGCTTGGTTGTTTCTTCGCAAAAAAAACACCGAAGCAGAATAGGGAAAGATTAAGCAATATGTACGCAAAGTCACCCACAAATAACCGCAATTTCTCCCAAAGCAAACTCCATTTATTTACTGACCTATCCTCCGCTCACTTCTGGTGCATCCCGAACTTGGTGGCGAGCTGTCGATACCCAGCTCTCTGTTCCCTCGTGACACTTGGCTTAACCTTTCCGAAAGCGATCTCAAAGTCCTCCATGCTCACGCGCACACTCATACCGCCGTCCACCTTCACCCTATCCCTGATTACCGCCATTCCACCTTCATCAAACACTGCCCTCCGCAGTGCCGCCGTCGTCGCCTCTCTAAGCAGTGCGTTCAGATCCGCGCCGGAGAAGCAGTCGGCACGCTTGTCTCTTGCTAGGGCTTCGAGGTCCACATCCGGGGCAAATGGCGATTTCCGACTGATGGTCTTCAGGATCTCGTATCGTTCGTCCTCCGTAGGGAGGTCAACAAGCAAGGGCTTGTCGAGACGTCCGGGCCTGAGCATTGCAGGATCGATAACGTCTGGTCTGTTGGTGGCGGCTACGACATAAACGCCCTGTCGATCTTCCAGCCCATCAAGTTCCGTCAGAAGGGTATTTACAACTCTCGCGCTGCTTTCGCTCAAGGAGTCGTCACGTCGGGGGACTAGTGCATCCAACTCGTCGAAGAAGATGACACATGGTTTACTGGCCCTTGCTCTCTGGAAAACCTGTCGTACCGCCCGCTCTGATTCTCCAACGTACTTGTTCAGCAACTCTGGGCCCTTCACCGAAATGAAGTTTGCATGACTTTCGTTAGCGACAGCCTTGGCCAGTAGTGTTTTACCACAGCCCGGCGGACCCCAGAGAAGCACTCCGATAGGCTTGTTGAGGCCAACGGCCGCAAAGAGTTCGGGATCTTGGATTGGCAGGACAATAGACATCTGGAGCTCCTGTCGGATGGATTGCAAAGCACCAATCGCGTCCCAAGTGACATCAGGAACCGTCGCAAAGCCTTCTCGCTTGGATGAAGGCTGGATCTTGGGCACAGCGACGAGAAAGTCGTCGTTGGTTATCGTGAGAGGTGAAAGTTGTTCCTCAGTAAGTTTCGCTGGGTATGCGGCCAAGAAGTTTTGTATCAAACTTGTGGGCCTGAACACATCGACCGTAGTCAAGGTGGTTGTGGTGGGTACGGCGGACGTGGTAGTAGTGATGGTGGTGTCGGTTTGCTGGGGAGGATCGACATCCATCGAAGTGTCACCATCTCCATCGGGAATCTCTTCGATCGGTGGGCGATCCAGCGCCTCAGGACTGCTTTTGAGCGTCTGGAATATGCGGTTGATGGCCGCGCGGCCGGCTTCCGCGGTGAGAGCACTGAGATCCGCACCAACAAAACCGGGAGTTTTCTTTGCCAATTCGCGGAAGTCAAAATCACCCGACAATCTCAGTTTCTGACACAGAACCCGGAGAATCTTTTCTCGGGCCTTCTCATCCGGAACCGTCAAGCAAATCTCCTTCTCGAAACGCCCTGCTCTTCGGAGAGCGGGATCCAAACTGTCCGGTCTATTAGTTGCGCCAATGATCAACACAGGCTTGCCATCGTTGTTCTCCGGCTTTAAATCTTGAAGATCGTTAGTTCTCAGTTCTAAAAGCACCGAAAGACGTCCATACATACCATCCATACATGTCAACATCTGCGCGACAATCCGCCGTTCCATCTCTCGTTGTGCGCTCTCACGCTTTGGTGTGATGGCGTCGATCTCGTCGAGGAACATCAAACACGGTGCCTTTTCTCGTGCTTCCTCAAATAGCTCCCTAACTTTCTTTTCACTTTCTCCAGACATACCCGACACTATTGAAGGTGCCGAGATGGACAGGAAGGGCAATCCGAGCTCCCCGGCAAGAGCATTTGCAAGCAATGTTTTCCCGCATCCCGGTGGGCCATGCAGCAAAACTCCTCGAGGTATCGGCACACCGGTAAATTCGTATACTTCGGGGTGCATCAATGGAAATGCGACGAACTCCAGTAGCTGGTTAACTGCATCGTCTATACCTCCCAAGTCCTTGAGGAGTATATTCTTTGGTGGCTCGCGATTCTCATCCTTATTTGCTGCAAGACATAATAGTCAGTAGACTGTGCGCCACCACCACCGCACAGGTCCATACCTTTCTGCCGTTTTGGCTTTGCTTCATCTCCTTTATCTCTCCGCTTCCTTTTCGGTGAAGCCGGAGGTGGGGGAACAGTGACTCCTCCCGCCATTCCCACGGGCTCAACCACCGGCTGCGGTAGCTCGGTGTTAGGTGTTGACGGCACACTTGCTTTCCCAGCGTCGCTCGTAGCGCCTGAATTCACCCCCCACATATCCGTAATCCTCTTGTTGACAGCATTGCTCTGCTTCTCATCGGGAACCATCATATTGGCGATCTCGAGGCCCTCAAAGTCGCTGTCCAGTTCTTCTTCCTCCTCTTCCTCCTCCCGGATAACATCAAGCGCCCGTTCGATCGACTTTTCGAGGGTTGGCTTCTTGTGCCTCGTGAGCGACGGATCCGACGAGACGTATGCGAAGACCGCGGAGAGTTTGAGCTGCAGCGTCGGTTCGTCCGAGGACTGTTCGGAAACGAATTGGCGCACGAGCGCGAGGACCTTGTTATCCAAGGCCTTCGCGAGGCGGCCCGCACTCGACGTTTTGGCCGGTCTCATCGTTGCGACGGTCGTGGGTTGAGGCGAGAAACTGCAAAAAAAAAAAAGTTCCTGCGGCTCTGGAAAGAGTTGGTGGGATGGGACGCTACTGCTCTAGAGTGGTGGTCCATGCATGACTCGTCGGCTATTTGACGCGCTTGCGCTTGATTTCCGTCCACCTCGTCGTATCGTTCTAGCGGAGCAGACACACAGCACAGACTGCCTCACGAGTCACCAGGCTATCCACAACGGCAGCACACGCGGCTGATGGGATTACATTGCTAAATATAAGGGGTTGTATGGATCTGTCTTGAGGCCAAACAGTGAGTTTGCGGTACCTACGTTGGGCTGGCTGAAATGTTTTCCGCCACCAAGGTCTACCCATTCTTTGCTGGGGCCCGAAACGGCCATGCGGTACACCCAAAGGGTTCAAAATGACCTCACGTAGCACGGCCCATTATGTTGTGGTTGTTGCTGCAGCTCTCCTACGCTCCCCATGCTGTCGCCTACCACCGTCATCCATCAATAATACATCGTCGATTATAATGTAAAGTTATTTCCCCTTTTCTCCTCACCACTCCTTCCCTAGCGATGTTCACTGGATCTAATTACCCTCGAAACACCATAGTATTCACAATTTGCGGCATCGCCATCAAGGCTGTGACGTCTACTCACCACCAGATCGACAGGCACGCGAACGACTCCTGTTGGTGATGCCGCCACGGAGTCAAGCAGTCTCGGGGGCAATTGTTCAACAGTTGCAGTGAGTTGAGGTCCCAGCAAGCCCATCCTGAGGAAAACAAAAGTGGAAGGGATAGGTCGGAATATCCGAACCTTTGGTCAAAGGACTGTACCATTCCCTTTGTTTGGATTACGCTGGCGAATAGGGGCCTACCGAGACCACTGGTGAGATTGAGAAACGGAGGGAGTGCGTACTTCTTAAACCTGTCACGGCCTGGCCCTGTCCAGTGTCGAATAGGTGTTGAAGTGTTCCTTTGCTAAAGTTTAAACGGGACAGGCGTTTGCTGATAATATGTGCATAGGTATTTCGATCCTGTTGACAGATCGCCCGCTTCGCCACCGGATCCAGTTGGGTTGGTGGTCTCCTGTGAGTGTGGGCAGGCTGCAGTGGTAAACAGAAGGAGGGAGCACATTCCTGAAGCCCGCACTTCTTTCAAATGCAACCACCCTATCTGCATATCGAAAATCTCTCCGCACATTTCAGCCCCGAGTACTTGTGCTACGCATGGATGGATGGCTTCTTTGGGAAAGCCGTAAAAGACTCACTCGCTCTCGCTCTCGCCCGCTTCCTTCTCCTTCATCGTACCCGCTTTCTTCATGTGCTCCCCGCACCGGGCTTCCAGCAACTCTCCGAAGACTGCAGGGGCAGCTCACGATGTAAAGTATTCGGTGGGCATAAGGACAGGAATCATCCGCTCAACAACCGGCGGGCCAAAGGATGAAAAACTGATGATGGCGATAATTGGCGGGCACAGGCCAGTGAGGTGACTGGCGGGCCACCGGCAGCGGCAGCAAAGGGAAATCTGGTATGTACATACTGGGGTACAACCACTCATGGAGAATCCGGTTGGAAAGCGATCCATATTGGTCGAATGATGGCCTCGCCAATTCTACCTGCTGCGTGCCACATAGTTATGCAAGTTCTCGTAAGTTGTCTTACTACCCCTCCTTCTCGACGACAGCCCCGCACTCCTGGAAAGTTCTACACCGAGTCGAGTCGCTCGGTCCGGACACGCCTCAATCAAAAAAACATCTACTTGCCAGGTGAGGTACGCGTTATATTCGGATTCAATCTTCGCGGTCAACTTCCAATTTCGGTATCGATGCAACTTTAGTGATGATCTTATTCCCACAAATCCAGAGATTGCCAGCGATGGGGTGAGTCGACGTCGGCCGATACTCAACTAGGCTTCGATTTTACTGACACTTCCAGGTCGTTAGTGCCTTCCTGATCAGCTCGTTCTTTTGCGTGCTTCTTGTCTCTTTTGCCATGATCCTGTGGCCTGTACGCCTCTGGGCCAGCTTCCCACGATTGAAGGCAGCACGGCTCAAGCACCGAGGGAGATACTACGCGCTGTCCCAATCTCTGATAATAACTATTGCCGATCAGCAGCTTGTCATCGGCATAGCAATGCTGGTTGCCGGTATCCAACACCACTATGAAGAGGACTCCACATTCAACCATCGTTACCTTGTCATCCAGCTCGCCGCACAGTGCAACATTGGTTTCGTCGGCGCGCTCGAGTTGGAAGGACGTCCGCTCGAGGAGGAGGGGCACGGCCCAGGATCAAATTCGACGCAGTATTCCACCAGACTTAATTGGGCGCGTATCGCACTTTCGACACCACATTATACTCGAGACGATATACTTGTTCGGTGTAACTCTTTCCAGCTGCACCTACTGGGACGATACCGATAGCAAGCGCTGCTACTAGTACTTTATCTCCATCAACATATTGTTCTGCTATGCGAGGCTAGCATTATTCGTCGTGTGGGTATGGGGTGACTATCTTATCGCCATACAGACGCTCGATCGATGTGCACGACTTTCTTCAAGCCGTTGGAGACGGGCTCCACAGGACTGCCCTCTTCCTACTACTTGCAAGATTGGGCAGGGGTACGGCGTTCAAAACCATCAAAGGATCTTTAGTAGGCTTGCTGTGGATCGCGAAGTCCATGCTATACTAGCTTCCGCCTTGGATGTTATTCCTACCCCGAAAGATACACGCCGTCATTACGCACCCGAGCTTCGGTCTACAGTTCTACGTCGTCTCGATGCTGATGTGGTGGTTCCTTGCGTTCTCCCGGACCATGGATGTGAGGGTGTCGACAATGCCAGTATTGGCTGATTGTGAGGAGCAACAATGGGGCTTTGGACAGATATTCCCCATGCTGATGCTCTTGAATCTGCTGCTTAACACAGTCGATGCCTGGAAGTAGGTTCCCATATCTCAGTGGATCAAGGGGTTGCGCATGCTGACGGTGCATACTTCGCCTACCTACTAGGGAGTTTGACAAACAATCTCTCGCTCGAACCAAAACGTTTTAGACGGAGGCACAAAGGAAGATCGACTGTCGCCTTTGGCGTTGGAGCCGGTGGGACCTTTGACTGGAGACCTGGTGGGGCAAAGGGCGAAAGACTTGCTAACTGTAAAAGATCGATAAGACCGAACGGGAGGCACAATATTGGGCTCGATTCAGAGTCTGCGTCAAGGGGAGGAGGGGAGGAGGGGAGGACACGAGTGATCATCTTTCAGCAAGTCGTTTTCTTTGGGCGAAGGGGCTGGTGGGGACTCGGATGGTAAATCTTTTCATGCGAAATTCGTAGTAGGTACTCTCGACGGGCCAGTTTAATACGTGGGAGAAAATTAAAAGTCGGATTTCAAACTACATATTTCTATACACAGAATGCGGCTCCCTGGAACACCTGAGATGTATGCATATACCTACATACAGTGCAGGCAACAGCCCGAAAAGCCCATGGGCTGGGCTGGGGCTGCTGGGCGGGCTGGATTATAAAGTCGGTGGTTGGTAGGCAGCGGCGCAGGAACGGGCCGTGGTGGTATCTAGAGCTTTCTTTCGACCCGCGGAGCTGGCTGGAAAGGAAAGGTTTGGAAGTTAGTGGTCGCCATAGTCTAGCAAGGCCGCATGCGACAATAATTGATGTTCTCTCTCTCTCTCATGATAGATATGTAACAGGCCCACGCCGGCAGCGCCCTCAAGAAAGAAAGACAGAAAAAAACAGGAGGAAAAAAAACAGCACATAAAATGTAAAGCTACTCTACTAAGAAGACAGGTCCACAGTGGCGGAAGCGTGCCAATGTCGCAAACATTCGCAGGCCTCAATGAGCTCCGGCTTCAACCCAACCATGAGTTTATCGCTACTAAACACTCTTTCTACCTCTGCCGTCGGATGCGGAGGTGATTCTCTTGCGGTTGTTGTTGGGATACAGGAGGTGGCCGTGCCGGATCCACCACCCTCGACGATACTAGCAGTGAGACGCATCATTAGAGCTCACTAACTACGGCCCACCAGCCCGAGCTGGGCTACACGCGTCGGGCTGCGGGCTGGCTTTGATTGGGTTGGGCTGTTGCCTGCACTGCCTACATGGTATCTGGGCGGCGATCGCGACCTGACAGACGGCGGAAGCAGTAGCAGACTAGATGGAAAAAGCTATGATGGAAAAACAACAGTTCAACAGCAGCATCATCTGATCCAACGGAGAGGGCACACGATGCTGAACACTACGATAGCCGTGAAATCTCTGCAGCGCCGAAGAAGAAGGGGGGAGGGGTCCATGCCCATTCATACAGATGAAAAACGAGTGATATACTAAGTTCCTAGTAACCAACACGAGGCAAGTCACCGAGACAACCAATATTTAGGTACCAATCGGGACGTCCCGTGGGTGTAAACGTTGATCTGGTTCAGGCTGACGGCGGCTAAAGTGCGGAAGTTGGCCGGGCCATCGAGCCCTCCGGCCAAAGGCCGGTCTGTCACTCACCTTTCTCACTTGGCATGGCCATAGCGGGTCGAATGCAAAACGATGCAACGGGAAACCAGTAGTTGCCTTACACCCACCAGTCCACGAGCCTCACATTCCTCTCTCCCTACTTCCTACCTAAATCGACGACTTTCCCACGACGCCTCCGCCAAAACCTTCCCAAACAAACACACTCATCCACCGCCTTTCCGAAGAAAAAAAAACCATCCCACAAACATCAAGATGGTTCGCCTCTCACCCGACCTCTCCCTAGGTATAACTCGCTCTCCACGGTACCTGACAAGACGCAGGTCCCACCACCAAACCGCCGCCAGCGTAGAGCTGACTCGAGGTTTGTCGCGAAACACGAGAAGAAGATGACCCAGTCGGAAGTGGCCAAGAACAAGAACAAGATCTCGGGATCCCGTTTCTGTGAGTTATCTCTCTCGCCGTCGCTCTCCCCAGTGCGTGTGCGCATGGGGAGAGAGAAGGTGGTGTGGGCTAATACAAATGGGTTGTGATGGGATAGGGATTCTGATCTTTGTCGTTGTGGGCGGTCTGCTGTTGCAGTTCATCCGTATCTTCTGGAGGTGGTGATTCATACCGGCTGCTTAGTGAGCTTCAACGGTCATGATGGATGCATGCGTTTGAGCAATCGGTCGGGCAACAAACATCATCCCATGCTCCGAATGGGCTGGAATTCACTGTCTACTGTCTACACAATGTCTCAAAAATCTTCCGATAGTTACTCGGTAATGCTACTACAATTGGCTCTTCGGTGACTACGGTATGGGTGATGAAAACAACGACGGCGGGATCTACCTACCAAGTAGTACATTATCACTATGCGACTTCTCGAATCGAAGTGTGGTGGCGGGTGCTGTGCGCGGTAGAAGCTATTGTCTATCATCGTCCCCGAAACAAACACAACAATCGTCATGGGTGCTGCTGTCTACCATACTTTCCGAAAGATGCTTTTCAAGCGGACCGGCCGGGCGGTAACTGGCAAGCACCACACGCTCGGAACGTAACCACGTTATGCGTCACTATGCAAAAGCCACGGAACAGATCGACTCCTAAAGCCACTCCGGGCTGCAAGCCTCGCGGGTGTGCGCTACAGCCCTACATGACATAGCACTCGCCGGTGGTCTCCGTACATACGGCTTGCAAGGGGTGGCACCTGTTAGTCATCGCACAAGTAATGAGATCCTGGCCCCAGAGAGGGTAGAGATACCTATCATACGGTTCATCAACCACCATCGTGCTATGTACATAAGTAGCCCTCCGCAGCAAATTTCTCCTACGATCTCAGGTTTGCGCACGGTCACAGACGCATGTTTCCTAGCCCACAGAATCGAGAGGCTCTTTGGGGAAGTCGCAAGAATGTACATACTATCCCCATATTCGATACGATACCTTGGGTGGCTTGTACCATTTACGTTTTCCGCTTCATCATTTCACGTTCGGCCGTTTCCGACCATGGCAAGTCACTTTATATCCAGTCACATCATAAGAGTCGGGCTGGATAGCGGCGCGGAAACGGAGAGTGTGTTGATATTATATTGCCATGATCTAGCTAGGTACTTAGGTCGCATGCAATCAATGAGTAAACAAAAACGAAATCCAGTCACATGTGACATGTTCTCAGTTTCCATCCCGATTGGTAGAGGTCTCAATCGTTGCAAATCCCGACCTATTCCATCTCTGCTATTCCAGCCCATTGTCTCCACTCGCCAGATGTTTCTCCTCGCCAATCAGGTGCTCCTCCTCGCCGATCGTGCCCTCAAACTAGCTTCGCATACCCGTTCCATTCGAGCGAACGGAGTGTATCTTTGTCGTTGAATGCGGGATACGTCCTGGATCGAGGAAAGACTTCCCAGGAAAGGTAAACACTCGAACGCCGATAGCTTGAAAGATACTGTAGATGATGCATACGATCCGGGGAACAAGGCGTACGATCCGGGGAACAAGGCGTACGATCCGGGGAACAAGGCGTACGATCCGGGGAACAAGGCGTACGATCCGGGGAACACGACCAATCAATCTCAGTGCCAGCCCACACTTCACCCAGCCAGCGAGAGGAACGGAAGGGGATAGGGAACATCCGATGATGATGATAAAGTAGGACCTGGAGCATGCCAGGTATGGAGTCCCCAGCATGAGCGGCAGCCTTCAAGTGTCAGGCTGACTCTAGGTCCCTAGAATCCGTGGATTCGGAGGCCGTGGGTCCGAAGGCCGGATAACTACGGCAATGAGTGCTCCGAAATGTATCGCATGGGAAAACGCCAAGTCCCGCCGGACTGAGACTTGTCTCCGACCTTCAACGGTGATGGGGTATGGGGTGGTGGAGTGGTACGCCCAACCCTTCAGGTCACCATCTTCGGGCCCCGGATAGAGGGGCATGGATAGGTATTTGAGATTTCCCAAATCGTTTCGGAGCTGTAGTGAATATTTCTTCCGGAAGACGCAGAGGATAATCGTGAAGATAGTTGACAGTGAAGGCTCGCGTCTTGGCTGCGGAGTCCGTTAGCATACTGGGTCAGGTTATAGTTGACCGTCAGGGTTACATACTTGCCGGTGCTAAATGGATATTCCCCTCCTAAGCTGATGGTGCGGCGGTCGGATCGAAGCACAATTTGTTGGCTGTTTTGACCTGCTACTGATAACGGGCCGGTCTCGAAGATCTCTGGGGGAAGGCGGATGAAGGAGCCGTTCGTCGTGAACATGTACTCAGTATGAGGATGTCGATGGCATGCCAGGTACCCGAGGATTGGGTATCCTGTGGAGCAAGACTTCAATCTTTTTTAAGGGAAGGCCTGTTTCGAAGGTCCGCAAGAAAAGTTGGAGAAACAGAGAAAGTCGTTCGAGTCGTGGGGGGATATATCACAATAAGATAAGAGTCGGTTCGTAAGATCCAAGAGAAGGCGGATGAAGGAACCGTTCGTCGTGGGTGTTTGTTCGGTATGATGCCAGAGACGGCGTTCTTGGGGAGCGAACATCATGGGAGACAGCAAGACCTACTTATACACTACGGCAGGATCGCCGTAATCGGTGCCCGTACAATTCCAATTCTCGTTTCCAAACCGGACTCGGCGAAATGCAAACTCCCTCTAGCGTTAACTGTTGCCTGCTCGAGCTTTCGAACCCCACTGGTCAGCGTTGGGCAGTACGATGGAGCGGGCCACTGCAGATCCCGGGCCACACCACTAAAGAAATCAAATATAGCATTTCAATGCGTCCCATCCGGCCCCACCATTATCCAACATCCACCAGGTATCCTAGCCTGATATCCGTCTTCACTACCATGCGCACCAGCCAGCATATACAGGATACGCCGCCAACCCCGTCGCATCGTGTCCTGCACAGTTCTGCCAAGCTGTGGGCACTGTTGTCGTCGTCGGCTGCAGAAGTACGAATTCCCCACCCGTCGACATTTGCCTTTCCGAGGGCGTGATAACTCGCGGTCCTTGGACATGGAGTGGTCAGTCCCATTCGTGTTGCTCGCGGCCAGAATTATGACATCGCCGATGCTCCGTAAGATACCTAGCTGAGATGTGCGGCGCCGAGCTCGCTCTAGAGCCAGTCACACATCACAGACTAGGGGCGGCGATCGTCATTTGTGGATTCCGTGTCCGGACGCCGTGAGATAGTTCGTGGCGAATGGTGGATGGTGAATGGTGGATGGTGGATGGGGGATAGTGGATGGTGGATGGTGGATGGTATCACATTTAAGGCCCTATCGTGGCACATATTGTGGCCGATATGGCATGATGGTGCTGCAAACACTCATGCGGTAAAGACGTTTCTTTCGCGCTGGATGGCTATTGATATCATTCCCATGCACTCACAACACTGCTTCTGGGCTTTCCGGGCTATTTTCGGATGTGGGTCCACAGCTCAACAACCACATGGCTGAGATCAAGGTTTGCTTAATCTAAAGGTCGCATATCTCAGTACCTAGCAGAAGATAATTCCGGCCTCAGTTTAGGTGTTCCCATGCTAGGTAAAGTGCGAGATGCCGTCAACGTGCGAAAACTGATCCTGAATTTGTCAAACCTCAAGGAAATTTCTCATAGCTGTTTCCCATCTGTAACCGGCCAGATGGCGTCCAGCCATAGGAGCCAAGAACGTAGGAAGATGTGGTATGAGTTACCCGAGTTATGGCTGTTCGGAAATCGGATTTTCGATCAAGACTACGATTTCGATGGAGCTGAGACCGCTCACACGAAAGACCAGCCCATGACCATTGCATAGGTAGAGCCTTTGGTGCGCCGGGGTGGAGATGGGTCGACATTCACCGGCTTTACGAAAACGGTCGAACTCATTGTTGGGCTTTCAATGGGTCAAACGTCGGGCTGGATGATTTTGGCCGGGAAGCTCGTCACCCCCGTAGCCAGGGGACACTACCGAAAGCTGAAAGGAGGCTCATCGATAGGGAGATAGCGGAGAAGGGATCCATCCAGTTGGCCGCAGGATGGCGGACTAATCAGAGACGACCGGAATCTAGAATTCCGCATTCGGTGGATACATTGACCGGAAACGACAATCCGGAGGGATATCACACCATTTTGTAAAAGAAAAGAAACAGTAGTAATATCACATTTTTTTACCCTCCCCTGGACCACACCGTACTTACTGTTGATCGTACTGCAGACGGATAGAGGATGGGGAACACAGATTGCCATGATCTGGATAGGCCGCTTTTAATGAATGAACAAACAAAAACAAACCATGCACTTTACCAAGTAACAAATCATACTCGGATGTTAAATGCTAGGCGGATTTCGGGCAATTGTTATGGTTTCTTCTTCGAGGGTGATATTTGCTGCTGATATGCACCACAGCATTCGGTCTGGGCAACCGCAAGCGGTATCCACAGCTGCCATGGCTCGCTTCCGAGGATGGTTCCGAGTATGTACTTAATTAAACGCAGAGGCCGTCTTCCTATCAGCGATGCAGCCTCATCACCGATCACTCACGCCACAGTTCAACCCAGTGGTTTCCGCTAAATAGTGCGCGCTAGCCAAGTTTTCTCCAGTGTTCTACATGGTCTGGACGGACTAGAACTTCTAGAAGCTGAATATTATGGAGGCGATGGTTTTTGTTATAAGTGTCATCTGGGAAGCATTGCAAGAGTCGATTAACACACAAAGTTAGTCATTGAAGGGATGACTTTAGTCACCGAGCAGGAATGACAGAGTAAATCCGTGAGACTTCCGGTCGCCTGGGCCGCCACCCCCCATAGTACTCCTCCCCCTACTCCTAGCCACTAACTAACGAATCCACCCCACAACCCACCTGCCATTCCACCCGGGGTCCATACAAATGGAAACGCGCAACCCATTCCATTTTTCTATTCCATTTGAGGTTTGAGGACCCCTAATCCAGTCCCGCCTAGGTATTAATTTTATAGGAGGGCATAGAAATTGTCGATCCCGTCCACTGTTTGCCGGACGGGGGCCGGACGGGGGCCGGACTGCAGTCGACTGCAGTCCGGTAAGCTCCTGGTAGCTGTATTCCAGCACATAGGTATCCCGCTTTCTGTGGGATTTCCGCTTGTGCGTACTGTATAGTGAAGGGGGGGTAAAAAATACGCTTTTTGGCGTATCGGTACGGTCAAATAGCGTAGAAATACGGTCAAAATACGTATTTCACCGTATCGATACGCTTTTTTCCGTAGCGGTACGGCCACAAAGCGTATTTTTTACCCTCCCCTTCACTATACAGTAGGTACTCTAGTTGCTGAATGTTTTGGCAATCATGCATCCGTCGCATTTCGAGATCTCCCACTCATGCCACCCGGTTCGCGCAGAGGGACGTCTCGAATCAAAATCAACAATCGGCATGAGCCCTCTCGGCACCCATCCACAGTTTCTTCCCTGTTGTGTAGCACTCCCATACCAATTCGACTTGCGCCTTGATAATTTATTGGCACAGCTTCCATGAAGAAACCGTGATTATCGCGCCCTACTCCAAGCAATTTATCAAGCGGCTATAGCCTCTTTAGCACCCAGCACCCGAGCATCTGCTACTAGTTATTACCATCCACATTCGAGTGTGGTGCCGTCCATACTCTCTAGAGTATCTATCCTTCTCATTCTCGGGAAGATGAATGTCGGAAGTATGAACGTAATGGAGTGCTCGAATCGAGACCATCATGTCTCCGATGCAGGGGATCCGTAAATCCACATGAGTATCGGAATAAATGCAACGTTGCAGCGATGGGGCCTTGCCTCCCTGGTCCGCGGCCCGCCGCTCGATCTGTTCCAGAAGTCTAGCAACAGCCATCGCGGCCACCTCCGATAGCTGCCAAGCACAAGGCGCATAGTTACATCTCATGCTAAGCCCTCTTGATATAGTGTAGATCCCCTAAAGGTCCCTCACCTGCCTTAAATGACATCATGGTATCAACCCTAAGTCAACCGCACCTCATCTTATATCGAACGGTGTCCTCTCTTGTCCGCCGACGAAGAACCTCATCCGCACCATGGCCGCTTCTATCGCCGCGCTCCCCACGGTCTCCTCGCTGGTGGACTGTACGGACCTCACCGTAACAGTATATCCATACCTCCGCCAACTAACGCCCGCACACGTGCTGCCGCTCCTGCGCGGCGAGATCGCACCGACGCAATGGTACCTCGCCACAAACCCAGTCATAAGCGCCGCGCTCTTCGCGCTCGCCGTCTCCCTCGTCGTTCTCGTTGCCGGCGAGATCACCCGCAACTGTAGCCAGGTCGACCGCCTGTGGAGTCTCCTCCCCGTCGTTTACGCGGGGCACTACGCGGCGTGGACACACCTCCACGGGATCCCATCGGAACGCGTGGATACGCTTGCTACGTTCATCGGATTGTGGGGTGTACGTGAAAAAGCCCCCCTTCGAGCCCCGCTGCTGTGCACTCCCGCTGACACTGGCTCCAGGCCCGCCTCACGTTCAACTACTGGCGCAAAGGCGGCTACCAATACGGCCACGAAGACTACCGCTGGGAGGTCCTCCGTGCTAAGATCCCGGCGGCACTCTTCCCGGTGTTTAACCTGGGCTTCATCTCGCTATTCCAGAGCTTCACGCTGATGGCGATCACCTGTCCGCTGTACATCATGCTGCTATACTCGCAGCTCCCCGAGAGCGCCACCACCGACATCGTCGACACGATTTTCTCGCGCGGGCTCGTCATCGTCCTGTGCATCGAGGCGCTGGCCGACCAGCAGCAGTGGTCGTACCAGCAGGCGAAAAAGAGCTACAAGGAGACGGGCGCGGTTGCCGAGGGGTTCGCGAAGGAGGACCTCGACCGCGGGTTCGTGGTCACTGGATTGTGGGCGCTCTCGAGACATCCGAATTTTGCGTGTGAGCAGGCGATCTGGCTGGGCGTGTACCAGTGGGCTTGCCTCAAGACTGATACCATGTACAATTGGAGCGGCCTGGGCGTTATGGCGTATTGTGCCATTTTCTTGGGGAGCACTATCTTCACCGAGAGCATCACCGCGGCGAAGTATCCCGACTACAAGGAGTACCAGCTGCTGGTTAATAAGGTGGTTCCAGGGTTGGGTGCGCTCATGGGACATGAGCTGGAGGTTAAGGGAGCGAAGAAGGATTAGAAATACCATGCTGTACTGTACGTTACTTTGTTTTTTATGCATTAAACTTGTGGATTGTGGAGAGCATTGATTTTATTGATCATGAACGTTGCGACTTGAATAGAAAAGGATACATGACTTCTATCTAAAAGCCTACATCCCGGAAACTGGCAGTCGCCTAATCGCTCCACTGACCAGTCGCTCCCACTCTACCACTCATCCTCCTTCCAAACCTTGACTTCAACCATTATTCTTCCTCCTGCCTTTACCGCAATGATCGCCCTCTTCAAAGTAAGAACGCAGCCCATGCCCTCACACATAACCTTTCCGGTCGGCTCCCAGCGGAACGGGAAATGAGGCAGAAGAAACCACAAATGCTCCATAGTCACCTCGTCGACGTTGCCGGGGAAGGTGACGGGCCAAAGCAGGAGGCGAGTGTTGCCTGTGCAGTACCGTTAGAGGAGACAGAAAGGAGGCGGGCCGGTTTGTACACATACCTGTGAAAACCTTCGGATGCTTGAATAAGTGGTTATCCTTGAAGTTGAACGGGTTCCTGTTGTGGTCCCAGTAGCGGCGGTCGGCACGCGGTTCGGTTGGGGCGTTGGGCGGGGCAGTGGCAAAGGTAAACTCGCCTCGGCCGCGTCCTAAGCCGAACGCCGGGGTCGATTCTGTTCGCGGGAGTGAGGGCGGGGAGTTGTAGGGCCTGGATGGAGCATTGCCGAGCACACGATTTCCGCGGCCGCGGCCCATGCCAAACGACAGGGTCGATACTGTGCGTTGGAGAGCCGGGGGAAAGCCGTGCGACAGCAGCGGGGCATTGACGGCGGGTCTTGACGGAGTGTTGACGGGGATAAGCGCGCCTCGGCCGAGACCCAAGCTGAACGCCGGGGTCGATGCTGCGTGCGGGAGAGAGGGTGGGGGACGGCATACCAGCGGCGGAGCATTGGTGGGTGCTAGCTGACCGTGGCTCAAGCCGAACGCCGAGGTCGCTGCTGCGTGTGGGAGCGACGGGTGGATGCGGTGCACCAGCGGCGGAGCGTAGGCGGGTGCCAGCTGACCGCGGCCCAAGCCGAACGCTGGGGTCGCTGCTGCGTGCGGGAGAGAGGGTGCCGGGCGGCGCACCAGCGGCGGGGCGGGCGCGAGCGCTAGTCTAGACCAGGCGGGGGCGGGCGCTAGGTTGGACAAGGCATTGCGCAGCGCAAGCCTGGGCCGGGTGTCGCCGGGGAAAAGTCTGGACCGGCCCGAGCCGAGCTCCGGAGCCGATGCTGTGCGCGGGTGGATGAGGGGATGGCGGTGTGCTGGCGGCGGCGGTCGGTTCATGTTCAGGGTGGACATGGTGCTAGATTGTAGTGTGTACTGGGGGAGGTGCAGGCAGGGTGCGGGCGAGGTGCGGGCGGTGGATGGGCTGCTTACTTCTTGATAGCTGTGCAGATGTTGGTGGTGTCTGCGGCGGGGAAGTTTGGTGTGGTGGGGAGGGAGGGAGGGAGAGGAAGACGAGCGGGGGAGGGGGAGGAGCGGGCGGGCGGGGTTAGGGCGGGGTTAGGGCGGGGTGGAGAGGGGCGGAGAGGGGCGGGGAGGGGCGGCCATGTGACGACGTACGCTGCAAGTTACAGCTTCCACCTTATTCGTACGTAGCTAGTCTCGTCCCAACGCCAATGTTTCGCTCGACGCTCTCCACAATCGCAGCAGTCTAGAAGGTAGACGTGGTTTCGATGTAGGCATGTTTAGATAGGTGCCTGAGTCCCGTGTGCGTTCATGGCCGATTAACCAGTTCGCAACCGATTATCGAGCTCAATACCTCAGTACCGTACTGATGGCAACCAGCCGCCGTTGGCTGCTGGCGAACCCGTCCGTTGGAATATTTGGATTATGTAGACGGAAAGAGATAGGTAATTCATTCGATACAGAACCAGAAGAACCTATCGTCCGCGGCGAGACGCCGAGACCTCTCTTTAAGACTAAGGTGCCGCCTAAAGGTGGCCGTCGCTGCGTAACCATATACTCGTCGACAGACAGTCCATCGCGGCGGTCGAGACTCGGCCTGGACCATCCACCACGAAACCTTATTAGTGCCGACCTCTCCGCCTCCGGGCGACTAAAGTTTGACACCGTCATATACCTAGAAAATCCCCACTGACCAGCGTCTCTGCTGTTTTCGCCAGTAATGTACTCTACACTATATCGCTTCGGCGCTAAACACACATAAGCCGAATCATCGCAAAGTCGGATTTTGGTGCAAGCAGTCAATGATAGATCTCGATTCCCACGGCCTACATATGATATCGTTCGCCGTGGCTTCACAAGATGTCACGCGGCCTGGTTCGCTAACCCGTAGGTTTGCACGTGACACCAACCCAGCCAGAGCTCAGGGTACGATTGGCAGAGGGGAAGAACTACAGAAGCTTATCAACCAAGAAGCCAGAGCGGTCATGGGCAGCTTCAGAACCACCAACCAGGGCGCACTCATTCTAGAGTCAGGACTGAGACCCGCAGCGGCAAAACTCAACAATAGGGATAGACGATTTGCCCTCAGGCTCCTCAGCCTCCCAAAGGGAAACCAGGCACGAGAATTGGTCGGAGCAGACAGTGAGCTCGGACAAAGACTGGTCACTTTTCTGGGAAACCCTGGACGCACGGAAGAGACGGTGATTCTGGAAGAAGCCCAAGCACTTGATTGCACAGTCACCGTGGACGAGGCAGTCGCAGCGAAAGCGCACGCGTTAGGCCCACAACCCCCCAGGACTCTTTATGTACACAGACGGATCTCGGACAGACTCGAAAGCGGCCGGCTTCGCTGTTGTCTGGCACTCCGGCGACGAATGGAAGGGACACAGAGTCCAAATGGGCTTCCAACAGGACGCCTATGGTGCGGAATGTGCAGCAATCGCTCGAGCACTCGAAGCAGCCGCCCACCGACGCTACGTTCTAGAAAGAGTTACTATCTACACCGACGCACAAGCTGCTATCAGGAGGATGGCTCACGATGAACCTGGCCCCGGCCAAAAGTACGCCCTCCAGGCACGGAAACACATCGCCACTCTCCGGCAAAGGGAACTTGCGATCACCATTAAGATCAGATGGTGCCCGGCACACAAAGATGTTCCTGGGAACGAGAAGGCGGACGAATGGGCTAAGCTGGCAGCTGACAACCCCACCGCCCGCGGGGTGGAGGGGACCCGCTACCTGCACCAGTATGGCACCCGGCCTCTGCCACCGCCGTCGCTCGCCTACCTGAAACGCGGCATCTCTGAAGCCAAGTGGAGAGAAGCCAAGGGATGGGCGGTCAACCGAATCACTCATAAGAATTACCGGTACAGTCGGAAACCCGACCAGCGTCCTGACCCAAATCCGGAGATGGCCCCCAAGCGCCTCGCCTCAAGATTCTACCAACTCAAGACAGGACACTGCCTCACCGGCCAGTACCTCCAGTGGACCAAGAGCCGCCCGGATGCCCGCTGCGGCTGGTGCCGCTACAAGACACAGACTCGGGAGCACCTCTTCAAAAATTGCCCTGAATGGAAAAGTCAGCAAAAGACTCTCTGGGCAAAAGTCCGGAAGCAGACAAGGAGGGGCAAGGACCGCTTCAAACTCCGGGACCTCTTCGCAAACGAGCGATGCAGCAAGGCCATTCTAGAGTTCCTCTCCACCACCGATGTGGGCAGACGAATGCCAGAAGCCGACGAGGAAGATGTAGTAAGTGAGGCATCCGAGTGGGAGCTCAGGGAGCGGGAAGAGAGAGCGGAGCTGAGGCGACTCGAGGAGGAGGAGGGTGCCGAAGCTGAGGAGCTCAGCGACGCAGAATAGCGGACTAGAAAGTTGCGGTGGAGGTGGGACGACTCGAGGGCGCGGGGGCGAGTACGGGTGCGGGTGCGCGGACGAGCGTGGGTGCGGGGACGAGCGTGGGTGTGGGGACGAACCCGGGCGCGAGTGCGGGTGTGGGGGCGAGTGCGAACGGCGGAGACATATCTTTGGGAACGGCTGGGGCGGAGGGCAGGGGAAGCCACATCGGGCCGCCTGACGATAGTTGGGCTGGACAGTGGCGTGGAAACGCGGGGGGGTGCACGGGGGGCACGTGTAAATGATATTGCCATGATCTAGATAGGTCGCACGCAATCAATGAAAGAACAAAAAAGAACACCAACCCAGCCACGGGAGGGCACACAACTTGCAGGACTGTCAATGTTCATGGACGGATCCCGAACAGACTGCAATGCGGTCGGCTGTGACGCCGTCGTATGAAGACACGACACCCCCGGACCCAACCAGAAATATGCGATTCAGACCAGAAAACACATCGCCGCCCTCCTCCGCCGGAGGTAGCTCGAGTGGGAGCTGAGGGAACTCCGAGCGGGAAGCGAGACAGCCGGAGACAGGGGAAGCCACGTCGGGCCAGTTGACGAAATTCGGGATGGACCGTTGGACGGTGGATCCGGAAGCCATGATCCAAGTACAAGGTACTTGGATGGCAGAATCATAGCTAGATCGCACGCAATCAACGATCAACCCATAAAGAAAGAAAAATTTGAAATCACCACAACACACGACCGCGCACCAGTGCGGAAAGCGCACACAGTGATTATCCATGACGCAGCCTGAGTGCCGAGTTCCGAGTTCCGACATCCCAAGTTCCGACTTCCCATCTAACTCCACTAGGTATATTTAGCAGAACATAAGTTTGTACAAAATCCGAATCATTCAAGCCTCAAGCCTCAAAACGGGTGACCACTGTCAACTATCCTGCAGTCACGCATGTATAGACATGTGTAGCGAAACCTACTTACTTACGCTTATTTGTGTCAAACGCTGAACAGTGCAGTGCATCCGTTACAGTCTATTTAAGCTTAAGCTTACACGCGTACTTACTACTGACGTTCAATATCCCCACCTCCCTACCTAGTACCTACTTCTTAAGTACCGAGTCGACAGAAAGCATCCGATCTTTTGGGCTGTGCAGTGTGCATCGACTCTCGACTCTCAGGTGGTCTGAGTGGTCCGACTCCCGAGTCGGGACTCGGCAGTGGGTGCCAGCCTCCAGGGAACGTACGTACAGGCAAAAGGCCGCATACCCAGTAGAGTACCGTACTCTTCGGATTCAGCAAGTACGCAGAGTACGGACGTATTCGTCTCCGTATTTCCGTATTTCCGTATAGAAGCAGGTGGTGCACGGCGCGCCGCATTCAGCCTGCTCTAATTCGTATCTATCGTACGACGACCTCGCACGTGGCGGGTGATATCCCATGTGCGACTCGGGGGCTCCCCCGTTCAGGCTTCAGCCGGCGAGGAAACAAACAATTCGGAGTCATGACACTCCTAACACTCCCAAAGCGGGCCGCATCCCCCCCCCCATACGGCATTACACAAGAACTCTAAATTATAGGTACCCATACCCATACACTTACATCCATACACGAATACCTACTCTTCCCGCATACCTACTCTCCACGAATACGAAGACGAAGTGAATACGACCCCCCACACGAAACGAGTCGGCCTATCTATCCCTCCGCTCCCGCCCCCGACTCTCCTCCTTGCTTCTCCGACCCCGACCCCGACCCCGACCAACCGACCAACCGATCTCGTGTCCCCCCCGCCCCCGAGCCTGAGGGGGCGGGCACGTTCGGAGACGATCCCTACTGGCTTAGTCTGGGATTCTTATGCCGGGCGCGCGCGCGGGTACATACATACATTATGTACATATGTACATGCGACTCGTGAGCGTGCATATGGTAAATTGGTTAGCGCGGGAGTCTTGCTCACTTTCGACACATCTCTCGATTTGCTCCCCAGGCTCAGGTTCCATGTGGTTGTGGGGAGAGGGGGAATGTCTCCATCACTGTGGTTGTAACTTGTGGGGAAGGGGGGGGGGGGAGGGAGGGGGAGGAATGTCTCTCCGATTACGGATCATGTGTAGAAGCGAATTGATGGGATGGGAACTGATGGGATAGGATAGGAAGGGAAAGGATGAGTGAAGTCACGAAAGCTCTGTTCCAGCTTGCGTGCTCACTGCTCAGTGCTCAGACCAAGGCTGCTAGAGCCTAGTAGGTATAATCTCGTGTGCGGCGTACGGCGTGCGGCGTGCATGTAAGTCCTATTCGGCACCGTCTAGTGGTCTCGGAGATATGGATATATCCACCATCCACCTCGGAGTCTGGAGGAGTCACCATGACTCATGACTCACGAAGAAGCAGCAGCAGAAGCAGGCAGGCAAGACACCGCAAGACACCGCAACACAAGACACGACCAGGCAAGACAATACAATGCAAAGGGGAAAAAAAGGAAAGAAAATCACCCATTGAAATTTGGAATTGGAATTGGATAGGTAATCGTAAATATGATCACCATATCATCATATCACCCATACATATCACCATTAAGGCACTCCTACCCGGTGCCCCGCAGGCCGCAAGTGGGATGTATGTAAGAAGTTTGAATTGTGAATCCCAGTTCCTGGTTACCTGGTTCGGCAGGTTTACAGGTAGATACTTTAGCACTTTAGTGATGATGAGTCGTAGCTACATATGAGTGCATTAGGGGAGGGATGTGGGGGTATTGATCGAGCGGCCCGTTGTCTGAGTGTGTGTGTGCTCGGGATCGGTGCTCGTCAAAATTTCGGCGAGTTTGTACCGTAGATATATCCATGGGGGTTATTTTCACAGGTAGACAACCAACCAACGAGCCGAAAGTTGAAACCAATATCGAAAAGAAACTCGGCCTGTAACCAACCAACCAACCAGCCGAAAACCCAAACCAGCCGAAAATCCAGCCAACCGAAAACCCAATATCCAAAGAAACACGGCTTGCAGACACGTATCGGTATATATGAGGTATGTATGTGTGCGAAAATGTTCCGGCAATGCCAATATTCAATATACAATCCAACCTCACTCCCCCATGACTTGGCGGTTTGCAGCCTCGGTGACGAATTCCTCGACCATGCGATTATACTCAACCAGCGCCTCCCAATTGAGAGCGTGACCCACGCCCTCAAAATGTCTCATCTTCACCATACAACCACCGGCCGTGATCCCAGCGACGATAGTATCCGAGTGCTGATGGGCGATGACCTGGTCGTCAGTGCCAGTGCAGACGAGGACGTTCTCCACGCTTGCGCCTATGGCCATCAAGCGGTCATGGGCCATGTAGTGCCAGCTTGCGGCCAGGCCCTGCAGCAGGAAGCCCTGGTACACCGGGCGCCGCAGGTGCTTCATCCGCCACAGCTCCTCGGCCGCAAAGCGGTCGCCGTTCGTCGGGAACACGCCGAGGTCGTCGGGGGCCGATAGCCAGCGTGTCGAGAATAGGTTGTGCTTCGCCGCTGCGAGCCGCGCCGAGAGTGATTTGGGCATCACCATGTATGCGCGGTTGGCTAGATGTTGGTACCAGGGCTGTGTGTGCGGCGAGGGGAGGGGGATACAGATGAGCCGGAGTGACTCCAAGATGAAAAGGGGAGCGCTGGTGGGGGCTAATACTCACAACTGTGTATACGAGCCCGGCAGCTGTGCTCTGCAAGGTCAGCGAGGCGATCCTCTCGGGCGCTGAGTATGCTCTGTGTATGTAGACAACATATCTCTGGGTCAATTCCTCTCTCACTCTCGTACGAGTTTAACCTCCTTGACGAATCGCGAATTGGCTCGCACAGTGCACTTACAGCTCCTGGGCTATCATGCCTGGGATGTGATAAGGCATGTCAGCGAACGATGCAAGAGCAAGGAGGTGAAGGCAGGCTCGTTATAACCTCCAAGGGAAACGCCGATGACATGCAGTTGTTTCTTTCGGTTCCACCCAATGTGATCGCACAGCTCGCACACATCCTTTGCCATCTCGCTAGTGCTGTAGCGGAGTGCCCAAGGCACGCTGCTGTCCCCAGCGCCTGTAGGTAGTGCACGGTTAGGTGGATATTCGAAGCTTAATGTGCGATTTCGTAGGAGCCGAGTGGGGCGGGATTTGTTTGTTTGCTTTACTGGGTGTTTTTTTTTTATCTTTCTTTTCTTTCTTTCTTCTTTCCTAAGCACATACCTCTGTTGTCGAACACCAGACAGGAAAACCTGTCGCCCCGTTCGACACCAAAATACTTGACCTGTCTATGCCACGCGATCTTGGGCGCGTTCAAGCCCATGATCCACACCAGATGGATCGGGCCCGTGCCGTAAACCTCGTCTAGGTAGTGCATTCGAGCGTGTCAATAGAATGTATGCATGCATGTGTGTACGCACGTACGAGTCATGAGGATGGGATGGGCGGTGGGTGCGAACATGCTATCGATATCGGGCCTCCGGTTCGCCCGAGGGCGACGGAGGCCATGCCCGCCTCCTTCGGATCATACCGCGCGATGGCGTTAACGGTTTCCGGGTGCCGCGCGATGTCATCGAGGCTGAGGGGCTCCGTCGTGGTGGTGGTGGTGGTGGTGGCCATGGTGGAGGAAATATGTATGTCGTTCTTTCTCGGGAGTGGGGAGGCGTCCGACGAACGCGTGGAGTATGTTTGATATGTATTGTGGAGACTGGAGAGAGGATCAGGAAGAATTCCAGAAGCTGTCTTGGACGACGACGGGTTGGAGGGAGGGGAACTCTGAGATCTCAGTAAACTCAAGGTACTCTAGGTACCTCTAGAGTAGAGCTCGACGCGGAGGCTAGTCTCGACATCCCGGCAGGGTGGGTTTGCACACGCGATGCACGGATAACCACCTACTCCATAGTAGGTACCATAGTCGTCATGCATGGCCCTGTCGTGGAGGTTCGAACACCTCTGTGGCCATGATTCGTCCAGAGGAGGCAGCGTCCCGGCTAACCAAGCACAAGCTTGCAGGGCCGACTCCGAGCAGCCACTCGCCATCATGCACCAAACCGACGTACATACGGTACTACCAGCAGTCAGTCAGTAGTGGACACTGGAGCTCTCTCGAGTCTCCACCGATGGAGAGTAGATATGAATCATGATACACATCTAACATTCCTATCGCGTCTATTTTCCGAGAAGAACGTGGGATAACTATCGGAAGCATCGACGCGCACGAACAAGCGTTCGTCCGTCCGCTTGTTCGTCCGTCCGCTTGTTTGTTGCGGCCAAAGTCCCACCGCCGGCAGGTCCCACCCGGCGTCCGCATGAACTGCCGGAAGGACTCACTCTACTCGGCCATGGGCCTTCCACGCCGCAACAGACAGACCGACAAGGCCAGGCTGTCTCTGCTCTACTATGGGTGCTAGGTACCCAAGTACGGTACTCTAGGTAAGTAGCAGGTACTCTAGAGACACATGTCTTTTTCCCCCGCCCCTCTTTTCTGTTGCTCGCCGTTGGATGGTGGTTTTTTTCTGCGCCAAATTCGATCCATATTCATGTGCTTCCCTCAAAAAGGCCCCGGCCCCCCGCGCCCTCGCCGGACTCCGAAGTTCCGGGGAAAGCGGTCGAACTCCGCCTCAGCGTTTGATTCGACTGTCGGCTTCCGATACAGTCCGTAAGTCCACCCGGCGGCATCGGCCCCAAGTGCAGGATTCGTCCTCCTACTCTACTCTGCTCTTTGACGCTGACTGGCTCTTGTGGCATATGTATCACAGCTCGATGGCGCTGCTCGCTTCTTTACGACCTTCTAGACTCGCTCCTCCCCACCCCCAGAGAGGGATATTTCGAGAAGAATCCACCATGTCGGAATCATGCTCTCCCCGATCGTGTATGTAGGACATGTCTGCATCGTCTGGCATGTCCCGGTGCCTAGTATATTCAAACAGTCGGAGCCCACGGCTGCCGCCCGATGCCAGTCAAAGTCCCCCCCCCCACTCCTAGTGTTTCTTCCCTTTTTTGCCGAGTATTCTCTGCCTGCCACAACCACCCCCGTATTCGTATCGTCCAATCCCTATCCCCCCCTTAGCCTGCCCTGAACCTGAACCCAGCTCTTGCTTTTTGCACCCCATCAGTCATCGAGGAGCCCAGTACGTCTCTTTCTCGCTATATGTAACCAACATCACTCGGAGATCCGTTGTCCAACCTGCCTTCAAATCCTCTAGGCCCCGTCCACAATCATCTTCCCGCCGCCCCACATCCATCAAATTGCGAAGGAACCGCTCCCGCATCAACTCCCAATTACCAATCTACTGGTCCACTCCTCAACCTCCCTCAAACCACCCCCCCAGAACCCCAAAAACCCCTCCCCCCCAGTTCCCGGTGGCTGTGCTATTTGCCGAGAGAGAGAGAGACGAAAAAGGGATCGAACCCGTGCGAATGTCACCAGTTGTCAGGGATCAACAGTCAGTACCGGAGTTTTGACACGAAACACTGCATTATCGCCTCTCTCCATCCATATCCCATTAAGTCCGGCCGTCGAAAAGGAACCAACACCACCACACCCACCCACCCAACCAACCCATACACAACCGACCCCCAAATATCACAAACACAAAAAAAAAGATTGCTCTGCCGTCATTGCCGCACACCATATAGGTAGAACGTTAGCAGCCCCGTCCGCCCCACCGCCGCCGCCGCCGCTGCTGCTCGCTCGCTCGCCACACCCCGTAGTCTCAGATTATCCATCACTACTTCTTCCTCCTCCTCCTCTTCTTCTCCTACTACCCCGCCGCCGCATGTCGAATATTGTCAATTTGTCCACGCCTTCCCCGGTGCAGCAATTCTTCGGAAACGGGGGAAACGGGGGGAGCGGCAATGGTACGACGGTGCCGGCGGCCATGTTCAACTCGGCAGCGCCGCCGTCGGAATCGGATGGAGGCGCCGAGGGCGCAAAGCGCCGTAGGATAGCGAGAGCTTGCGACATGTGCAGGAAGAAGAAAGTGTGCCATAACTCTCTCTGCCGCAAGTCATGAACCTCTTGCTCCGAGCACACCAATACTCACGAACATTAAACAGATCAAATGCGATGGAAAACTCCCCGCCTGCACCCACTGCGTCAACTACAAGACTGAATGCGTCTTCACCCTGGTCGAGAAGAAGAGGAATCCTCCTAAAGGGTTAGTCGGTCCCCGTGGGCTCCCCCGGAGGTCGTGGCGGCGACCGCGACCGCGGTGGTGGCGCCGGTGGTGGTGGTGGTGGTGCCGGTGGTGGTGGCGCCGGTGGTGGTGGCGCCGGTGGTGATGGTCGTGGTTGTTGTTGTGCGATGCCCGTGATGAACACTTGCTGATTGATCGGTCCCAGGGCAAAGTATATCGAAGGTCTGGAGAATCGTCTCGGACGTATGGAACATCTTCTCAAGCTGTCCGGGCTTCTTTCTGAGGGAGACGAGAACTCGGTGGACCTAGGAGACCTTGAGCGACGGTTACAGGAGTCGGCGGCTTCGTCACAAGCTCCACCGTCACTCATCGGAAGGTCCTCGTCCGAATCCGCGCATGGAACGCCCGCATCGTCTACGTTGCAGAGTAATTCTGGCTCCCCTACGGTATCAAAAGATATAGTTGAGGTTGAAGTTCTTTCAGATCAAATGTGTTCACTGGTCACGAACAACTGCGGCGAGACAAGGTTTATTGGTATGTTCTTTCGATGTGGAAAACTTCCGACAGTCTTTTTTTCTCTTTCGGTTCTGATCTTACGGTCTCGGTATAGGGTCATCATCGGGATTCTCGATATTCTCGCCCCAAGGAATACAGTGGGTAAACGAAAAGACCGGCGACACCAGCTTCCAGCAGATGATCCAGGAAGCTACGGAGGAGCAACAGAAGAAACCGTTTTGTATGTGGAATACCGATATGTGCGGCGATCTGTTCGACCATCGTGGGAAAAGTCCACCACCACCGAAGGAAGTCGCGTTGCAGTTAGTGCAAGGTAAGGCTCATTGCCACCACGGATGGGGGGGGGGGGCAAATATAGTCTGATGGGTTTTGGTAGATTTCTTCGGTGGCTTCAATGTGCTATTTCCGTTGTTCCATAAGGCGTCATTCGAGATTCTCTTCGATAGACAGTACACCGACAACCCACCAACAGACAGTGGATGGTATGCGGCTTTCAATATGGTTCTAGCCATCTCTTGTCGATTACGGATTTCACATACACCGGTCCCGCCCGCCGATGCGCCAATACCCGTCGTCCGCCATGTTCGGGAGGCGTGGGGATATTTCCAGAATGCGGCAACAGTGCTTACAGAACTATTGCTCAGGAATACTGACCTGATGAGCATACAAGCCATTCTGGCGATGGTATGATATGTCCGTAAGGGCCACCGGGTATCATAGCGTTCTAATTGTTCCACAGGCGTTATTCATGCAGGGAACTGCAAATCCACAACCGTCCTATTTTCTGATTGCCGCGGCCGTCAGGATCGCAACAAGTATCGGCATGCACCGGCGGGGGAGTTCGTTCGGACTTCATACACTCGAGGTTGAGCAGAGACGGCGGATATTCTGGATCCTGTACATGCTCGACAAGGACATGGCCCTGCGATCTGGACGCCCACCATGCATCAACGACGATGACTGCAACGTTGAGCTACCGGATGAGCATCCTCTGGACGGAGTCGGCGACGTTCCCCTCATCAAATCCAAGGGCAAATTCAACCTTTTCCGGTGCATGGTTGAATTCTCGGTAATCCAGAGCAAGGTCTACATGCAACTCTATTCGGCTAGGGCGTCGAAGCAGTCTGACGGCGAGTTGCTGAATACGATCGGTGAGTTGGACAAGGAGCTGGAAGAGTGGAGGGAGGCTGTTCCAGCCGAGTTCGGTCCCGACAACGAACTGCTTTTTGAGGAGGAAAGCGCTAAAATGATGCACGTCGTGCTCCTCCACTTCGCCTACTACAACTGCCTCACGACAATACACCGGATGTCCATTCACCACGGATACTGGACGAGCCGGCTGTCTAACTATGCTATATCTGGTCTAAGTGCTAAGCCCCTTAACCCTCGGGTCTTCTCGAGTGCAGCTTTGTGCGTCTCGGCTGCAAGGGCATCCATCAGTCTGATCAAGTATCTGGACCCGCTGGATTACCCCTGCATATGGTAATACCTTTATTGTGCCTACTCACCTACACCACTCGGACTCTGACCGCTGACACATGTGCCAGGCTTGTGATGTATTATCCGGTCTCGGCCCTCGTTACCCTATTCGCGAACATCCTCCAGAATCCGCAGGACCCACGAGCAAGAGTCGACCTCACGCAGATGCACATCGTGGTGCAGTTCCTCCGCAGCGTTCTGGATCTCGACGAGATGGACGACCATGCGTTGACGTTTGAGGACGGTTCCGTCAAACGCATGCTGGTTGTGTGCGGAGAATTCGAGCGCATCGCAAAGATCGTGCTCGACAAGGCGGAGAAGGATGGCCTGGGCAAGAAGAAGCGGAAGGCGGACGATCATCACCACCGGAATCCTCGCCCCGAGCCACGGAGACCGGAACCCGTCGATAAACCGGCCACTTCGCAAACTCAAACAACAGTTCCGGATGGAGCAGCGAACGTTCATGGCCTGCAGATGGACATGAACTCTCAGGTACGGTGCCCCTCGGGGTCAGTCGAGGCTGGGGATGTGATTACTGACACTTGGTCTGTACGATAGTTGTTTGGCGGCGACCTAGTCCAGGCGCTCTCGCCGGGAAACTCGCTTTCGTGGTTCAACGATATGGGATCGGCTCCATCGACGCCGACCAACATAGTGCACACACCAAACCTGCCGCTCGTGTCCGGAAACTCGTTCGAGCAGCCGTTTGTCCCACAAGATCTGTGGCAGATGCCAATGACCTTCGAGTGGGATTGGGCAGACGTCAGTGGCCAGGCCCCTTGGCCCGAAGGAAATAATGGTACCATGTAGGTGGAGACGCGGGGGAATAGGTGGGGGAAAGGGTCCGCATGGTTATTACGCGGCTACGAGACGGACGGAATGGGACGGACGGGACGGGATAGATCGGACTGGACTGGACTGGACACTACGCCAGCTTATGGATTTTCGACGTCGACAGCGACATCGATATCGACATCGATCACGACAGACGGACAGACGGACAGATGGGACGGACGGACGGGGATACTTGTACACAATTGTTACCGGGGAATTTGCACAAGGAGTCAGGGGCGGGTGGGGTTGATTTTTTTTCTTCTTTTACTTGTCATTTTTTGGGGGGCTACTATTTAGTGCTGCTACAAAGCAGCTACATCATTTGCATGTTATTTGGGACAAAACCTTTTCTCTTCTCTTCATTTTTATGCGTGTTTGCTTTCCTCTGTCATGTTCTGTTCTGTGGGGCTTAGGCTGGGTTTTTTTTTACGGGACCATTGGTTGGGCGCTGTTATGTTATCGTTTCTGGGTGTGTGCCATGTGGAGGTCGGTGGAGGGTGGTCGCTGGTGGTGACTGGATGTGAGGGGGTTGTGTATGATTAGCGTGTGAAGCACTCAGCGGACGGAGGACGGAAGGAAGGAAGGGGAGATGTGTCCCATCCCATCATCATAGTGATCTCATTTCTCATTTCTACATAGGTGGGGGAGGAGGGGCAAGAGGAGGAGGGGGGTGGCTGAGCTGCTGCTGGGTGCTGGGCGCTGGGTGCTGGGTGCTGGGTGCTGGGTGCTGGGTGCTGGGTGCTGGGTGCTGGGTGCAATTAGATTCTTGTTTTGCGATTCTCTCCTCCTCTCCTCTACATACTGTATGTATCATACCGTACCGTATCATACCGTATGCATAGAATCTAGATTCTAGATCATGGCGATTGATTGATGAAAGGGGACTGAATTCCGGGGGACTGAATACTACCTGGGTGGCTACAGTAGGTATGATAGGTGCAGTCGGAGGCGGTGAAAATGATTGTCCGAGAGTCCGAGCCCTCTCTCTCTCTCACCGCAGCAGCAGCAGTATGATAGTAGAGGCAGCGGAACGATCGAGTGCCGTAAGTCCGCGCCCTGTCCTGCCCCGCCGCTCCGCGCCGCGCGCTTGGTTGGTCTCTGCTGTCAGCCCCCCGGTGGAAAGGTGCGGAGTGCGGAGTGTGAGTGTGCGGAGTGCGGAGTTGTGGGACTCCGAGTGTCCGATTCGCACATGCTAGAGCAGGGACACTGTAGGTACCATACAATGGAAGATGTGGCCAGTGCCGAGTGCTGGAATCATCAGCCACAAAACAGCTGGGTACATGGCACCGGTACTGGTTTTCGCCGGAATAAAAGAACCAAAAATAACAAATATCTGGGTCCTAAGGGGACAGTGGATACTGTGACACCGTGAGTCCGTGGGACCGTGACAGATGTCAAAACCTCCCAGGCTCCCACTACCCAGGCCCCAGGTCCCAGGCCACAGGTTGAGGGTATGGGAGAATCGGAGTAGCCATCATACCGGAGTAACCAAGTCCTCTACATAAGTACCTACATGGCTGATGGCTGATGGCTGATGTGTGGGGGTGGGGGGTTATTGCCGACCCCGACTCCGATGACCAGGTTCACAGTTACGAGTGGCTGACACGAGCCACATCTATTGCCCGACGACCGACCAGCCAAGCGGCGCGCGCTAGAGTAATATGTAACTACATAGGCGCCAAAAGGGCCAGGGGCCAAGGGCCAAAACACGTTGTCCAGTGACTCAACGACAGGTAACGCCAGCTGTGGACAACGGACGCGTCTTCCCGGCCAACCTTTCACCGTGTCAACGCCCACGACAACGCCCACGTCCACGACCAGCAACACGACCACGATCAGCACCAGCACAACCACCACCACGCACCACCATCCCCAGCACGCACCCTCATCACCCCGCCCACCCCCTCCTACCCTTCCACAACCCTCGAAATGGCGGACAAGCAAGCCACGCTGTACATCATCGACGTGGGGCGGTCGATGGGCCAGACACGGCACGGCCGCAGCGAGACGGATCTTGAGTTCACGATGCGCTATGTATGGGACCGGATCACGACTACCGTATCGAACGGGCGGAAGACGGATCTCGTCGGTGTTGTGGCTGTTAGGACTGATGGTTCATTGTCTTTAAAAAATAATGGGGATGGCGGGGGCTAAGCGGGCGGTGTAGGCTCGGAGAATGAACTTGCGCAGGAGGAGGATTACGAACATATCAGTGTTTTGGCGCCGCTGTCGCAGTAAGCTGGACTGAGCCCGCATTTGTGTGGTGGCTGACGGAGAGGATAGGTTCCTGATGCCGCGACTGCGAGAGCTGCAGCTCGCACTCCAGCCCAGCAGCACCAACCATGGCGACGGTATATCCGCGCTAATCATCGGGGTGCAGCTGATCGCGTCGCACTGCAAGAAGCTGAAGTACATCAAGTCGATCGTATTTGTAACGAACGGCACTGGCTCGTTCGACACGGACGGGATCGAGAACGTCGTCGCCGAGATCAAGGCGCAGAATATCAACCTGACTGTGTTAGGGGTCGATTTTGACGACGAGGAGTATGGTGTTAAGGAGGAGGGGAAGGCCCAGGCTAAAAGAGAGAATGAGAAGGTGCTGAAGGAGCTGGCCGAGGCGACGGGCGGCGGATTTGGAACTATCGCCGAGGCCGTGGCGGAGCTGGGACGCCCACGGTTGAAGGCTGTCAGGCCGATGGCTAGCTATAAGGGGAAGCTTACGCTGGGCGATGCGACAAAGTACGATACCGCACTGGCGATAGATGTCGAGCGATATCCCAGGACGGCGGTCGCAAAGCCGGTGTCGTGCAGCCGGTATTATGTTACGACAGAATCCAAGGAAGGAGAAGGCGAAGAATCCGCGCAGACAATGCCATTGGAAGATACCAGCACAAAGGACATCGATACCGTGAAACAACAGCGCACGTACGAGGTCAGGGCCGATAACAAGGAGGGCAAGATGGAAATCGATAAGGATGCGACGGAGAAAGGGTACAAATACGGACGCACCGTGGTCCCGGTCAGCCAGACGGACGAGGAGGTGGCCATTTTGGAGACAGAGCCGAACATGGACATCATAGGGTTCATTCCGGCGGAAGGGGTATGTATGGAGGGAGGAACCAGCAGCTTGTCCCTTCGGCTAATTTTACCCTCCAGTACAAACGTTACTTTCACATGTCGACGACAAATGCCATCGTGCCACAGAAAGGCAACAGCAAGGCGGCTGTTGCGCTGTCTTCGTTGATCCACGCGCTGTACGAACTTGAATCATATGCGCTGGTTCGGTTTGTCAAGAAGAGGATGGATGCGCCTGTCATGATGGTGCTTGCGCCGGAGATTGAGGCCGATTTCGAGTGCCTGATCGACGTCCAGGTTCCTTTCATAGAGGATGTCAGACCCTACAGGTTCCCGCCTCTCGGCAAGGTGAAGACGGTGACCGGGAAGGCGCTGGACAAACATCGCAACATCCCGACCGACGACATGGAAAAGTTCATGAGCGACTACGTTGACAGCATGGACATCTCGGAGTTCGGGAAGGATGACGATGGAGAGCCAATGGAATACGCACCGGTTGAAGATACCTACTCGCCGATAATACACCGCATCAACCAGATTATCAAGCATCGCGCCATCCATCCGAAGGATCCGTTGCCGCCACCCTACGATATCCTGTTGAAGTACTCGCACCCACCCGAAGAAGCCGTCGAAAGTTCGAGGAAGCACCTCGATAAGCTGATAAACGCTTGCGATGTCAAGAAAGGTTGGCCTTCACTCCCGCCCATCGTTTACTGGAAGGATGCTGACATGGTGATAGTCGATGTCAAAGCTCGGAGCAAGAAGCGGGAACGAGAGCAACCAAAGCCCAAGTCTGGTCTCGATGTGAGTAACCTAGATATCTCAATCATTCTGTGCATCAGCTAACCTCCTGCTCCCAGCTCGAGGCTCTTCTCAGCGCCACCCCTGCTAGCAAGAAGCCCAAAATTTCTCTTGAGAATGCGATTCCCGAGTTCAAGCAGAAGCTCGGGGCTCTGCAGGAAGAATCCGAGTTCCACCAGCTCGGCACACAGATGTTCGACCACGTCAAAGAACTCGTTAAATCTTCGCTTGCAGATCTGAACTACAACCGCGCCTGTGAGATCTTGCGGGTCGTCAGAGAGGAGTTCAGAGACTATGAGTTTGCCGATATCTATAATGCCCAAATGCGGGCGTTGAAGAAGGACATCATCGATAAGAAGCTCGACGGTGATCGGAACGACATGTTGCAGACCATCCGGAAGTTTAATCTGGGCCTTATTACCACGGAGGAAGCGGGTGATACGTCGGATGTTACCGAAGATCAGGCAGCGGAGGTAAGGTTTCGTTGAACTCTATTACTAAGTGCTGTTACTGACACAGTTGGCAGTTTTGGAAGATTTGAGGTGTGTGGACGCATGGTGAGGAAGGGTAGGAGTGTCCCTTACTGGGTCTTTGGTTTCTTGAGCTCTCAGTTGGAATTCAATTTGTCCTTGTGCACTGAGCAATGCTGCGGAAAGTATGGTGTGACACCACAGCCGCAAGGTGCAGATAATAGATCCGTAAATACTTTCGCTGGTGGATCTAGGCGAGACGTCCGTCGTCGTCACATCACATGGAAACCCCACTCTAGAGTCTAAAGCGGTGATGCGCGCGGGAAAGAGGAGGGACGATCGTCTGCAGGGATGCGAGCTGTGTGCCAAGCCAGGGCGGCTCTGCTGCTTATAGGCAGAACATAAACAAAACACGAGTGGCCAACCACATCACCTCGACACACTTCATCGTGAAGCCCCTGTCTGTCTACTCACACTCGGCAACGACCCCAACAACAAACTTCAGGTCTTTGTCTACTACCCTACCCGCCCGTCTCCCCTACCACCCGCGATATTTACCACAACCCATCACGACCACCACTAGTCACCATCACAACTCACAACTCACACCGCAACACGTCAATTTTCATCGCCTCTCACATACTCGGGTCGACGAACAAAGCGACCACAAAAATCCTGCAATTTCTCACAACATGGCGCGATTTACACGCTCAACCGCACGAGCAGCAGCACCCACCGACGTCGCCGCCGCCGCCGAACCCTCTGTACTTTATCCTCTCCTCCGCGAGCCAATGTCCGAGTCGTCCGAACCGTCCACTGATGTAACCCCCAAGCTGGCCGAACCCGCGTCCACACCCGCACGAAAAAAGGCTGAACGACCCACCAAGACCCCAAGATCGAGAATGCCCGTCTCCGCCGCCACTGCCGAGGCCACACCAATTTCCTACCCGTCTCTAGGAGAACTGGGCGAATCACTACCCAAGACGCCTACCGGTGGGGACAACACTCTAGCCGCCCCGCCACCTCTGACGACCGCGCGGAAACCTATCAGGGCCTCGCTGGCGGAGCAGGCGTCTATGCCTGGAGCTTTCGGCGGTGACGCGTCGGGTTTCGAGTTTAGCTTCGGTGCCGAGCTGGGAGAGTACGGTCGCAAGGTGCTCGACGAGGTCAGGGAGAAGGCGAAGGACTTGCGCGCGCAGATGGATATCAGCAACCCCACCACACCGCCAACTAATAGTCTGCTCGCTTCGCCGACGAAGATGGTGACTACCACGATCAAGAGGAATAGGTTCGCGGAGGTCCATCAGGCCCAGTTCGATAAGATGCCGAGCATTGCCGATCATTACGCCGCGAAGAGGAAGGTCGTGACTCCGCAGAATCCGCAGAAGGGGATCAAGAGGACGCAGTCGCAGGCTACGCTGGATCAGAAGAGTCTCCCGCCCACTCCATCGCCGGTAAAGAAGTTGCCCGAACAGACTGTGGAGAGGAAATCGAAGAGGGTCAAGATCGAGCCGGTCTCCAGCTTTGCGTCAAAGATCAGTGGCGTCTCGGCCACACCGAAGAGAGCTCCTAAGGCGCTGTCGTCAGCTAGGACTGCTGTCGCTAGGCGCGTCAGCAACCAGAAGCGACCAATGCCCGCTCTTCCCCCGCGAGAATCCGGCATCGAACCGACCGTCCGCCTCTTCCCCACTTCCAGGATACCGGTGACTCCGTCGTCGCGGGTGTTCCACAACATTGCGCCCGCCACCGTCGCCGCCGCTCCGAAGTTTTCCCTCCCACAAGCCCCAGGCACTACGGTCAAGCCTCGAGCCATCAAGCCACTTAAGAAGTCGTCTGAACCAGCTATGATGGCCACCCCCAGGGTATCTTCGACCCACGTCGGTGTGCTTTCACCCATCAAGATCACCGACACAAACCTCGAGGACCCCTTCGGCAGCCGTGACCCACCCCCCTCCGCAAACTGGGGCTTCCAAGCACCGGCCGACAACCCCACCATGCCCGTCTTCCCCGACGTCCCCGCCCACGCGCCGACCCTCCCCTCCAGAGCTGGTGCTCTGCTGAACGGGAACCAGAAGCGTGCGGGCCAGGACACCGACGAGGACACCGACATGACCTCCGCCCCCGCCCCCTCAAGCCCCATCCGCAAGAAGCTCCGCTTCGATGGCGACAACATCATGGATAAGGGCAAGGGCCTCCTCGATAAGGCGCGCCTCGACTTCCTGGCTACCCCCAAGAGAAAGAACGATAAGCGTAGGGATACTCGCAGCGGCGTCAAGAGCACTGTCAAGCGGCCGATATGGAAGTAGACTGTTCTATTGTTCTGGTGTTCGATATGGCATAAAAACTGGATTACCTAGATATGCACGTGGGGCGAGGGGGGCAAGAGCAAGGGAGACGGGAGATGGGAAGGAAGGGGGTGTTTTTTTGCGTCGTTTTCTCTTTCTCTTTACTTTACTACATTCCATTTCCACTTGGTCGATCGAATAAGTGATGGCGTTTTGTTTGTTCTGTTTGTTGTGCACGTCCGTGCTTTTGTCGTCTGTGTGTACTTATGCTACTTTGCTTGCTTTGGGAAATAACTCTGCTTTTACTTTACTTACTTTACTTACTTTACTACTCTACATCTTACCTTACCTATCAACCTGTCGTTTACTATGCACACTACTTATCATACCTATCTTTTTGCCGTGTGTTGTGTGTTGTGTTGTGTGTTGTATGTTGTGTTGTGCATTATGTGGCTCAGGTGATTAACGAACGAACCTCCCTCCGTCTGGCTTCCGCGACTGTCTTCCGCGGCTGCCTGTGCGACTGCCTGCCTGCCTGCCTGTCGGCCTTCAGGTTTCTTTTTAGCTTGAGATCTGTCATTTATCGTTTAAGTGTGCTTGTGTGGATCTGGAAGAGCTGTGGTTGAGGTTGAGGTATACCTACCTCGTTTTTGGTGAATGGACGGATTGATTGATAGCTCGCTTCATGCTTCATTATTTACAAGTGAACGAATGGTCCTCCATTCGTAGCTTCATGCATCATTATCTACCCACCTACCTACCCACATACATACAAGTGAACGAGTGAACGAACGCTCTCATCCGTAACATCTCACTCGCCCAAAGTGACCATAACCCGGTCCCAACGTACCAGTATAGTACAATAATCTACAAACCCACTTCCCACCTACTTCAACTCCCTCCCCCACCTCCCCACCTCCCTCATAGCCTCCTCGCCGCCCTCACTGATCTCCTCCCTCCCCAACACGCCAGCCAGGCACTTCCAGCCGCTCCTCGCACCCCCCCATCTCAGCACCTCCTCACTAAACTTCTCACCACTTTCCCTTTGCAGGGGGTCCAACTCAAACACGTCACGCCAGACCTTCGCCGCAATCGCGCGATCAAAGAGGTACGCGTAGTACGTAGCGCCATAGCCATACAGATGCCCAAAGAAGCCCTGCCAGCTAGTGCCGTCCGCGTGCGGCAGCAGCGAGTACTGCCGCTCGACCTGGCGGTAGATCGCCGTGCTGCTGAAGTCGCGCGCCAGCGGCAAGGATGTGTAGTAGTGCTGATCTAGCAAAGCGAGCAGGATCTGGTGCCGCGTTTCCGACGCCTCGAGGAGCTCGTCGCGCGCGAGGCGGTGCTGTAGCTGCGCGTATGGCAGCGGCTCGTCGGTCGAGTAGTGCCGTGCGAAGAGGGAGAGCACCGTCGGGTCCCGCGCGAAGTGCTCCATCAAAACCGAGGGGAGCTCGGCCCAGTCGGTTGCGCAGCGCGTGCCCGCGACGTTGTGCAGTGAGGTGCGCCCGAGCATCGAGTGCACCGCATGTCCCATCTCGTGGAAGAGCGTTTGGACTTCGCGGAAGTTGAGGAGCGTGGGCTTGCGGTTGATGGGGCGCGGGAAGTCGCAGATGAGTGCGATGGTCGGGAGCTGGTAGAGGTCGGAGGTGCCGGCGCGGATGGCGGAGGCCATGCCGTCGTCGGCGCGCTCGCCGAGGAGCGCCGACTCGGCGATTTCGGACTCGGGGATGTGACGTGAGCAGCGCACGGTGAAGTGCGCCGGGTTGGGGTTCTTGCCCATGCGCTCGAAGAGATCGCAGTAGACTACCGCGATGGGGCCGTCGCTTTCCGAGACCACGTCCAGACGCCGCACGTCGCTGTTCCAGGTCTCTCCCGGTGAGGGCTCCCGCGGGATGAAGCGCACACCGTACAGCCGCGTGAACAGCCGAGAGAGCCCTTGCATCACCGTGCCTAGTGAGAAGTATGCCGACAGGTCATGGTCTGATTTCGAGCGGTCGCGCAGCGCAAACGTGAGCTTGCTTGCATAGTAGTCTCGATCCCATGGCTCCAATGTGCCAGCGATGCCCTGGTCTCGTTTGAGCTTCGTGAGCGTATTGAACTCCGCCTGCGCAGCAGGCAGGTTTGCTGTCGCCAGTGCTTCCAGGAATTGCATCACCGCATCCGGCGTCCCCGCCATCTTATCCATCAGCGTGTGCTGCCCAAAACTCTCACAGCCCACCAGCGTCGCCAGCTCCGTCCTGCGCTTCAACAGCTTCTCCAGCACGCCAATCTGCTTTTTCGAGCTGGTATGATTGGCCAGATACAGCTCCCTCCTCACCGCGGGATCCTCGACGGTCCTCAACGCATGATTCGCCGCCATGCCAACGGTCGGAATCCGTATCTTCCCGCGACTCGTCAGCTCCCGCACCACCATCGGATCCATCCCTCGCATCCTCGAGCTCTCGAACTCCAGCACCGCCTTCTCCGGCTCCATCTCATTAACGAACCCCGCCCCCAACTCGGCAATCTCACTCGTAAGCTCGACCCAGCGCTTGCGCACATACCCGGGCAGATTAATCCCCGACTTCTCAAAGTCCTTGAACAGGATCTCTGCTACCGTCCTCTCATCATCAGTCCACCTCTTTCCCACCTCCGGATCCTGCAGGGCCCTCTTAAGCGTGGTATACAGCCCCGTCGTCGTATTGAGGACATGCATATACTCGAACATAGCGGCATAAGCCTCATTCGCAGCAGCGACAATCTTGCGATCGGGATGTGTCGCGCGCACGAAATCCGACATGTCGATAACGCGGCAGAGCAGATCGCTCAGGCGGTCGAGGTCGAGCACGACCCGCGCGAGCTCCTCGCGCGTGCTCGCGTTAACGATCTGCTCAACCAAGGCTTTCGCCTTCGAAAGTGTCCGCGACGCATACTTTCGGAACCCCAGCGGTGACGTCAGGTCCTTGTTGTGGAATAGCCCTGTGCGCGTGGCCGTGGGGTCGCCGGATTTGCGCAGGAATTGGGACCAGAGCTCGGCGTTGTCGCTGGTTCCAAGTTAGTTGAAGGGAGGTGGAGGGAGGGAGGAGGGAGGAGGGAAGGTGCTAGGTCACCTACAATATCTCCCTCAGCGTTTTATCGTCGGCAGCGGCATTGGGCGCAGAGTGTAGAGCAGGATTGAAGCTCGAGCTTCTACTACTACCTACGTTTTGTTGCGAGACGTAGTTCCCGAGGGCGGCGGCGGTGCCGTATGGTCGTCGGTGGTGGTCACGGTGGAGGAGGTTTTTCTGCAGTTGTTGCCGCAGACATTTGGAGCAGAGGGTCCGCCACGAGGGAACAATTGACCGGTACATTGAAGTGGGGGTTGTAGAAGAGCACTGCACTGCTGCCGGAGGAGCACGAGCACGAGCACAGCACAGCAACCCAGATGCAGTAGTAAAATTCAACATTTCTATCAGATCGATTGATAAGTATTGGCGCCCTAGACCGAGCTAGCCGAGAGCCGGGTAGCGCTGAACCCACGCGGGTCGAGTGATATCCGTTGAGTGCCAGCAATTCCATCATCAACATTCCATTCGTCCGCCGGAAGTGGGATCCGTAGAAAGAACATCCTCGAGCGGTGAAGCAGTTAATAAGATCGGCTGGAGATCCATCCTTCTAAACAATTCGACCGCAACATGACACCGTATTTATCCCTGATCCTAAACTTTCGAACTAGCCCCAGATCGCCGCCAAGCAAGTCTGTAGCGCCACCCGAAGCGTACCTTTTCGTGAACCTTCACCTTCACCTACCTTCACCTTCCCACACCTACCCTCCACCACACCCCAACCCAACCCAAAACCACATCCCCCTTCACCACCACCACGACCAACAAGCAGCATGTCAACCACCGCCCCCCCACCTCTAACCTTCATCCCCTCGAAGCGTCGGAAGCTAGCGCAAAACATCCGACGACGGCGCTCTCTGTCCCCACCCGCAGCCTCCACGACAGAGCCCACGACAGAGCCCGCCGTGCAGCGCCCCCGCCCCCGCCACCGCTTCGGCCTCGAAGTGACCTCCACGTCGACGCCCACGCCCACCCAACCTCCAACGACGAGCACCGACCTATCGACCGAAGACCGCGCGCTCGAGGCCGAGACCCTCGCCGTCGTGAACCGCTTCACGCACCAGACGGGACAGGTCACCGATGTCGATAAGCACATGATGGCGTACGTGGAGCAGCAGATGTCGCGGCGACGGGGGGAGGCGGCTGGAGCTGGGGCTGGGGCGGCAGAGATGGCACTGGGGGCGGGAGGAGGGGGAGAGGATGATGAGCGCATGCAGCACGAAGGTGGCAAGAGTAGTTACTGGGCGCCGACACGTCCCGAGGCTCGCGGCGCTACACTCGGCAAGCTCCATGAGGTCGATCTGGGCGAGGAGGTCAAGCAGAGGAATATTGCGTTGACGGCACAGGCGCTTACGGGCGGGGGCGAGGTGCAGGCGGATGTGGCGGGCGGGAGGAGGAGGCAGCGCAGGAGGAGGAACAGTCAGGATATTGAGCGGGATAGGCTCGTCGAGGAGGTGCTCAAGGAGACCAGGCTGGATCTGTATCCTGAGGATGCGGCCGAGGAGGAGGATCGTGATGAGGAGGGCGCGGCAGACGATAAGATCGCCGAGAAGTTTCGGAAGGAGTTTATTGATGCGATCCTGTCCAAGAGGAGGAGGCGCGGCGCAGATCCCAAGACCAAGGGGAATAAGAAGGAGGATAAGAAGAGGCCGAAGGGACCGAAGCTGGGTGGTAGCAGGATGGCGAGGGCTCAGATGCGGGAGCAGCAGGGTCTGAATGGTGGCAATGGACCCTCGGGACCCGGGAGGAAGTGATATCTACGATTGCGCCCGGGTTGGGCTGGTGTTACTCTTTTCTTTCTTTTCCTTTTCTTTCCCATATTCTCTCCTTAGACACGGCATGTAATGGCACGTTTATTTCTTAGATACGGCATGTGATGCACGTTTATTTCTGCATGTAATTTTACTCCACTTTTACGAATAACAGGAAGCAGCGCATATAGCAGGCAATCCATCACTCGTTTACATACTCACCGCATCGGACTAACAATCTTCAAAGCAATGAATGAGTGAATGCATTTTTCCACACCACCATCCACAGCCAAACCAGAAATCTAGAAACCCCCGAACCAGTGAAGGCGAACCACAAGAACATACAACTAATATGAAAACAAAACGGACGCCGAGCGGGCTGAAGCAAGACAGAAAGAAGAGAAACGAAAAGACCCCAAGCGAATAAGTACAATGCAAGGGGAGGTGGTAACTACATCCAAAAACCGACCCAAAAGCCCCCGGTGACGGAAACAACAACAAAAGCTTAAGACAATGAATACAATGGACCCGCATAGCGACCAATCAATACTTCGCAGTCGGCTGTAATAACTCTAATCCCTTGACGCCCGCACCGAAATCCAACAGCAACGTCCGGCTATCTTGACTAGTGCTCACGATTCGCTTAAAGTCCGCTTTTGCGGCCAGAATCCACGTCGAGTGGAACTGCTTGATGTCGAGGATCATCTTGCCAGTGTCGAGACTCCATACTTTGACACTCTATAACCAATGTCAGTAACTTATCCAACGGGTGCTGTTATCGGAGATTGGGATAACTACCGCATCGTATGAACCCGAAATGATCCTGCGGTTCCTCGAATCTAAGTGAAGCGTCCGCACGAGATCCTTATGTCCGTGCAGCGTCTTCAAGCACGTACCCGTCGTAGCATCCCACACGCGGATATCCTGGTCGTTACCCCCGCTGACGATGGTCTTTGCATCTTCGCTGAACTGGACGCACGCCAACCCTCTATGGTGGCCTTTGAACTCGCGGATGCACTCGCCCGTGTCAAGATCCCACAGCTTCACTAGTGCATCCCCGGAGGCGCTGACAATCTGTCTGCCACGGATTGCAACGGCGTTAACGGGGCCGCGGTGGCCTTTGAGCTGGCGGATCAGCTTGCGCGTGTTACGGTCCCAGATGCAGATGGTCGTGTCCTTGGAGCACGAGACGATGTGATGGACGTCGAAGCAGACGTCCAAGACTCCAGCCGTGTGCGTCGACAGCCTTCCGATGGGGGTGTATGAGGGAAGCGACCAGACGATGCAGGTGTTGTCCGATGAACCCGACACCAAGATTTGGTCGTCAAACTGCAGGCATAGTACCGAAGCAGTGTGGAATTGAGAGACTGGAGCCACGTCCCCCAGTGTCGCATCCGTGCTGGCTGCAGCCGAAAGAATCTTGACACAGTCCCCACTCTTGATATCCCAGACCCTGATCGACTGATCTCGGGAGCCGGTGATGATTTTTGTGCTGTCAGATCGTTAGCCAGTTTCGGAGCCTAATGAAGAAAGATGCACATACTCGTCAAACTGCACGCAGTAAACGCTGTCGGTGTGGCCTTTCATGTACTTGTAAGTCATCTCCGCCTTGGTCCATCGCGAATGTAGCTCCTTGTTGACGGCGAACATCCTCTTCCAATCCTTTCCAGGCTCCGACTCCCACGGCCCGTGCTCGGCGCGGAATATCGATCGCCAGACGTGACGATTGACCGCCGCCTCGCGCCATCTTCGAGAAACCGATTCGCAGTTGACCAGACTCCGATGGTCGAGGTACGACATGATCTGTGACGTGATCTCGGCGGGAAGACAACCAACGGGGTCTATTCAGGTTCCAGCCGATTAGCATTCTCCACACCTCGCTCCCGTCGGGTATATCCGTCGCGCATACCAACTCTCTTCATCAACGCATCGGCGCAATAATAATTATCCCCGACGTCCCTCTCGTCGAGCACAATCCCGCTCTCGGCATCCCCCATCAGGGCTCTCCCCTTCCCGCGTCCCTTCCTTCCGGGCCCACTGACCACCAAAGGACCCTTTTCGCTTCCGGGTCGAAACGAGTGCGACGCCCTCCGCATAAGCTTCCGCACCGTCTTCTTTATCGGTCCACCACGGCCCTCGGGCTTCGAGTCAGCTGTTGTAGCAAGTGCAGTTTCAAAGCCGTCCCCGATAAGCATCGAGTCGTGAGAGGCAGCGTTGAGTACGGGTTGCGAGTTGGAGCGTCGTCGGCCGCGGAAGGGGAGGGAGCGGCAGATGGAGGTCCAGCCACGCGTGTTGCTTCCGGAGCTGGACGAGGCTAGTTGAGCTGTTGCTGCCATAGCTGCGACTTTGGTTGTGGATGTGGGTTGTGATTAGGGTAGGTATGCGTCGTCCGTTTGTTCGACAGGTCGTGCGTTTGTAGGTGGGTTCGTTCAAGGAGGCTGGGCAGGGCAATCAGGCTGCAACAGGTGCACGGCAAAATATCCAAGTTCTCGGGTTAGACAGGCTGCCGATGGTTGACCCGGTGACGGCGGATCGAGTGGGTGAGGTGAGTGGCAGGCTGGCGGTAAGGATCCCTCAGGGTAAAGTAGGACCTAACGAGGGACTGCGATTCGTTGTTGAGGAGGAGGATAGAAAGAGGGGAAGAGACGAAGGAGTCCGCGCGTTAAAGTAGGTAGGGTACACGGTAAAAGAAGAGGAAGCCCGCGCGTTAAAGTAAAGAGGAGGGAGCCCGAGTGCCGGGGGGATCAGACGTGGGTACAGACAACCCCTGATCAAGAATTGAGCTTTTGGTTTTCCGCTTTCACACGACGAGCAGCTGCAACTCCAAACGACAAGCACACGCACGGCACAAGCGTGAAGGGCAGAAGTGAGGATGTAGGGTAGGGGGGGTGGGATGAGGCGGTCTCGTGAGGAAAGGGAGAGATCACAAGTTCAGCACTTGTGGCACGTAGGTAGGGTATCTGGGTGGATGTATCACGGAAATGCGGAGAAAGGGAAGGATAGGTAGGAGGCAGAGGAGGAGGAGAAGAAGGTGGTTGTGGTGGTGGTGGAGGTGAGCATGTTGTTTATTACCATTCCTATGGAGGCGAGGGTAGGTTCGACAAGCGAAAACGGTGGGGGGGTAGGGGGGTGGGAGTGGAAGGGGCGAATTGCTAGTGGCGACCAGGATAGGACCCTTGGCTGGAGTGGACTTGACTTGGAGGAGAGGACTTGAGAGGACTTGACTGATTCGTGTTGATCGGTGCGGAGAGATGGTGGTGGTGGTGGGCTGGGTTCCGGCGGATGCAGAATAAATTTCAGTTTCAAAAGCAAATACCAGAAGCGGATTTAGGTGCAGCAGCCGGAGCAGGAGCAGCGAATCGTGTGGAATCGAGAAAGCAAAACAGAAATAAGTGCTTTACTCAATGCATCCGTTTATACTCGCACGGTCGGTCGCTCGGCGGTCGGTCACTCCTTAGCCTCCACCAAATTATGAGGCTAGGCTTAATGCGGGTAGTACGGAACAAAAACATATAAAAAAATATAAAAAAGTACAAGAAATATAAAGAAACACAAGAAATACAAGATGTACAGAAAATAAAACATAAAAAATCAGCCTCCACTCCCACGTCTCCCACCCCAGCGACATCCCATCCCACCCCGCCCACCCTGCCCTGCCCGCCCGGTCAACCAGATGATAACCCCAGACAGATAAGCCTCACCCTCCTTCACCCACCTTCACCCACCGCCGGTGCTCACGCGGGGCATCGCCTCGGCCCTCCAGAGTCCACTAGACATGTACTCTACACTTATGTACAGTACATAGCACACTAGAGTCCCTGAGCCTGATTTAGGTAGGTACCGGCGGTCCGGCGGCGACTGTCAAGCTGCAGCACTGCAGCTCGACCAGACCAGAAACCATGTGCGGCGCGGCGGCGGCTGGTTGGTTGCTTGGTTGGTTGGTGGGCTCTGGTACTGGGCAGTGGGAACTCACACAAACAGAGTAAGTACGGACGTTCTGGAAGATCTGGGCCTGTAAGTTTCAACTCGCACATAGAGGTGCTAGGTAGCGCTACTAGTATTTGGGGGGGCGTAATCCGGGCCCAAGGATGGGGAGGTACTCGGAGAGGGCCGCGGATTATCCGGACTTCGGACTTCGGATTCTTCGGACGCCACGAGATCTGCGCAGTGGAGGGGGCGGGGAAGGGGGCAGGGGGAGAGGGGCGGGGGAGGGGGACGGATATTCATCGCCGCCTGACGATCCATGGTGAAAAGCTACGGGCGGGTGGCGGGGAGAGAAGGTGTCCTGTCCTGTCCGTTCAACCACTGCAAATTGACACGCCGGTGGCCGGTCGGTTGAGTGCCTTCCCGGCCGGCCCCCGGGTTTGCCGTGATGGCCCATGGGGCGAGTGCGGTGTGCGCGGGAAAGACCGCAAATAGGTACTTCCGTGCCGCCCTGCCAGTGCCAGTGCCCCAGTGCCGCCCTACTCCACCCACCGCGCCCCCAATCCCTACGGATCTGGGTACATATGTAGGAAGGCAGGTATCCTAGGCATCAGCTCGAGGCTGGCCAACCTTGTCCTCACAACTCTCCACCTCCACCTCCATACTCTGCCTACCGCCGTGGCCAACCGCACCAATCACTTCTTTAGCATCCTGCACTTCTTAACGCCGCGCCGCGCCGGCGAGCGGGCGGCGGGCGGGCATTAACTGCGCGCGCATGCATGGCTGCACGTGGTATGTAGGCCTGCACAGTGCAGTGTGCACATGTAGTATTCAACTAACCCAGCGGAAGGCTGGAACCTCTGGCGCATTGCATTCGGGCCAAAGCCAGAGTCAATGTCGGAGTCAAAATCAGAGTCAAAGCCAAAGCCAAAGTCAGAGTCAAAATCAGATCCAGAGTCAAAGCCATCGAATACTATACATACGACTCACAGCAGAAGCAGCAGAAGGTAAAGTACCGCTTGCTTGAAGCTTTGATGAACCGCGCTCTTACGAACCTACCAAGGTAGGTATTCTATGGCTGGAACACCCATTTCATCAACACGTCTGCACATCCGCGGTTCCGCATTGTACATATCATACATGCATGGACTCCCCGCCGGCAGACATGCTTCCAGACGTCCTTTTACCTACCTATCTGCACATCAAACCCATCCAGGGCCGCGCACTTTCCGCAAACCACGGAGGAAGCCACCTGTAAGTTGTAACACATGGTATCATACATCGGCATTCAAAAGGTAAAGTAACAAGCCATAGCCAGGCGTCTGAATCGAAATCTTCTCGCACAACAAAATTTACCGTTGCAACACCACTCTCACCCACAAAAGAAAGCAAAAGCTTCACCACTCAAGAGTGGTGACATGGTTGATGATTCAGCCGGGATTTGAACCCGGGTCGGGCGCATAATGCTTTTGGCAAGCGCCCATGATACCCCTACACTACTGAATCTTTAGATGTTTCTTGAACTGTCTAAAGGTACTAATATCTGTCATACAGCATAAGCTACTTGCTTGAACTACGAGTCCTATTGAGAGACCTGAGAGCGGGACGAGATATAAAGAGAGGTGTGATGAATTATTCGAGTAGGTAGTCTAAAATCTATGATGATGTCTGATGTGTTGAACAAGAGAAGGATCGACAAGACGAACGGTGTCACACAGTCACAGTGATGGGCTGTGCACGGCAAAAGGAAAGAAGTGAGAGAGAATGATGATCTATTATTATCTCAACAGCTCTCCTTTTAAGGTTGGAAAGTCCCATAGCTTACAATTGGTCATACTAGCCTCTACAGAGCTAGAGGGCTGGCACCTGCTCCCCACGTGACAAACGGACAACTACGAGTCCTCTAACATGAACTATACCGCCTCACATTCTCCCGTTGTCCTTATTTCTTCGCTCCTTCGCCCGCCGGACCAGCTCCTCCCATTGATCCTCCCTGGCCATTCGCACAACTTCCTCTCGGCTCAACTATACGATCATCGTTCCTCATCCCTATCGCAATCTTTAGATCTATATCCGGTCAAGTGAACAGTTGCACCCTGTTCCCATGGCTCACTCACTCTTGTCGCCGTGCATATCTCCACGCCTATCGTTTTCCATCATTGCATCCAAGATCCTATTGCCCTCCTCAAGACCCTCGGGCGTCGTACGCAATCCATAGGAAGCCTGGAAGTTGGTGTGACTACCCCAGCCATCCCTCACGATTTTGTCTCGACCAGGCATGGAGGCGATAGGTAACGATGTTCGAATTCTTATCCCCGCTGTTGGAATCTAAAACAAGTGGACATTACCTTCTGAAACAAAAACGTACCTGTCTTGATGTTGTAATGGAGTTCCTTTCGTTGTGTGTGTGTTCGATTGAATTGCCTTTGACTCTTCCTTCCTCGTGAGCTGGTGGGGGGGAGCCCACCCTTATATACCGCTGGCTACACCCACTAACGTTTGCCGCACCCACTTTTGGACCTGTGCTGCGCTGCCTGTTTACACTGGCTTCCTCTGTCGTCGGGGCGTAAACAAACCGCCCTCTGCTAGTTCCTCTCGTTCCACCGCGCCCGGCTTGCAACGATCCGGCGGAGCAGAGAAAATCGAGAGTGATTGAGCACGCAACACACCTCGAGCAGCAGCGGCGATCGCAGAGCAGCGGGTAAGCCCGTCGCCATCGGTGAAGTTCCGTCCCCGTCCCTACATACGATGTTCACAGCAGTCACACCAAGACAGCTGGTCTCGCCAGGTCAGTACAAAGTCCTGCTCCTCAATCAGTAAGTCCCACTCAAGTCCGACAAAGTCGCACTCAGACCCGATAGGGTCCCTCTCAAGCTTGGGCCATTGGCCTCACTCAGGTATGGCCAAGTCCCGCCTAGGCTGTTCGCCGTTCGGTCTCTTATGATACATACCATCAGACACTCATCTTGCTAACCATGACATCATCATAGATCTCTTTTCCAATTGCTCACGGTTATGTCTCTCACCCGTTTTTGCGTCTCTCACCCGTTTTTGCGTCTCTCACGAGTCACCATCAACCCTCGGCGGCATGCATCGGTACCTATTGTTTCCAACACCCCCCATGGTCCATCGACACTCCCAAGTCGTCTGGTATTCCCTGCACCTAGACTGCTCTGGTAAATACTGCACATTCCGCCATGTATACTGTGCGCGTTCAATGTGGGTTTGCTGTGTGCCGTTTCTATTGGTGGAGGCGGCTAGAATCTGATCAGGTGATATTCTCGAATCCAAGGATTGGGGTTAGTTACTCTAGGCCATGTGCCGTTGGGCTAACTACTCTACATACGTTGATGAGATGGGCGGAAATATACAGACTTCGCCGTTTCCGCCTCTTATACACATAACAGGATACCTACACCTTCGCCGTGCATCAGGGACGTTCAAGGCTGTCCCGAGGTCCTTGCGTTTCTCCACTGGAATCTCGTGCCGAATCCATTGCGTGGAGACCCCGTACACCGGTCCGCCGAGTTACAATACTACTCTATACTATTGCCCGACGTTTCTCGTCGCAACCTGGCCCACGGGCCTTTTCGGTGAAAAGCGCCAGCAAAAAACGCGCTACGGCGTGGGGAATTTATCGATATTCACGATATCACCCCGGAGAATGACTTCTATCTAGCTCAATGCGATATCAAGCTCACGGATATTCCTCACGAAACGCTGGAGCACTGGATTTCGGACGAATTAGGCATTTACTACCTTTCGGAGGCGACTGAAGACGCCAAGAAAACGATTCTATCAGTAGCGTGTGATGGCTACATCTCCGGCCCAAACAAAGGAACGGTAGTTCCGCTGGCGGCTGCTTTTCTCTACCGCGGATAGCGGGTCCCCGTGGATGTAGGTATGTATATCTCATTTCAGGTGAGCACTCAAAAGACAAGTGTATTGATGGGTTCTTTCAAGTCCAAGAGAGCAAGGAATTTGACCTCGACACAAATGCCAATGCAGGAGCTCGGTGGATATCCATCCCCAGTTCGCATATCTCCACCGACCTCCCACTTTCCAGATTTCAACGTGCTCGATACCGGTTTCTGTGCATTTCACGGTGTCCACGTGTGGCAGCATTATGCGAAGCCCCGTACGAAGTTGTACATTGGTGGAGAGTGGCAAGCAAGGAGTGGAGGAATGGTTTTCTCTTTCGAAGTCCGGAAACGTCGCCGATTATTAGATTGATTAATGTTGTCCCTCATACTATGAATAGCGAAGCACCCCAGACTTCAAACTTCCCTCGTCCGCCCTCAAAGACTCACTGCTGGTAACATCCGATGTCTGTTCTTTGTCCGCCCACTTCATTCCAGCGGCTCCTTGTCTACAGCATCCTCTCCCGGACCCATGGTAGATTTCCACTGACGTCTGTAAAGAAACAGTAATTCTTGACCCCAAGATTCGAGCCCAGCCAACAAAAAACCAAACACGTGATATGATGATATGCCGTACTACTAACTACCCACGGGTGCAAAAATAACCTCTACTAAAACCTACCAATAGAACGTTTACCAGCGAAATATGCCAGCATACGACGCTTCACCGCAGTAGCATCGCCTGCACCCCAATCGGCCCACGAAAGAGCAGGACTCCCAAGCGCCAGCAATATTCTATCCACCGACGCCCCTAGGTATCACAGTATTCAGTACGTAAGTACGTATCATATCAACACACGAACCTGGCTGGATAAAACTAAAGACGTATCATACCGTCAAGAGAATTGATCTCGGAAAATGTGGTGGGAAACCCGGGAATAGCCACTCCCGTACGCACGTCTCTGAGACCGTTGATGGCTTCGTAATCGGCCTTGTGATGGTTCAGTGCGCGATAGGTGTCGTTCCACGACCTCAAGGACAGACAGACTACAGTCAACACTCCCGTTTCCCCCCAACACATATGCAACACACTCAAACAAAAACAAAAAACTTACTGCGCTTGCTGGAAACACTTCATCTCGGCCGTCTCCTTCTCCAACGCGAGGACTTTACCCCGCAGACCCTCGACGGTGGGCACGACGCTTTCAACCTTGACCAGGACGCTCTTCATGTCTTCCTCCAGCTTGTCCATCCGCCGGGCGCACGACTGCGCCGTCTGGTGGATGTCCGTGATCATCTGTAGGATCTGCGTCTGCATCTGCATCATCGCAACTAGCGGTAGCTGCTCGGCCATGATGAAGTCTGAACGGATGCCGGTGGTGGTGGAGTTTACTCCCTAGCTATCCCGCCGTCAAACGTATGAGGTATGTATAGTAGTACTTGACACCTCGAAAAGTGGCGCGTGCGAATTGGTCTTTTGGACTTTCGTCGTATAGTGTCAAAGTTATGTATGTATGTGTCGAGTTTCTTCGTTCCTTCGCTCCCGTCGTTTTCTTCTGGCATATATGAGTTGAGCGAGCCTTGTCTCGCCCTCTCCCCCCGTGAGGGGTTTTTCCCCCTCTTTATAACGACTCACATATGCTGTGCTTCACGAATATTGTTTCTGCGTGGTTGTGGTGGTCAGTGGTCAGTGGTCACTGGTGCGGCTAGCTCGCCAAGGCTTCTAGAAGTAACCTGTTGCAATATTTTGGAACCCCAACTGGTGCATACGGGCACAGTGTACACTAACGATGAGTCCACTGTGCGTGTTACCGTGGCCGCGATGCTCGCTTCACGATGGTCAATCAATAAAGTATTGGCTATGCCGTATGCAGTAAATACAGACTACGTGAATAAGGAATTACATAACATCCACTCCACTCCACTCCACCTCAAACTACACAGATACTTCCCATCCATCTCCACCCCCATTGCCCACAGTCTCGAACCGCTGACCAGTGGCCGCAAGTTCGACGTGGACGGTGAGTTCCTTTTTCTCTCCGCCGCCCGGCCGCCTCCAAGGAAATTACGTGTGTACATAGGTACGTATGGAACAGGACAGAAACGGATCAGAAAAGTAAAGAGAGGGAAAAAGAAAAGAGTAGATAGTGAACTTGCTCAGAGCCCCGTCCGGTGTCCACCTCCAGGTTCCAACACCTCGGCACCATCTCGTCCAGTATGAGGTAGAGTAGGTGCCTCATCTCTCCCTGTGGTCTCTCCTGATAGGTACTGCCTCCTCGTTTTCTGCCCACCTCCCTGGCTTTTACATACCTATTGTCCTCTGTTTCGAAGTTCGCAGTGGTCACTGGTTACTGGTTAGTGGCCGTCAGTGGCTTGCGCTACTATAAATAGTACAGTACAATCTCCCTGGCCAAGTTCACTCACAGACTCTCGAACAATTCTCTTCGCTGCTCCTACTTCAATGTGCTCCCAGTCCAACATTACCAGTAGAGATGTACTTACATCAACAAATGCAATACAACAGAACAATTTAAAATACAACAAAACAAACCAAACCAAAGTGAACGCGTGATTTCTCCAAGAATCCTCTTTCATTAACCAAAGGGTTAGTCAACCAACTCGCCGGGAAAGCCGTCTAGGATTATGCTCGAAGAAAGAAAGGAATCAGAACAGTATTCTATGTATCGCCATGCATCAAAATCAAGCACTCAAGTATTCCTTCGCCAGTCGTATTACGACAATCACTCCTCATCGTTGTCATCGTCATCGTCGTCCTCATCCTCGTCCTCAGACACCTCTTGGCCCAGCTCCTTTAAGCGTTTCTAGTCCACAGTCAGTACTTCGTGTAAAACCACAGACAGGAAATTGAGCCAACAAACCTTGTCCGCCTTCCTCTTCTCCTCCAAATCTCCTAGTACCATAAACAAATCGTCCAATTCGGTCTGCACCTCCTCAGCCTTAGCCTTAACCTCGTCGCATTCCTTAGCCAGCGCTTCCTTCTCTTTCACGGCAGCATCACGGGCTTTTGCCGCCTCCGCCGCCGCCGTCTTTTCCTTTTCGAGGGTAGCGGCGTCAATGGTCGAGGCAAGCTTCGCTTCCAGCTCGGCGATGATGGAAAACTTCTTCTTGAGCTCGGTTGTGTGCTCTTCGTGCTGGGTTGCAAGGTCTTGTGCGTGTTCTTTTGCGGCGCGGTCGAGCGAGGACTGGAGTTGTGAAAGACGGGAGTCGCGCTCGGCGAGTTGCGACTCGAGGTCCTCCGCATGCTTCTTCGCTGCCTGCTCCAGGTCGGATTGTAATTTCGAAAGCTGGTCATCCCGCTCCTCAAGCTGTGCCCGCGCAGCTTGCAGCTCGGAGTCCTTTTCGGAGGTTATGGAGGCGGTGTATGATCGAGCCTGCTCTAGCTCCTGTTGCAGTCCCCGTGAATGTTCCTCCGCCTGCCGCCGCGCCTCGTCAACCGATTCGGCGTTCCGCCGGGTCTCCTCGAATTGGCGTTGCAGTGCCTGGAGCTGCGCATCCTTCTCTACGGCGAGTTTACCCATCTGGGCGTCTTTCTCGGCCGCAAGTCTAGCCACCGCCTCTTCCGCCTGCCGTTGCACATCCGCCAGTTTCCGTTCCGCCTCCTCTGCAGCGGCTTGGCTCCTCCTGCCCGCCTCGTCCTGCTGCCGCTTCACTTGCTGCACCTCATTCGCCGCAGCCTTCGCATGCTGCTGCAGCTCACCAATCTGCTTCCGTAGCGATTGTACAAGCGTTTCCTTCTCCTCAACAGTGCGTCGATTCCGCTGGCGCATCTCCTCCATAATGGTACGGTTCCGCTCGTCAGCAGTAACCTTCTCCGCTTCGAACTTCTTCCGCTGCGTCTCGATCGCCTCGTTGTGTTTCCGAGTCTCTGCGGCGAGTGCTTCGCGTGACCGCTGGAAGGACTGCTGCAGCTGGGAGCTCAGCTGTTGTGCGGCAAGAAGCTGCTTCTGGAGCCCTGCTATGACAGAAGAGTGGTCTTTTTGGAGCGAATCCTGTGCGGCCTGGAATTGCTGGTGGACTGCGTTCATTTCGGCTGCATGCTGAGCTTCTATCGCGTGTTTCTCGTCCTCAACAGCGGCAAGTATCCGCTGGCTCTCCTCGACTTGACCGCGGAGTGACTCTAGCTCTTCGAGATTGACGCCATTGCTGACCTTGGTAATCCCATTGGCGGTGATTTTCGTCTCGAGATTGGGGTCCTTATCGATTGCGCGCACGATCTGGCCGCAGTTGTCCTTGAAGAACTCAACAAATACCGGATCAAAATAGACCTCTGGCAGGCCGTGCCCATGCCGTGGTCGCTGGCCCGGCATGAACTCATCTTTCGAAACCTCAAAGTCACGGATCAGCGGGTGGGAGCGGAGCTTGGTTAGTTTGTTGACGTAGAGATCTCGCTCCATCTGCTGAGTCAGGATCTCGTGGACCTGTGTGCGAGATACAGGAGACTGTGCATGCGAGAACTCGTACAGGATTCCGAGGAGCAGGGTGGAGAGTCCCTGGACGATGAGGTCCACGCCATTTTCTTTTACGGCGCCGACGAGCGCCTGCACACTGGCTCCTTCGCTCAGGAAGTCGTCAACTGCGTCAGAATCGCCGAAGAGCCAAACGCAGAGGAGCATTAGGTAGCCAATGCAGATACGAGGGTCGTATTGGTGTTGAAGGGCCATGATCAGGTTGGCAGATATGCCTTGGATAGCGGTAACCACTTCTTCGCCGGCTTCAGCGTCCCCTTCTTTTACGCCAGTAGCGAGCACTTTAGCTTCCTTATCGTCGTAGATCAGGTGGATCAATATCGCACTGGCGATCCAGACGCGGTAAGGGTCGCCACGGGAGGCGTTGTCGAGGTGGAGGAGGCAGGTGAGGGCATTCGCCGATGGATCGCCATGATCATGCAGCTCGATTGCGTATGCAAGGAAATGTCGTCGGACGAGCTCGTTACCATTGAAGTAAGCCTCCAGACTCCTACCAGCTGCAAACCGTGCATCAAACACATGTTTCGATGAGTTCATCAGTGCCAGATCTAGCAGTCCCTCGATAACCCCGCACTCCACCGGTTCAATCTCCGCCCTATCCCCATTCTTATTACCGCCGTCAGGCGACGGCAGCGGAGGTGGCGGTTGCAGTTCCGGCGGAGCAACCACCATAGTCCCGAATGCTTCTTGCAGCGGTTTATTCCCGTCGATCAGATCAGCCACCGCTTTCAGCGCCTCCGTGCGCACTGCTAGATCCGCCGGCGAAAACGCAGCCTTGACCACCAAATGCATTATCCCCGCCGCTACGAGAGCATTCTGATTCTGGACCGTCCCCAACCCTCCAGGCACAACAAACAGCCTTACCAATCTCAGCGCATACTGAATATTGGTATCCCTCTGCTCCCTAGCGAACGGCAGCACCTTATCCTCCGGCCCTAGATCCAGTAACGCGGCCAGCTTCGGAATTCCGCCGGTCTCCCGGAAATATTTCTGGTTCGAGACGTTGAAGCTGAGGAGATTCGAGAGAAGCTGTAGGCAATCCTGCACCACTATCCCACCTTCCATGCCGCCTTCGGTATCAATGATCGCAAAGACCTGGTCAAACGCATTCGAAAACGTGATCATCTTCTGGATATCGGTGTGGCCGGCCGAAAGGTGTATTATCAGTAACACCGCCTCTGTCTTCCCGTCAGCCCTTTCCTTCCCTCGCCATCCCACACAACACACCATTCCGTATAGCCTCCCTCTTATCCCCCAATATCTCCACCAGCCTATTCACCCCCAGCGGCGCGGTATAGACACATTCCTGCGTCCTCGCCGGCCGATTATTCGAGATCGCCGCGAGCAGCTGTAGCGCGTACAGACGGATGAAGAAATCGCCGTCTTCTAGCAGATCCAGGAGGATGGTGATATTCTCTTGTTTCTTGCGTTCTCCATCAGCCTCTCATCCCATCCGCCTCCCATCTGCCTCCCATCCGCTCTCCCCCGGCGCAGAAAAAAAGGTGCCACAGACCTGAGTAAACTCATCCGTAAGCCACAGCGCTATATCCCCTGAGCTCTCCAGCTACACTCCGCTACGTCAGCACCTTGTCCCCTACCTTCCCCCACCCCCTCACCCCCACAATCCCCCCCAACTCAGGCGACGGACGCACATTCAACGCATCGGGCACAAACAACATCAGCAGCGTCTCGAGCACGGCACGAACAGTATCGCCGTCCTCGCGGTCCCTAGCCAAGCAGGCGATGAGGCCGCGGAGGCCCTCACTGGCCACGAGCTCCTGGAACTCGCGCGCAAAGCTTCTCAATCCCAGGATCGCGGCGCGGCGGTCTTCGAGGAGGGTGGAGGACGACAGTCGTAGACATAGTGTTTGGATCGTTGATGTGGCGTCTTGTTTCGGCGGTGCCTGCGCGCCTGAGAGGAGCCCGGTTATGAGCGACATGGTGTTCGGTTGGTGTGGTGGGGTGCGGGGCGCATACGGTGGGTGGGGCGCCGGTGATGTGGTGATGTGGATGGTCTGGGGGGAGCCGCATTCATGGTCATCACTCTACGTGGCCACAAGGCATTAGCTCACCTTGCCTTCAATGGCTCGCCAATCGAGAGGACAGAGCTGCCCGATCGAAGTTCTATGTTTCAGCCGCAGTATAATTCCCTGGAACGCAAGCTCCGGATGCACCTTGCTAGGTTCTATTCACAGAGCGTCCTCACGGGAAAGAAGTATTATTCAGAGGAGAAATGAGGAGGCCGAATAAAGTAGTCTATGCATTACAAGATCATATCTAAACACGGGAAGGATGTTCCTCCCTGCTCGAGAAAAAGGCTCATAACGGTGCCTCGGTGGGCCATCAACACAACAAAAGCACTTCGCACGTACAGTAACAACCAACTTTACCCTATAGCGCTCATGAGAAGAAGAAGGGGAGCTTTAAAATAAGTTAAGGAACCAAGGGACATAAAAAGAAAGGTGAGAGGGAGAGATAGAGAGAAACAAACCCCCGGATGGATAGCTGGCTTGGTAGGTAGAAGAACACACGCGAAAAGCAACCCTACAGGCCACTGTGCTATGAGACACTCAACGACCCCCGCCCCCCCGCACTCCAACATTTTGGGAAAAGAAAAGCCTTCATACAACTCGCAAACTCTCTCCTGAGGGAACCCCCCGCGTCGCATCGTGGAAGCCATCTAAAACGTCTCCAAGTCCTCTTCCGCTGTATCGGGTATCACGAACCCTTCCTGCATAGGCTGGTCAGACGTATTAAACACCAACAGCAAAGGGGGGATTTGAATGCCATACCTCGGTGGAATACAGGATCGCCTGGATCGAAGGAACCAAACCATCCTCGTCCTGCTCCAGCTCTGGCTGATCCTCCACTGCCCTCTGGACCAACAACTCGATGTCACGCAGCTTGCTGAAGTAGAAATCCCTCTCCTTCTCCAAGCCAGCGACGCTCTCCTTCAGCTGCGCATTCTCCTGCTGCAGGTGGGCGGATCCGCCACCACCACCAAGAGGTGTTCTGGTTCTAGCAGCACCACCGACGGTAGGGGTAGTTCCTCTCTTCGCAGCGTTCGCACCGACGTTGCTGCGGATGGGCTCCTTGGGGGTTCCTCCGATCACGGCAGGCGCTCCCTTTCTGCGGGCAAGAGCATCGTAGTCGCCACCGGGATAGTTCTGATCCCAGAATCGCTTCGTCCACTGCAAGAACTCCAGGTTGTCCTGCATCTTGCACTTGACGAGTCTCTCGATGTGGATGGGCCTGTCGATGTTCTTCTGGGCGAAGTATACTAAGCAGAACCAGTCATGTCAGAAGGGCCGCCGTAGTAGAATATCGTACCCGGCGTAGGAATATTTACCGGTGAGGACCTTGAGGTTGTTGATGTATTCATATTCTGAACGAGCATTGAATTTGACCTTGTGCATTGGTACATCTCCTGTGGTAACACCCGGACATCAGCAACACGTTCCGCGAGGGCAAGCAAACCTCATTCACTTGGATCGTCGGCCGAGGGAGGGAGGGAGGGAGCTGTACCGTAGATCGAGTCGAGGACCTGGCAGAAAGCCGCACTGTGATTGGATATTCATCAGCCAACATGATCACCAATAATTATTTCTCCGACAACCCCACAGTACTGTTTTGCTTCTTGTCGTAGTATTGCCAGGGATCCATCCAACGTGTACATACCCGGTTCCGCATTGTTCGACACGCGTTATGTTGAGCTGCAACAGAGAGTTGAGCCAGTTCAGGAGTTCTTGTCTGCATGGGAACATGGTCAGCACGAAGCATCAACGTCGGTGGCGATAGGTCGCAGCCAAAAAAGTTGGGTACATACCGAGACTCTCCCATTTTGTCGGAGTGTGAGTAAAGAGGGGGTTGTTTATGGGAGTTGGTGGTTGTAGGTCGGGAGGGGAATACTACCGAGTGTGAACTGGGTAATGTGGAAGGGAAAGGAGCAAGAGATGGAGGAGTTCGGAAAGCGGTTGAGGCTTGAGAGATGAGGGAGGGGTGGAGGTTCAAGTTATGTGTGTGTGTGTGTGTGAAGGTGAGGTGCCTCACAACTCTTTTGGCGTCAGGAAAGGGCAGGGAACCGCCACTCTGATTTTGGCGCTTGACGCCAAGCCGGGATCTCTGGTTGTCCGGTTGACCAGGGACCTCCGAGAGTCAGCCATGCCAGTCGCTCGGTTGTGAGTGAGACACGAAGAATAAAGAACGAATTGCACTGTAAAGGGGAATAAAGGACTCCAGTCGACTCGAAACATGCCAAAATTCCGCAAACATTATTACATAGACGTCAATCCATCAGCGCATCAAATCTACCGGACATTGTCTATACGCTCGGATCACCACTCCACTCTCAATCCCACCCGGTTCTACCCTAGCAATCCCATTGCTGCCGTACCATCTAAGACATCTCCATCCCGTCGAACTTCATAAATTACTGCCCTTTTCTATGCTGCAGTCCCCTCCCTGCTGACGACGATCCAGCCTCTTCATTCACATCCCTCGATACCGGCCGTGCAGCCGACGACTTCCGCCGCCGCTGAAGTCTGACCGAATCACCTCTCTCCATGACATCTTCCTCGGTATCGGAGATAACAGGAGTACGGCCCGGATCTTCTGGCGACGGTGCACCATCGGAACCGACATACGTGCCCCAACTTCCTCCAACCGACTCCAGGAGGAAATCCGATGCCGTGGGCTCGTCCAACGCACCGAGGTCTTCAGGACGAAAGTACTTCGGCATGATGTACATGCGAATCGGGATCAAGATGAAGATGATGACGGGGAAGCTGAATCCGTCGGTTAACTATAGTCACGGAACGGAAGCAGGGAAGACTCACCCAACAGCGGCAATTGTGTTGGTGATTGCAAATGTCTAAATGGGTTAACATGAGCCCTTCCTTCACCGGAAATCATGGGCGGGGCCAAACCGCAGCGAATCCAATTAGCTCAACCCAGACAAACGCCCAAAGAGTCGAGTTCTTCACGCGGCGAAGAGGATGGCTGATACTAGTGAGCGTCTTGTCTTTCAGAAGATACAGAATCTTCAGTGTCATTCCGTTATCCTCCAGTGCCTGCAGTCCCATGACGAAGAAAAGCCCGGCCATAACCTATCTTCTGTCAGCTTCTTTCGGCAGCCATTTACACCGAGTGATAGTACACACAGCTTGGGGGATGAGCCCGAGAACAAACAGCAGAGGCCCAGTCATGGTGCCCAAGGTGAGCAAGCCCTGTGCCAAATTGCTGATTCTTTGCTCAACGACATGGTCGACAACGGTCTCCACTTTGCCTTTATTATCCTCATCATCATCGCTCTGCTTCCGGGTCACACACAAGGAAGCGGTGTGGAAAGGCGCCTGGGGAATGAGACCACTATATCGATGTCAGCCTATACTCTCTCACTGGTCGGATTTTATACGAACTTTGGCGCCGGAAGTCCCAGGATGCCAGAGATACCGGTGGTGATTCCCAGCAAAAAGATATCCCAATGAAATCCACTAGGTTTCTTCAACGGGAACTCGGTTCCCTGGGCCATCAAACTGGACACATTATGGTCGAAGTAGAACCTGCGGTGCACTGTTAACACACACACAGACATGTCATCTGAAGATACGGGAGAGCCTACAGAATCGTCAAAAGGATCGCAAAGCTATCATTGACGTCAGTATATTCCACTAAATTGTCAACCATGATAGGACAAGCTTACGGGATGGCCAAAAAGATATCGCCCGTGCTGATATCCCAGAAATGAACGAACCAACCACGGTTCGGGGTCGGAAGGAAAGCCTTGCTGATAGGCATGCGCTCAAGATGCACATTCTCCATCTTCCCGATGAACTGGAATCCGGTGAAGAAGATGACCGCCAACGGCGTACCATAATCCTTCAAGAACACCCGGACTGGATGGTTGAACAACTTGCTGTTGCCGATGAGACCAGCGATGTAGCCAGTAATGAGAACCAGCAACGAAACCATGATTGAAAGGTATGCGGATGCTTCACTGGCTCGCCATTGGAGCGTGAGAACTTGAATGCCTTTCTGAATGTAGAGGATCGCTACGTAGAAGCTTTGCGCGATGTTAGTAGGTAGATACCTCAAATGCAGGGTTCAGTTCATCACTTACCCGAAGATATCGCAGCTGAACCGGGTTACCCATCGAACGGCATTGCAAGCGTTTGTGATGGCCAGAATCCAGTGCATGACCATAGCCCACCTGGACGAGTATCAGCATGCCTGTTAATCGCAGACGTCTGCTGCACGGGATACCCACAAGCAGATCCAGCACATAAACGGGAAATACGGTGTCCCTCTGTATTTGATCAGCCACAAACTCGCCATCAGAACAGCCAGGAGCAAGCTGGAAACATACCTGGGCGTCATAATATCATAGACAGTGTAATTGAACACCGTAATGGGTCCCGTAACACCAACGATACACAGCGGCTGTGCAGCTAGCAACGAAAACACCACGGCGCCTAGCACCGAAGCAAGCAGCACTTCGTTGACGCCGTAGGCACCATCCATCTTCTCGTACCTACATAGATGTCGTTTTAGCCACCCTGCATACGAAAGAATGAATCGGGAAGCTTCCTTACATATCATACGAGAAAGCCAGAGCTGGCAAAATACTTCATGTCCGCCACGGAAAAAAATCCCCGAAGTCAGTACTTCACCTTGTCGCCGGCGCCCGAATAGTTTGTTGGACAAGAGAGAGAGAGAAGAAAAAGAGAAGAGAAACAAAAAAAAGGGACCTACTTTGCAAAGTACATGTAAACTGTACCGTGCTGTCAGTGTACCGATTCGCAAGCATCGCATCGCAGACAAAAGGGGGTTCTCACTGGTACTCGGCACGATCCTATAATCCCACGCATCGGTGAAGTCTGAGACATAGAACGGCGCTCTCCTCTTGATGTCATTAACCATTCCCCGGAACCAGTAGATGCGCCACCATGGCACGGCGGCGGCCGGGGGACGTGGCGAGTTGTTGAAGGAGCTCATCGTTTCGTTTCTTTCGTGTATCGCGTGTACACTGTACAGTATAGTACAGTACAGTTACAGGGTGAAGTAGGAGAGAAATATAACTTAGGGAAAGATAGCTCAGGTATACTCTTATATTTCAACTCGATTTCTTAAACGTCAAGACGATCCAGTTCCGTTCAAAAAAAGTCCGCCTATGGGCTCGGCGACAAGGAAGATGATTGAATTCGAACGGACGCCAAGTTCCTGGCGTGCGGGAGCTGCCAGAGATTATTACTCTAAAATGTGCGAGGAGAAAAAAGAGCATCTCCCCGGCCCCCATAGCCGCTAATCTGCGATAACCAGGAAGGAAGCTCAAGTCACTGCTCGCTTGCTTGCTTGAAGACATGAACCTTCACTGTCCTGTCAACGAAGAAGCCGCAGCATTGAATCCAGGCATATCCACGTCCTGTGCCGTACCCATTCCATTATCTCTCCACATCTCAACGCGTTCGCCGAGACGGGGACAGCCGAACGGAGAGTCCAAGCTCGGACCTTGACGCATTTCTCGGCGGGTTTCTGCCCATACAGATCCGTGCCTTTTATGCGGCGACATATGTACCGTCCGGGGGTGTCAAGCTTCAAACTTGGAAGAAAATTGTGTAGTACTCATGCACGTATGAGTCGGGACTGCAGCAACGGCTCGTGCAAGGCGTTTTACTGCTCCCAAGTGGCTAGAATTACTAGCAGGAACGTCGGAGCATCTTCAGGATAATGGGTGGCTGAAATCTATGTATCATACTAGCAATTCGAGCGAACCCTTCGATGTTCCCGTAGATACCTACTCTAGTGTAGCTACTTACCTCGGTAGCGGTGCAGATGTGTATGTGTACATTAGTTCCGAACGGCCGCAAAGCATATATATCTGGTTCGGGTGCAGCAGCAGATTCCGATGGCTCCCTCCGACCTCGTCTCTATTTGGTAAACCTAGCTGGCAAACAAGAAGGAAAGAGTGAAGATAATAGTACACTGGTGGGCGCGCGAAAAAGAGCAAAAAAAAAGTCCAACCGTTGAAAAGCAAAACCACACCTTACTACTCCCCATCCATCCGCTCAGCAAGTATATTTACAACTAATCTTGTACATGACGCGGCTCAATTCAATCCATTTCGAAATTGACAGATTTGGTACAACTACCCTCCAATTGAAAAAGTCCTCTCTCCTAGATGACGAGTTCGCATGAGTCTACGAAGTCGGAGTGGGCGGCGTGTCGGTCTCGGTTGGTGGGATGTCGGTGGGGAATGGACTGTAGGAGAGTGAACGATTAGTCTAGTGAAAGAAGCAGTAATCCGTTCGATGACAGATAGAGGGGATAACGAGAGCGTTATAAACTTACGGAGGCGCTGATGTCTCTCCCCGCGGAGCAAAGAACTTCTCGAACTCGTCCCTGTCCGCAAATGGCCTGTCTACTGTCAGTGCGGGTTCACTACCAGACGAGTGGCAGATATGGGGGCCAACCTCTTTCCCAACAACCGGATCATATCGTCTCTAGACAGAACCTCCTTCGACAGCAGCTCCTCGGCAATAAGTCCGATTTCACTCTTCTTCTCCGTCAAGAGGGCCTTGCACTTCTCGTACGCGTCTTGGACAATCCTCTTGACCTCGGAGTCGATCTTTTGGGCGGTAGCCTCCGAGAAAGGCTTGGTAAGTTTCTGCTCGTCGTCCTCGAAGTGGAGATATCCAACTTCCTGGCTCATACCCCACTTGGTAACCATAGCCGTTGCCAATCTAGTGACTTTGTTGAAATCGTCGGAAGCCCCGCTGGTGACCGTGTCAAAGTGAAGCTCCTCCGATACACGACCTCCAAGCGTCATCGCCATGCGGTCCATCAGTTGGTTGACAGACATCAGGTACTGCTCGCCGGAAGGAAGGTACTGGGCGTATCCAAGAGCACCGGATCCACGCGGAATGATGGAAACCTTCAAAAGAGGGTCCGCGTACCGGAGGTACCAACCGCAGATGGCGTGGCCGGCCTCATGGTATGCGACGGTCCGCTTCTCGTCTGGAGAAAGGACTAGAGACTTCTTCTCCAGACCACCAATGACACGCTCAATGGCCTGCTCGAAGTGCGTCATCTTGACCGACTCGGCGCTCTGACGGGCAGCTATCCTTCCGTTAGCAAAGACATTAGCCGGTAAATAGATCGGAAATCATACCGATAAGAGCAGCCTCGTTCACACAGTTGGCGATATCAGCACCGGCGAATCCAGGAGTCAACGCAGCAAGCCTTCCACTCAGGTAGTCCATTTCCTCAAACGTCGTGACCTTGGCCAGATGGACCAAGAAGATTTGCTTCCTGCCATCCATGGTCGGCCTATCGATCACGATGTGTCTGTCGAAACGACCGGGTCGCATCAACGCCTTATCAAGGACATCCGCACGGTTGGTACCGGCAAGCACAACCACCTGGTCCTGGGTGTTGAAACCATCCATCTCGGTAAGAAGCTGGTTGAGCGTGCTCTCACGCTCGTCATTTCCTCCACCGAAGTTCGACTTTGCACGGGCCTTTCCAATGGCATCGATCTCGTCCACAAAGATGATGCAAGGAGTATTCTTCCTGGCCTTTGCGAACAGGTCACGCACACGGGAAGGACCAACACCGACGAACATCTCCACGAATTCCGAACCGCTGACCGAGAAGAAGGGCACACCAGCTTCTCCGGCTGTAGCCTTAGCGAGCAGAGTCTTACCGGTTCCAGGGGGGCCGGAGAGAATTGCTCCTCGTGGGATCTTGGCTCCGAGCTTCTCGAACTTCTCGGGTTGCTTTAGGAACGACACGAACTCCATGATTTCAACCTTTGCCTCGTCCATTCCGGCGACATCCTTGAACTTGGTGGTAATATCGGTCTCCTGGTTAAACATCTTGGCCCTGGACTTGCCAATGCCGAAGATACCGCTCTGGCCACCTCCACCGGAGGCACGTCGTGAGAGGAATATTATTGATCCAATGACAAGAAGCGTCGGGGCAAACGACAGAATGGTTCCGGTCCAAGAGATTTCGTCCTTGTAGGCAACCGGAATACGCTCGTGGCTAGGGATCCCCAACTCCCGCTGAGCCTCCTCCAGGCGGCGCTCGAAAGCCTCAACAGAGCCAACACTGAAGTAGTAAAAGAAGTTTCCGCTTGCAGCTGGAGAGTCAGGATATGCGGTGGCCGTAGCATCTCCGTAGAGGTGGACCTTGACACGGTTCCGGTTGATCACGACCAACCTCTCAACCAAACCTTTGTCTAGGAAAGTGTTCCTGAACTCCTGCCAAGTGATCTCGCGGGATTGCTCTCCGGGGGAGATAAACCTGACGACCAGCCAAGTGGCGAACGTAGCCAGAATGGCAGTCGTAATATCCACCCTGGGAGTGGTCGGCATTCCTCCTCCGTCACCCTGCTTCTGCTGCTGGCTGCCCTCCTTCCGCTGCCCTTGCTTATGTTCGCCGCCCTCTTTGTCTCCCTTGGCGCTGGCCTTCGTCGCTCCATCCTCAGCCGCCGCACCAGGTCCCCCGCCCAAAATTCCGTTCACCCATCCCCGTAGAGCACTCGGAATATCGCGACCCAGCCGGTGCAACTTCGCAATCTGCATCATGGACTGCGCCATAGCCTCCTTATCGAAATCCGACATGCTGTTCCAACGCTTCTCGTAGGGGTCGGTATTCTTATCGAGCGAGAAGAGATGGTCGACCCATTTCTGCATGACCGGGTTGAGCTGCTCGTACGGCACCGGCTTGAAGTCCTCGTACGGCGGAGGAAGCTCCTCCGGGGGCGGCAGGATCTTCTTGGATTTTGGCGCATTCGTGCTCTTCTTCGAGTAGAATCGCCGGTCGATGGTCAGTCGTGAGGTCGCTGACAGTGGCCCCGACGTTGTCCATGCGGGCGCCAGCCGGTGCGGAAGTATGCGAGGTCTTATCGAGGCGGCGACGGTGCTGGTGGATATCGCCCGGGACGATGCCCTGGCGAGCGCTCGGCTTCGGGAAAGCATGGCTGCGGGGGTGGTGGTGGGTGATGGTGGGACCGAGGAGAGCGAGCGAACGGAGACTACACTTGGCAATGAGGGGTGGTGTATATTCGTTATGGAGAATTGAGTGGCTTTGAGAGTATCGCTGTTGTTATCGGTATTGTTAGAGAAGTACTTTAGTGTGTAGGTAGGCCGCAGTCCCGTCTCCGGCGGTTGTTGAGGCGGGGGTGTGGAGTGTGGTGCGGTGGTGAGGTGGTGCGATGGGTCGAGCAAGCTCGATGATGATGATGAAGTTGGTCGTTGCCACCAACCTTCTTCCTTCTTCCATCACATCACCTCACCCAGCAACCAACGCCAAGATCGACGACTGCTTGCTCCCCCCCATCAATTAATTGCCCGCCAAACACCATCCACCTTCAACACATCAACCCAACCCCATCCCCAACCACCGTTCATCCATCGACACTTCCATCTCACATACACCAAGCTCTCCATCCCGATCACCCCGCTTTGAACCGAAAGCAGCAACAACACTAGCATAAACCATGGCTGACGCAGCCGTCGCGAAACGCCCGTCCACGCTGACCTTCACCGACCCTACCTACTCCTCCGCCCTCGACATAGACAGCTTTGACAGCGATGACAACGACTACGCAAAGCTCAAGAAGCTGCAGCGGCATCTTGAGTAAATCATCCCGAGTTCGGACGTGTTCGAGCGATGATGCTACCTGTTGCGTGAAGGCGATAACTGACGAGCTGGGGGCGGCGGTGATGCAGGTACATAAGTCTGCAGGAGGAGTACATCAAGGATGAGCAGCGGAGTTTGAAACGGGAGCTTGTGCGTGCACAGGAGGAGATAAAACGGATCCAAAGTGTGCCATTAGTTATTGGGCAGTTCATGGAGGCGATCGACCAGAAGTTGGTGCTCCCATCCGTCCGTCCTGCCACGCTCGCAGCGATCACGATGCTAACATCAAGTTCTTCCATCTCCACAGTACCGGAATCGTACAGAGCTCAACTGGCTCCAACTACTTCGTCCGCATCCTCTCCACGCTTGACCGCGAACTTCTCAAGCCATCGTCGTCGGTGGCACTACACCGCCATTCCAACTCTCTGGTCGACATCCTGCCACCAGAGGCGGATTCGTCGATCGCGATGCTGGGTGACCACGAGAAGCCCGACGTCAAATACTCCGACGTAGGAGGCCTCGACATGCAAAAGCAAGAGATCCGCGAAGCGGTCGAGCTTCCGTTAACGCACTTCGACCTGTACAAGCAAATCGGCATCGACCCACCACGAGGCGTGCTGCTGTACGGGCCCCCAGGCACCGGCAAGACCATGCTCGTCAAGGCCGTCGCGAACAGCACAACCGCCAAGTTCATCCGCGTGGTCGGCTCCGAGTTCGTGCAGAAGTACCTCGGCGAAGGCCCGCGCATGGTCAGAGACGTCTTCCGCATGGCCAGAGAGAACTCGCCCGCGATCATCTTCATCGACGAGATCGACGCTATCGCTACAAAGCGCTTCGACGCCCAAACTGGTGCCGATCGCGAGGTCCAGCGTATCCTCCTCGAGCTGCTGAACCAGATGGACGGCTTTGACCAGACCTCCAACGTCAAAGTACCCCGTCCCCCACCTCCCCCCTCCCCCCAGCACGCACTCACTAACACCCTTAACCCCCATAGGTAATCATGGCGACCAACCGCGCCGACACTTTGGACCCAGCCCTGCTGCGTCCCGGCCGTCTAGACCGCAAGATCGAATTCCCGAACCTCCGGGACCGCCGCGAGCGGCGCCTGATCTTTACGACGATCGCCAGCAAGATGTCGTTGTCACCCGAAGTCGACCTAGACAGTCTGATCATCCGCAACGAGCCGCTGTCGGGCGCCATCATTGCCGCGATCATGCAGGAGGCTGGGCTCCGCGCCGTCCGTAAAAACCGATACAATATCATCCAGGCTGACCTCGAGGACGCTTACAGCTCCCAGGTCAAGGTCGGGAATGAGGCCGAAAAGTTTGATTTTTACCGTTAGATATTATTGCTACCGTGGGTGTGGAATTGAATTGCTTGCTTGGTTGGTTTTGCTTTACGGTACTTTCGTGCGATGGGCCTAAATGGATGGGATGGGAGGTGGGTAGGTAGGCGATAGTGTGTACAAGCTGAAATGGAAAGGCATTTGGGTTTGCGGTTGCAGTTTGCAGTTACATCATACTGCAATTGATGCGGTGTGGTTCGACACTAATTTCAATATACGTATTTTTGCCTACAGATCCTCCTGTCTCGGAATCGCCATCGTCATCGACATCTCTCCATCATCATCACCTCCACTACATAACAATTCCGTCCCCCCAAAAATATATGTAGTGCCGAAATGTAGTTTGTAGTATTCAAGAATCCAGTAAGAAACGGGAAAGGAAAAAGAAAGAAGCGTGAAGGCAACAAAAAATTGAGAAAGAGCTACCAATCACCACCACCACATCCACCACCACACCCAACCCCAAAGCCCTCACTCATACTTCGTGCCTACAAAAAAGACCAAAACGGCCGAAAGTGAACAGGAAACTGAAAGAAAAGAAAGAAGAAAAAAAATCAAACCCTCACTCCTACCCTTTCCCCAATTCGTCATGGAAATTAGACAGACAAGCAAGAAAAAAGAAAACCAATGCAACAACATGGAGGAAGTCGAACTTGCACACGTGGAGCCCAGCAAGGAACGGGCAAGCAAAATGGCAAAGTAAAAAGTAGCAGTAAACTTCTAGCAAAAAAAAACCTGCGGGTCGAGCAGGCTTTGTAAAGAAAAGAAGGAAGAAATGAGACCCAATAGAACTAAAATGCCACCTCCCGTCGTAACACCTCGCTTTTTTGTTTTCCACCAGGGCTAACAGGCGGCAACAGCCTTGAGGATGGGGTACAGTGCTTGGGCATCCGTCTGCTCCTCAGTCTGCTCCTCGGTCGGTTTGTTATCGCCCTCAGTCTGTTCCGCATCCGGGGCGTCGCCCATCGTATGGTCCTCCTCCTCGGCTGCCTCAGCAGCCATTGCTTCAGCCTTGATCTGCAACTCGTCGTCGCCGTGCTTTTCGCGCTCATCCTCCTTCTGCAGTAACTCCTTAATGTAGCTTCTCAGGTTGTTGATGATCTCTGAATGCGAAGTCTTCTCGGCTTGGTCCTCAGCAAGAGCACCAAGGGACGGGTCAATCATCGAATCGCTGAGCTCATCCTTCGCGTCCTCGAACTCTATTCCAACTTCCTTTGCCTTCCGCAACACGCCAACAGGGTAACGACGAGCCTCATTGGACTCGAAATTGGTGCCGAGCGACGATGCGGGAGCCGACGAAACCGGCGCCGAGTATCCTCCACCGACTTCACCGCTCGAGACGGCAGTCGGCAAACTCGGGTACATCGATGCAGTGGAAGTCTGGGGGGAGACTTGCTGCGGCGATTGGTTAACGGGCGAGTGCGAAGTCGTATAGTTCGACTGGGGCGGTGTCAGTGCAGCCGTTCCCGAGTTCTGCTGGCCCATAGGCGCCGGGGGAGCTCCGTCATGCTGTTGATTTGACTGAGGTCCCTGGCCGTTCGGCGTGTGTGGCGATTGACTGGCCTGGGCGCGGAATTGGAATTGCTGACCAGAGCTGTCGTACACATTCGCGGAGAGCTGTGTCAAGAAGTGATCCGCATCGATCAGGTCTTGCTTGGTGCGTAACGATGGGAGAGTGTATGTCTGAGGACCTCCATTGCTAGCGGGAGCGGTGACGGTGGCAGAACCACTGAAGTCGATACCCTCACCAGTGGTGGAGGGAGCAGAAAACTGCAGAGCCGTAAGGCGCTGAGCCATCGCGCCATCGTAGACAGGCTGGATCTTGTGACGTTTCGCATCCTCAAAGAACTGATCCACTCCGTCGAATGACCGTTTCTTAGCGCCCTGTTGTTCCTGGTGATGTTGATGTTGCTGTTGGGCAGCCTGTGCAGCCTGTGCAGCTTGTGCTTGAGCGGCGGCCGCCTGTGCAGCTTGGGCGATGACTTCCTGGCCAGTCTGCGAGGAATGAGGGTAGTAGTAGACACCACCACTGCTCTGAGGCGCATTGTTGGGGTAGTAGCTTCCAAGGCCTGGCACGCCGTGAGAGGGAATCCCAGCCATTCCATGGTGCAAAATACCGTAGTATGCTTGTGCAGCAGTGGCAGCTAATGCTGTGGAGAAGTCAGCAGACGGTTCCCACCCGGGGCCGATACCAAAATCGGTGGTGGGAGGCCTACGTTGCATACCAACACCCGTGGCGTACTGTCCGTGCATGTTTCCCTATCGCGACATGTGAGTATTTCGAAGACAAGATGAGCACGTGTGGGTGCGATAGGTGATGGATGAGTGTGACATCATAGTGGTGATTATGATGGAGAGGGAGAGAGGGACGGAGAGAGAGTGAGAGAGTACTGACCGTAACTCCAGATTGACGTCTTCCGGTCCCGTCGGGCTCGGGACTGCGTAGAAGGACGGAATCGTCCGCGTGCGTCTGTTCAACATGCCGACGATAAATCGAAGGTCAGCCTAAGAACTAACAAAACTTCCGGGCGCAGATGAAGCAAGCGCAAGGGAAGGAACAACAGGATTTTCCCAAGGAAAATCAGACGAGCAGACTCCATACCTTCACGTGCTTCTTAAGATCTTGAGGCCTCTTAAACGCCTTCCCACAAAACTCGCATTTGTGCGGCTTCAATGGTACATGCACACGAATGTGCGATGTGATGTGGTCGCGCTTTACTGTGGTAGTCCTACATGCGCCCCACGCACAAGTCAAGCAGAGATTGTTGGTGCTCTTTCTTCCAACGTGGATATCACAAAGATGGTTCTGTACGCGAACGCAAAATAAATATCGTCAGCCGAGAGCGCTCAAGCAAAGGCAGAGAGAGAGAGAGTCAAAGGCTTGGTATCTGTAGAAAAGGCAGCGCCGAGCCTTCTCTATCGCTCATCCTCATTTTCCCATCGAATGATCCAATCCCTTCTTTCTTTCTTTTCCAACGTCGCCTCGCCAAGCTTCCTCGAAAACAACAGAAGAAAGAACAAGAACCACTTACGTATAGATCCTCCGCGGTGTCGAACTTTTCGCTGCAATTCGTCCACTGGCATGTCAAATTTTCGTCGCTTTTCGAACCACCCGACGGAGCCGACGATGGTGACGCGACCGCGGGAGCCTGGTGTGTAGGGACCTGCGCCTGTTGATGCTGCGACGCGGGACTCTCCGGGAGGGTCATGTTCGCCACGGCGGTTTGTAGCTGTGCAGTGGCCGACGGACCCGAGACGGGGGAGCCGGTTGCGGGGTTCGAGGGAGATGAGTTCTGCTGGACGGTGTTCGCAATGAACGTGTCCAGGGCGGAAGTTACGGACTCTATGGTGGCGGTAGTGTCGGGAATACTTTTAAAGTGGGGTGTTGATTCCTCCGGTAGTGGAGGGGGGGTGGGGTTTTTGGAGGGGGAGGGTTGGAAAGAAAGTGTGTTGTCGCGAGATGTTAACCGGCGGACAGACAAGTGTGCGCGAACTAATATCAGGAGGTATCAGATGTTGGGGTTATCCGCGAACAACGGGAGGGGCGTGGTGGTGGTAGTGGTGGTAGTGGATGGTGGTTGGTGGTAGTTGGTGGTGTGGGAGTGAGGGTGTGAGTGGGAGTTGGGATGGAGGGGGAGGTTTAGTTTTCGGCGGAGACGGAAGGCGGCGACGGAGCGATGGGAGAGAGAGGAAGAGGAGGCGAGAGGCGAGAGGCGAGAAGGCGGAAAGATCACAGGGACGGGGGAAGGATGATGCTATGTAGTAATGTGGAGGTGCTACCGGAAGGTAGAGACAATTCGACACCACTACTCAGCGACCTGTGGGGCAAAAGGCGGCGAACGACGAAGGGAGAACAGGTGATCTGGGTGCCGAGTGTGCGAACCTGGATGGACCTGAGCGAACGAACGTCGCGGACGGGACGACGGCAGCAAGTGTGCGGTTGTGTCGCGAGGGTTTCTCGAAGTGTAGCTGCACCGGCACGGCGCAGGTACTGCAACTGATGCTGATGCTGATACGGAGCCGGAAGTTGCCTTGCGAGCGGGAGGGTGAGTAAGTCGGCAAGGGAGGACGTTTACTTTGCGGTGGCCGGCGGAGGTGTCTTTCGTAATCCGGGGGCAGGCAGACAGGTATAAATACAAGTACGAGTACAGGCAGCCGATTGCGGGGAGGAGATTCTTCGCGATCGAAGGGTGGGGCGCGAGCAGTGCAGCGGTGGTGGTGGCAGCGAAGTGAAGGGAGAAGAAGGAGGCAGAGGGCTCGGAGGAGCGAGAGCGATGGATATAGAAGGAGCGGCTATACAGGACCTACTTCCTTACATGTGCGTTCCCTGGAAGATGGCTGGATGGCTGGCGGGCTGTGGTCGAAAGCGGGCGAGTTTTGGGTTGTGTAGCGGGGAGTTGAATGTCGGTGTCGAAAGTGAAGATAATGACGATGCTGATGATGCCGATGATGACAAGGCGCAATGGCGAGCAACCACTGAAGCGGAAAAGACCGCAATCTCGAGCGAGCTCACAGGTGTTCGAGGACCCGCAACGTCTTGGATACATCTACCATCTCCTGTCGAATCGAAACAGCTACATACTTCCGCAGTCCGTATGATCCCAGAGCTATGTATCTACACGATGCGGGTATGTACTATACCTACGCACACATCACCAACCACCACCACCAAAATCCAACACACCGCGGCGAGAGGACACACTCCCATTCCCACTCCGAAAGAGAGCCAGAGCAACACCACACCCTCAATTCCCCCCCGAAATCAAACGATTCGTGAGGAGTAAGTGACGCCCAGCCAAAGCCAAGCCACGCCATGCCTTGCCCAGCTTTGCCCAGCCACGCCGAGCCATGTTCATTGTCGCCAAGCCGCGGTGGCCAATCACACTTGTTTCCGGACCCCCCTCATGTGCAATCAGATTATCTATTGCGGCCAAGCCGGCCAAGCTGGGTTCCTGCCTGTCCCGTTCGTTTCCTCCCCACCTCCCCCCTCCCTCAAACCCAAAGGCAAACTGCTTGAAAAGATGGCTGAGCCGATGCGGTCGATAGATGAAGCTTCTCTTCAGCCTCTTCCCTTCCTTCCTTCCTTCCCGCCGCGAACCCCCCTCCCTGCCCACTCCCCACCCCCCACCTCCCCTCGTGCCCGCCCTGTGAGGTACACAGATCGGCCCAGACCTGCGGAACGGCTCAATCCCCATCTCAAGTCAGTCCCGCACATGTATCTAGCTCCTCCGGGGCACAGTAGGTACTCTAGATACTCTATAGACTCTACTCTAACCCCACGCACGCCCTTTTTTTCCAAAAAGCTTCAACGCATATATGTACTACTGTAACTTGTAACCATCACGGCAACGGCCATGTGTATAATTGGGGGCTGTGCAGCCGACCACTTCCACCAACACCAGCACCGACACCGCTCCCCACTCTATCTATCTAGAGGAGACATGACTGAAACCGGGCCTCCCCCCCCATCCCCATCCCCATCCCCCCCTCCCTCCCCGTCCCCAAAGCCAAAGCCAAAGCCAAAGCCAAGAAAGTATGTAACCGTTGCCCGGACGCCAAAAAATCAAAAAATCCTCAAGGCGTATTTCCCCCTACTCCCTACTACGTTATACCTACTACGTTATACCCACTAGTTACTGCCTGCTTTCCTCTCAGGCTCTCACTAATCAGAGATTGCAGCTTGCTTGCTCTTCCTGTCCTCCGCCTCCCTCCCTCCCCCAACCCAACCAAGCGCCCAGACTGCAGACGCGTGTCCCCCCAAGGAATCGACTGCTCAGGTGCGAGGGAGGTGCTGGACTACATACGAGACTACGAGACTACCTAGTTACGCCTAGAGACCTAGAGAGAGAGAGGTTAATATACGAAAGGCTTGGTTGCCGTCTGGCATAGCATGACGGGCTGGTCTGGGTGGTATGGGAGATATGGTACATATGGTATGGTATGGGGTATGGTGACAGCCAGACAGCCAGCCAGACAGCCAGACAGCCAGCCAGCCAGCCAGCCAGTCGAGGATGTTGGGGTTACGCTGGGTTGGCTGGCTGGCTGGCTGGCTGTCGAGCGTCTGTTCTGTTCTGTTTGATTGATTATTGTGGCAAACGAACGACCGACCGAAGCAGGAGCTCTCTGACCGTTTTTGTCCAGACAGATTGGGCTGATGCCCGCCGAAGCTGCGGAACTCCTGGGCCCAGCTTGGGTTATGCACATACGGACAGGCTCCCTCCCCCATACATACCAAGAATCAAGACTGGACTGGGAACGGGCCCGCCCCGCCCGCCCCGCCCGCCCGCCCGCTCCTCTCCCTACTAGTAGTTACATAAATACAAGGCCCGCAGGCATTCCCCGTCGCGGGCGGGCCGGTTCCAGGAGTTCCAGGAGTTCCAGGAGTTCCAAGCATTGATACATACCTGGTGGGTAGGTATGACACCTGCTCAGTGCTCACCAGCAGCTGCTGAGCTGCAACTTCGGAACGATGGACTCGGTGGACATACCTATCATATCATATCATGTAGAAGGTATGTAAGTAGGGCATAATCGCGCCGCTGACAACTTCCATATCTTACATATCTACCATATCTACAATCAGCCCATCCATCCATCCCTCGTGTTCCGACATCCCACCGCAGAACCGTGTGTAACTATCTACATACCAAGCTTTCCTCCCTCACCGCCCGCCTCTCCTCCTGTGCTCGGAACACGTCATACGGCTGAGCTATAGGTACCTATGTGCCTACCTAGTTCCTTCCGTCATCGACATCGGCGAATAACGTGTGGTATTTCTCAGGCTCCAAGACTGTCTACATACCATTCTAGAACCTTCAACCACACACTTCCATGGGTTTGGCTTGTTGTGTTTGTACGTCACCCGAAAACCTCCAGCCTCCGGGAGCTGGGCGGAGATTCCGGATTCCATAGTTAGTGGTGGGATGGAGGTGCGGAATGAGGTGATACCTATCATCTATGGAGGAAGAAGAAGAAGAGGGAAGAGCAAAGTACCAGCGGGCAGTTGCGGTCGGTGATCTGCACATGGATATGAATGATATGTATCTATGATATGTACCGACAACTATCGGCCTGTGATATCGGTCTGTGATCCCCCCTCCCCCACGCACGCACGCATGGGAGTGGAGAGTGTAGAGTGGCGAGTGCTGGAGTATGCAGCGGCGTACCGACGGTATGCATAGAGTACCTACCGGCGAATCGTTGCAGTTCCCAATGGGGAACGGTATGGAGCACCATACGGTTCTCGGTCCCTCCGGTCAAGAGTAATCCACCACAGTCCCGAATTGGACGCCGATGCGGAACCTACGGTATGCACAGCCTCCCGGGCCTTTTCTGCCCACCCAGTACTCACCGCCCACTGCCACTGCCCACTGCCACTGCCTACTGCTCACTGCCCGCCCAGCCGCCCAGCCGCTCGCCCGGCAAGGCACGGCGGCACCTTTATGTATGTAAACTGTAGGCTGGCTACATAGGCTGTCTACATAGCGGGACCTTCTCGGCGTAAAGCCCAAAGCCCCCCCCTCCCTCCCCGCAGCACCGCCCCCACGCAGCGCCGGTGCCAGTGTCAGCGCCACGCGGTATATGCCCCGTCCAAGTTGTCTAAGATGTCCTGTCCGCAACCGAAGCCTGAAGGTTCCTGTGTGTAACTTGATATGCTTGCGGAAATCATTAGCCACCACTCCCGCACTCCCCGCAGTCCACCACTCCCCGCTCTCCGCCACTCCCCGCACTCTCCGCACTCCTCCACTCTCGCACGGAACTGGCAGTAACTAGAGTATATAGCAGAGACCGGAGCTCCGCTGACGCAGGCATAAACTATATGTACCATACCCAGGCCATCCGTATCATAAGCCTCCCGTAAGTCGACCAAAGTACTAGATCACTAGCTCAAGAGTCAAAATGTTTATCAAAATCCCTAAACAGAGTGCTACCCCATGAAGTAGAATACCTACAATACTACCCACTTATGACCGCACCTGTTCCCACTGCCATAACCACAAGACCACAGCAGGCATATCACAGAAGCCAGATCACAGGAAGAATATAGGAGGTTAAAGCTATCCCATTATTCCTAGTTACCTCAACCCCCATCTTACTCAGGTATTCTACCGAACTACCCATCATCATCATCGTCGTCATCATCACCATCCGTCACAAATTCAAGACTCAAGACTCAATACAAAAACCGAGCATCATCCATTGCCATTGCCACTGCCATTGCCATTCGCCGTCGTACTCTCCCGACATCCCATCATATTTTACCTACATCCCACTACACACTCCCCCCAAAAAAGACACAAACAAAGCAAAAGCAAAAGCAAAGCAAAGATGATATATAAGACGAGATAGCAGATAACATGACAAAAAAGATGTTTGGTATGACTTGACAGACAACTCACCTCCCCTCCCCGCAATTGTATCCCGCCAAAAACAACAAAACACACACAAAAAAAGGATCGAAGGTAGAAAAAAAACACCCACAGTGCTGTGATATCACTCAGACGCGATAACAAAAAGAAAAGAGAAGAAAAAAGGGATGACAAGGGAGGTAGAGCAAGCTGTCACGATAAAGAAGGAGAAGTAAAAAAAACCCCATACGACCCAAGATATCCAAAATTCATGCGGAAAAAAGAAACAGAAACAGAAAACCAAAAGCAGCAGTGCCCCAACAATAGATCCGTTTCGTATACGTCGTAGTCAGGATGAAGGGAGGGGGCGAGTCAGGGATCTCATTTCCAGTCCCACACTTGTGCGAGGAAATTCGCCATGTTGACCTTCTTGTGCTTCATTTCCATTATCCATGGGTGGTCCAACATCCTCCAAGGACTTGCTCGTCGTGCGGTATCCTTCTCGAGGCTATGTGGGTGTCAATATATGATCGGGACCAAATAAGTGACATGGAAACTCACCAGCACGAGATGAAGTACTTGAAGCCATCACTCCACTTGATCCCAAGCTCCGGCTCATCCTTGAGTTCGGGAATCGGCTGTCGGACGATGTAGGTGAGAAGATCGATCAGGCCAGCCCGTGCATGTCCGCTGCCCTCTTCCGTCTGACCGAAGGGGAATCGGTGCTGTGCCACCTCCAGCAGAGTAACACCCAGTGACCAAACATCGGAGGTGATTGTGTAAGAGAGGCCCTGGATTCGTTCCGGCTATGGAACACCCCAGTCAGTAAGGTCAAAGTTCCAGCACTCCCGGTAGCGGGGTACACATACTGCCATGTAGTAAGAGGTTCCGATGAACGTATCGGCATTGCCCTTGGAGCCGATGAGTTCGCCCGAGACACCGAAATCGCACAGCTTCACCTGCCCGGCCCGGGTAATGAGAATGTTCGACGGCTTGATATCTGAAGCGAAAGCGTTAGAGCCACAACTATCATATTCGGGACCAAAATAATCCCCACCTCTGTGAATAATCTTCCGTGCACTCAGATATGTGAGGCCCTCCAAAACGCCCTCAGCACATTTCCCCAAGACTTTCTCCCCAGTTCGCCCTCCCAGCTTCTTGACTTCCCGGTAGATGCTATCCAGGGAGCCTCCCTCGCAGAACTCCATCGCAATTGATATTGTGCCGGAGGTGATATCTGTGAATGCTCCGTAGTACTTGCAGATATATGGTGACGAACATTCCCTATTGAAGTTGAGCTCGCGGAAGATCTGCTTTCGCACTTCCGGTGTAGGATCTGTGGTTATGACCTCGAGTGAATATTAGCATCTTTGCAGCATGCCCATAAAGCAGAGCGATAACAAACTTTCAAAGCGAACACCGTCTTTCCTCCTCTCAGCGTACACCTCGTGACCGCACCTCCGGCGCCCTCTCCCAGACTTCCAAGCTCAATGATACGGCCGGTTTCCCTAGCCTTCTTCCAGCCCTCAACGGGCAGCAGCTCGACATCCATACTCTCGTAGTCCACATTCTCGTCTGGCACCTTATTGTCGAGATCGTCCAAGGCGCTGTTCCCATTTGTAGGCTTCGGATCGTTCGGGGATCCGCGCACTTGGTTTCGCAGGCCCATGGCAAAGCTCAACGCAGAGTACTGGCTAGTTGCAGACTGTGGAACATTTCCTCCGGCCTGTGCCCGCGGCTGCGGGGTTGCCAGCTTCAGTAGAGGGGGGCCACGACGTCCGGGGACCGGACCCATGCCATTGGCGGGGGCGGCGGGAGCACTCCCGGGGATCGCAAGGCCGAGCCGGGGAACTCCTCGTGCGCCGCCAGCTCGCGGAGAGTTGATCGGTGCTGGCCTAAGAAATGGTGGTGGTGCCGGAGTGGACATCGTAATAGAGGCGAAGGGGGGCGATGTGGGATAGGGTTACAAAGGCTGCCTATGTGAGGCGGTCCGGTTCAAAAACGTGGGAGGGCAGTGGCCTTATAAACTCGACAGATGTGTGGGCGGAGCGAACGTTCTTGGACGATCAGCAAAATGCCCACCCGCTCATCGGCCGCCGTTCTATCCATGGTGGCGACGGTTACACAAAGCCAGGGGGTGGGGAGGAGAAGGCTTTTACCTTTTCAGCTGACTCAAGAACGACAGAATGTACAGACGCTCCGTAATATTGTTGCTTCTCACAAGCAGATGTGTGGGTTATCGCGACGCAGTTCCACTCCCTCCAGCAGGGATAACGGACGTGTTGCGTGGTCGGGAAAGTAGTGCGGGCGGCGAGCTTAGTGAGGGGTGGCAGTCGACTTTAGTTAGAGCCGGGAGCTCAGAGCAGCCGGCCGGCACGTATATATGGGAGAGATTGTATCGTAAGAATGCTTCTCCACCGGCAGTGGTACGATGGGTGGACGGTGGTGTTGTGGCCGGCCTTGCGGTGGGTAGTTGCGGCCGTGAGATTGGGGGAGGGGGGCCGATGGGGAAGAGGAAGTGGAGTTTAGGAGGAGGATGAGGTTGTCGAGTTTCCGCAATATCTCAAAGGTTTAAAAAGTACACAGAAAGATCGGTACGAGGACGTGGGATCCTCAGTGATGGAGGTGGGAAGAGTCCTAAAGATGTTCAGAGCAAGCGGAGGAGCAGAGGCAGAGGAGGGGTATTGCCCAGTGTTGTACTCTAGTTGGCTGGGATCGTTAGGGGGGGGATGGGTTCGCTGGGTTGTGTCAGACCGAAGCGCGAAGCAGGCGTGAGGCTGTCGGCAGTGCTCCCTGCTAGGTTAAAAGTCATGGAGAATTTGGGCCGCTTTTCGGGAGTACGGGGAATCGGAGGCCATCTAAGGTTGGACACCGTGATCCCGCATCCTCTCCCTCAGTGCAAGTGTGCAGCCAAGTATGTACTTACTTGCTTCAAGTAGTTATGGGAACCGAGTTGGCCGATTATCATTTCTTCAGCGACATTTCTAGCCACAAGACTTGGTGCCAAGGATTGCACAGCATCAGGAGTGGAGAGAGCTGGAGATTCAGACCTGCAACACCTTTCCAGGTTTGCGTGGACGACGATTTTCTCACGTCTTCTGGCCCCACGGGGATGCGACTTCTCGCCCTGCGCGTTCTCAATACCATCACTTCGAACAGCCCCAAATTTCCGAAAGTAATGCACTTGGCTAACTACTCCGACCAGTTTCTCCGAAGGCGCTTACGTACATACAATAATGTCCAGCATGCTTCGCCTACCGTCGCCGTCCGCAAGAGCGTGCGAAGTCTGTGTGAAAGTCATTCGCCACTTTCGTGGGATGGCTGGCTATCACTGTGCCTTCGTCGGTGGCCATTGGGCTTGCATTGGTGGCCCGCATCCGAATGGCACGTCTTGCCATACACTCGATAGCGCATCACAACTCTCCGATGATGCGAGAGCGGACGTACGGGTGGGTAAGCTGGCTGATGCCTCCTATATGCTGCCTAGGATGTTCATTTCCTAAGGCAAAGGAGAACGACGATTGGGGTTGCTGGGCCTGTCTTCAACACATTCAGCAGATACATTAGTGAGCTCGACTCGTCGGCTGGTGAGGAGAGCAGCTGTCCATGAGGACTGTACGGCTCCCCTCCAGAGAGACAGCAATGAGGATATGCAGCCAGTCAATTCAGCCTTCCGCGAATGGATGTCCTGGGAGTATCTCGAGTAGGTGTGTATCTCCTGTACGACGTCAAGGAGGAGGAGGAGGAGGAGGAGGGTGTGCTAGCGACGAATGAATCGAGATCAGGAAATGCTGTGATGGATGCAAGCCAATGAGTTTTCGAAGTCTATGGCAGGTCTGAAGATGACTTTAACTGGGTTCGAGGGCATAGCCCACATATTTGCATACCATGCCGATAATTATATATAGCACTCGCTTTACACCTGCAGTGACCGTTACGGCCCGGATTTTGCCATCAGTGCTTCATCATTGACGGAGTAGTGTACAGGTGTCGTCCCGCAAAAATGTTTGTTTCACGGTCAGCCCGGATGATCCTTGGGACATTGTCAGACGTCAAGCATACAAAGTTGAAACTACTAGTCAGCATGTTTTACGGTGATGCTGTGCCATTCGACAAGGACGTTCGCCCATATCATGGCCTCTAACTACGCCAGGAAGAGTTCCAATGTATGTACCTGATGTCGATGGCGGAATAGAATACTCAAGGCGACATGTTTCCTTCAGACTCGCTCAACAGATATCTCGTCTGCCAAGTTGTATATTGCCCAGTCCCTATATGGTAGCCCGAGCCCAATAAACAAGTTCCAGTGCTTTCTCCGTTGTCCCATATCGTAGAGAGCATCACTGGTTCCAGACACGCAGATGCGCAGAACCTTCAGGTACCGTAGCATCAGCAAATTTCTTCATGGATCCCGAAGGCGTTGTCTCCTACATTTTCGTGATGAATATTCGCAACACACCAGCGTTGGGTTTGAAGCAAGCTAGGTAAGCGGCCCTAAACATGGAATTTCTATTCATAGCGCCGACGCCTACCTGCGGGAGGCCTACCCCCGCGGCTCGGACATGCGAGAACTTAGATTCTTAGAAGGAAGCTCCCCCACAGCCGCACTTGAATCTTGGCGTCTGCCGCAGTTTATAATTAGAGGTGTTTAGCCGCAGCGTGGCATGCTGTGGTTTAAACATAAAAACGACTTCACGGCGGCGCGGATTCGAGGTCGTATATTGTACGCCTGTGAAATCTAGCGAACAACCCGGGTTTATGTGATCGACTCAAGGACATGTGGGCGTACTCTAGTTCTCTAGCGAGGATTCCGAGTGCAGTGCCGGTATCATACAATTGTAGAAGACCTATCTCCAAACCCATCTCTGGAGTCCAGCCGTTTCATCCGCACCAATTTTTCTCGAAGACCGTTACGACGACGGACTGCGGCTGAGATGTGGTCTAGTTGCAACGCCCTACTAGGTAGTAGAGTACCAATATACATAAAATGTTTCGATGGTGGGGGGTTCTTTGTTGATGTTCTGTCGTGGGAAGGGCTCTTTGTTCGGTTCACCGGACGCATCCACCTTAGGGCGCTGACAGTGGACACTGCCTCTTGAATCTTGACGCAGTACGGTACGGCCTCATGCTCGAGCTCCAGACACCAACATCCATCGGCCATACACATCACAGCGACCGCGATCATTCCCGGTTCTAGTACGTAGCAGTGCTGACAGGAGCACCGAAGATAGAAGGGTAGGATGATGGGAATCGGAACCAGGGCCTAAGCCCCTCCACCCGAAACCTCGAAGCGCCGACAAATTCGGCGCTATTTTTAGCTATCCAGATTCCAGCGCAGGGCGCTTATTTCAGATGTCTGATGCACCCCGCAGTTATCCATGCTCTAAATAGTGGCCGCTTTTCGGCCCTTGAATCGACAACTTTCATCCGCTTTAGGTCTACTTAGCCCCATCGCTACCGGGGAATATTTTCAAGATGCATGTGGTTGGGATTGCAGCGAGGCGGCAGAGTAAAGTCGCGGAAAACCCAGAGGATGAGCGGACACCCACTAGCATCAAGCCAACAACCTCGATCGAGACCGGCCTGGATCATGATCGCCAGCGGAAAACAGATATAACGGCGCAAGTGGCGGTGGCAGCGGTGAATGGAGGTTAGTAGCGGCGGAGCGAGAGATTGCGGAATTGAGTAGTTAAACCCGACACTTTCTTCTGATCAAGAGCGGTGGGTTTAGTTGGGGGTACATAGAACAAACCCACGATTACGGATACGCTCATCACGGTCACGTACCATCGCACCAGCTTCCATGGTGGATTTGCAAGCTCGCTAGCCAACTCCCGCGTAAGTGCGTGGTATTTACCTCGACGGTAGACCTACAAGCTGAAAGGCCGGCCCGAACACTCGGCAATCAGTGCACCTGACGACCAAGATGTGAACGTCATGTTGCATCTGCTCTGGAAGTCCGGGTACACCGGTAACCGAAAGGCAGCATGGTGATCCACTTGCGTGCCTCAACAATCAACAGGCGTAGGCGTATGTAACCTATATCCCAACCCGTGCTGCACGGTGAGCAGCAGGTGATGTAGTCGTCGAGCGCACTGGCTGCCATATTTACTACTTCCTAACTTAACCGTGGTAGTCAGAAGGAGTTTCCCCCGACAGCAAAGTTGATTCCCCAAAATCCTATGAACAGGCACAACACTCAGGATCTTTAGTCGAGGCGCTTTAGTCGCTACTCCACTCTTTGCTCTCTGGGTGCCTGTAGCTCTTCTCGTTTATCCCCGAGACGCGTGGGGCCGTTAATTGCAGCCTGCAAATTCCTTCACTTTCCGGAATGCTGGTATGCTGTCATCCCAGTAGAAAACTGCATAGGTGTCGCGGTTCTTCGTACATGGTGAGTGATTACTCATGAGTGGCCCTCTACCAATGTCAAAGGTGTATAAGCATCTTCACCAGCAACCAAGGGGCGATCTGCTTGTTTCACTCCTGTCTGTCGGTAATTTATTTACGGGTAGACTGCTAGTTTGTTTGTTTAATCATTGATTGCATGTGATCTTAGTACACACTCAGCTATCATGGCAATAGACACCGTCTGCAGTCCGGCTATAGACCCGATAGGGTCCCGAAACCCGGCTCGATGCAGCAGCCTCCGATATGGGCCTTCGGGGGTGCCGGCGGGACGCAAAGGATATGGCGTAGCGGGTGATAAGATATGACTCACATAAGCTCCGTCTTGGCGAACGCGTTCCCCTTGACCAAGAATCTACTCAACGCGTCCTCACTCCCAAGGGCCAATTCTTCACCAAAACCCAAAACACCAAACACCACACACGATGTTCCGTCAAGAGCAGTTCAAGAAGGCGTCCGCCACAAAAAAGCACTTCAGCAACACTACGGTTTACCTCAAGAGCGACTACCCGCATCGCCTGAACTTTTACACCTCGCCTCCGACTGCCGAAGTAACTCTCGACCAGTTTGAGCAATGGGCCATTGATCGTCTGCGGGGTAATGAATTGTCCTCGAACTGCACTGCGGAAAAGGTGGGTGGAAGCATGCTAACGTAATGGTTGGAATAGTCCTGGAAGAAATCGAGACTTCACTCTACCGAAACAAATCCCCCGATGAGCTGAAGATTACTCTTGCCGCGCTGCTGAAAAAATACCTCCACCTCGACTCCAACTCCTCGCATTCCACGCAACTGCACGAGCAGCGGCAGAAAGACCACTATTCCCATTTCATCCTGCGTCTTGCATTCGCCCGTTCCGAAGACCTCCGACGACGTTTCTCTAAGGCGGAAACGATCCTCTTTAAGCACCGGTTCGAGAGCGATGACGGCAACGAGCGCACCGAATTCGTTGACAGCCTGGAGCTGGACTGGAAGCCGGTCTCCAACGAGGAGAAAGCCGCCCTGTCCCAGCAGCTGATTGCTACTTCCGGCGGAAAGAAACTGGACGATGGCTACTTCAAGGTTGACTGGGAGCGAGTTCCAGATCTGGTAGAGCAGCGACGAGTGTTTGTGCGTGCAGGAAAAGCGTACGTCCCATCGACGCTCCAAGTGTCCCTCGTGGTGGCGGAATTCACGAAAAAACTAGAACATGCCCTCGAGTTGACCGCACGGGCTCTGCCCCGACTCGACGAGGACGACCGACTCATCCCAATCCTAAATCACCTCTCCCTCGGCTTCACCGCACCGGAATACAACCCCTCCTCCGAGCTATCAATCCTTTCAGGCGCACCCATCACCGCAGCAGATGTCGAAGGCCTATCACAGCACTTCCCCGCATGCATGACGCACCTCCACCGAACACTGCGCAAGGCGAAGCACCTCAAGCATTTCGGGCGCCTGCAATACGGGCTGTTCCTCAAAGGCATAGGCCTCAGCGTGGAGGAAGCTTTGACGTTCTGGCGGACCGCATTCTCGAGCACGCCCAGCGAGAAATTCGACAAAGAGTACCGGTACAATGTCCGGCACTCCTTCGGCCTCGAGGGCCAGCGCAAAAACTACCGCGCAAAGTCCTGCCAGCAAATCCTGACCGAGACTCCCCCCGGAAACGGCGAGGCCCATGGATGCCCGTACCGACACTTCTCGCCGGAAAATCTCAACATGTTCCTTGCCCAGCAGATGGGCGTGAAGGATGCTGCCGTGCTGAGAGGCGTCACCCAGGACGTCGCCGTGACAAAGTTCCACATGGCTTGCAATCGTGTGTTCGAACACATACACCGTGAGGAAATTCGGAAGGCGAAGGAACAGGTATCGAACGGAGGACCGCCGGCGGTGCTCGAGACTATCATCCATCCGAACGAATACTTTGTCCGGAGTTGGGAGCTGAAGCATCCCGAGGCAATTGGCAAGACGGATGTTGGAGGAGGGGCGGGCACGCGGAGGGCTGGTGATAGGGTCGAAGTGGACACGATTAGTAGTCGTGGTGGTGGTGGTGGTGGTGGCGGCGATATGGAGATGATGTAGGGCGTTCGTAATATGGTGCTGTAGTGTAGGATACACTTTGTAATGATGCGTGGTGCTTCTCACGGTGTCTAATCTATCCCCCTTGAACTAGAGCAAAACAAAAGAAGAATCATGATTCAGCCGGGATTTGAACCCGGGTCGGGCGCAGAATGCTGGGTGGCAAGCGCCCATGATACCCCTACACTACTGAATCTGTGATGTCAGATGACCAGGCTTGAGGATAAGACCACAATACCCCGGAGCTCAGTCGTGCGCCGGAGTCTACACTTATCTGTCCGCTGTGTCCGCGGTCCGTCTGCTCCGTCTGCTCCGGTGCAACGGCGGCAGGCGGGAGACTCTCGCCCGCCGTGCGTGCCTACCTATGCCAGATCCCGATAGTTAGACTACCGCGAAGTTCCGCTACTCGATGCGGTGTACCTACCTGTTCGGAGGTTCTAGGCAGAAAGCGGAATCTTGGGAATCTGCAGCTGGGAGGGCCTGGGGCGGCGGGGCCCCTTGACTCAGATCACCGGAAGGGTTGACATCGATTGGATGAGCGGAGCCATCGCGAGACACGCCCTTGCCTTGCTAAGTGATGGTTGGAGTCACATGGGCTTGGTTGGCTAAGCGCGCTACCGACGCGGCTACGAATCTACGATAGCTAGAGGGCAGCGTCGGTAGGATTCAGTGCGCGGGTGTAATACAGAGCAATTCGGTGGGTCTGTGAGCTGACGGCTGGGGAACCAAAGGTGGGAACAAGCACTGCTGAAGGAGTCCAACTGCCTATGGGACCTTGAAGATGGACTTGCACGAGAACTGGCTACAATCTAAAGAACCTACTTCAGGCCACCGATGAGGATGGGAAGAAATCCGTATCCAATAACTACTCCATGAACAACATGGTTCGGTGGGTATCGGCTGGTCGTTGCTGTAAATACATACCCCATACCGGTGTTTCCATGTCATGGAACGCACCGGAACAGCCGGCCGGCTACCATCTACCTACCTACAATCTACCTACCACCTACCGACGATCTCAAAGCCGAACCCAGTCCAAAGAGCTCTCCTCCTCCTCCTCCTCCTCCAACTTGAGACAGCCAGCTCGATACGAGGACCTGGTACATGGGAGCTGCACTTATCACTTATCACGACCAGTCAGTACCTGGGGATAGCAGGTATCGAACCATATCGGACCATATATACCGAGAATACTGCACCGATAGGTGGGTAACCATTTTCCCACCGGCCAACTTCGGACGAGTGAGCTCGCGTGATACGTACCACCACGGTCCACGGCATCGAAACACGGATGTTTCCCACCCCCCAGTGTGTGTGCAAACAATAGGTACATACTGCGTGCAAGCACGCAAGCATGCGTTGTCTGCTGCTGCTGCTGCTGCGTAAGCAAGCGAGTACTGTACATAAATCTCTGGGCAGTAGGCGGTGGGCGGTGGGCATTGATATCACATATCCCTCCTCGCGGAGCATCAAAATTCGGTGTGTAATTACCAGCGCCTCCTCCATCGCCCTTCGCTCCCTTCGCCCTTCGCCCTCTCCCGTTCACCCATTGACCCTTCTCCCGTTCACCCATCCGTTCGTCCCCCGCGCAAAAGAAAAGATCTTTTCTTCTTCTTCTTTTTTCCCGTCTTCTTTTCTTCTTTCTTTTCTTTTCGCATTCCATATATACCTCTCCCTCCCTTTCTCTCTCTCTGTGCACGCACGTAGATTACATACGACAGGCGCGGTAATTAATCGCATGCCGAATGACCGCATTGTACAGGACGGCGCAGTTGGCGCTGCAGGGCTGTATTGTTTCGTTCATGCGCAGTAGGTATGCTGGGTATCTAGAGTGGAGTGGAGTGGATGTGGAAACATAACTCCGCAGCAGCAGCAAGCAGGCAAGTAACAGCAGATATGAAGAGGTATGTATGAAGGTAGAGTTATCATACACAGCACGATCGAACTGCCGCCGATCTTGCAAGCAGGTAGGCAAGCAGCAATCAATCAATCAAAAGCAGGTAGTTTTGTAGTTAGTCGAGTCAATCGCGTTTGTCTCGTAGAGTACTGGGTGGCTGGGTCGGGCGGAACCGGTATTAGCCCACCATCACCTCGAGTAGAGTAGCTACGGCGGCGGCGAAGGTGGGAATATCCCGACTGGCCATCCATCGCATGGGAGGTTTGTAGGCGTGTCGGCGCATCGCGGAGCACTCGGGACGGATGTCTCAATCGCAATTTCAATCGAGATGTAGGTAATAGTAACCAAGTATAAGCAACGTGGCCGGCTTTTGCGGATAGGTAGGTGCTCTAGGCTTCGTTCATTCAGCCGTGGAATGCGATACGGTATTAAGGTTTGATCCGCAGAGGACAGACAATTCGGCTCTACGATGGATTCGAGAGCGAGGCAGGCAGGTGACGTGGGGCTTGGAGTTTGAAGGGGGGTGGTGGTGGTTTTGGATTTTGCATGTGATTCATGTGATTCCCGCGCGGTGCGCTAAATAGGTGAATGGGTGCTGATGCTGATTCTGTGTTCTGTATTTCATTCAGCTGTGCTCTGCGCTCCGTTTTGAACGGCTGTCACTGGAAAGTCGTTGCGATGACCACACTGAATCACGAACCATTCACGAAGCTGAATGGGAGTGTGGAGAACGAATGCCTAAGTACAGACAAACCTACCCACAAGGGTCTTGGAGCTCTTGACCATCTCCATCTTACCTAGGCGATCGCGATAAGAGTGCTAAGAGAACTTCTACCTCTTCTGGACTGGAAATACTAGTAGCGTGCGTGCAACCGAGTATTTTACCGTATAGTACGGTATTCGCGCCATCTGTCGCAGCTCGAGTTTCTTGGACGAGTAGGTGCTAAAGGTTCTTGATTGAGTCGAGAAGGAAAGAAGAAGAAGCATAGGAAGATGGAAGGGGAAGGGAAAACGAAGATCATGAGCCACTTGATTCCGTGAGTGAGCCATAATAAGCACAACCCGGAATCATCAGCGACATCACCATTATTATCACCATATCTCGTCTACAGCCACTTCGCGTTCGCTGCCGCATCTTGAAGAAGACGCAGAGAGAATACCAGCCTCCCTTTCAACTCCCATTCCATCTCTCATTCTCCCTCTGTCTCGCTCTCCTCTCTCTCTCCATCTCTCCCCCTTCTATTTCTCTCTCTTCCTCCCTCCGATCCCCCTCCTCGCTCTCCGCTCCGCCTCCCGCTCCCCCGCATAACCCCACTGAGAGATAGGTAGATAGCCCCGAATCAAAACATCAGCAAACCCCTCCTGTTACATACCTTACCTGCCTGCTGCCTGCCACCTGCCACGCATCGAAAAGCCGCCCTGCTTGAGCCAACCCTACCGCGGCCAGCCGGTCCCGGTCCCATTTGAACAACGAACAGCGAACCACCACCTCCTCCACACAACAATCCCCGAAACCAAAGCAGAAGAAGCACAAGAGGAAGAAGCAGCACTCGCGCATCAAATCAAACCTGTTCGACGTATCGTTGTTCGCCACAGCGACAACTCCCTCATATTATTATCCCCGCTTAACCCCCGCCCCTCCCGCCCCCCCTCCTCCGTCCCCTCCCTTCCCCTCCCACTCCTCCTACTCTCTCGCCCCTCTCCCTCAAGTTCGTTTCTCTGCCATTCCCATCCTTCCTTGCCTATCGTCCAACTTCACCCCACTTCAGTCCACTGCCATTCTAAGTAGTTCGCGATCAACAAGCGCTTGCTTGCCTGCCTGTCCGCTTCTCTGCTCCAACCCGTTCGTGCTCCAATCTTGCACTTACCCGCGTCATCGCACAACAACGGTACTTCCTACATAGATCCTTCGAATACCCAGCCGACACCCGCCCCTCCCACCCGCCCCCGCAAAACACACCATTAACACGACGATCTAGTACATTATCAACGGGAGAATACAGTTGCTCGGAGATACGGGTGTAACGGTCGGGATCGAGTGCTGTTCGTGCGTTCGTTCGCGCGCGCGTGTGAGTGATGGCGGGGCTTGCGGTTACGCTCGGCGGTTCTGATGGTAAGCCTTGCGATCGTTCTCGGCTGTCGTTCTGTTCGTTGTCGCGATTGTGGGTGGGGCGGTGGGGGACTTGGTGATGTTCCGGCGGTGAGGCTGTGTGCTGGTTGTCGGCGGGGTTTGTTCTCCCTCAGTAGCATGAACGGGAAGAGGAGAGGAGATGAGAAGAGAGAAGAGAAAGAAAGGGAACGAGAGAGAGAGCCCACACAGGAATATCTGCCTTCCCCCCACGGAGCTATATCCTGCCACTGTCGCTGCCGCCTCGCCGGTGCTTCTTGCTTCTTGCCTTCTGTGGCCTGGGTGTCTACGGGGATTGAAGACGGAACAGCCAAGTCAAGACGGGTGGATGCCGTTTTGGATTCTTCTTCATGTACGCTGCAGCCTCGCGGAGAATCTGTGTCACTGACGGGAGCGTTGGACCAATTGTAGGAAGCGGTGGGTCGGACTCGATCGGCGACCTCATCAGACCCAAATCGACCCCCCCAATAATGACTGCGCGCAAGATCGCGACCCCAGACGGCCCACCCCAGATCAACCGCCCGAAGATTCGCTTCTCGGTCGATGCGAATGCACCGACGGAAGAGCCTCGGCATGGAATGGATTCGATCTCTCGGTACGTACACTTATGTACATGCATGCATGCGTGAAACTCTTCTCTCCCTGCACCCAGCATCCAGCACTCAGCGCCCAGCGCCCACTCAGCCCCACCTTCCCCCCTCCGGATTACCTGAGCAAACATACCTACATACCTACATGCCCTTTGCGGCACTGTGTACCATGTTGAGGCATGTGGGTGGTGCGTTGAGGATTGGCTGTGGTTGCATTGCTGCTTGGGGGAGGGGGGCTGGCCGGATGGCTGACGCTGCTGGGTGGCATCGGTTGGATTGTTGCTTGCTTGCTTGTTGCGGCTTGCTTATTGTTGCTGCTGGGCTGATGCCTCGCCCGCCCAACCCAAACCCGTGTTAACGTTTGCCTGCCCGTCAACTTAGGAGCACTCTACTGGGTGACGGCGACCACCTCTATACTTCTGGACTACGTCGTATCCGACAACAAGCCAGCGGTCCCCAAGGATTCATGATCCCCTCTCGCTCCCCATCGGTCGCCTCCACCCGTGTCAACTCGTTGTCGCTACCCGGAACCACCTCCACCTTGGGCTCCTGCGAGGATCTCGCCAGGTTTCCGTCCGAGTCGCTTCACTCCTTCTCGTTTGCGAACCAGTCCGAAGATCTCATCCACAATAGACAGAATATCCTGAAGCGGAGCATCGAATTCATGAGAGACAAGCTGGGATGGGGTACACGGTCTCCGCTGATAGCCACCGCACAGGCAAAAATGGATGGGAACGGCGCCGAGGTTGAGAGCATGATGGAGCTTCTGCGCAGGGCGGACATGGTTTCGGAGGAGAAGACGCCGATGCTCACCGGGCCTGTCACTGGACCCGCTGGAGTTGACAGCAATCCGTTCGAACAGAGTTTCGCGAAACCTAAAGCTCCAACACGGCTTGACACTAGAGTCTCGGACGTCGCCCATATATCAGACTCCCCCATCGACGCGGACTCAGCAGAAACATCCAGATCCAACACTGAATCGGACAATACTGGTCGCACTACCCCACCTCCCTCCGAGCGGCCCAGCCTGAGACGTACCTACACCGACACAACCACCCTAGCGCTCGAATCCAGGCTGTACGAAGCTCTGGCTCAACCGTATCTAGCTTCGGAAGTTGCTGGGGCTAACAACGGTCCACGCGCGGCGATCCGGAAATCCTCCGTACACGGACACACGAGCCGCTATCAGCCCCCCGCACAAGCTATCTTCACAACGGAAGCACAAAGTCCGTGGACGATCCTCGCGGCAAACGATTTGGCTTGCCTCGTCTTTGGAGTCACCATGGCTGAAGTCCGGAAGATTGGTATCATGGAAGTCGTGAAAGAGGAGAGGAGAGGATGGCTGTCAGCAAAGCTGAACTCTGGCGAGAATACATCGACTTCGTTTCCGTACCCGCACAGTCAACATGGTACGCCGCGTTCGACACCGCGTTCGACTGGCGTCATGTACCAGGGGGCCCAGAGGACCAAATCGGACATGTTCTACACTGGACTTCCGATGGCTGCCCGTGCCAAGGCGCAGGAGCCGAAGGTCAAAGTTAATCAGAATCGAGGGGTTATCCTTTGCGGAGATGTTGTGCCGATTCAGAAGCGTAATGGTAATACAGGGGCTGCCAGTCTCTGGGTCAAAGAAAAGCGGGGAGGGTTGATTTGGGTTTTGGAGGAAGTTAGTGAGGATCTAGCCTTCGTTTATACATCCCAGCGGGACGAGGATAACGTGGACATTGTTACTCGGTCTGAGGGCAGCTTGAGCAACATTTTTGGAGACGCGTACCTTGCCGCGCCAGGAGCCTTACTGCGCAACTTGCTTCCTACCCTTCCAAGAATGGACGACGGCAGCATCGATTTCGAGAAGACAACGGTGGTGCATCAGTTTACGGTTGCGAGTGCCACCGGAGCTAAGATTCCCTGTGGTGTCGAACCGATTCCAGGACACAGAGGACTGCGAATCTCATCCTTCCCCCACATTGCTGGAATCATGGTTCTCTCTGCGTCTTCACTCAAAATCGCCAGTGCCAACGCTGTTTTTGCGGCGGCACTGCTCGGTCATCTAGATCCTATCGGTCTATCGATCTCGGAGCTCATCCCCAACTTTGAGAAGATGCTGGACTACTTGACCAACGAGGAGCACATCAGCTTGGTCGATGGGATGGTTGTACCCGAGCACTCGTTCCGTAAAGCGAATTCGATCCTTTCCCTTCGGGAAAACAAGAGCGGCGACGCGATGTCTACGTTCTCGGTTCCGGGCGGAGTCATCGCGAGACATCGCGATGGATCGGATATTCACGTTGACGTGCAAATGAGGGTGGTGATCTCGGAGTACCGGGATGAGGACGCTATTGCGGACGATTCCGATACCGAGGACGAGGACGAGATAGAAGACAAGACGGAGACGGTCTATGCTCTGTGGATCACGTATTCGAAGCATCTGCACGTTGCATCGGCGACTAATGATCCCCTTTCGCTCGAGCTGAACCGACCAATCACCCCGCCGAAAGCTCCGAGCCCTGGGCAGCCCGATACTCCTCCCGCCCTACCTACTCCGGGCCCGGAAACCCCAGGGAAGGAACTATCGAAGCAACTCCATCAGTCTCCGACCCCGCCTAGCTCCGAGGATGAACTTAACACGTCGTCAAAGGGTGCCAACCGGAAAGCCGCTTCCCCGACTCCAGTTGTGGCCAAACGGAAGAAGAACATTCAAGACTTCGTCATCCTTGAGGATATGGGCCAGGGAGCGTACGGCCAGGTCAAACTGGCCAGATACAAGCGGAAAGACATGAAGCGGGTCGTTCTCAAGTACGTTACGAAGCGGCGGATTCTCGTCGATACATGGACCCGAGACCGGCGACTTGGGACGGTGCCCCTCGAAATCCACGTTCTCGATTACCTCGGACGGGACGGGCTCAAGCACCCCAATGTTGTCGAGATGACTGATTTCTTCGAGGACGATGTCAACTACTATATCGAGATGGTGCCGCACGGATTGCCGGGAATGGATTTGTTCGATTACATAGAACTGAAGGTCAATATGGACGAGGACGAATGCCGCAGCATCTTTATCCAGGTCGCCCGCGCACTGTACCATCTCCATATCAAAGCTGGTGTTGTCCACCGAGACATCAAGGACGAGAATGTGGTGCTTGACGGTGCTGGCAATATCAAGGTGATTGATTTCGGCAGTTCGGCGTACATCAAGAATGGACCTTTTGATGTGTTTGTGGGGACTATTGGTGAGTAGTTTCAACCTGGTGTATTCGATGTTGCATGGTTTCTGACAGGTGTTATAGATTACGCTGCTCCGGAAGTTCTGCAGGGCAAGTCTTATAAAGGGAAAGAGCAGGATGTATGGGCGCTGGGAGTGTTGCTATACACAATCTGTTACAAAGAGAATCCCTTTTACAACGTTGGTCCCCCAATTCATCCCACAGTTACGCGGATGCATTACTAACTGGTCGACCAGATCGACGAGATCATGGACCGCGAACCACGGATTCCGTTCGTCATGTCGGAGGTTTCACTTGATCTTATCAAGACCATGTTGGATCGCGATGTCGACAGACGCCCTACGATCGAGCAAGTGATCGCACATCCATGGTTCGAAGACTTACCGGGTCCCGAGGAAGCCCTTCTGGCGACATCGCCGATCGATGCAAGCACAAGGAGGAATCAGTAGATGTGACTTTTCTTTCTTCGCGCGTGCAGATTGATTGATTGATTGAAAATAATGGGGGGCCTCTTTTTCTCTTCGTTTGGCTTGGTAAACAGGGTTGGTTTTCATTTTTTCATTTTCATTGGGACGTAATTTTTTTCTTTTCCTACATCTTTTTTCTTTTCCTACATCTTTTTTCTTTTTTTCTTTCGTACTTTTTTTTCTTCTTTCTTTCTTTTCTTGAGCGCCTTTTTTTATTTATTTCTTTTTTTTCTTTCCTAGGACATGGAGTTCGTCTGATTTGGTGTTACCGCAACAGAATTTGGGGCATTGATTGATGAAAAATGCATTCAAATGGGTTCTAACTTCAGTTTTACTGTATGGGGGGTGGGTGGGGGGTTTCTGATCGTTTCTTTATCTTCATTCTTCGCACACTCGGGGGCGTGCGATATCATTGATTCTTGTCTGTCTTCGTCCACTGGCTGGATCTCGGTCTCTCGGTCTCGGTCTCGGTGTGCACTCGAGTGCAATCGAGTGCACAATTCACATGGTTGATAATGATGGATAATTATGGATGCTTTGGCTGGCTGGTTCGTGTTTTTTTCCCCTTTCCTTTCTAGACGATTATAGGGTAGAAAAGTTTCGCTACTGTTTTTTTTCTCCTGTTCACGTTTTCTGTTGAGGATATGATTTGGTTGTTTTCTTGAGTTTGAGTTTTGAGTTTTTAAGTTTTTGAGTTTTTTGTTTTCTGCTCCCCGCTTTTACTTATTCGCGTCGAAAGCATGATGGTTGATGGTTGATGATGTTGATTATGTGGGGTGGGATGTATGAAGTGGAGGTGGAGGTGGAGGGGACAGCTATGGGATGGGATGGGATGGGTGATGCAGATTCTTTTTCTTTTTCTTTTTCTTTATCGTTTTATTAGGAACGGCGATGGGATTTACTTTTCACCTGTTGTATGTAATGTAAATACTTTCCATCCACATCTGTCCATTGGTGTCACGATAATGATTCTACTCATACACACCATCTCACCCGTCCGGACAAGACAAGTCACTGCACAACATCAACGGCACTCCACCCCTCCCCAACGCCCCTAAGCCGCACCCTCCCCTCCTGTCCAAACCCATCCTGAGCACCAGCAGCCGCAGCCGTAGCCGCATCCCCACACTCCACCTCAACATCCACCACAACCGCCTTCCCCCAGCCGGGATGTCCGGTGTCTCTACTCCACGGTCCGGTGGCAATAGCAGCATTAACCAGCAGCGTCTCCCTGCCGCGCACAACCACATGATCTCTCACACGGATCGTATCGACGAGGAACTGCCTCTTTATCCGCAGCGGGTGCGGATCTTGGATCTCGACCACGCGCGCCTCCTTGTGGCGCACCCGCGGCGCCGCGGCGTCATCCCACAGCACCTTTTCGACGCCGCGGCCGACGTGGACGTGGCCGAAGACGTGCAGTACCGGGCGCACCTGCGACAGGCGCTCGCGGAGGTGCGGGCAGCCGGCGTGCGGCTGCGGCGGGAGGCTGGACGGTGAGCGGTCCAGGTGGTATTTCGGCGGCGTGTGTGTGATCAGCACGTCTGTGTCTGCGGGGATGGACAGCCAGGGGTTGGTGGAGGGGGGGTAGGTGAAACCCCAGGCTTTGCTTCCCGGCGGCGGCGGGGGCGAGGGCGAGAGCGGCGATGCGAACACGCGGAAGCGCCGGCCGTCGCGCAGCGTGATCGTGCGCGCTTCGTGGCGGAGGTAGATGATCCCTGCGCGGGCCGCGGCGGGCGTCGAGAACAGCGCGAGGTTTGCGGCGTGCGATTGCGCTGGTGTGAGTGTGGATGTGTGGGTGTACTCTGGATCGAGAGAGACGCCGTCGTGGTTACCTGCCACGAGAAGCTTCACTTCGTGGGGTTGCCGCTGAAGCCAGGAGAGTGCGTTCGACAGCTCTGAATACGTCCCCTGGCTCGTTAGGTCCCCCGCGTGGATCAGCACGTCGCCTGGTGGTAGGTAAGGCGTGTGGTTGTGTGTGTCTGAGATGCAGGTTATTCGTAGACGCTTCTTTTTTGGCGGGGGGAGGGCTGCGGCGAGGAGCGGGGAGGACGGCCCATCGAAGCTGCCGCCGGCGGAAACGGAAACGGGCGCGAGGCGCTGCGTCGTGAGTTTTGGCAGCGGCTTGCGTTTGGCGGTTTCTTTTTGCTTCTTGGATGGTGGCGGAGGCGGCAGCTGCGGGAGCCCGTCGTCGGTCAGCTGTGATGGAGCCAGCTCGGAGCGGGTGGGTGGGTCGGCGTAGACGCGGTGGTAGACTATGCGCGAGGGGGGAAGCTCGGCCATTGGAATAGTAATCGTGGTGGCAGTCGGCAGCTAGATGGAGCTCGAGGTGAGCTTCGTAGGGCTGACGGGGAGTTCCGTGGGATCCTGGCGGATTCGTGGTCAGTGCTAAATGTGAGGATTCAGGTCTGGTTTCGGCACGCTGCGTCGTGCTCAATGAGACATCGAAACAGAATGAAGCGTCTCGAGCTCCATTCAACTACAGGATACTCATACTTGATGCTGTCGAGAGCTTGGAAATCGAGAGTCGAGACAGGGTAAAGCCTTCGCCTGAGTCGCCGTTCATGATTAGCCTAGCCTTAGCCGATGAAGTTGGTGGCGTCATGGATCTTAGAACTCATGCCACCTCATCTGAGCTCAGGCAGTGGTCATTCTCCGTAACCGCTGTCCCCCACATCTATATCTACTCATCTAGATAGCTCACGCTTCCAAACCTCGACTTCAATCCAACAAGCACAAATATATACCGAACCGAAAATATGCCTCTCCTCGCCTCTCTCACCTCAGCCGCAGCATGGCACGTGCTCAGCTACGGCACACTTCTGGGCTCGCAGTTCTACCAGGTATTCATCCTGCACCCACACCGCGGGCATCCTACTGACATGTATGCAGTCCTTCATCGGCGGCGTAGTAGCCTTCCGCGCGCTCCCCAGGCCAATGTTCGGCCTCCTGCAGCAACGGATCTTTCCCGTGTACTTCAGCATGCAGATCGCGCTCCCGCTCGCGGTGCTCCTCTCGCATCCCACGGCCAGCTACGACAAGCTCATGGCGACCGAGGCCGCGCTGCCAATGCTGATCACGTTTGCCACGTCGGCGGTGAACTTAGTGGCGGTGGGCCCGGCGACGACGGCGATCATGCGCGAGAGGAAGGCGCAGGAGAGTAAAGAGGGGAGAAAGTACTACGATGAGGGCGAGAAGTCGCTGGAGATGAAGGCGCTCAATAAGAGGTTTGGTGTCATGCATGGCGTTAGCTCACTGTTGAATTTGGCGGCGTTTGTGGCTACTGTGGCGTATGGGTTTACGTTGGCGCAGAAGTTGGTTATGTAGACAGACCGGAGCTGGGTGAGCGTGGGAGTGGACGGCTTGTGACAGAGAGAGAACAAAACATCAATTAATTTTGCATACAGCCTTTCGAGACTGTGGCAGTGTGATGAACCGAAATAACTCATTCTGCCCGCCCCGCTATCACAGCCCGCTGCCTACCAAATGGAAGAACGAGTGAAGCTGTACAGGTGTTGCCACCGCCTATTCACACGACCCACATCCACAGAATCCTGCCGAGTACGCCCGTTGGCTCCGGAGGCTTCACTCCCCTCTTCGACTGCTTCTTCTACGGCGAACTTTCTGCCTCTTCTACGGCGAACTTTCTGCCCACGTCTGTGGTCTTCAAAATTCCAACACTGCCTTGGAGCAGCGATCATCTGCAAACAGGTCTGCCATACCCCCCTGCCTACTCTGCTCCCATTCGGTCTCCCTCTGTATTCTCGCTCGTCTTGTATCATTTTTCTCGTTTGATCGTCAAGACATTCGTTTTTTGTTTGTTTCATTATCGTAGCATTCGACCATTGCAGATCATGGCTGTGTACACGTCCGGATCAACCCCACTGTCTCCGACCGCTGGCCACGAGCTCGATGTGGGTTCCCTATTGCCCTCCGCCCGGCCCATCCGCAATTAAGACATTCGTAATGTTGGCGGAAAATGAACATTTTGGTAACTACTGGCGAATGGAGTGAGATTCTATGATTTGTGTGACCAATTGAGTCCAAATAGGTACTCTTGCATGTTTCCTGGTGTCATTCACTGTCGGTCTCACTCACTGTCGTCGACCACCTTCGTTTCTCTCTTCAAACTACCACAACAATAACAACAACCACAACAACCAGCCATGGCTTCCATCACCACCACCACCACCCGTTCAGCCCTCATTTCCCTCCTCCATGACCTCCTTGCATTGGACTCAGTCCAGTTCCGGACTGAGTCTCCAGGTCCAATTGATACCCCCACGAAAACACTGATGATGCGGGCTGCCCAGTACGAATCCACTACAATCCTACAGCTCGTCGAAATCAACCTCCACATCCTGCTCAGTCAATACCCCTTCAAAATTACGCACACAGACTTGAGTTCTTATCAGCAGCGTTTCTTTATGCTATGGACTGGCAAGCACGAGGACGATGCAGCACTGGGCAGGTATCCTGCCCATGGAAAAGGGAAGGAGAAGGAGGATAATGGCCCACTGACTGCCGCCACGGGGCTTTCCTTCCTGACTGCCATACGCCCCAACTTTCACCGGCTCGGTGACTCAGGCTTCCGCTTCGTCTCGGAGCTGCTCCTCTACTGTATCCAGACGCTATCACTGGAGGGGACAGGCGGGCATGGGAATATCCGCGAATGGGTGGATGTCCATGGCACTGCTGTTACGGTGCTTTCGGAGCTATTGTATAGCATTCCCGTGACAGGTTGGGCAGGTCTTGATGAGCTGGCCGAGTGCACATTTCCGATTTGGCAGTGTTTGCTGCTGTTGACCACCGGGGCCAATTGGTGGCGCGTGGAGAGTGAGCAGTATAGGCAGAATACACTACGGCTGGCGAAGTCTCTCCGTGTGTTCTTTCCATCCCATCTTTTCTCCTGCTTCTGACGAAACGATTGTGGTAGTTAAATTGCCGAACTGCTCATCACTGCTCAAAGGCCTGCTCCGCGTGGATATGCGGCCTGCGGATGTGCACAACATCATCACTGCGGTACTGCAGCCTCTCGAGCGGCAATTTGGCATCGAAACCCCCGAATACATCAATGCGTTTACTCCGGCGCCCTTCAATTTCCCAAACGCCGCAGCCCTGGACAAACACGATTTCTCGAAGGAGTATGAATTTTCAAATCTCAGAGTGATGTTTGTGACCTGGATCAACAGCGATCCGATGGCGAGAAGGATGTCGGAGTTCAGGGCACCGTGGAATATCGAGGTTGTGCTACAGCATACCGAGGCATACAGGAGGTTGAAGGCACATCCGGAGAGCGCCATCAGGGTGGCGCTGATTTACATCTTCAACCAAGTCCAACGGGGTTTTCTGGGTGCGTACAATTCTTCTCGCGAGCTAAGAGGAAACAGGTGCTCACGCCAGCTAGATTTCAAGCCGTGTTCGGATGCTAAAGTGATCGAGTTGCTGCATGACTACATCAGCTACGTGAGTCTTCTTCCGCGGGTGAGCAAATCAAAAACTCCGAAGGCTACCGCACGCGATGCTCTGGAGCTTGGTCCTCAATCCTTCGTGGCTGCAAATGCGGAGTGGGTCATTCCCTGGCTGTGGAAGAGAAGAGCTACGGATTCGACGTTTGTGATGGCCATGACCGCCACTTGGCTCGAGACTACATGCACCGGTGAATGGTCCGAAACGCATGTGGTGTTCAAAATTATTTCGGAACATGCCGAGACTGCTTTTAGTGTATTCCATGTTAGTTACGTTCATTACATCGAGGCTGTGGGGTATTGCTGATAACGACGAAGGACTTCTTTAGCGAAGTGTTCAATTCCGGGTTTATCTCCAACGCTGATAATCCGTTGAAGATCGGTGCACAAATGCAAAAGGTTCTCCTCATAGTCTTGAAGGTCATCCTACTTATCAAGAAGGATAAACCGGCGCTGTTAACCCAACAGCTTGCCATGCTTATCATCAGATGTTTTGTGGCCGCCGGGGAAACGGAGTGGATTCCTATCGAAGGTATGTACAAATTTTGCCCCGCCTTTCTCTCCGTCAGTATCACTGACGAAGAATAGCATGGTGGAGGTGCCGCAATGTATTGGTCTGTTTTCCAAGAAATAAGCTTTCTAGTGCCACAAAACTGGCACAGGTAGTCGCAGGAATTAATGACAGTAAGTTGTGACGGTCACAAACGGGCAATTATTTGCTGATTGAAACACCGCAGTGGTACCGCTATTCCTAAGGGATATGGAAGCGATCTGCACGATCTGTGGAAAAAATCAAGCGGCCGGCATGCCACTAGAGAAGCTCGAAGAGCATATTGAGACGCTCACAGCCATGATTCAGTTTTCGACGTTGCTGGCCAGGTCTCACGAGGCAATATGTTAGTCCTACCCTTTCTTCTCGGCGCCCTTACTTTTTCTGACGGAGTTCAGGCACCGCATTGGCCACCCGTTTTGACCTTGAGATGGCGGCTCGTCAATACATTGTGGCTTGCTACAGTCCACTGCTCACCTCGAGGTTGAGCGCGCTCCATTCGGCATCGGTAGGAGCCTTAGTCGAGCTTCTTGTTGTGACAGGAGTCGGTTTGAATAGGCTGGGCAGAAGGATCCTGGAAGAATCCACGGATGTTCTCGAGGCGAAGAACAACATGATTGGAACAATGATTAAGGCACTTATGTCGAAGCCTTACGTGACGGCATATGTCCTTCGTAAGGGATCTCCCTGGTGCGTTTGATTTCGGAGCTGATTGCATGGGCTCTAGCCGGAATGTGTGGACTTGTTACATTGATCAGTGACTATGGGTGGTGGGGCAGAGACCCATTCTTATATACCGCCATATGGGACCGTCTCCGCCAGACATTGCTGCTGCCCGTTCGTTCCCATCCTGGTCGGATCTGTCATCACGTTGCTAATATCGGTCTTAGGATACTCACAAATGGTGCCTCTTCCTTCCCGCCTTCACAGCTGCCCTCTCATCTCTCCTAAAGGCAATCACACCAAGCCTTACGTCGCGGCCCTTCTTAGCATCGACCAACCACCCCCACATCCTAGGCGAAATGCTCCTCTCCAACCGTTGGAACTTCATTCTCACCGTTAAGTTTCTAAAGTTCCTCCTCGAAACGGAGCACACCCAGCACTGTACCACGTGCGGTGTTCCGCTCTTCATCCCCATCTCGGGGTTCCTCCGACTTGTCCTCAGCCATCACCCACCGTGGCAACGTGACCTGCACCTCTCCCAGGGGATGGGAAAACACGCCGTTCTGGAGTGGGATGGGGTCGAGAAGAGGGTCCGTGAGCTTGCGGAGCAAGGAAGAAAGTGGGATGCCGATGCACTGATGACTGTCGTTGAGTGCTTTGAGTACCCAAAGAAGAAGATGCTTAGAGTCTGGTTGATGCGCGAGCTCAAAGCTGGTGGTCCGGAGAAGGAGGACATGGTGAGGTTCAGAGGACGTTATGCTCAATTCAAGCTGAACGACGATGCGGGTGTTTTGGTGGTTGTTTAGAGATTGATTGCTTGCATGGATGGATTTGTATTTTATGGGTTGATGGTTTTTTTTATGTCACTCGGACATGTATTTTAGCTTCCTCCGCTCATGCGGATTTTCTGGGTTCCGAAAATGAGGAACGGTGGACTTGAACTTGACTTCTTAGGGACTCAGTGCAAAGTCCTCGCTCTGTGGTCCTGGAATAATTGAAGTCGGAATTATTTTATTATCCAGAGCACGAGTGATATCTGTGAATGGCCAGGTTAGCACATATTGACAAAGAATCCAAGCTCTCCTCGCAACTTCCGTAGATCTAACGATGATTCGAACGGTGACGGAAGACGATGGTAGATTAGTAGATTAGGTTCCCGAAGCCGTGCGACCAATTCCGGTCCTCGTATGTACACAGGGAGGGTAGACTATGCACAAAGTCTTTGCAGCGTTTACGTCTGCGACGGAAGAAAGCTAGGTTCTATAGGTATGCCCAAGGATTCGGCGTGCTCGAGCAACCCATTCGCGCTTGAGCGGTCCATTCATCTTCCAGCCGCAAGACGGGAATAATTGGTGCGGGAGAATGCTCGGCCGCACTACGAGACTCACTCACTCCTCACTCCTTAGGCGTAGGTCGACAGCGGCGGCAACCGGCTGCCAGTAATCAGCAATGAGCAACCAGCCCAGATGATGTACCCGAGTGATGTGACCGAGGACTCGGCGTGCTCGAGTAGCCTATTCGTGCTTCAGCAGCCCATTCGTGCTCGAGCAGCCCATTCGTGCTTGAGTAGTCTATTCGTGCTCGAGCAGCCCATTCATCCTCTAACAACCATTCATACTTGAGCAGCCCATTCGTGCTTGAGCAGCCTATCCGTGCGCGAGCAGCCATTCATACTCGAGCAGCCCATTCGTGCTCGAGCAGCCCATTTATCCTCCAGCCACAAGACGGGAATAAGCCGGGAATGATACGGGAATAATACGGTATGTGGAAGTGCTGGTCGCACCCTGAGACTCACTCACTCACTCACTCACTCACTCACTCCGAGGGCGCAGGCAGAGCGGTGGTAATCCGCTACCGGCAATCGGCAAGCAACAATCGGCAATCATTAAGCAACCCGAGTGCTGTGCCCGAGTGCTGTACCCCGGCCAAGGGTCCAAGACCAAACCACCCAGTGACAGCACGATACGATACCAGCCCAGTAGACCAGACCAGTAACAGTTCCTTCTAATACCCTCTCCGATCTACTTATAGCTAGCGTACCTGTACTCCAGGTGTACTCTAAATAAGTGTATAGTATGCGAGTCCTCCGGACTTGGATGAATCATGAAGTGCAGGCTTGGAATACCGGGCTTGGAATAATGGGCCTGGAAGGGTACCAGGCAGCGGGCTGGTAGTCACTCTAGTAGTAATAGTATAGTAGTGGGCCAGCTCCCGAGTCCCGATAGTGGAAACGGGTATTTACAGATACGCCGAACAGCGGGTGCTTTTGGGGTTAAATACTTGGAAATGTCCACCCTCACCGAGGATATTATGAAGGAATACCTGCCGGCTTGCAGGAAAGTGTGCTTGGAAAATGATCCGAGTGATATTTATGCACCCTGTTGACCTGGATTCACTCTTGGACTCGTCAGGACAGAATCACATGCACAACCCAAGGCTTGTCCAATGTCTTCCATGCAAATGCATTACAAAATGAAAAAATCTATATACACAGCATCCCCCCTTTCCCCCCCGTTGCCCTCTCATTCCCCCAACCCACCCATGCGGAAAACGAAAAAGACCGGTATCTAACAATGCCATATCCCATGCCATATATGCTATCCAATATCCAATAATATTCGCTGATAACGCCCCAAAAAAAACCAAAACCAAAGTCAAACTCCGAACCAAAAAATGTAGAAAATCAATCAATCAATCAGCCCTTATACACCCACTCCTCGCCATTAAACAGCCGATTCAACTCCAGCACTAGACGGAAGCAGTAGATTGTCATGTCTTGTCTATATTTTTGTTAGTAGCTGATGGAGTGATGGAGGGAGGGGGTGTGTGTGTGTGCACGGGAGACTTACTTGCGCATATGCTCCTTAACCCACAACGCGCCCTGCTCTGCGATCTTCCTAGCCTCTGCATCATGCGTCGGGCTCTCACTGGTGCCCAAGAAGAACCCCAGCAGCCCCCACAGCTCGCCCAGTCCCACGGACGCCGGAACATAATGGACCCAAGGCATCTGTCGCTCACCGAACCACTCACGGTATATGCTGCTTCTGATAGCGGTACTCTTGCTAGCCATGAGGGCGCGCCAGCGCCCGCTGGGGCCCCAGCCGTCGCTGTCGATTACCAGCTTGTTCTTCCAGGCCTCGCTGAAATCGTTGCGCTCCTCGAACGGGAATATGCTGGGCAGATCGCACCCGAACATCTCGCACATGCTGCTGATGTCCGAAAAGGTTATGTTCGTCAGGGTCTGGGCGATGTGCGCGGGCTCGGTGCTTTGGATCAGCGCCCCGGAGGCGGAGGCACCGCTGACAAGGACGGAGGTCTTGAAGTGCGCTGGGTTGGTTAGGGCTACGAGGCGGTGGCGGTGCATCTAGACGGGTTAGAGGGTGCGTTGCGGAGGGAGACGGGGGATGTACGCTGCCGTAGTATTGGTCGCCGTGGCCGCCGCCGCTGGGTTCGCCGCGCCAGTAGATCTTGGATTCCTTCTCTTCCCAAGCGACGTCATCGCCGTCGTAGTATTCGTACGAGCCGTCGACATCCCATTGATAGCGGGAGGGAATGGCGATGTCGTTGAAGGCGCTGGGGTGACCGTAGGAAAGCATGGGATACAGGCCCTTCGTTGTGGAACGTGTTCCGCGGTGGACTCCATGGAGCTGTGCACGAGCGTTAGTGATATGACAAAATAAAGCAAGAAAGAAAGAGGAACGTACAGCCATCAGTTCTGGTCTCTCGCACATGTCATTATCCGCATTCGGGTCCGTCACGAACTCGGCCTTGGAACCCTCTCCCTTCAAGTCGCCATTCGAACCCAGAACTTCGTGAATGCCAAACTCGAACCTGGTCCCCACCGCCATCTTTCCGTAACGGCTGTTGGCATCACAAGCATGGATCAGGTCTTCCGAGAGGGTTCTAGCCGCAACCTGGTGCCGGTGCCATAGATCATCCAACTCATACTTTTCTTTCTTCGTCTCCAACGCATCCGTCTGGGCCTTCCACTTCTCATCGTCACCGCCCACCACCCTTGCCTCGGCCAACTCATTGACAGGAATGGCAAACGCCGGCCACTCGGCCACCTTCTCACCCAGAACATCCTTCAGCGGCTCGAGCATACGGAGCAATCCACGGGTACGATAACCACCCTCATCCTCACCCTCCATCTCAACCAGACTCCTTTTAGCCGCCTTATTCTTCTTCCTATTCCTCTTCTCCTCCTCCGCCTTGGGATCCTTCCAGTACGAAAACACGCCATCTTTCGCATCGATGACCAACCCACCAATCGACTCCTCGAACCCAAACTTGAGCATATTCTCAGCTCTGCGCCGGGCCTCCTTCGGCCCCAGCCTCCGCAGCGGCGCAAGCGTCGCCATCAGGTCGTCGTACTCGTCCACCAGCTTCAGGTTGTTGCTCCGTGCATACTCAAACCACAGATCGAAGCCGTCCGGCGGCGCCATGCCGTACCGCCGCTTGTACTCCTTGACTGCGGCGTCGAGTGTGCTCGACTGTCGCTGCAGCATAGCGGCCCACTTTGCCTCTGCGGCCTCCATCAAGTGCGGGATCGGATGCATTGCCTCCTTCTTGTCGGCATCGCCGTCGTCGTTGCCGACCGGGGATGATGATGGCGATGGTGGTGGTGTGTGAACGATGACGTCCTGGACCGGCAGCTGGTTATTGAGCGGCGGGACGGTGGGCGAGACGCCGAGCGGCGAGATGCACACGGGAATGGTGTCGACGGGGGCCTGCGCCGACACGATGCCAAAGCCGAGCCGCGCGTGGATGGCGTTGCTGTAGTTGATGAAGGTGTACATCAGGAAGATGACGGAGAACAGGCCGATCAGCATGAAGCGCTTTCGCGGCAGGCCGAGAGAGCGCAGCAGGCCGAGAAGGCCCGCCCCCCATGGTTGGCCGGAGCGTTTGATCATGCTGCAGGTTGGCCGGTTGGAGGGTGGAGACGTGTATGGGGGGTTTTCTTCTTCGATATCGGACTCGGACCAAGAGCCAAGTATCTACTTACTACGAAGTCTAACCAGAGGGTGAGGGTGCTGGTGCTGGAGGTGGAGGTGGAGGCCGATGTGACTTTATTTGGGGGGGGGGGGGGGGGGGGGGTCAGCACAACACGCGGCCCTCTCTCCCCTCTGTCCTCGGCGCAGGCCCCACGCTCATAGGTATCGAGCCAATGCACGTATTTCCGGCGAACTCGATGTAACCAACGGGTACGGCCAGCGGACAGGCTACGATGGTGTGAAGAAAGCTTACCTTCGTGACGCACCAGGTTGCGGGCCCGGGGGTCGGTGCATCGTGAAGGTCTATTTAGTTGCTAGGTAGTATCCAGTAATTCGTTCGTTGCACAGACCCAGCACTGCCTTCGTATGTAGAGTAACTAGAGTATATGGTTACTAGTAGTTACTCTACATGGAGACCTTGAGTAGAGTGCCGTCACACGGGGAATGCTTCTCGATTGGAGCAAAACACCGTCCAATTTTGGATCAGCACAGGGCACAAGGTGGTTGCAACTGTTACGAGGGTGTTGTCCTTGGTTGTCCCCAGTTGTGCTTGGATGTCCTGGGTTGTCCGCCAGTGCCCATGTGAAGAATCATACACGGGCGAGCGAGCCGTGTGGGGTTGATTGGTGTTCTCCGCCGTCGTTCCCGTGCAGGCAGCAGGATACATACGCAGTGGGAGTTCCGGGGGAAGTTATTGGCTCCATAGTACCATAATGGGATTCAGTAGGTACGGTATGTGCTCATCCAATAGGCAAGTAGATACTTGTAGTACCTACATCATACCTGGTATGCACTGGGCGGTGGGATCTGCTACAGGCATCATTATCATGCTTACTAACTACATAGCATCACAGGATGGCGATTGATTGCAACATCGATCCTCCCGATCGAGAAGGGTAGAAACTTTCGAGTAGTAGCAACAGAGGAGTTTTGGGCGGAGGCTGAATGCCATGGTCAGCAAGCAACCGCAAACAAACAAACAAACAAACAAACACCGACGGCAACGGCGACACCACGGTCCACGACGATAGGTACCTAGCGTATGATGGTTCGGTCCTCAACCTCGGGGCGATTGCCGCGTGAGATATGCTAGGACTCGTGGGCTCCGTGACGGTCGTGGATGTCGATGCCGGATTCTGGACGGTGGCGAGAGTGAGACCTAGAGTACATGTAGCGTAGGTACTCTAGTTAGGGTAGGGTAGGGTAGAGTACTCCCGAGCAGAGTAGCCTCGGGGTAGTTACTCCAGAGTACTATCGAGTAGCCTCAGCGAGGGTGAGGCCTAGAGCAAAGTACCGTACCTAGGTGGAGTATGATGGTGCTCCCAGACTCCAGACTCCAGGGCAGAGTAACTAGAGCATACCTAGCCTCAGCGAGCGAGCATGCGGATAGTGGCACACAATGTGCTTGAAGAGTCGATTCAAGTCAAGCAAGGGCATCGGAAACAACCACTTGCGACTGCAGAAAATCAGAATCCGATACGGTACCGCAGACTCCCCTCGCCTCACCTCACCGGCGAGCCGGCCTGTTCGCTCCATCCATCCATCCAGCCAGACGAAAGAAGAAAAAATAAAAAAGTCGTCGTCAGCTCCTCTTTCCAATGCGGTAGCAGCAGCATCCACGTCACCCTCATGTAGGTCGACGATGTATGTAGTTACCGGCACATTCATGTAACCCGGCGAAGCTGATGGTGCCGGGGGCGGAGGGGGGAAACCATCTTCCGGGGGAGAGACGATTCTCAGCTGAGAAAAAGCACCGCCCACTGTCGTCGCGGTCACCCAATGTATGACATTCGCAAGCCGAGTAACCAAGTGGGTGGTTATTCCAAGTGAATCAGCACTTGGTTACCGTATTCCAAGTCAGCAGTCACTCCAACCGACCAAGCAAATCCCGCGTTTGAACTCTGGGCTAAAGTCCTTCGCGGGAAATGCGGATCTCTTGGCAAAAAAGCTTGTATTTGACGGAACGGGCTTGGGCTTGGGTTGGGGTGCCGGCTTCTCGGCTTGTCGGAAACTCGGAAAGGGCCTCGACTCCCAACTTCCAAGTGCACAACCCCATCAAAATCCCCTCTGTCGCGAATCGCGATGGTTGAATTCCACTATGTACCTATTCCAAGTCGTTGTCTGAAGCTTCCAATTCTTCTTTGTCCTCTGTTCGCGCCACCGCCACCACCGTCCTTGCCCAGTCCGTGCCACCGTCACCTGGAGGGGAGCGATGTCCGTTGGATCATCGTAGTTACTCTACACACTCTAGTTTTGGCGTCCGTGGACTCCCCTCCAGACTCCAGTCCACGCGGAGTCTGCGCCAGTGCGCCACAGAAACGGTGGCCACCTATAAATAGCCCCCCCTCCCAAGATTGCACGACCGCACGGCGTAAATTCGTAATACCGACGACCGTGGATTGTAATAAAAACATGCCGTAAATACTCGAGTCTCGTATCTCGACGCAGAGAAAACCAACAGGTATGTAGAGTATGCGCTCCTCGTAACGTTGAACTGTGCTAAGTTCATGGGTGACGGTCACGACATGCGCATAGAGTATTCTAGGTGCTCTACATGCCTAGGTCGTGCTCCATACACACGCACACGGGTCGGGGGATGTCGCGCGGTGGAACGGAGGAGGTGGAGACTGGAGAGTGGACAGAGTCAGGTTTTTCCGGTGAGGGAATTCGGGATTCGGACTGTGGATGGAGCGGGCAACGCTACCATAGTAACTGTGAGTATACCCCACAACCACAACCACAACCACAACAAACATACCTTCATAGAGTAAATAGCAGATATTATATCGATCAACCAACATCAAACTTCAACGTTCAGATCTCCATCTCCAATCTCCACCCCCAATCTCCATCCCCAATCTCCATCCCCGATCTCCATCCCCAATCTCCATCCCCAATCTCCAATCTCAATCTCCACACTGCGGCCTAGCAATTTACCCGTGCGCATCCAACGGACCGATCCCCTCTGGAGTGCCTAGAGTAGGTAGCGAGCGAGCTCTAGCTACCTACTCTAGCTACTCTAACTAGCCGCGGCCGAGACCCCACCGGCCACCGTGTTCGAGAACTTTCTCGTCCCCCCCGCCCCGAATCGAATTCGGTGCGGACTTCCGGGGGAGGAGGATCCATGCGTGGGGGATGGGCGAGGGGGCGAGGGGGCAATGGGCAACGGGGAAGGGGGCCGACCTCGAAAACTCAATTCCTCCCGACCTCTTGTGGATAGAGCTCCAGTGAGTGACCCCCTTTTTTTTTTTTTTTTTTTTGGGGGGGGGGGGGGGAGAGAGAGAGAGAGAGAGAGAGAGAGAGAGAGAGAGAGAGAGAGAGAGAGAGAGAGAGAAATAGAAAGAGAAATAGAAAGAGCTGTTCGGGGCGAGTTTTTTTTGTGAAGCTGCTAAGGATTTAGCATTTCACTAGTGGTGTTGGTGGGGGGATACACATCAGCCATCCAGCCATCCAGCCACCACCATCACCACCGCCATCATCACCACGCACTGCGTGCATTAACTACATAACTAGAAGGTACCGTTGACCCATCGAGTACATACATAGAGTAGAGTAAAAGAGCCCTGACGCATGTCCCGACTGGCTTCAGTTCCGGCGGAAGAAGCTGGAGCCTGGAGCGATCCCGGTGGTTCTTTCACACAGCTAAAGCGGGCACACGTTCGACCAGTTTAGGTCACTCGCCCTCTCGGCTGCGCTTGTTGTCCCGCTTCTAAAGTTCCAATCGGCTTGTCGTAGATATTGAGTTTCCGGGCTTTTTCGACGACTATGACCACTTTGCCGCATCAAAAAAATACCGTCTTTCATGTTAGCTCCACCTGAAGTCTGATAGCATTAGCTGACGAAGTGTATGATAAATTATGTACGCAGCGGTTTAAACTCATACCTAGGAGACTCGGTTGAGGCAATCATCAAGCACTGTCAAGCACTTTCAAACCTCTCGATCATGCCTGACAGAAACCCACACCGCCACCATCCACACAAACCCATCTCTCACGATGCTCCCTCCTTCCTTTCAGACGGCGAAAGTTCCTACACAGAGCCTGACCCCACGAAGAGGGCAAAAGATCGGCGAGAAAAAAATCGAAAAAATCGAAAGTCACTCGCCCGCGCCGTCCACGAAGTTCGAACACACATTTGCCTATGGCTCCCTCCGAGTCAGTCGCCTCCTCCAGGAGCGGAGTCAGAAACAGATATCTCACAGTTCGATTACCTAGCTCGAGTCGGATGGCGAGTTTTACAACACTCTGAGGCTCTTTGTGACGCCGTCACTCTTGCAAAGCATAGTGGCCAACACGGGCCCCACCACAAAGCTGTACATAAACAACCAAATAGAATCTGCTTATTTGCATCTACCTACTCTAAATCGCTATCTATCTAAGAATATCATGAGGTTTCAATCTCGTTACATATTGTGCGTGTGCGTCAGAAAGCAGTAGTACCGATTTTCCGGTCGATTGCCACAGCCGGGAACGGGCTGTAAACGGTCGAGGGGCTATCATAGTATGTGGTATATAGACCAAAGCACATCCGGGATTCTAGCCTTCAAGCCCTATGTATGTGCTAATAGTAGTTGGGCACACCGACCTCGGCATCACTCGGTCGTTTCGAGGCGTTGGTGTTGCAATATCGAGTCGTTCGTTCCTTACGGCTCCATATCGTGCTGGCCGGTAGCGGGGTCTCCACTCCGGCCGGCCACAGCGGGCAGGAAAGGAGTGCGACGGTTCGCCATAGTCTAGATAGGCTGCATGCGAAATAAATTGAAGATCTCTCTCCCTAGTTCGTTACTTGGTCGCTTACTCGGTCATGACGGCGGAATCACTGGCCACCTACCACCCCTCTTTTATATCTTCTCTCGAGGCTTTCAGACTCTCTCAATACAATACTCGTTCATTGCTATCCAACAGGTTACGAGCACGGCCCAGCGCTATCAAATCACTATCTTCCAACACAACGAGCTGCCTATCGCCACCCGCATACCGTAATCCACCATGTTGACCGCCGAAATGTACCACTGCAAGTACGGCTCCCTCGAGAATCTTTCCTCGGACAACTACGACGTCTGGAAACCGTGCATTGCGGCAATCCTCTCGGCGAAGCTCGCATTTGAGATCGTTACGGGCGAAGAAACCGAAAAAGCCATGCCTATCGGCAACTCCGCCGCGAACGTCGCGAAACGTGAAAGCTTCAAAAAGCGGCAAGGTCTTGCTGCGGCAGTAATCCTACTCTCCTGTACCCACGAGGTTGGCATCCACTTATCGGGTATCACGGATCCGAAAGAAATGTGGGATACGCTTGCGAAGATACTCGGCGGTGCGGCCTCGTTTGGCCGGCGTGGAACAATCGGCAAGGCTTTCGACATCGCCCGTCCAAAACCCCGTGAGAGCATCTTGGCATATCTCGCCCGCCTGAATGGCTTGCGAGCTCAGCTGACCGGAACCGAAGGTGCTATATCGGACGAAAAGTTCCTGTACCATATCTACGTCACAACTCCTGAGCAGTATCAACCCACGCTCGACATGATGTTGGGGTTGCCGGCAGGCATGGCTACTGTTGCATCTATATCTCAAGCCCTCCGAGATGCAGAGCAGAACAGACTGGCTAGGAAGGCAGATCAAGACAGTGAATCACTGGGTGTAGCACGGTTCGCCTATGGAAGAAGAGGAAACGGAAGAGGAAACGGAAGAGGTGGAAGCGGAGGAAATGGAAGAGGTGGAAGCGGAGGAAAAGATGGTCAAGCGGAGTCAAACAACCGGTGGTGTACCACTTGCAATATGAACAACCATTCGACCATCGGCCGGCAAACGTCCACACAACTCTAGTGACAACAACATTTGTTTTTATTGTGCCGAAACTGGCCGCATCAAGAAAATGTGCCCGATCTGGAGGCGGGTACAACAGACTTTCGACCGTCGCCGCTCCGGACGAGCATTTCTCGCGAACGACGAACAAGCACTCGTTGCTGCGAACCGGTCGGATTTTCCCCCCAGCCAAATGAGAAATTTGGATTGACTAGCCAGCGAGTCGGTGGCCCTGCTTGGGACAGTGGCGGGCCCTGCAGCTCTTTTGGACTCAGCATGATCGGTTGGTCGGTCGTATGTGGCTGCCTATCTGGATGGATTCAATTGGAAACATCAGTAAAAGACACTATGGGCAGAAGTCAGGAAGCAGACAAGGAGGGGCAAAGACCGCTTCAAAATCCGGGACCTCTTTGCAGACGAGCGGTGCAGCCAAGCCATCCTCGACTTCCTTTCCTCCACTGTTGTGGGCAGGAGGATCCCAGATACTGATGAGGAAGATGCAGTAAGTGAGGTGTCGGAGTGGGAGCTGAGGGAGCGGGAAGAGAGAGCGGAGCTGAGGCGACTCCAGGAGGAGGAGGAGGAGGATAAGGAGGAGGAGGGTGCGGAATTTGAGGAGCCAGGCGATGTAGAATAGCGGACTAGAGACGTGCAGCGGAGATGGGAAGACTTGAGAGCGCGGGCGCGAGTACGGGCGGCGAGTGTACGGGGCGCGTGGGTGCGGGGCGAACGATGGAGATTTACTTTCGGGAAAGGCCAGGGCGGAGGGCAGGGAAAGCCACATCGGGCCGCTCGATGAAAGTTGGGTTGGACAGTGGCGTGGAAACGGGGGTGAACAGGGAGATATTCCCATGATCTACATAGGTCGCATGCAATCAATGAATAAACAAACAGACTCTGGTGCATCGCATTACATGTTCAATGGCCCTCGATCCACCTGTCTCACCTACCATTGTCTCCCCTATCCGCTCGACATCAAACTGGGTGACTAAACCTCTGTTTAAGCAACACAGCAACACATTCCCGAGAATTGACGGTTCAGAACCGCCGTATTAGGGGAATCATGCGAGATCACTCACCCGCTGCCACCCCCGCCGCCGCCGTCCTAGTTCTGCCGGATGGCGGTGCTCTATAGTACTTGTGCATACCACTGCCGTTCTCTCAATGGCCACTGCAACTTGTGGTGCTTATGATCACTGGGAGCTCGCACTAGTCATCAGTCAGGAGTGCGAATTGATGACCGAGTGAAATCCCGTGAAACCTGTTACTTGACTGCGGGACAATGGGGCCGAGGAGTGGCGCGAGGGACAAGTTAGGTATGTGTGAGACTAAGGCCGTGGCAGGCTGCGGCGGAAGAGCGAGCCGTCGAAAGATTGCGCGCAGTCCGGCTTCGACCGCGAATGCTTAGTCGCGAAATTTGGAACAGAGGAGCCCAACTACATACGGCTGCGGGGACAACCATGGTCCCTGATCGGCGTCTCTTTCGGATACAACGGCAAGTAAAAACGACGAGCTATGTACAGTACGAAGACTGTACCTAACCATCCATCCAAGCCTACAGTTCTTCCAAGCCTTTTCCTGTATTCTTCCAAACCCTGGGTTGCTGGGTGACTTGAGGAAGGCACGGGAGGTCGCTCAATCTGCCCCAGCTCTGTGCTCGACAGTGGCTGGAGAGCTCGAGGACGGAAATCACCTCTACCTCTACCAACCAAGCTAACTCTACCAGCCAAGCTACCTCTACCAGCCAAGCTACATACAACATTAATCGCCGTGTAGTCCTGGCAAGCTTCAGTCTTCAGATGTGACTCCCATTCCCAGCCCTTGAATCGAGCTCCGAACGCGAATCCACTCCCACCCCACCCCATTCCGAAAGCACAGAACCCGCCGCCGGGTTACGACTGCGGATGATGAGTCTGCCACAGCCACAGCCGCAGCCGCGGCCGACGCTTCGAGTCCAGCGCTGGTCGGAGGGACGGCGCCGGGCGACTTCCATCTCCCATTTCCCAAGCCCGCTCTTCATACCGGTACACGGTTGGTTCGGTCCGTGAATAAACCACCCACCCACCCGGCGCGCCGACTGTTGGCTGCTGACTGCTGGTGTTTGTCATGTGGGGCGGCGGCGATCGTAAACAGGCGAGCGCTGGTCAGCTCCCAGTAACTTTTCCAAGAAACTTTTCCAAGAAACTTTTCCAAGCAATTGTTCCAACCAACTGTTCCAAGCAACTGTTACAAGCGCGTGGTCTCATGGCCCAGACTTCTCGTGACCGCTGCGCCGTTGGTATGGTGATGTAGTTGGCTGCGGATATCCGACGTCTCTGGGTGGGCAGCGTCTCTTCACCGGATATATAGTAGTTTATGCTAGGTATTCATTCTGTCAGGAAACGGATCCATCGTTTATTGTAGGTAACTACACATGTCATCAACATCTATTTCGCAGGTATTGCCGTACCAGCAAAGCCCCAAGCCTAACAATTGGATGAACATATGTAGAAGTATGCTGAGGGGAGGGTCTGCAAGTATTCCCATCATCAACCAACCTACCATCGTCACCGTCACCGGTACAAATCGTGCCGTCACAAATTAGAAGAAGAAAAAAAAAGCCAACAAGTCAAGAAAAAGCCCACGAAACGCCACGCCACCCAGCCCCTGAGCGTTTCTGTCGTTCCCTACCACACATCGTCCTCGACGGGTTTACTAGTGCCCCAGCCATCCTCGACCTCCGCGATCTGCTGAGCGGTAACCGTTCTCTTCGGCTCCTGCGGAGGCTCGAAGCCGTCTCGATTCGCCCTGGCCCTTCCTCCCTTCTTGCCCGACTTCGGCCGTGGGCCCAGCTGGTTCTTGGCCGGGTCGATGTAGCTGATGCAGCCGGACTCAACAAGGTCTTCGTAGTCTGGGTACTCGCCTTCCTTCGGCTCCGGCAGCGTGGCGGGCGGGATCTCGTCCTCGGCTGGGACGGCGACGGGCGAGGCCGGTTGGTGGCTGTACGGTGGCAGGCCCCGGTCCGCGAGGCAGACGAAGGCTTGCAGGGTGTAGGCTGCGTCGTTTCCTGGGTTGTGTCAGTGTGCGTCGCGGGGGTGAGAGCGGGTGAGGAGCGGGCGAGGCTTACCAGCGTTGTGGAGGTTCCAGAAGATCACGCCCATGTCCGTCAGTACTCTTCCGAGACCGCGGGACTCGTGCACGTCGTTGACGGCCTTGTACATGGCGGTGGTATCCATCACCTCCAGGTCCTTGATGTTCCACACGTCATATCCGGTGATGCGGAGGTATGCCAGGTCCTGTTTTACGTCGTGGCCGACGATGATGACGTTCCTCTTATTGCCGTTCTCGTCGAAGAAGCGTAGAGACTCGCCCAGGATCGCGGGGACGTCGCCGAGGCTTACCCACTCTGACTCGCCGAAGTCGAACTTGTCGGCCGCATCGCTAACGTATATTCCGTTCCTCAGCGAGCGGTTCTCGTGGATCCGCAGGTGGCGGCACTTGATCAGCTCGTTGATGACGGAGGCACGGGTCTTGGGCGCGGGGTTGTCGTAGTCGATGTTGGCCATGTCCATATCCGCCAGCGAAAGAGCTGGCAACTCGGCGGCCGACGGAATCAATGCCGTGTCTAGCGTCGCTATTCCGATCTCGGTGATCTGGTTGTGGTCCTGTTCCCACGCCTCGACGTCGATTGCCACCAGGACGGGTCTGGGACGGTCTTCAGAGACTCCCTCGCCGGCGGCTTCCTTCATTGCACACGCCTTCATCCCAAGTCCCAGGTGCTGGCGTGCAGTGCGCACACTCGAGTTGTAGCCCATCATCGCGAGACTCTGTTTCTCCTTCTTCTTGCGGGCCTTCTTCACCTTCTCCTTCTTCTTTCGGTCGGCAATCACCTCGTCCGACCAGCTGTGCGCAGCGACGAGCTTGTTGAACTCCTCCTTCGAGGAGACGCTACCGATCAACTTTGGCTCCTCCTGCGCGGCTTCCGGGGAAATGAAGAAGGCGAGCTTGTTGGGAGGGTCGAGGAGGCCCTTAGTGATGCCCGTCTGCTCGGATAGGTCCTTCAGGAACTCCTGCGCCTGGTCGATAGGCAGCAGGAAGAAGTCTCGAACCGAAGTCTCGTAGTGATACCTGGTGGGAGCATAGGTTAATGACGGCACGGAATTAAACATGGGGTTCAGGGCCAGCTACAGATCCCATTTGCGGTTGTAGAACTCATCGCCTTCAAAGTACGGACGTAGGACGTGCTGGATTGCCCGGCTGAAGAGGTCGGTGTTGCCCCACCCGCGGATGGTGCTGACCAGGACAAACATGGTTTCGACGAGGATCTCCTCTTCCGGCTTCTTCTTCTTTCTTTTCCGCTGCGAGTTGGCGACGCGGCGGACGAGCACTCCGGGTGTAGCGGTGTCAACGGTCGGCGGAGAATAAGAAGAAGGGACGGTATGCCGGCTGGCGAATTTTGAGGTGGTTGCGGTAGCAGTTGTTGTCGTCGCTGTCGCAGTCGTCGTTGTCGTGGTCGTGGTGGGGGTAGAGGTGGAGGAGTAAGGTGCAACAAAGGAATGTTCGAGGCTGTTGGGTTTCCGAGCGCAATTGCGGGGCACACCACGCAACCGCAAGAGTGTTCTGATGCGGTTCATAGATACCGATAGACGAGTGACACCGGAATCCAACCAGCCGCTGATGCAATACGGACCGTGTCGTACAGGAGCGAATTGTTTCGCACCGGGGATGCGAACAAAGAAGAACAAGGGAAGCGAAGAAGATGAAGAAATTGTTTTCTTCTACGCACTCTAGAGAGATGATTCTAGTGCCGCGATCCCATGGACTGACCAACTCGGTTGCTCCCGCTCGTGCAGAACTGCCGCCACCCACCTCCGTGGAACACACGGTACTCCAGGTGTCTTCAACCAAGTGACCTACGGGTAAGCCCTGACGAAAAGCCGTGCATGTGGGTCACAAAAACTATGAGTCCCGAACACCCGCGACCGATCATCAGTTGCAGCGACGGAGATGGTTAAGTACTGACAGGCAGCAAAGAGAATTATCTACATAGGGAAGGCCTTACTTCCGATGCATGCTGCCCATCGTTCCGCCGGACGCAACGTGCGTCGTGCACATCTACAATGCGGATGCCCGCGCTACGGGTACTTGCCACTTGGGTACCTCGTCCTTATTGGCGGTGTGCCCGACGTCGGCTTCTCTTGGAGGCTCGTGTTCGAATGCTCCTTCCCGAGGCAAACTCGGCACAATCTTCATCCCCTTGAGGATCCGTCGACTCTGTTCTTTCGGAAGGGTGTTTTTCTTGGGCGGGCATTCATGCGCTTCCCGACAGCTACTCTGCGTCATTCAACTCAGATATTTCGCAGTCTCAGCGGCTGGTGATCGTTCAGCAGAGTATAACCACACGATCGTGTGCATCAGACGTGATGGACGGGGTAACTATCGCCGGCAGGCATCTCAACCAGCAGTTTCTCGAGGATCCGCGTCCACCACTGGTCGGCTAGCTTCCGCGTTGGCATTCCGGGGGCGGCGAGGGGAGCTGTCGAGCCTGTTTTCGAGAGTGATTCCCCGCCTGGTTCGGGCACAATCGGTAGGATCGTGAGCGGCCAAAGGACAGAGTTCGATCGATTGTTTGCACGAGGTGGGCCGTGGGGGTTTGCTTTCTGTTTATTGGGCGTTTCGCTATCATAGTGGCGGTAATGGAGTTTTCGGCTGAATGGGGATCAAATTCGACAAATGCAGTGGTTAATTCCCATGCTTCTGTGCAATCGTCCTTTGTCGGGCCAATAAATGTCAATTACTCTTCCGCGTCCTGGTTCGCGTAGAGTAAATACTTGGATAAAAGTACTCACTTGCTTACCCCCGCCTCCCAGGGTAAGCGCATTCCAACAGGTAATGGCGGGAGCGTCGTCACGTTGCAGCGTCCACGCTCTTCTCGTACTCGCCTCGAGGTCATGGCGGGTGTCGTGATCGCTGCAGAGCGCGGGAGTGCCGATGCTTATGCTGCAAGTGGCTTTCTTTCCTTGGGAACAGATCGCCAAGGAAAGTCGGCGAGAACCGATCTGACGAATGGGCGAAGGAAGGCTCGTGTGTATGTGCGTCTCGCTGACCAGCAGCGTGAATTGCATCTAGCAATTCAGTCGTACATAGAGCGAGCTGAATAGAGTGCGAGAGTGAGTAGACTTTTGGGGTATATGAGAGGACAGACTTCGCTTTGTCTCAGTCTTCTTTCGCAATCCTCATCCTCGCAGTCACCACAAAATACCGCCAGCTCCCGCCTCCTCTCCTCAGGTGCTTGCCCCCTCCCCCGCAATATTCCGGTATTTTCCTGTCCTTCTCAGCGTGTGGGTGGGTGCTGCACAAGTGCCCTGCGAATCCCTGCTGCCGCCGCCGCCGCAGCAGAGCCCCATCGCCAGCTAGTCAGTCCTACTAGCCGGCCCCCCGACCGCGAATCAATCTCCCCAACACCTCCAACCCCGAAGGCCACCACCCCCTCCCACAACCCAACCCACCCACCCACCCACCACCCACCACGACCCTCCAAATAGAACACGAGAAGCTGCTTCTTCCGAAGCACCCGTCGCCTCCGCTACCACCTGTCGTAAAGTCGAGGCGAATTCTCGTAATGTCAGAGTCCGACACAAAACCTGCGTCCGAGGACCCTGACACGGATGCTGTTGTCAGGGAGTTTATCGATTGTACGTGACGCACCCCCGCCACCGCGTCATGGCTGTTGGGTTGGTTGGTTGGTTGAGCTGACTGGAACGACGGAGGCGCGTGCAGACACCGAGTACCTCCCGAGCGACATCAGCCGCTGTCTCTGGCGCATCCGCGACCTTCACCGGCGCCGCGAAGCAGCACGCACAGAGCTGGATGGGTACCTCAGGGAGTTCGCCCACCTCTCGGCTGCGCGTAGGCGATCTGCGATTCGGCCGGCCGCGGGCGGTCAGTTGTCGAATGGCGTCAACGGTTTGCGCGCGATGGAATCGGCGTCGGCTAGCGACAAGGAGATGGAGATTCGCTACCTGATCACGCAGCGCTGGAACGACTTCATGCGTGCGGCGCGGGAGGCTACGGTGGAGGCCCAACGATTGCTGGAACACGTAGGAGGCTCTCGGGGACATGCAATTGGTTTGGGCACGGCTGACGGCGACAGGTCGAACTTCACCACTCGCGTATCGTAGCGATCCACGGCAAGCTTGGTACGATCACTATTCCGTCCAGAGATCCAACGCCGGAAGAGAAGAGGCCACCGAAACAGAAACCCGAGCACCCGTACCCGCCGCGAATAAACCTGCGTGTCAATCAAAAGATTGATTCCTCCTCGCCACAACGAACACCACAGTCCACTCCTCGCGGCCGCGGACGACCCCGGCTGGGAGCAACCCCACACAGCCGTCCTCCCCCGTCGCGGCGACCACTAAAGAAGCCCGTGACTCCAGCAGCCGAACTGGGGGGGGATGACGAGACAGACATTGAGGACGACGAAGGCGGATGGGAGGATCTACCTGAAACTCCGGCTCTCCATAACGCGGCTAGAACGAGCAAGAAAAAGAAAGGATTCGCCATCAAACGGGCGCCAAAGCTCCCGAACGCCGATCCCTTGCTTTCCGGAGGTGCGCCAGCTCGAAATCCAGACGGCACCGTCATCCCGAACGCTCAGTTACCATGGAACCAACTCACTAACGAGGAGCTGGCTCGGCTGAGGAAGCGGATGAAGAAGAACGCCGGATGGACTCCCTCGGTAACGATGATTGTCCGTGAGCTCGAAGCTTTGGACAGAGGTCCCAACAACAAGGACAACTTCAAGGACCAGTGGGAGGGAAAGCCGGAGGTCTTCATCGGTCCGGAGGATGGTGGCATCGGCGACCCACAGAAAATCCTTCCTGACGATGGTGACGGTGCTCGCGAAAATAAGGGAATGCGTCTTAATAGGGCCAAGAAACGCAAGCGAGAAGAGGAAAAGAAGGAGCGCGCACGTGAAGCCGAACGCTCAGGCTTGGATCCCGTCGAAGTTGAGAAGAAGCTCCAAGAGGAAGAACAGGAGCGCCAGCGCAAAGAACAGCAAGCAAAGCGTCGGAAGAAGAAGGAAGAAGAGGAAGCCGCTAAACTAGCCAAGGAGAGGTTGGAGCGAGAGGCGGAGGAGAAGGCTGCAGCTGAGGCTGAGGCCGAAGCGGAGGCTGAGGCAGAGGCCGAAGCTAAAGCTAAAGCGGAGGCGGAAGCCAAGGCAAAAGCTAAAGCTAAAGCTGCTGCTGCTGCTGCCGCCAAAGAAAAGGCCGACAAGGAGCGTCAGGAGAAGCTTGAAAAAGAGAGAGTTGCTAAGGAAAAGGCGGCGAAGGAGAAAGCCGAAGCCGAAGCCGAAGCCGAAGCCGCGAAAGCTGCTGCCGAGGCTGCAGAGGCTGCCAAGCGACAGAAATCGTTAGAATCCGACGACGAACTCTCAGACGTCCCCGATATCGACGAACCATCAGATGCTATCACTGCTACTTCTACCAGTAATGTTAACAGCAGCATCAATGGTGAGGCACCGTCCAAACCTCCAAACCGTACCAGCAAGAGGCACTCAACAAGGCCGCCATCTAGACCGCCCGGCACCTCAGTCCCTCCTCCCCAACGCCCAAAACGCAGCTCAGTTGTTTCCGCCACATCTCCGCCCCCACTTGTAGTGTCTAGCTCCCACAAACGTTCCAACTCTGGTACTCCCGTAAGTTCTGGTAGAGTGACCGGTGGAAAGAAGCCCGCCGAGAAACGTCCCGGCACTGGTGTACGAAGAAAGAAGCATGGCGGAGAGACAGAGAGTGGTAGAGATACTGCCGACGCCGATGACAAGGGCGAAGATCTCAACCCATACTGCGTGTGCGACAAGGTCAGCGACGGAACCATGATAGCTTGCGATAATGGCAATGTAAGTACCTCCTGTTCAATTGTGTACCGCGGAAAGCAGAGCTGACAGGCAAGCAGTGTCCCAAGGAGTGGTTCCACCTTGCTTGTGTCGGGGTCAGCCCAGGAACTGATTTTAGAAACATCAAGTGGTTCTGTCCCCTCTGCAAAGACAACATGCAGGGCCGAAGGGCGAACAAGAAGAGACGTAGGAATTAGACTTGCGCATTTAATTGAACGCACATGTCCAGGTACTTCACATGTCAGGGTTTTTTCTTTCTGATTTCTCTTTTTCCTTTCTTCATCTCCTATTGCTTCGTCTTTCTCATCCTTACCTGGGGGCTGAGCTGTATTTCTACGTCAATTGGTTTCCTTGATAATCTGCTTTTTGCTGGGTGTTACGGAGCGACGGCTATGATTTTTTGTCTATTGTTTGTTTTCCTCTTCTTTTTTTCCTTTCGAGTGAGGATGGAGTTCGGATTGCCTGGGCAATGAGCACTTCTCTCTCACGGATGTCTGTAGGAGTAACTACTGCTGGAAGAAAGGCCGAATGCTATTCGGCAGCAATATACCCTAGATTCCCATTGGTCACTTAACGCGGTGATCACGTGAGGGCGCGTTTTAACATTTCACGTCTCCCCACTTGTGAACCAGACTGTCATAGAGTTTATGAAATGCACCTCTACGGCGTTCGAATCGCGCTCCGCCAGCCCGCAGCCCATCGTCCGCTGATATTGACTATCCTCCGAAGAGATATCAAAACCAAAGCAGCCCGCTCTCCCACCAAAGCAGTGCGCTCTCCCACCAAAGCAGTGCGCTCTCCCACCAAAGCAGCTCGTGCTCCCACCAAAGCAGCTCGTGCTCCCACCAAAGCACCTCGCTCTCCCACCACCAAAGCATTCCGTTCCTCCAGCATGCCCGGAAAGATCCTCTGTGTAGCCGAAAAGCCCTCGATCGCCAAAGCCGTGGCGGGGCACCTCAGCGGCGGCCAATTCACAGCTGTCCGTTACGACGCCCCCAACCCTCGTTGTTCATATACTGAATTCCCTAGAGACCCACCCAGAACAAGTATGTCAAGAACTACGAGTTCACATACACGTTCCCCGCGCCGTGGGGCCACTGCAATGTCGTCATGACCTCTGTGCTAGGACATACCGTCGAGTGGGACTTTACTAGCGACTATAGGAAGTGGCACTCCTGTCACCCCGGAGAGCTGTTTGATGCGCCGACTGAGCAGTTGATCAAAGTTGGTCCCCCTCTCCACCTTCTGTAGAGATACTGACGGCGCACATGACAGGAACGCAACGACGTCGCCGAAAACATCCGAACGTACGCGCGGGGGGCGCTGGCGCTGTTCATCTGGACCGACTGCGACCGGGAGGGGGAGTACATAGGTGCGGAGGTGCGGGACATCGCGCTGGGGGTGAACCCTCGCTTGCAGGTGAAGCGGGCGAAGTTCAGCAACATCGAGCGCAGCCACATTCTTGCTGCTGCGCAGCGGCCAATAAACCTCGACGAGAACCAGGCGGCGGCTGTGGCCGCAAGAACGGAGCTGGATCTAAGGATTGGCGCGGCGTTTACAAGATGGCAGACACTGCAGCTGCAGAGCATTCCTGGCCTCGAGGATAGGATCATTAGCTATGGCAGCTGTCAGTTCCCGACCCTTGGGTTTGTGGTGGATCGGTTTAGGAGGGTTAAGAATTTTGTCCCCGAGCCGTTTTGGTCCATCAAAGTTAATCATAGGAAGGATGAGGTTAATGTCAACTTCAATTGGGATCGCAATGTCCTCTATGATCGCATGATGACTGTCATTCTGTTTGAAAGGTGCCTGCAGGCAAAGACGGCGAAGGTCACGGATGTCAACACGAAGCCGACGAAGAAATGGTAGGTATGCCACTCTCTCAATTCAAGTTACGAAAGCTGATGATGGACGACTAGGAAACCATTACCATTGACCACAGTTGAGCTGCAAAAGCTGGGGAGTAGATTCCTAGGCTTGACATCCAAAGTAGTGATGGAGGTCAGTTTCCTCTCATCCCATGACCTCCCTTCCGTGTCTAACATGGTTCCATCCAGGTCGCAGAAAAACTGTACACTCAAGGCTTCATCAGCTATCCCCGTACAGAGACCGACCAGTTCGACCGCGGCATGGACCTACAAGCGCTGGTACAAAAGCAAACCGCCAGCAACGAATGGGGCCAATTCGCAACCCAGTATGCCCTCGCCCCCACTTTCGCTACCTACGTTATCTAACACAGCATGAAGACTCGTGAACGGCGGCTTCTCGCAACCGCGCACCGGCCCGCATAACGATCAAGCGCACCCTCCAATCCACCCCGTAGCGTTCGTAGCGCCGACGACGCTCTCAGCCACGGAGCGGCGGGTATACGAATTCATCACACGACGCTTCCTGGCGTGCTGCAGTCTGGACGCGATCGGCCAAAGCAGCAAAGTTTCCCTGCAGTGGGGCTCTGAATCCCTCTACGCGAGCGGACTCCAAGTCCTCGCGCGCAACTACCTCGACGTGTACCCGTACGACCGATGGGAGTCCTCACAGCAGCTCCCGGCCTTCACCATCGGCGAGACGTTCATCCCCACGGAGGCGAACATCACAGAGGGCAAGACCACCGCACCAGGCTTCCTCACCGAGCCCGAACTCATCGGCCTCATGGACGTCAACGGCATCGGCACAGACGCCACTATGGCTGACCACATCACCAAGATAAAAGACCGCGAATACGTCTTTACGCGTCCCAAAGGGCGCGCCGGCGCAGCCGGTGCAGCCCCACTAGCCGACGACGCGCCAGCTGGGCGCGGTCGCGGGCGGGGGCGCGGGCGTGGCCGTGGCGGCGCAGCCGCCACAGGCAGCAGCAGCGGCGGCGGAGGCACGGAGGAGTTCGTCCCGAGCAGCCTAGGTATCGCGCTGATCGAGGGGTACGACGAGATCGGCTTCGAGAACTCGCTGTCGAAGCCGTTCCTGCGCAAGGAGATGGAGGAGAAGATGAAAAAGATCTGTGAGGGCACCATGACTAAGCAGGCGGTTGTTCAGGAGTGTATCGAGCAGTACCGCGAGATTTTTACCCGTGCGGTTGGGCAGGCGGGGGTTTTGAAGAATGTAAGTTTTCCTGGGTTGCGATGGTGGGGGGGGAGGGCTAATGCGGCGGGGTGGTAGAAAACGAAACATTATATGGCCGCGTAAGCGTAAGCGGTGATGGGACTTGGGACTTGGGAGGGAGTGGAGGGGAACTACTAATCTATAGACTGTGAATAGACTGTAGAGTGGTGATGGCCAGGAGTTAAGGATCTGCTTGCTTTCTAGATTGGAAGCCGAGTGATAAGATAAACACTCAAGAATCTGTTCACTAGGTTGAAGGCCGAGCGATAAACACTTGAGGATCAACACACCCCGCCAAATCTATTTCGCTAGTGACTACCCTCCCCTCCTCAGTCCTCGCCCACAATACCCACAAGCAAGCACGTTATATCATACCCCCAACACGCTGAACACACTCAGCATCGTAGGTAAGTAGATTCAAAAAGGCCGCACCTACCCAGACAAAGCAACACAAAGCAACCAAATCAAAAAAGACAACCGTAAAAACACCTTTTCCAACCATCCAATCCGATCCCATCAAATCCAACCAAACCAAACCATGACTCCCTTTTTTGTTCCAAAAGCAAAAGAAAAAATAAAAGGAAAAGAAAAAAAAACGAAAAGAAAGAAGAAAAAACAAGCAAACTCCATTTCCTTTTTTTGATGCTCAGAAACCAAATCACCAATCACCAAGCACACGAGCTCGTCTCTAGAGTACCTACATGGTGGCTCAGCCATATACAAACCACAATTCGCACAAACGCACAAAGCAGCTCCATCAAAATCAACATGAACATCACACCCACCCGTCGTTCTCCGCAAACCGGCCATTGACGTGGTATTTTCCGATTTTCTCGAAACCTCTGTAGTGAGTCATATTAGCCTTCGTTCACGTTTCCCGAATTGTAGGGCGGGGAACGAACCTAGCCAAATCCACGCCGGGAAAGTCGCCAAGGCCATCATCGTCCTCCTCTTCCTTAGGATCCGGCAGCACCAGGTGGGGCGGCAGATGTCTCGGGCCGCCTAGATGGAATCCTCCGCTGCGATCCTTGAGCGGGCTGCCTAGCTCGCGGATGGTATTTCTCTTTGCGGGGTCATCGGGCTTCGACATGGCGGGCGGGGGGCTGGACGAGTGCAGGTCCTTGAGCGGCGTGTAGCCGTCGGGCTTTGCGGGGGTAGAGCCGAACTGGACGTATTTCCAGAACGGCGCGGGGCTGGAGGTGGGGAGGTAGCTGGACGGGAGCTGGCCGCGGCCGGTGGAGGGCGGGGCGAGGCGCGGGTGGTGCCGCTGCGGCGCGGGCGTGAGCGCCGAGAGCCCGGCGGTGTCGTCGTCGTTGCAGGCGTGGGGGCGGCGGGTCGGCGAGGTGGGGATGGAGTCGCCGCCGCCGCCGGTGGTGGAGTCACCCAGGCCCGAGAGCGCGCCCAGTCCGCTGATGCTGTGGCGTATCGGTGGCCCTGGCGTGTCGACTAGCGTCTTGTCGGGATTGCGGAGAGCGGGGAGGCGCGAGCCGCGGTCAGGTGTGTATGCTTCCAGAGGTTGCACCCTGTACGCGGGCATAGGTGGCGGGGTGATGGAGCGCGGAGGCGATTTACTCCCCTCGTGGCCCTGTGTCGGGGGATCATCCAGCGAACGCATCGGTCTCACGGGCTGCGGTTGCAGTGTCTTCTGGGCTCCTCCCCTGGGAGAAGACGGCGACCCTGATTGCGACGAAGCCTGCCGTCCGCCTTTGGAGGGTTTCCGCAGCTTCTTAATGTATTCATCACGGTGCTCTGGCAGAAGCTCCCATTTCATGCCTTTCCCTGGCTCGTCAGTGCGACGCGGAATTTTCCGGAAAGCCTTGTTCAGTGACAGATTGTGACGGATCGAATTCTGCGCACTTTAGCTCACTCAACTTTTCTGTGCGGTGGAGAAAAAACACACCTGCCAGCCCATATTGGAATGCCTGTAGAAGGAGTATTTATCCATAATGAACTGATATATCGACGACAATGTTAACTGTTCGGTCTCGCTGGAGAGGATAGCCTGCGCGATCATCAAGGCATAGCTATACGGCGGCTTAATCTCCTTCAAGGCATCCTGCGAGTAATCCATATCTTCGGTCATTTCCAGTAATACACCCCGTTGGTAGATGGGTGCTGTAGCACTTCCACCGATACCTCCAATCTGCGTATTCGACCGTGATCTCTTGCCGCCCGTCGTCGCAACCGCCGTTACTGGCGCGTCGCCATCTGCCAACGCCGAAGGGGTGGTCAAGCCGTTGATCGTCGCATCTGGGCCAAATTCCTTCTTAACCGGACCAAACTCGAGCGGGACCTCTTCGTCGATGATGTACTCGCGCAGGCGCGCACGGCGCATGATGGACGTGGCGATGACGGGGGTCTTATTCGGCAGGACAAACATCATCTGCACGCCGCCGATCTCAATGACACTCCCGCTGCGCAGCACGACGATACTATCCTTCTTGTACGAATCATCATCGATCTTGACGCCGTTGCGGCCAATCACATGGATGCGCCAGTCATGCACGCCATCGGTATTATCGCCGTCGTAGGAAATAATTGCATGATTCCTCGAGACGAGCTTACTCGGGCCGAGATCGATGTGCACCGTATCCTCCGGCTTGAGGGGGGGCGGGGTCGGCGAGCCGGCGGTGCCAGTTCCCGGCCGCGTGTCGGGCGGCCGTCCGATGCGGATGACGAGGTCTTTGACGTAGTAGGTCCAGTTGCAGCCGGCGACCTTAGCGTACGCGGTGATGCCGTGCGCATTCTCTTGGAAATTCGTCTCGTTGGCGAACTGCGTCGACACCACGGGTGGCTGGCCGCCGTCCGGCATCGCGAGCGATACGATCACCGCATTGACGCGGTCTTGCGGTGTGCATGTTTCGGTGGTCTTGACGGGTGGCACGACCTGCAGTTTCGCGGAATCAACGTTAGCTATAATCTGGCGCCGGCGTCATCGTCGCCCCCACGCCCTCCACGCGAAAGTTCTCCTCCACTCTCTTTTCATCTGTGCGCACGGCGCCCGGCGAGCTCGCACACACATACACACAGGCGGGGATGTAGACTTGGCATACCTTGCGACGTTTCGTCCTCGGACGGGACGGCGACGAGTCTGGCATTTCATCGTGCGGGTCGGAGGAGCTGACTCGGCGGGTGCGCGGGCGGCGTTGATTCGACGGCGGCGGCATGTCTGTGCGCTCGACTTTTTTTTTCCGTCGACGGTCGTTGCGTGCGTGCGTTCGTTGCGTTCGTTACGTTCGTGTGTGCGTGCGAGAGTGGTGGTGGGGGGAGAGAAGTCGGGGGTGCTATGCTATATTGTAGTTGTGTGTGTGAGAGAGTGATCGTGGTGGTGGTAGGCCTAGGTACAAATCAGAATTACACCTCGGTGCTGACTGGTTCTGGTTCTGGTTCTTGAACAATTCTCGTTCTCGTTCTCGAGCGAGAATGGAACGTTTAAGGCGAGCAAGCAGAGTTTCGATCTGGCCTGGAAAACAAACCCAAACTGTTTCGCGCAAAACTCAGTCCCCTTCCTTCCCGAAGGTGAAGGGAAGTATGTGCGTGGTAAGAATGGGCAGGATAGGTAGATGGAGTCGTGGAGTCGTTGAGCGGGCAGCGGCGGCGGAGGCGGCAATGACGACGGCGACAAGGCGGTGTTCGTTGTTGAGAGTCGAGAGTTGAGAGTCGAGAGTCGAGAGTATGGTAACTACTCTACGCGAGTCGGAGTGGGTTGATCTGATGATGACCGTTGGTTGGTTGGGTTGGTTAGTTGGTTGGGTTGGTTGGTTGGTTGGTTGGTTGGCGGGCACGTCAAGGCTCAAGCCCGGTAGGCCAGTTGCAGCACGTCCAATTGCTGTCACCTTTGCCACACTCCTCCAACGTCCCGTAAACTCAGAACTTTACCTGCTCTCACTCTCACATACACTTTTTCTTCTTCCTTTTCTTCATTCCAAGCCCAACATTTTTTTCTCAAAAAAGGTTTCGCCCCCTCCCCTCCCCTCACCCTTCATGGTTCCGATACCGTACCGTAATCGACTGTTCGTTCCATGGGAGGGCGGCCAGCCCGTCAGCCTGTCAGTCCGTCAGTCGATCATGTCCCGATCGCGAATAGGTGGATGGATAAACAGGATCTACCACGCTTGCATTAGTCGCCGGCGGCCGCCGCTTGGAGGGGGCATGACGCGGGTGCATGCGCGCTCACTCGTGCGGCTCTGCGCTCTGCGTGTGGGTAAGGGTGCGGGTGCAGCTAGCATCACTGGATCACATGTCTTCAATGCAAACTCAAGCTCTCATTCTCACTTCGCAATTGACGACTCCGGAGAGCCGTCGTGCGATATCGACTTACCCACCTAACGAAGCTACTGCAAGCACCAAGGTATCTGGGAAGCATGCACCTCTCTTCGCACATACATGCTCTACATGTGTATCTCTGCACTTCTAAGTTCCTCTCGTTCTGGCGCAGATTTGGAACAATCACTCGCGCACGGACTCGGTCACCTGGCAAGAAATCGGGCGGCCATCGATTACGCAGGTGTTCCACCGACTTACCGAGTGCTATTGAAGCTACCACGGCAGCGGAGTAAGATCGAGTGCCACAGAACGAACGACTTCACCACTTCACCACTTCACTGCAGGACCAACAAACGTCAGCGAACGTCAAGAAGATCAAGATCAATCAATCACAGAAACCCGCCCAAATATCATCCACTCATCTCATTCTCCGACTCCTCTCAGCTTCTCTCTGCTTCTCTGCATCTCTCCGCCACCCCCTTCTCCCCATTCCACATCCACATCCACATCCACAACCCATCTCCAGCCCGATCTCGCGGCCATCCATCCATCCATCCATCAACTATAAAAACACCAAAACGAAATCGAAAAAATCAACACAACACAACACAGCATAGCACAACAAAGCAATCGCACACGGATGCAACATGCAGCAAAAATGACAGGAAGAGAGATGTAGAGAGAGTGAGGGTGAGGGTTCCCAGAGCAGATAAAGATGAGTCAAGTAAGGTGAATGAACGCAGAGCTCCAAACCAAACCACTATGAAGTAAAATGCTATGCTATGCAACTGCAATGCAATGCGCAAAAAAAGAAAGAAAAAAAACGAAGAACAGAAAAAAAACTCTGACGGCGAAAAAGGGAGAGAACAAAAAGCGCTGCTGCTGGAAAACAAAAAACTGCAAGGTTTCCATTATAAACACACGGACACGGACAGAGACCGACAGACACACGGACACACGGACACACACCACACACCACACGCGGACAGACACCGCACCGCACCTCTCAAAACCCGGTTTAGAAAGAAAAAACAAAGAGTAAAGACAAAAACGAATCAACCAAACAACCCCATCACACCAAACAGAAAAGCCAGCCCAACGTTGTAGAAAGAGAGAAAAAATAAAAAAAGTCGCTAAAATTCGCCGAGCACAAAAATGGACTCAAGGAAAGCACGGAAACCAGGCAAAGAAATGACTACATGACAAGGAAACAGCAAGAGAGTGTGTAAGGGACCATCGAATGTATGGATGAATGCAAGGAATTTCGAGTGGTAGCCAAAAAAGGATGGTTAGAATAGTAGTAGTAACAAGCGACTGTCCGGAGTTTGCAGGCAGCCTGATGAGGATATGGTACGGAAGAGAGCTGTTGATCGACCGAATGAACTCCTAGAAAATGAGAATCAAGGGAAACGGAAAATGGACAAATAAAAAAAAGACACCGCGGTAAAAGGATATATGCCAGTGTAATCTGCAAGACAATCCCGCTCTATACAATGATGGAAAGAAAACCAAGTGCCTGGGGTGCAACTGGGGTGATGACGGTGTAGAACCCATCATAGCCACCGCCAGTAAGTTCTGTGGACGAAGCAATTACATGATGATGCAGCAACCGAATTTCTTCTTCTTTTCGTTGTCTTCGTCGACGGGTTGCATCTGTTTGATTACCGGTGGTGGTGCCGCAGATTCGTGTGCGGGGCGATTCTGGATCTATATACAGATCAAAGTATGTCAGCAAAGCACCCAGAAGCAAGGTGACGTAACTCGGCAAGATACTCACACTAGGAATTGTCCGATATCCACCCTCCGCAACACTAGGCTTATGTTCGTGCCGATTTGCTGGTTCGGAGGGCTCTGTCGGTGGCGAGCTCTTCAAAGGCCATTCTTCCTTGGGTGATTCGGGACGTTCGAGCTGCGCAGCAACCGGCTTCTCAGCCTCACCCGGGGCGGCACCCACCTGCAGGGGCCGCATTTCCCGATCGTAGACAGTAGCATACACGCCATCCCGTTCCCATTGTTCCTGCTGTAGCCGCTTGGCAAGGGTTGGAATGATCTGTTGGTCGGGCGGTAAACTTGGGTCTGGCTTGTAGCTCGCCAATGCCCAGGGTGGCTGTCCTTCCGGCTTCTTGTGTGAAGAACCCGGAGGAGGACCGTGAGATAGATATGACGCGGAAGTTCCTGGTCGGTGGTTAAGCTGGGGGTTCGATCGAGTGCGTTGCTTTCCTGCCATCGAGTTCGTACGAGAGGCGGTCTTACTCGCTCGCGTGGGCGAAGCGACGGCTCGTGATTTCAGATTGCTGGCTGGCGTTGGTGTCCCTTGTTCCACCGGTGTGTTTTCTCGGTCGTCCAGAAGCATGTTCGATCCAGCAGAGTACGAACGCTTTCGGAGCGTAGGCATAACCATCGTATGACCATCGTCCGAGCCATTAGGTGTCACAGCTGTGCGGGGCAGCGGTGTCGTCCGCTCAATGAACTGCTGCGGGATCGGGTGGGGCGACATCGATGCGAGCGGTATCCGAGAATACGAGGGATTGCGGCGGAAGCCTTTCCGTAGCTCGTGGATTTCCTGTGATTGTTCGGCGGCTAGCTCCTCCGGCGTCCTGATCTCATAGAAATCGGGACCGTGGATCTCGTCGTCGTCATCGGAACCGAGGTGGGAGGAAGCTCGATGTTGCTGGAGGTCCTTGTCGTCGGTTCCCGGCAGGGTGCTGGTTGCCTGTGAGGGTGATCCACCATTCCGCTGCAGCTCTTCGATCTCGATCATCTCAAGCTTGTCCTTGTGGATCCACCGTGACTGCCCGATATCGAAAAGGTAGTCGTCAGCCTCGTTTCCCTCGATCTGAGCCAGTTTGTCCCTGTGAATCCATTTTGACGCTTCCGATCCTCCACCATTGCCCACCCGATCGGACTGTTTCAGAGCATGGCTGTTGGTATAATCTTCCTCCGATACCAACGTGGGGCCCGAAAAGTCGTCGTTGACGCCGCTACCCACCGACATCCTGCCACCGTACAAGTCAAAGACGGAATCTCCGTCGTGGTTGGACGACACTACCGAGTCGTGTTTTGCAGAAAGTAAAGGTGCTCGTGGAGCAGCCAGGTAGTCGCTGTAATGCCTGCCGTCGTCTCCAGCCTGCCCTGCAGTGCGATCGTCGTAGTCGCTGCTCGGAGAATTACTGTACCCATTGATGTGCGAGCCGTTGAAGTCACCCTTCGTGGCTGACCCAGCGTGGGGTTTTTCGGTGGTGTAGTTTCGGTGGTTGAAGAGGTTATGGCTGTGTGGTCCTTGAAAGACATCGCCATCATCGCCCTATGGGGACAAACGAACACGAGTGTCAGTCAGTCCATTCATCATTAAAAGAATAAAAACATAAAAAAACGTTTCGAAACGCGTCTTTCCGAAGAAACAGAGCGGGTTCGATGGGTTTCTACTTACACCATCTATCGGCACACTGAATTCCCAATCGCCCCTTTCGCTGTTTTTCTTGCCATGCGACGACGCAGGAGGCGTAAAGGTAGAAGGCAAAGTCGATACAGCCGTCATTCTGGACGTCTCGACAAGCTCAAGTCTGTGGTGTGAGCGAGAACTTTTCTGTCGAGACGAAGAAAGACGAGAACGGATCGTATTGGGGAGGGTAGTGTGCAGCTTCCTCTAACTCATGGGAGTTGACGGTGGGGGGGAAGAAGAGGTGATGTTTTTTTCTTTCTTTTCGTGCAGTGGGTTCAAAAGATAGGGTGGTTGGGTTTTGAGGCTATGGGGGGCGGAAGTTTGAAGTGGTGGAAGGTTGGCCACACAAGTCGACACGGACGACGACGAAGAGGGCGGAACCGAGAAAACGGGGGGGGGGCAAATGCAGTTGCAGCAAGTGTGGGCAGGTGGCTAGGGTTGCTTTGGCAAAGAGCGGAGGGTCGAAGCGAAACGAAACCACTGAATCAGAATGGGAGAGAGATGGCAGCCAATAGTCCAATAGTATTAATGTGATGCAGAAGAGAAAGACCAATGGGTAAGTATCGAGGCGGCCGAGAATGGCGCTCTCGAATGCGTCTGCTCGAAGGTTAGCAGAGAAGAATTTAAAAAGTAGGGAGCTCGGGGGAGGTGGTGTGTGAAGGAGAGAGGAAGGGAGTTCCAGGAGGTTTCTGTTTGCGGGTTGGCATAGCGGCACTCTAGCAGCAGCTGGTACTCTCCGCAAACATCCTGGTCTCATCTCTGTGGGCATCTCAGGAACCTCAATCGAGCAATGGCAACCTCAGTGGTAGGGTACCGGCGGAAGGCAGAGAAGAGTGGGTATGCATAGAAGGAATCCCACAGAGAAGTTTCACGGTCACATGAGCTGCAGATGACGGTGGCAAACATGCAAGGCTGAAAGGCTGGAAGGCGGGGGGGCACAGAAAAGCGACTCCGAGATGCCAATTGTTGATGCGCAAGGAGAAGCACCAACAAGAATGTGTTTCCACCACAGCTCGAACCCCATGGTCTTGCTAAGCGACGACCCCCCCCCCCGCGCTAGCTACTAGTACAAATCCGCTTGGATCAGTCATCGCCGGCCACGAGGGCTCAACGTCACGTGGCGAGTGCGACTCTGGTGGTCAATGGGAAACTGCGGTAAGATTCGTCAAGAGATATTTACGGCTTCATCGATCTGGCCGCTGGGTGCTTCTGTGGGTGTATGTAGGAGTCTTCTCCGTGGGGCATTTCGCGTGACGCATTCGGCGTGGGACTTTCATTGCCAATTACCTTGGTAGCTGGAGTCATTGCCCCTGACGAAATGACCTCGTGCGGTCGACTCGACAGCAAGCGCCCCTTGCCCTTTCGCCGAGAAGTCGACTACGGTGCTATTAGCAGAACGCTCTACCTTCTCGCGGAAGCCGGGCTACCTATCATTCCACCGAGGCTTGTCCGTCGCCAATCGTGCTCCACGCTTGGAACAAACGGGATACTTGCGCCGAAAGACCGGATAGCTGTCAACCTCTAAATCCCCCTCCTCCAACGAGGGCCAGTCATCGAGTAGTGAGTGAGAATAGGTCCTCACAGAACTCAATCATTCTCCGTCCTTAATCCCCAAACCCCAAATCCCCTTCCCTTCCACCACTACCACCACCATCATTACTCCCACCCCTCGCCTCCTTGCATTCCGAAGACCTCGGGGCACGCGGCGGCTTCGACGCCCGTCGCCGCCGCGTAAAGTGCGTGCAGGTCCCAGGAACTTCCGTGACCGTACCACCCCCACCCCGTGCTCCGTGCTTAAGCAACGCGGCAGGCCGCCGGACGTCCGGTACGGTATCTAGGGAACTTCACAGTGGCCAGGATCATAGTGCCCCTGATGAAGCGATCAAGCGATGGGAGGATCCCGGTAGATAGGCAGCAACGAAGGATGGAAGAAGCCGATCTGACAGCGTAGCGGTTCGCTACCACTCCAGTGGACGCCATCGGCGTTTCACCGCCTCAAAGACCAGGAAACCAGGCGTCAAACGCGGCTGGGCGGGGGGGGGGTCGAGCGACATATGAATAGACTCATAGATAGAGTGGGCGTAGGCAATGCAGGTTAACGTTAACGTTAAGCGAGCTCGATCCTCCCGCCTTCCCCCCATCCCTCCCTTGGCGGGCGAGGAGGGGTCCCACGAGCGAGCGAGCGTCGAGCAGTGCATCATGCATAACTTTCGGTGCACGAATGTGAAAATCTCACAACGCAGGTGCAAGGGATGGTTGCGTGCGTGCATACGGAGGGTTCAAAGATCAATGTCCGTTCGTAATCAGCATAGGTACAAACGCTACTAGCTAGTAGGCGTCGAGGGTCTATTCAGATTCGTCTCACAGTCGACCGAGCCGGAGTGGAGTAATGCAGGAACCAACGTCAGCCTGAAGCCTGAAGTCTGAGGCTTCATTCACGTCATGCTAGGTACTTAGTCGGATCCAATTCGGACTTGAAGAACCGCGCTTGCCCGCAGGTACATACCCCGTCTCGGCTTGGAGGTTTGCACCGCTGAATGCCGCATGTGGGACCGATGCGGTGGGAGGAAGTTCACATGCCTACACCTCCTCTCGACTACCGGTACAACCCACATACACAAACTCCATCACTTTAGCTCCTGGCAGGATACCAAACGTTCATCGGCCACCACCAGACACGAATACCCACCTAGTTCAGAATTCACCATTCACGAGTAATTCAGTATGTCTCGCACCGAATATTGCAATTACCAGGTAGCGTCCCTCGCCACCCAGAATCCTAGAGGCTCGATTGGGGGAGTTGTTTGGAGGTGATGGAGACTGGAGTGCGACACCGACAGTGGAACATCACCGGAAGGGCAGATGGCGTCTTACTGAGGGCCATACTCTGCTCCACTCCAGTGGTATCGTCCGAACCAGCTCATCAAAGAGCCAATAGGTATTCACAGCGCTGTGTGATTGAGCTGCAAAAAGGCAGGTTAAATATCTAAAAAGCGTTGACATGGCTTAGGCAGCAGGGCAGAGGCGTTTCTCCGAGAGACACGGTGTGGCGGTGGTGGTGTCTGTGAGGAGTACGGTATTGATTGGGGGAGTAGTATTCCATCATCCGCCTGCCGCCAGCTGAGCTGCGTATGTGGCAAAATCGGCGAGTTGCCTCCTCCTCTCCTGCCGATCACCTGCCTTACGGTACTAACTCTGGGTATGTACCGGTAGTCAGCCATCCCCGGAGTCAGACACCGGCCAGGAGAGCCACGAAAGGGCATGCCCTTTTGCCATTCAGATACCCACGAGAGAACTCGCAGCAGCGCGGAATGTATATACCGTAGCATTCAGCGGTAACTGCAAGCACCTCCGGTATGTACTCCAGATATGTACTCTACTCTCAGGAAGCTACCTATCGGCTCCGGTAACCATGCCCATAGTTACCGTCGGAAATGGCCCCCATTCGCAGGATACGGACCGCCGGGACGCTACCTACTATCGTTGTCTCAAAATTGCCAGCGCCGTGGGAGTCCACCGAAAGCCGTGGGATAGCTACCACCTACCGGTAGTACCATCCCTGTGTTGATCGATATATACTATATACGGTAGTATAGTGGTAGATGCGATGGCCATGCGCACCATCCGCGTTTGCCACGGATGTTTGTACAGTACATATGCAGAGACGCGACGACGACTCACTACCTGTCGCCTGCCGGTGGTTCTGTCTGCCGCAAGCCTTCGGGCTGCGCCCAAGTATATGAGAGTACTTATTAGTAGTACGAGGCAGCAGCTTGGAAGAAGCTGAGGCTGAGGCTGAGGCTGGGAATCTTGCGCCCTTTCCGACATCTCGAAGACCTTCATTCGTCCCGTCCCAAACTCCCAAGCAGGGTGAGGAATGTGCACTCCCACATCCACACACGTCTCACCTGTTCGATGCGGCAGGCATCTACTACCTACTCTACTCTGTTGATAGAGTACCGGAATAATGGCTTCGGGCGAGACCGGTCAATGGTCATCCTTCGTCTCCCTCTCTTCTCAGAACTTCTCTCCTCTTCTGTTCCGTGTTCCGAACGGCAGATGCTTTGCCTTTGTCTCTAAATGGTCCGGCGAATCGGGATACGTATCATACATACGATAGCTCTGGAAAATAGGTATATCGGCAGGCAGCAGAGTTTAGATTTTTGCCATGTCTCATTGACTTCCTGACCGAGAGCCAATACCCTATTCTACCTGCTCTACTCTATTCCACTCTGCTCTACTGTATCATACTCTAATTTACTGTATCGTACTCTGCTTACTCTCGTTGCGGATGAGATATCGCGATTCCGAAGCTCCGGAAAGCTTGGCCTGGGAGGGAGACACACCCACTAGAGTAGGGTAGGGTGGCTGACTCGCTGGGCGGAAACCGTGTCAAAAGAGCCAACTCCTGAGTGCTGAGTCCTGAGCGTCAAAGTCACTTGCAGTCACGCCCCTTCCGCTCACCTCACGACACCGAGTCCCTCCTCCTGACAAACGCATTCCATCGCCCTCACAGCACACACTCCCTCGCACACTTTTGTCTTTCTGCAGACTCAACACTTTCTCCGCATACGCACATGCGCCTACAGCCCTCCCGTTCGAATTCATCACCACCACCACCACCAGCAACACCATCACCACCATCACATCGCGCATTCGACAACCAACTCTGCAGCAGACATTATTCTCGATTCGGGATTAGATTGGAGTGATATACAAAAGTACTCTAGCGATTGCCCGTCCGCTATCCCGTTGCTTGGTGATTTGTACTGCTTCTCTTGGCTGCCACCCCCGATTCCCCCCAAGATTTCGCATTACCGTGCATTGCATTTGGACCACGTTACGCCACTGCTGCCTGCTCGATTCTTTGTTCGAGAACACCCTCGGATCAATCCGCCAACGAAAAGCCCAGTCGCTCAATCACGCAAAGTAGAGCAAAGTTCCCCGACGTCACGGGTTTGACACGACCCACCCCACCCCCCAACCAAACCACGCCAAAAAATTACCACCCCCTCTTCCACTTTAACCTACACCAACCGTCAAGCTGGCGCACCCAACACCCCACGACTACCTCATCCGCATCGCTCCCTACATAGAGCGTGCCAACTCCCTTCTCGCTCCCTACCTCGCACGGATCGGTCCCCATCTGGATCCATACATCTCCAATCTCGATTCTCTGCTCGCCGCTCTCCAACTCTACATCGCCCCGGACTCGCCCCCAAAGCCATTGATCGATCTCCTCCCACACCTCGCCCTTTCGATCGGCTTCATCACCACCACCGCCATCATAATGCGTCGCTTCCTGGGACTCGGCGGTGGCGGCGGCCCACCCCCGGTGTACGCCGGCCCCATCTCCGGCGATAACTCGGTCGATCCCTACAGACCGGAGGACGTTCTGACGGTCAAGCACGGCGCGAACGAGTACCTCTTCAAGTACCCCACCAACACGATTGCGACGCACGCCCTCAACGTCGGTCACCTTCGTGACAAGGTTGCCGAGATCACCAGTGTCGATGTCAAGCGCCTCTCGCTCATCTGTGCCGGCCGCCAGCTTAAGGACGACAACGTCACACTGCAGACGCTGGGTATCGAGCACGGTGCCAAGATCCTCGCCGTGGGCACGAATTCTGCTCCGCCGTCGAGGCCCGGGCCCAACACTGCTGCTGCTACCCTGCCGCCGCCCCCGAAGGTGAAGCTCGGTCCCTCCGAGAAGATCGAGGCTGTTCGTGATCATGTCGTCGCCACGCTCTTCCCGCTCGTTGACGATTTCATCGCCGGTGATGGAGCGGAATCGCCAGAGAAGAGGGCCGACATTCATCGGAGACTGGGGGAGACCATCATGGGAGAGCTGCTGAAGCTTGATGGAGTTGAGACGGAAGACCCCAAGATCAGAGCTAGGCGGAAAGAGGTCGTCAGGGAGATCCAGGGTGCTTTGGATGCTTTGGACAAGGCCCTCAGGGAATCTGCATAAGAGAGAGAAAGAGGGAGGGAGAGGATGCGATCATAGACGATTTTGCTTGTTCTTTTTTTCCCGTTTACTTTGACTTTGGAATTCCTTCTCCGGCGACTGGGTTGGTTGGGGTTCTTTCAGTCACCGTTCCCGGTAATAGCATAAGATCTACAGCTACTTACTTGCACACGGGGGTGTTTTTCATTTTTACATGGGTTCATTGTTGTCGGTGTGGTTCTCTGTAGGCAATAGGTTTTTGTGATTCTGGCACGGTTTGTCGGTTGAAATGGGAATACGAATGGTCCCCCAGAGCTCTGCTGACGATTCGCCGAGTGATATTTATATTCCTGCATGCCATTAGTATGTGTATTACCTATGCCAAGCCCCCCATACCACGCCACCTTCACCTCCGGAAACGCACCTCCCCGCCAAACAACAATAAACACCCAACAAACAACCACCACACAATCCGCAAAATGGCCACCACGACCCGCGCGCTCCTCCAGCTCTGCCCACGCCAGGCGCTCTGCCGCCGCGGCTACGCCACCGTCCGCCAGGACCTGCACGGCCTCTACAACCTCCCCAAGCCACCGACTGCCGTGCGCCCGCGGCCGCCACCGAAACGCCCCACCTCGCCGTCCTCGGCGGCCGGAAAACACTCGCAGGAGGAAATCTCCATGCAGCGGCGCCGCTGGATGCTCGGCGCGGGCGGCGTCGGCCTCGTCGCGCTAGTCTACCTGATCGCCAACGAGCCCGCCCACAAGACCGAAGCGCCTGCACCAGCAACCGCCGGCTTCGATCCTGCCACACCCGTCGCCCTGCAGCTCGGCGACGGCCTCGTCGACTCGGGCACTACCAGCGTCCCGCCGTTCCCCACCCGCGTCACTGCCCCCGACAATGCCGAGTACGCGCTGCTCGGCCTCGGGATCAGGACTGTCAGCTTCCTCAGCATCCAGGTGTATGTCGTCGGTTTCTACGTGCATGTTGATGACCTGGCGGCGGTGCAGACTGCGCTCGTGCGCAGGGTTGATCCGACAGCGAGCTCGATCACCGCGCTGGAGAAGGAGGAGCTCAGGAAGCGCCTGCTTGATCCCGTCGAGGGCGAGAAGCTGTGGGAGGAGGTGCTCGCCGGCGGCGCGCAGTTCCGGAGCTTGTTCAGGATCGTGCCGACGAGGAATACTGGTTTGTTCTCTGTCGCCGTCGCAGTAGGGAGGGGGAAGAGGGGCTAATGCGGCGCAGACTTCCAGCACCTCCGCGACGGCTGGGTCCGCGGGATCCAAGCGCGCTCGACCAAGAATGAATCGTACGACGACGACGCCTTCACGGCCGCGCTGGCAGAGTTCAAGGCGCTGTTTGGCGGCGCGTTCAAGAAGAGCGTGCCCAAGCAGAAGACGCTGCTGCTGGCACGGGACGCGGCCGGCGTGTTCGGTGTGTACTACGATCCGACGGGTCGCAACGATGGTAAGCTCGGCGGGAAGGGTGAGGAGCAGACGGTGCAGAATTTGGGTAGCATTAGGGATCCGCGCGTGGCTAAGGCCCTGTGGCTCTGTTACCTGGCAGGTGCGAAGCCCGCCAGTGAGCCGGCAAGAAAGAGCATCATCGAGGGCGTGTTGGCGCTGGCGTCGAGGCCCGCGGCGACGTTGGGGGTGTAAAGTAAAACAAAATTGGGGATTGTGGGCTGGCTGGCTGTTTATACGTGTACATTCATACCGGAGAAATCGCATTACATCAAAGAACCATCTTTATTCATTGAGCACACGCAAGTTTACTCTAAGAAAACAGCGTGAAAACCCCCCATTCCTCCTCCTCCTCAGCCTCTTCGTCTAAGCAGCTCCAGCAGCCTTGAGCAACTGGGGCAGCTGGCTCTTCTTAGCCTGCAGATCCGAGTTTCCGCCGATGTGCTGCTTGTCGATGAAGATGTTTGGCACGGTGCGTTGTCCCGTCAACTCGGCAAGAGCCTCCTGGAGCTCGGCACCATCATCTATTCATACACGGGATTAGCATTCCCTCGCGGCGGGGACGTTGAAAGAAACAGCACGTAGCTAGAACGTACCGATCTGGTCGAGCTCAAGGACGTAAAACTTTGCGCCCAGCTCCGAGAGCGTAGTCTTTGAGGCGCGGCAGTAGGGGCAGTGGGATTTGGAGAAGACGGCTATTCACGGTTCCATCCCATCAGCAACGAATCTTACGCATCACACCCCCCATCCCCACCTCTCATCCCCCCATCCCCTCATCCAACGTAATACGTACCAACCGGGTTCTCGTCGATAATCTTCTGAACCTTCGTTTTCGCAGCGGCAGAGACCATGGTTGAAGTTCCGAAGAAGCGGCGGAGTAGAGAAGCTATGGTGAGTATCGGTTGAGACGAGGAAATTTGTCGATGAGCAAGCAGCGACAATTCCTTCGTGTGTGTGTGGGGGGGGGGGGTATTTATGCTTTCGGTTTCGGAGGCTCGGATTTCGGCGGGTTTGCGTGCGTGTGTCTTTGTTTTGGTTTATTTCTGCGGTGGTGGACGGTGCGGTGCTATGGCGGAGAACCCCGGCGTGCGAGGGGAGCGCGCGGGGAGGGGGACGGGGGATGTGCCATGGGGGATGACGACATCTGTATTGCAAATCGATCACCCACCGACCGCCACCTGCCATCATCTTCCACCCACACGCACACACGCACACACGCACACACACCCCCGGGCCCCATACTATCATACAGGGAATCGGAAATAATGCGGATATACTCCATTTCCTCCGGATTTGGAATTGTACTCCAGATTTGGAATTGTACATACGGTACTCCAGATTTGGAATCATACCCACTCCAGATTTCAGATTTGCAGGATCAACACGGACGCAGGTTTTGCTGCAGTGTGCAGTGTGCACGCTGCGATGGGGTGGGTTGGGAAACTCGGAGGTGGAAGCGAGCGTGCGTGTGTGCGGGCCGGAAATCCTCCCGAGCGCCATCCCGAGGACCGCCTCGCCGAAATGACGCCGAGATGCGGAGGCCGAAATGGGGGGGAGGCATAGAGTGTCACTCGGCTGTACCGTGCGATCGATGGGTCTGAACCTGTATGTGTAGAGTATATCGCTATGACCTACTACAGTAGTGCTAGGTCGTGTAATTAATGGTTAAACATAAGCAAAAACTGGGTCTTCATCAAGGTTTAATGGTCAGGGCGGAGGGCATGTGGAAGCCACATCTGGCCCGCTTGACGAGAGTGGACTCATTGAGTTGGACAGTAGACATAGAAACGGAATGTGTGTGTACTGCCATTATTTACTGGTACTATATAGTAGATGGATAGGTCGGTAGGCCGCACGCAATCCACGATCGAATGAACCAAAAAAAACGGTGTTTTCACCGGACCCCCGGACACCTGAGTCTTTGGTGTTCGGTATCCAGTCTTCGGCATCCGGTATTTAGCTTTGGTATCCGCTCTTCAGGCCTCCTGACTTCCTCCTGAAAAGCCGGGCTCCGTCCGGCCATTCGGTCACTCGGTCACTCGGTCACTCGGTCACTCGGTCACTCGGTCACTCGGTCACTCGGTCACTCGGTCATTCGTCACTCGGTCATTCAGCCACAGTTAGATGAGGCTGTGCACCACGAGGCCTGGCTTCGGTGTACATACGCTTTGGATGAGAACGTGTGGGTGTCGGTTGAGAGAGAGCAAGCTTGGATTCGGAGGCTTGGAAGAACGGGTTCGGGTTCGAGGTCGGCGGGTTGCGAAGGGATAGGAAGTAGTAAGAAGTGGGGTGCGATTGATACGGGAAGAATACCGCGGTCCTTTGAATACTGAAAAACGACCAGATTTTTGTTCAATACGTATGCCTACTTTCAGAAACGTCTAAAGAACACATATTTACATGACAGAAGCCGTACCGTCTTTCTCACATCACGTATTGAAAGGCAATGCGTCATCTACAGACAGCGAGAGTTCTACAGTGTTGCAATGCACTGCGTACTTATATCAAGCGTGTAGTTGTAGGTTCTTTCTGTATACAAAACTGCATATTCGGTCAACTTCGGCAGTACTACGTGATCTTGACCGGATGGCTGCGGTATCACTACTGAAAGACTTCCGTGCTTGCGGAAATCAGTGCTTACCAGTACCTTAGGGTCCTTACAATGCGATCTTCTGGAGTATCATGGGCTTGGTAGATGCAGTAGCACAACGGATTTGCGGACGACTCCTTTACCAACACTCATTCAGCCCGGCGGTGGGGTCGAGAGAAGTTTACACACTTCCTCTCGCCGACAGCTCCTCCTCTCGCTCACACTTCCTCCTCTCGCTGATAGACAAAACCTCCAACAATTCGAACTGGGAACAAACTGGGGGTATTCTCGGACCAACCAGCTATTGGGGGGTAGTGAACTGAACCAACTGGCAAACCGAACCAACTGCCAGGTTTTGAACTGGGAAAACTGCTTGGCCCAATAGTTTAGTGAGGCTTAAAAATTTAGGAGAAACCCGCTGCCACCACCAACCCACCGGCCAACCACCAAGTAGGATGGCGCCAGTTGACGAGCTCCAGGCCTATTGATCATTGCCTGTCGAGAGGAATGTTTGAAACAGTCCTGCCGCGAACGAATGGTGGCTGGAACCGCCGCAGCAACGTCGTTTCCTAACGGCTGTTCTCCGAGTGCAAGATGATTCCGACTGATCGTCGGCATTCGCTAGGTGTGGAGAGTGTTAAAGCTCTGGGAAGCATCAAGAGGTTCAATCACCGTACTCCTATCATGAATAGGTGGCATCAGAGTAGGAATTCAAAGTTAGTACTGTTAACATCTTCTATCGCTCTTTCTGTGACCATTTAAAACTAGTACTGTACCCATCTTGTATTGCTCTTTCCGTGACCATTCAAAGATAGTATGCATAATGAACCCATTTTCTATCGCTTTTTCCGTGACAATAGGACCCTATCTCGCCCACTTTCCCTCCCCTGACTGAACTGCAAGTTCATACAAAATCAACCAAAACTGAACTGTTTCAACCAGTGTTCCCATTTCAACTGACTAACTGTTGGAGGGTTTGGATTCAGTGACCGGAGCATTCTGCTCAGCACAGCCTTTTTTCCGTAGGAATCTCGTCGTCATAGTTTGACTGCAGTCTAGGAACTACCTACGTGATTAGAATGACAACGTGTTCTCTGCACTAGGTACGTTGTTGTGCGAATTAGGTATCTAGTATGTACTCCGGTAGTTCTCCGGTATTTCTCCGGTAGTCCTCTGGTACGCTGGACAGTGCGTAATATTTTACATTCGGAAGAACTGCGGTAGGCCTTCCGGCGTTTGAGGAGGCGTATCTTTACAACACTGCGTATAATTTATTCGATACTGTAGAATTGAGACTGTAGGGAAAAAACAAATACCAAATTAAATCTGTATTCTCCCAAGACTGCTGCATTGATATCCGTGCGGTAGTACTACTGGAGGCTTAGGAACTGATCCTACGAAAGCCTGGCCTCGCCGCCTAGGGAAATAAGAAGCTGCAGGCTTGGAGACGTAAGTACTGGTAAATATTGTACATACGGCTTGGAAGCGTACCGCAGCACAAGAGTGAATTCCTCACTTGGAAACTTGGAATCTGGGATCTGGCCGCCTGCGAGCGAGTGAGTTTCTGAGACCGAATAGAACATTATGACACCAACTAGTAAGTACCTATTATGGCTCATCTCAACCAACAATACTCTCGAAGGCAGAAGCACCGAGCTCCAACTCCAAGTACTATTATCGAGTCACAAACGGCGAGCCTACATAATAGCGACGAGGCCATCCGCACAACACGACAGATCACTCAGCCCCTCCACGAAATTCCCGAAGAAGGTCCGAAACGGACTCGAACTTCCACGACCAGGCTGCCGCCGCCGTCTCGATGATGAACCTCAGCTGAATCTAATCTCAGCTGAATGTCGCTGACGTGATGGAGCGGACAAGCATGACCTCGGAAGGAATCCCATTTTTCCTTACTATGTACCGTACCTACACACCCGCGCGATGATGACGACGACGACGACGTCGTCGTCGTTTCCTAACGGCATGCATCACATGCACGCCCGTAGGTCCATACCATACCTATACATAACCGTGAGCGGACACGATATCCGCCTGCCTCCGAGGATCGGAGCAGAGCAAACTACCTACCTCCACTACATATACCTCATGGTACATACCACCCGCACCCATGCCCCACACACAAAGAACCCCCGCCAGAAATGAAAGTCACGAAACGAAACGAAACGAACTTTTCGAGGTCCGCCCAGCCCACACACACACACACACACACACGGAGTGCGGGGAAATGTTTTGGTGTCTATGTATCGCATAGCGCCTATGATGGTGTGTGTGGGGGGGGGGTCGTCGAAGACTCGAAGCGGGGGATGCTAATTATGGAGAACCCTAAAACACGTGCGGAGAGGACCGGTTCTCAACGGCGCCGGCGCGGGCAGCTTGGTCTGGGGATGAGCTCGGGATGAGCTTGGGTACGTACGGTAACTAGTGGCATGAGTGCGCGGAATACAGCATTTGATTGGTGGAAGCGTGCGGGGTTAGTCAGCCGCGTGGTTATCGCCTACCTACATCCTATGTACACGGGTGTAAGGGTAAGTGCTGCCTCACCAGTCTTTTCCCCATACAACTTAGCGTTTTTCTTCCATACAACTTAGTTACAACCACTCACTCATTTGATTGTATCTGGCTTAGTGCGCTACTAATATAGACTAGTGCTTATAATTCGTAATGGTGGTGAGGCACCACTTATTGGCAGCTCCAAGTACATACTCTGCTATGAGTTATGTATCTATGATAGCAGGGATGAACCCGACGACTTGCACGCCGCATGCAACACAACAACCTTCGCCTCGGGCGTCTCTTGGGCCCGCCTTGAGGGTTTACGTCCCGCGAGTGCGATTCGCAGCTGCGCAGTGATACGACTTCGGGTCGTGGTGGCCGATGGGGTTGAGCGTTGCTGTGCCGGAAATGATTCCGTCGTATGTATAGTATGTACGGCCATATGTACTACTATGATGGTTGTGGGTTTCACAAACCGGGGAACCTGGGTCTGAAGCCGACCAACTCGCCGACTCTACCGGGCCGGAGCCTTATGTGTGTGGGGAGGGGGGGGGGGGGGGGGGGGGGGTAAGATAGGAGCCCCAGCCCCGTCGAGACATCCCGTTCGATAACTGTTTCCATGCATATCCCGCACCCCCACCAACCAACCACGGCCAGCCGTCCTCATGTCTGGTTCTCCAGCATCCAACGTCAAAAGGTGTGACGAACGTACGGTAGTTAGCGTCTACCCACCCACGCACCCACGCACCCACCCTACATACGGCGCCGTTGCAGTGGTGGTGGTGGTGGTGGTGGTGGGAACCGGTCCCTCCCCTCCCCTCCACACGTGTTCCAGGAAGCGATGATCAGTGATCAATCGCGCGCGCGCGCGGAGTCGACGCTTCCTTCCTTCCTTCCTTCCCTCCTGCGAAACGAAGCGGCGATCCCACGATCCAGCGGCGGGGGGGGGGGGGGTGATGAGTGTCTGGGATGGAGGATTTCATTGGTGCACCGTTCGAGCTCGTCCGATATAACTAGTTATGTAGGGACTCGAGGGAATCAGCGATCGCCGCCGCCGCCGGGGCTTGGATTCATGCGCGGCAACTCGGGCTGGAGGCTGCAGCTGCTCAAGCTCTGCGAGAAGAACGGCGGGGTGGGGCGGGGCGGGGCGGGGCGGGGCTGCACCCCGTGCGAGATGGCGAGGGACTGATTGGAATTTGGATGAGCCAGTCGAAGGGGGTAATCTACGCAGCGATGTCTGCAGGCTGTGCAGTGCTCGATGATGAGGAGGGCGATGGGGGAATGCGGATGCCGTGCGGCTAGTTAGTTGCCGGCGGGGAACACTGTCAGTACCTGGAGGGTTATGGGTCGATGAATGCCATCACCATTGCTCCGCCCTAGTTACAGACGACAAAGGTTGAAGGTTGAAACCACCGCAGCCCCGGCTGTAGACCCTGATATACCTACATACATGACGCATTCAGCCCTCCTGTGCAGGGCCTACACGGAGGGGAAAGGGGAATCAAGGGTCGCCGAGAGATGACGGTGGCTGATCACTGGAAGTGGTTACATTGGTACATATCATAACTCGACCCTAAGTAACTTCGGATCCTTGGTCAGACCCTGAATGATTGCTATAGCTCTTGCTGTATTGGCAGCAGACACAGGCCTCAATACTCATCTACGTCGTTCCCAGGCTGTTGGATTGGTTCACCAACAATACCAATACGTTCCATGTATGATACCATACTCGAGCTGTACAGATGGTGACGACGCTTGAGAATATAAGCTTGAGAAGCTTGAGCAGCTTGAGGCTATGCACCCGCTCATTTTCTTCTTGAGCTTTTTCCCCCGGCCGTGTACTTGGGCTCTATGATAGACCACGGTCTATTTGCGAGGGCAACCCACAGAGCATCACTCGTCGATTCCTTGTCGGACAATCGGAGGCTCGGCAAGGCTTTGCTGGGGCCATTCCGCTTGTCACAACACAACGAAAGAAAGACGCCCGGGAAACTGCTGCTCGGGAGAGATAGAAGAGTGCATGAACGCTATGCAGAGTACATACTCTCGATATCTTTATCATACTTATCGCCCGCCGCCCCCTCCCCCCTTTCAACAGGAATAGCGGTACGGCCTTGCAGCCGTGGTCGACATGTCGGCATCCTCTGCGACTGCTTTTTTCTTCCTGGTGGTCGTGTTATCTCCACGCTCGTTCTGTGGCGGTAATTAAGACGATGGGTGTTCGTCGAGGCTCCCACGTAGGCGCAAGCACCACCCCGTCGGGCTTCACGGATACCTATAGGTGGTAGTTAGAACTTGGTGAAAGCGACCGCTGTCGATTCGATGAGGAGGAAGAGGAGGAGGATGCGACGTGTATTCAGATTGGTTTCCGTTTAGCCCATCTGCTGCAATTCCGTCACTACTTCTTACCTACGGAAGCCACATCGCATCACATCACTTTAATATCCCCATCACTTTAATATCCTCATCGAGGAGTTTTCTTTCTTTGCTTTTCTTTTCCTTTCGTTGGGCTTCCCCATGGTGTTCCAGGTGTTCCACCCGGTGCTGATGATGCCCCACGGACGATGAGCGCCCGCCAATATAGCAACTACATAGAGTATGGGGCCCACACCAAACACCTCCCTCTCCTCAGTCCTGAGTCCTGCCCGGCTTTTTCTCGCGCCCGCCCGAACTCTCCCGCGCTTGTTGTGGGGATCGCGAGTGCTGAGTACTTGGTTATGCGTATGTACATACCACGACAACAGCACTGCAGCTGCTGCCGGGCGAAGGGCTCTACGGTATGTATACTAGAGTATCTAGCAGGTTGCTCCACGCCGCTCTGGGGACTTCCAAACGACAGTCCAGCTACCTTCTCTACGGTACCGGTAACCCACAAACTAGTTGTGTAGTTATATCCTAGCCCACACGGCCCACGCCGTCGCATCTTTGGTGCCCTGGCCCACAGCTAATAATGTAGCATATGTACAGGCGAAGGAGATAGTCTACATGCCCAAGTACACTACTTACCCACCCACGTCCCGGCAACAGAAAAGGCCGCAAACCGACTTCCGAGAGCTCTGCTGGCGAGTGAGAAGTGAGAGTGAGAGTGGAGAGAAGAACGAGAGAGTGCGTTGGTTCCTTGGCCGCGGGGATATTCGGTGGAGTTCCAACTCGAAAACTGCGTTGGTTGAGTGTCCCCCCTTCGCCCCCCTGCCCTGCCCTGCCCTGCTCCAACGAGTCGTCGTCGACGACGACTGCTCATTTACTGTGCGGCACCGGCCAATCGGGGGACGAGCACACCCGCGGGATGCATCCATCTGGTTCGTCTGTGGGTGCTGCTGTCCTGTCTTTCTCACACACCCCCAGGACTTTTGGATTATGCCATGGGAGGTGCCAGCTCGGGAAGCTTAACTCCTGACTTGGTGACCCGTACCGTAGCGTACGCTCTCACCTCTTCCTCTTCGCCTTCCCTTCTTCTTCTCCTTCTTCTTCTTCTTCTTCTTCTCTTCTTCTTCTCTTCCCCCACCCCCCCTCTCCCGTCCCCCCCACCCACCACCCCCCGGCACAATAATACACACCTATCAATACCTACCTCAAGTACGTCAGACAGCAAGGACGCATACAAAAGAGCTTTCGTCGAGCATATTTTGTTGCCCTATTACTCTGTACCCTATCTACTATTCAACCTCCGAAGCGACACGCTATCATCCGTCCCCGACAAGTTCACTCTTCGTCGCGACTCGCTAGCCCCCGATGTGAGTAACAACCACTACCCTCTACTCATCCGACGACCGCGACCGCGCTTCGGCAAAAGTCCCCAAATAATTTCCCTTGTTGTCGTCGGACTCGAGCTCTCTCTCCTTGCCATGTTGTTGCTACGTACTGCAGCAGCAGTCTTATTGGCTTCACATCAAAGGCCCGTTTGCGCGCGCATCTGCTGACTCGCTTTCTCGGGTTCTCTTCCAGTACAAAGCAAATCCCTGTAGCTCAAAGCCTCTCCCGTTTCCCGCCTCCTCCTCGCCCTCGTCCTCGTCCTCCTCTACCGCTACTACTATAACCACTACAACCACCACCACTACAACCACCACTATTACCACTACCACCACCACTATTACCACTACCACCACCACTATTACCACTACCACCACCACTATTACCACTACCACCACCACTATTACCACTACCACCACCACCAACAACATCCTCTGAAAAGAAACCGCAATCATGGCTTCTCAACTCACCGCCGCCGTCTTCGAGGCTGCCGCCCTGGCGGTCAAGATGAAGTCTCAGGGCGTCGCTATTCCCAACGGCCACCTTCGTGGCTACGACGCCGCCGCCACCACCGTGACCGACCGCAATCTCAACATCTCTCCTGAGCTTCAGCATGTGCTGAACACCCATGCGACGGCGACTCCAGGGACGTCGATCCACGGTTCGTCCCACGCCGTCCACTATCCTCGCAAACCCGGCTCCGGAGTCGATCATCTTGGCGGCGTCAATGTTGTTGAGGCGAAAGCCTCCGACGAGGGCACAACGCCCATGTTCCACCTCCTAGCCGAAACCTCGAGCGCCATCTCGTCCGCATTGCTTGCGAAGCACCACCTGCCGGGCATCTTGCTACAGCATGGGCCCCTGGCGATCCGCCACATTACTGCGTACCTCATTGCTTCGTTGCCGGGATTCAGCTCGATACCACCAGCGAAACAGCGGAGGATCGTGGTTGGGGCTTTGGAGGGGAAGGGTGGGGCCAGCGGCGTGATGGGAGAGGTGGGTGGCGTCGATGGAGATGTCATCTTTGAGAAGATTGGCTGGGGACGGTGGGATGCGAGGATGAAGGGTGACCCGCCACGGGAACGCCCTGCCGCGCCGATTTCGCCCCCGCTGTCGGCAATCAGGTTCGAGAAGGCTGATCTGTCGGCTTCCCCCACGGATTCATCGGGCATGGTCCAGACGGGAAGCTACACCGAGTCGGGGATATTCCATCAGTCGGAGGAAGAGGGACCCCACAATGAAGATGTCGACATGGCCGACGCTATGTCGGTGTCTGCCGACTCTTCGGAGGACGATGACATGACCGACGAGGAAGATTGGGCGCAGATGGGGGCAGCGGCTCTTCGGCGACAAGGGGGGTCACCCATAACCTCGGATGGTTGGGACAGCTACGCCCAATCACCGGCATCCGGGTTCATTGCCCACCGGCATAAGGCGATCTTCATCGAAACCGCGGAGCAGAAGCGGGCGAGGGAAGAGAGAGAGGCGGTAGAGGCTTTGGTCAAGCTCAGTTCTGTTTGAAGCACACGTGGCGTTTTGGGTTCTTTTTTGGAGGGAGGTCTTTGGGTTTGCTTCCGTCGTTGGGAATTTCTTTGCTGCAATTGGGTCCTTATGATACATTGGTGGGGGTTTCGTTCCTATTCCTTCCGTCTCTTGCTTGCATACAGTGGTTGGGCGTGTGGTCTCTTTTTTGTTTTGTTTCGAGGGGTTCCTTTGAAGGCTACAGCTATCGGGTGGGTGCTCGACTTATCGGCGTTTGTTTCATGTGTCCTTATATCCCGATTTGTTTTGATTTCGTTTCTTGCCTTCCTTCATATACCATTTTTAGTATCTGTTTTCTTTTTGGCGCCTCTGCGTTGCTATCGCATGCGTCTTCAACAGATTTGACCCACCCCCCTCCCCCCCCCCTTTGGATACCACTTTTGTTCCTCTGTTCATATTGCTCTTCGCATCTCTTGTTATTCTTGTTTAATATCTCTCTCCACTCGTTTTTTTCTTCTTTTTTTCTTCTTCTTTCTTCTGGATCATCACCATCAGTGGCCCAACCAGTCTGTGGCCACGGGCCACTAGGTACTCTCGGGGGACCAATCTAGTCCTCGCATACGCCAAAAAAAGAGATAAAATCCGAAAAGCCTAAGAAGCTAGGGGAGCTCGAGGTGGGCCGGTGGGCGGTGGACGGCGGGCAGAGAAGAGGGGGAGAACGCCGGACGGAGTCATTCAGTTGAACTTTCTGTCCGTGAGATGAGGCATCCTGGGGGCGGGGTGTCGTGTCGTTCCCTTTTTTTTGTAGCGGTGTGTGTGTGTGTGGGTGTGGAGGGGGGAAGGGGGGAGGGAGGTGCGAGGAGGGAGGATTTCCGGTCTTTACTGGTGCGGGAAGACTTGCCTTGCGTGGTTTGACGGCGGCGGCGGCGGGTGGGGTGGAGGGGAGGGGAGGTGAATGGCGGGGGGGGGACAGCGGGGGACACAATGGCCTTTACTTCTTAGCTGAATCTGAAGGATGGTTGTGTTGTGTTGGACTTGCACTTGCACTTGCGGTGCGTGTGTGCGGTGCGGGCGGGCGGGAGGGAGGGAGCGAGCTTCATTTGCGTGACAGTGACAGTGACAGTGTCAAGTCCGGCTCGTTTGTACCCGCTAACTACCTAGGTGCTCCAGGAACATATCATACATATCATACCCCAATGTTCCTATTCTCCTCTACGCTACCGCTAACTACCGCTAACGCTACCGGTACCCAATGCTGGATCAGTGGATCCTACATATATCTAGTAGATATGTATAGTAGATAATCCCCTCTACGCTACCGCTACCCAACGTTGCAAACTAGACGTGGGGTACTTAGAGCACGCAGGCAGCGAGGGAGGGGACTCAGGGGAGGGGAGGGGAGGGGAAAGCGATGACCGCTCACCCAGTGATATCAGATGAGAACACCGCACCGCACCGCGCTGCGTTAGTTACATAGTCGCTCTAGCCGGTGCGGTGATGTGGCAAGTGGCAAGTGGCAAGTGTGGTTGTCACTAACTGGTTGGCGACGGTGAGGCCTGACGGCGGGCGGTGATCTCGTAGGACGGACGGTACTTGCGAGGCGGCTAGTTAGGTGGCTACGGGTAGTGGATGCGCTGGATGGCAGGGAGGGGGGGGTCTGTGCACGCATGCTTGCATCTAAGCTTGCAAGCTCGCATGTAAAGCTCGAAGGCAAGCTCGCATGGACTTGACGTGTCTGGCGGCTACGTTGGTGGCTGCTTTGTGGTAGGCGGTGAGCGGTTGGCGCGGCTGTAGTTAGAGGGTGGGGCTGCGAGTGGGGCTACGGGTGAGGCTGCCATCGAGGCAGCGGGCGAGGGAAGGGTGGAGGCTGCCGGTGGAGGCTGCGGGGAGGAGACGGGGAGGCTGCGGGGAGGGAGATTCCAGGGAGAGGGAGAAGGGTGGATGGAGTCGGGAAGAAAAAAGGCAAAGACTCTGGGGCGATGTACTTTACACAGAGTACTTGAGGAAGTGGATCAGGCGGGCGGGGAGCGGAGGGCGGGGGAGGCGTGCATAGAATATCACTCGATCCATCCATCCATCTTCGAAGTTCGTTCGACCCCTGCCGTGTGGCGCAGGTACATAGGTAGCTCCTGGTACACGAGCACATAGGTACAATCAACGGCTATTGTACTAGGTAGTAGACAGCTACAGGCGGACGGGCTGTGGATGGGCTGTAGAATCGGCGACGGGCAGGATCGAGCCTGTTTCGGGCTTCAGCTGTAGAGTATACCTACCCATAGTACCTAGCGTGGAGTAGAGGCGCAAGAAGCAAGAAGTATATAGATCGATACGTCGAGCCGAGTTGTGGACCTGGGTGGAGTGTACCTGGATGGATATTCAGAGTGAGTATACACACGATCATTCCCAGTTCCCGAAGATACGTAGCTCGAATGTAGCCGAAAGTGATTCAAGCTCAAACTTCAAACTTCAAACCCAGAAGCCGGAAGCTAATGACCGATGTCCGGAGACGCGAAGACTATGCGTCAGCACTAGTTAGTAGCTATTGCCAGTCTTGTTGGTCCTATGATGTGAGTATGAGTGTTGCCAATATAACATAGCTCTGGAAGGGAACGGCGAAAACGAAGGATGATGGAGAAGTTGAGGTTCTATTCAACTTCGAAGAGCCATCTTATGTGGCTCTCCTCTGCTGCTACCTCACCGTTCGGTGCCACCCGATTCAGCTAGTCCGGCTATCACTACCATTCGGATTCACCGATCCGACTAGTCCCTCCTCCTATCTTATCTGATCCTCTATCTATCCTACTTGCTCCTTTCATGGTGGTGGCAGACAACACAATAGGTAGAGTATATACTATTCTACGGGTACTTGGTCGGCCGAATTAACATATCGATTCGATCCAACTGGATGCGGGTGTAGGTACCATACTTAAATGATGTGAATTCTCACTCGTCCGAGGTTCAAAACAGCCAGCGGCAAAAGGTGAATCATCATATCACCATCACTCGAAAAATGTATGTACAACTTTCAAGCCCGTGAAGTATGTACAATACATACCATGGCTGGCTCAAAAGCCTACAAGTTCCCGCCACCCCGAGTCGACATCTGGCACTCGGTCCACCGAAGATCATCGTATCGACACTTGCCCCATCCATTCTATAGCCAGCTGGAAATAGACGCAATGACGGACAAAAGTAACCAAGAGCGAATATCTCTGAAGGCCGAAAGCAACGAGTCCGGCAGAGCCGAAAGCACTGGTAGAATGTACTGGGCCCGGTTCCCACACTGACCACTTCCAGCGAATGCATACACCCCCCCACGAAGTTGTGAATCAGTTTTCTATACCTAACTTACGTGTATAATTGGATACTGTACATTTTTCGTGGGTCTGGGTTGGATTTACAAAATTTGCTCCGAATAAATATACCAGCTTACGGCGCCAGCTCGCCAGCGACCCTTCAAATGAATACTAGGTGGTAACCGAAACAAACGAAAGCCGTATATAGAAGCCATAGGTATGTAGAACTCGTCTGTTGCTCTACTATTGCCCCGACACACGAGGATACCATCTGACACAAATGAGTTGGTGGCCCAGTAAATCAGTACTTCGGTAAGTACCTATCTCAAGCATTGTACCATAGAAACGCTCATCTGGGCTTTTCCGGCCGATTCTGAACGTACATAAGTGCGTCCACAACTCGGCAACCACATGGCTGAAACCAAGGTTTGAACGGATTAAAGTTGATGTCTCGGTGGGAAAAAAACAAGATGATTCCGGCGTCAATTTTAGGCGTTCCCATGCTGGAGTAACGAGGCCGGGGAAGGAAATGCCGTCAAGCTGCGGAAAATGATCTTCCTGAGAATGTCAAAACTTTAAGGACATTTCTCATGGCCGCCAAAACATTAGCTTTTTGGAGCTCTTCGAACAGCCTCCGGTCATCAAAGGCAGTTTAGTATTGCCCTAGTTGTGGCGGTTCAAAAAATATTAATCAAATTCAAGACCAAAATATACGACGTCGAGGGAGCTGTGACCACTCATAGGAAAGGCCAACTTATGAGCATTGCATAGAGCCCGCGGTACATAGCGGAAATATGGCGAAGTATTTCCGGCCTTTAAAATGATTGTTCAGCTCAAGGTTGAGCCCCCAATGGGCCAAACGTGGGCTAGATTCGCATCATCGGGAAAGCTCGTCGCCCCACTCGCATTAAGGAATGTTACCAGAACTTGAAAAGAGAATCACCAATAGAAAATCACGGAGAAGAGTTCAATCTGACTACATGCTTTGGGCTGGCTGATCAATTGGAGTTATAATTCCATATGTAACCTGGGGTGTAATTGCTAATGTAATTAATGCCTTTGTTTAAAAATATACAGTATCGGGTTTGCAAGAATGCAGGACACAAAAAAAAACGGTGAACTCGATATTGACGAATGTCTGCTTGCCAATAATCACAGAGTCGGAGAACCTATGACATCTAAGTGCTAAGCATGATACGCAAGTAGTCTAGCAACGTAGTGTGCTGTTACGAGTGGGAGTAGAGCTAATGGAGCATCTGCGCCACCCTTTGGTGCCCGCTCGCGACCGCTCACTATAGCGGTGTCCGGCCCCCGGTGTCATTCGAGTCCGCTTCCACGTCGTCTCGGACCAGGAGCAGCTGTACCACCTCCTTATGTCCACGTCTGGCTGCCCACGATAGCGGTGTCTGGCCATTGGTGTCCTTCGAGTCCGCTTCCACGTCGCCTCGGGCCAGGAGCAACTTCACCACCGTGTCGTGCCCGCTTTCGGCCGCCCACGATAGCGGTGTCCGGCCCCTGGTGTCCTTCGAGTCCGCTTCCACGTCGCCTCGGGCCAGGAGCAGCTGTACCACCGTGTCGTGCCCGCTTTCGGCCGCCCACGATAGCGGTGTCCGGCCCCTGGTGTCCTTCGAGTCCGCTTCCACGTCGCTTCGGGCCAGGAGCAACTTCACCACCGTGTCGTGCCCGCTTTCGGCCGCCCACGATAGCGGTGTCTGGCCATTGGTGTCCTTCGAGTCCGCTTCCACGTCGTCTCGGACCAGGAGCAACTGTACCACCTCCTTATGTCCATATATGGCTGCCCACGATAGCGGTGTCCGGCCATTGGTGTCCTTCGAGTCCGCTTCCACGTCGTCTCGGACCAGGAGCAACTGTACCACCTCCTTATGTCCATATATGGCTGCCCACGATAGCGGTGTCCGGCCATTGGTGTCCTTCGAGTCCGCTTCCACGTCGTCTCGGACCAGGAGCAACTTCACCACCGTGTCGTGCCCTCTTTCGGCCGCCCACGATAGCGGTGTCCGGCCATTGGTGTCCTTCGAGTCCGCTTCCACGTCGTCTCGGACCAGGAGCAACTTCACCACCGTGTCGTGCCCTCTTTCGGCCGCCCACGATAGCGGTGTCTGGCCATTGGTGTCCTTCGAGTCCGCTTCCACGTCGTCTCGGACCAGGAGCAACTGTACCACCTCCTTATGTCCATATATGGCTGCCCACGATAGCGGTGTCCGGCCATTGGTGTCCTTCGAGTCCGCTTCCACGTCGTCTCGGACCAGGAGCAACTGTACCACCTCCTTATGTCCATATATGGCTGCCCACGATAGCGGTGTCCGGCCATTGGTGTCCTTCGAGTCCGCTTCCACGTCGTCTCGGACCAGGAGCAACTTCACCACCGTGTCGTGCCCTCTTTCGGCCGCCCACGATAGCGGTGTCCGGCCATTGGTGTCCTTCGAGTCCGCTTCCACGTCGTCTCGGACCAGGAGCAACTTCACCACCGTGTCGTGCCCTCTTTCGGCCGCCCACGATAGCGGTGTCCGGCCATTGGTGTCCTTCGAGTCCGCTTCCACGTCGTCTCGGACCAGGAGCAACTGTACCACCTCCTTATGTCCATATATGGCTGCCCACGATAGCGGTGTCCGGCCCCCGGTGTCCTTCGAGTCCGCTTCCACGTCGTCTCGGACCAGGAGCAACTTCACCACCGTGTCGTGCCCTCTTTCGGCCGCCCACGATAGCGGTGTCCGGCCATTGGTGTCCTTCGAGTCCGCTTCCACGTCGTCTCGGACCAGGAGCAACTGTACCACCTCCTTATGTCCACATCTGGCTGCCCACGATAGCGGCGACATCCCAAGACTGTCTCTCACATTGAAATTGCCCCCTCCGCTGATGAGTTGATTAATCGTGTACGTGACGCCGTATGAAGCAGCGATATGAAGAGGGTGAATATCTTTAGGTTGATACATGCACCACCCGCGATGCGTTCTTTCGTAGGTTGGGAAAATCATGCGCCAGTTCGTAAATAGTGTATAGGATCCCAGAAAAGATGTGACAAGATTCCACAAACACTCTGTAGTCGGGTTGACGTCCTCTTCCGCTGCGAGTTCCGAAACATGCAGTAGCCAGTTGACGATAGAGTAGCGGAATGGCAAGAATTCGATCGGATTGTTGCCGTATCGATCGAATATACCACGAAAAACTTTTGAAGAAATTTGGGTGACTGCACTCATGGTTAAATCTCAGGGCTTAGGTATTCTGCAGCATAATGGAACGTTTTCCCTACCACATGTTTCCGCAATTAACACATGTGCTTCCATGGGGTCCACCAAACAGGACTTTATCCGCTCGTTTTGGTTGAGTAACTTTTGCGGAGACTGAAGAAGGAATTCTTTCACGGATAAATGGGTGAATCGAAGCTTTGTGTCTTCAAATATCTCGACCAACGAGCCGCAGGCATTCAGGATTTGTGTACGGTCAGCGAGTCTTATAGCGTTGGGATCGAATTCTTCCTCTCCAACCTCGGTCCCGTAGGCATATGCCATCTCGTCTACCGTCACTGGCCTCTTCGCCATCGCAACCCACATCAATACCTCTCGGCGTAGTTCTGCAGCATGTTGGCTCCGGTCCAAACGGAGCAACATGGATTCGTACATTCCATTAAGTCCTCTCGGCATGTTCTTGAGCCTGGCGGGGATCTTTTTTTTGTCTGAAATCTTGAGCTCTTCGAGCATGAGCGCGGCGTATCGAAACATCCCGTCGGCGTTCTGGCCAACCGATGAGATGATGGGCTCCTTGAACTGTTGCAAAAGTTGATCGTCTGTGATTTCGTTTGCGATGAAGTCGCGAATATCGCTTTTCACGTCCATCTCGACGACAGATAGGCCCGGGGCATTTTCCAACTCCACAGATATCTGATCCTCCGGACGACTGGTTACCAAGAACCTTGCGCTACTAACCGCCGCAGCCACATGGTTTGTAACAAGAGAATAATCGATACATTCGTCCAGCGCGTCGATGAGAACTATGACTTTGAACGGAACGGCATGGAGCATATTGGTGAACAGTTCCCAAAGTTTGGGAACGGATCTGAATGTGGACGAGTTGTCGGTATTATGCCCGTTCTTCAATACCTCAATCAACCGTTCCTTCACCTCCCGAGAGGCGATCGTAGACATAACAAGCTGATCGACGATGCTCGCTATCATCTCAGCTGTAGTTGAGGTCTTCGGGTCGCCGTTCTTGAAGAAGAAGTACAAAACTTGCACTCCATCCAGCTTCTGCATGTTCTCGAGGATGGAAGTTGAGAGAACCGATTTCCCAGCGCCTTCAGTAGCATCAGCGGATCTATCCGGTTAATTCGTCGCCGAGTTACAGGCGCACATACCTGGTTTTCCCTTTATCAAAAGGTGCCGTACCTCCGCAGCCTCCAGCCAGTCAATGTACTCTTTCCTTTGCAAAATCCAGGTACAAGTCCCTTCTTGTCGACATTCCGCGATTTTCCGGAACTCCGGTTCAGGATCCGCGCCCGCGATCCAGAGCCGAAATTTGCGAAGGTCCCGTGCCATAGTTTCTGGGAATCATTGGTTTTTGTTCGGCGAACTTAGGGTAAATAACATCGGGACAGGTCGTACGTACCGTCTATCTCAGTCTCGCGGTGTTGGACGAGCTTGCTTACACCTTCGTGTATGTCTATGAAAGGCACCATATGCAATCAGCATGCCGTGATCATAGGGCAGAACCAACACCAGTTGACGTGCGGAAAAGCGTCAGCTAGATGCACAAAAGAACCCAATGCGAAAATCACGGTTTCGCACGCATGTTCACACAAGATATCGAGTGTGTAAATTTGAAAATGAGAACCCACCGTTTATCCGTTCCAAGGGAGCAACCTGGGTCTTCAGCTCGCTCAAAAGCTTTTGCATCTTTTTAAGATCCTCGGAGTTGCCTATTGAAGTTTGTTAGAAGCCAGCAAGTCGATGTTTCCAACGTCGATTCGGATCGTGATGGATAGAAAGACGGAGGATAACCAAGTAGTAATTATACCTTTGATCTTTTCCATCGTTGCCATATCTGCGCAATCTCGAACCGTTCGCTCGCTCTTATCTATATCCTCGACAAAGGCCGCAAAGTAGACTGAAAACGGCTTCAACGGGCTCGTGAACTTTGCTGAAGTGCGCGATAAAAATCACCATGTAAGTCCTTGCTACCGTTTGTCTTGGAAATTAAACTCACCGGAGCCCATCGGAAGGAAATACGCCTTTGCCTTGACAGAAAATACCAGCACCGCGGAGTAAAACTCAGGTAGAGCAGACTCGACTTTTTTCTGAAACGCAGCACTGTTTTGGTCGGAGTTGAGTGTAGTCTGCCGCAAGGACTCGACATAGATTTTTGCGTAGAACTCGCAATCCGCCATCTTTAGGAGGATAATCCCCATTGCTTTTTCCAAGCTCTCCAATGCCTGAAAGTGATTGAGAGCAACCTATTTTCTATCAGTTGGAATACATGTAGTACAGCTAGCACGATACCGGGTATAAGACGAACCTGAAGAATCAAGCGAGCAGCTCCCCACACCAGCGCACTATTTTATTTTCTGTCAGATTTTTTTTTTTACATGACAAGCAGCTGGTAGTCAGACTGACCATATTTCCGGATTACTCTGGATCGCCGTATCGACAACTTTTCCATACGTCTCGATACTTGTTAAGATCCTCTCGACTTTGTCTCGTACGACGACTTTCTTCCCTCTGCTATCGGTATAGGTCCATTGTTTTTCCTTCATTTTCTGTCTCGCATCTTCTGCGGCCTTCATCGGAGAATCCACGATATGGCTGGGCGATGACTCGGGATTGATCTGTTTCCATTCGTCTTCGGATAGCTTCTTTTTAGCGATGAAGAATGCAGCTTTCCAGTCGGCTCTGATGCACTCGCAATTAGCCTCACTAGCAATGGCGTCGTAAGGAAAAATGTGGCTTACGAGATCCGGAGATCAGGGGGTGGGATCACGGCTGCGGATCCCCCCGCGGAGGACACACGAAAAACCGCCTGCTCTGGAGATGGCGGAGAAGCATCCGGCAGAACCGGCTCAGCTGGAGGCGGAGGAGCAACATCCGACATAACAGGCTCTGGAGGTGGAGGAGAAGTACCCGGCAGAGCTTGCGGTATTTCTGTTGGGGTAATCGCTATAATTGCTGGAGACGATAGGGGATGATTCGACGCGGGGGGCCGTGGCCGATCCTCTCCGATTGACGAAACCGCCCGCTGGCTACGTCTCGTACGTCGAAAATATAGAAAGAACTTCCTCATCGTGACTCTCGTAGTAGGCGTGCTGGAATGGCTTCAAAAGGGTGGATAAATCAAGGTCGATTACTTGGGTTCTGGAGGTTTGGCTGCTGGTGTTGGCCACGGGGCAGTTGTGGCTTTTGTTCTCGTCGTCTGTTGCACCGCAGGAGGAGTTGCAGGCGGCTGAGATTTCAACCTATGAGAAGGAGTCTGTATGCGCTGTGAGTCTCGCTGTGGAATCCAGTGAGCGGTGGAATTGCTGTCATGCACGGAATCATGGAGAGGTGGTGAGGGAGGCAAGTTGCACGACTCTGCAGCCATACACACGAAACTTCGCCAATAAAGAATCTACAGATAGATGTCAAATGATTAGTGTTAGTTCTCGTTTCGAGGGCAGCTTGTTTACCTGTTTCAAAGCGTTCGGTCTGGGTATTTACGCCGCAATCAGCGCGCACAGTTGTCCTGGGCCCTGGCGAAGTTCTTGATACGAATTCAGTCAGCTGGATGCAATCCGATTGAGTTAACACAGTAGAGTATGTAACGTGAAACCGTATGAGCATCGGTGGCTTGCTGGCCGGCGTCTCATTGACGACCGTTAACGCCGAACAACCCACGAAACGAGGGCGCGGCCAAAGCCCATCAAAGCCGAACTGCATTCGAATACCATCCACAATCAAGTGTGGTCCCGTCTCTCTCGACGATTATCTTCGCGCGTAGGTAAGTTGTAACTCGTTTGCCCATATAACAGAAAGAAAATTGAGGAAAGAAAAGCCTCCATAGATTCATAGTGGGCTTGTCCAGAACAGTGGCGCAAGTACCATAGATTCACTGTAGCTCCCGTCCTGCGTCTCAGCAGCGTGCGCACATCGGCTACATTAGAGTAGGCCATCTATCTACCAGTTACACCGAAGACTGGGCTGGTGCCATAAAGGATGGCGGTAGGGCCGGCAGGGTGCGTAGCGGAAAGTGTGATTGCTTACTCAAGGAGGACAAGAGAAATTGGAGGTGTTCTAAATTCCTCTCACCCGGATAGCTATCAGTAGTGCCCAATGTCAAGCCGGAATGGTGGCGGTTGTGCAGCGGTCCTGTATCCGCGTTTGGCGCTGGAGCAGGGTAGCCATTAAACATATTCGCTCTAGCCATTCTAAATAGTATGTATATCAGAAGTGGGTAATCGGGCAACAACAAATAGCGCCTACCGGCCTCGTCGTGGGCCAGCAGGTTTCTCCATGGGGTCGACCTGATCCTTAAGAGGCCGGTACGTAATCCGCCTGATGGGAGGAAGGCGCGGCGGTTCCTATCGCCCATGGGAAAACTGATGGGGCTCGCATGGTTCATGTTTCATAAAAGGAGTAAGCAAGCAATAACTTCATTAATAACATGCCACCGCTCCGAGCATCCCCCGCCTATCCATACACTTTCGAGGCCACGAGCTATCCACCCCCCCGCCGCCGCCGCCGTTTTGCTTATCTCACCCCGTTTCCACACCCGCCACCGCCGCCTCATACCATCCCCAGGGCTTGCGACGGTCCTCTATAATGCGCCGATTTCCGCTGCAACATCAAAGCCAAAGCCACAAGTGCAAAAGTTCGTAAAGAAAAGCCGAGAATCCGAAAACTGAAAGGAGTACCGTTAGAAGATCTTTCCCACATCCAAGCGTCTGTCTTAGGACGAGGACTTACACGACATCAACTCGGGTGAACTCAGGTCCACGGGATTTCATATGTCGCTCGGCGTCAATCGCTCATCGATCTTGTCGGCGAGTAAGCTTCGACGGCCATCAAGCGCCCGCTGGTACTATAACAAGACCTTGTCGTGGTGCCCTTGGGTTTGAAACACTACAGCCATGCTGTAAATGGTTTGGAAAGTGTTTGGGTGGCCTTTTCCGAGGGTCTTCTCAAATCCGTCCAGTGCCCGCTGGTACCACACCAAGGCCTCGTCATAGTTCCCTTGGTTTTTAAAAACTAGGGCAATGTTGTAGATTGTTTGGAGAGTGTTGGGGTGGTCATTTCCGAGGGTCTTCTCAAATCCGTTCAGTGCCCGCTGGTACCATACCAAGGCCTTGTTATAATTCCCTTGCTGCTGAAAAGTGTTGGCCATGCTCTGGACGGTATAGAGAATGTCGGGGTGGTCTTTTCTGAGGATCTTCTCACGGCCATCAAGTGCCCACTGGTACCACATCAATGCCTTGTCATAATACCCTTGGTTTTTATACACCACGGCCATGCTGTAGACGGTACCGAGGCTACTTGGGTGACTTTTTCCGAGGAACTTCTCATATCCGTCTAATGCCCACTGGTACCACATCAATGCCTTGTCATAATCCCCTTGCTGCCGAAAAGTATTGGCCATGTTGTGCACGGTATCGAAAGTGACAGGGTGGTCTTTTCCGAAGGACTTCTCACGGCCATCAAGTGCCCGCTGGTATCACATCTGGGCGCCTGTGGTGTCCCCACTTTCATCCAGAATTAACCCCAGGTTCTCCTGCAGAAGAAGCACGGCCTCAATAGATTGAGAGTCACCGGTGATGTGCCCTAGTGCGGCGACTGCATGCGGTACTAGGGACATACACCCACGGTGATTCGCACGAATGTCGTATTTCGGGAAACGATTGTTTAGCAACGGAAGGACTGTCTCCTGGAGCACATTCCTACGTTGAAAGCCTGGGTCTTCCGAATGCACACCTGTCCGGACGCATAACCCGACGAGGCGATGCAGGCGACAATTTGACGATTCGAGCCGATAGATCATGGGAAAGCTCAGAAGAGGTGCAAGAGTCGTGTGGAAGAGTGCGTCGCTTTTGCTGAGGAATGGCACACCTTTTAGGAATTCCTTTGGTATGTCATCTGGGCTGAGGAAGCTCATGACCTCTAGCAGCTGCACAGAAGCAGGGTTCTTCTCCTGGATTTTGTTGACGGTGAGTTTCCAGGTAGTCACTGCCGCGCTTCGCTTGCCGCCTTCCTGTACCACTGACCATTCGTCACCCAAGAGCAACCGCTACTCGCTGTCACACTTGCTGAAGGCCTCGAGATACTCCAAGATCGCAACCCCAGTTTCCTTTGTAAATGCTGCTGCTTGAGCTATTGCTAGGGGCAGTCTCTCCAGCCGACCCAGCAGTTCATGGGCATCTTCGGTATCCATCAGGGCGGCAGATGCATCGGCAGCCAAAACCTTTGTAAACATCTCCAATGCTTCCTTGTCGCTCATAGCATCAGTATTGACTCCAGCGCCGGACGGCACGTATTGAGCATTCCCGATGAGCCTCCGGTCGCGTGTTGCATACAAGATCACCCCGCCCTGTAGTGGAAGGTGTTTCGCGAGGTATGAGTCGGCCTCGTCAAAATTATCGATAATAATCGTCCAGTCGCCGCTGGCCGAACTCTCCAGCCATTCCTCCACGCGCTCCAACGGCCGTTTTTCGTCCGGGTCGTCGTCACGCAAGAGCTTGGCTCTGCGCCTCAACTCCAGATAGCTGTCATTGAAGGTTTCGTGCGAATCGGCGTGTAGCCAGAAGGTGTGAGCTTGCGGATGAGCTTTGTGTCTTCGGTAACAAAACCCAATCGCTATCGAAGTTTTCCTAGTCGAGTTAGTAAATCTACTCAAAAACAAATGTGACAAGATATCTGTCACCCAGTGGACGCGGACGTTCAGCAGCAGTGTAGTACCATGGGCAGTCATGTCTGGATGCTCACTGAAAATCCACGTCCATTGGGGATCCGTGTCTCGTGGGCTAAGACCTTACCCTATTCCTCCAAGTCCATACAGTGCGGCCCGCCGTAATTGCTTTCCACCTTTGGGAGGCCGCAGCGATTCAAGTTTTCGGAATATCTCCTCTCTCCCAACGAAATCCGGATTCATACTCGAGGGCACCATGACCACGGGCTTTATCACTAGAAGATCGTCAGCGCCGGTACGAGAATACTTAATGCTAGTTCTCCTTGTGTCGGCCCATCCATTACCGTCACCCCTCACCCCTCTCATTCCTACCCTTTACTCCATCTCAATCATTCCCGAAGTTTTTCGCACCGTCCCCCGCTGATCCGCGACCAATCTACCGCGTGATGAAAGTCTACGTACCTTCATGTATGCGGGCTTCGATAATGATCGAAGCGCTCCCAATAGACTGTGACAGTCTCCCCAATACTTGGAGATAGCGATCGTCCTGGCTGTCGGTGAATTTCACCATGTTTGAATGGTCGGCATCAATTCCAACTGCTTGTGTAAGGGGTCTGTGGGAAGAGAGTATGTTGCGGATTCTCGTGTCACGATCCGAATCATCTCGCCACTTCTTTTCCAGAGCCCGGTGCGGGCGTCAATGACCACAGACTGGGTGTCTCTGAGTTCATCGTACGACGTGACCTGGCAACCCTTAAGCTCAACGCATTGTGTGAATCGTTGGTAGGACTGCCATAGGAATTCCGAGCCTTCCCTCAGGTCGTTGATGAAGTGTTCATTCTTCTGGTCCTTCACCAAAACCCTCAAGTTTTCGACATTGAGTATCCGGTTGGGAACGCCGAAAAAAAAGAGGCCCGTACACGAGGATAGAATCACTGCATCGTCCTCGTAGTACTGTTCATTTTTCTGCGATGCATCTGCGAGTGCCTGCAAAGATGAGCTTGAATACATGTTACGGGAAGCGCAACGTTGCCTACCTGCTTGATGATCAAGCCACCGAGGCTATGGCCTATGAAGATGATTGGACGGTGCCGTTCCTAATGATATCTGTCAAACGAAGTTCGCCCCCCCGTCTGCCCCCGGCCCGCTTACATTCTCGCCAGTGCGTTCCCTTTTCAGACTGTCAAAAAGCTTTCTCGCAAAGTGTTGGATCGAAGATGTGGTCGTGCTCTCAAGCAGGGCTGAGTTGTAGCCAAAGGTGAGAATTCTGACTTTGTGACCGTTTTGTTGCAAATCTGTCGGCAGGAAGTCCCGTAACAACATCCACGGATGGTCCCGCGCCTTCCAGGAGCCATATGCGTGGCCAGCGAGGCCTGTGATAGCGACAATACTGGAAGTCCATCAGCCCTTCTGAATCAACGTAGGTAGTAAGGATGGTGGGCACCGCTACTCTACTTCCGGCTCTTCCGCGCTGTATAAAGGCGTCATTCCGAGAAAGTCAGTCAACTGTGAGACCGACTACTGTTTCCCGGTATGGCAGGTACACCCTTTTGCCAGTGGAACATTTTGAAAGAGTTGCCGGCTCCCCGTTCACGAGAGTAACAGTTGCTACTATGCCGTCTTTTGAAGGGACGAAGGAGAGAAGGAAATCGGCGTATCCGAGTAGTTCCGTCAGGTAGGCCCTGAACTCTTCTCCCGTAACAAGCGATGGGATAGAGCAAATCCGGAGTGTTCGAACTGGAGTCCACCGTGGCTCTTGGGCCGGTGCCTGTAACCAGTTCCAGATGGATGCCATAGATTTCGAGCTCTCGCAAGTATCAAATCGCAAATGCAACAGTCGTCGAGACGTTATTGAAGGAAGGCAACGGATAATAACTCGATGTCAAGAAGGAGGGGTATACTCCGCCTGGCGAGTTGCCAACGTGACACTATGCTGTGTACTACGTGCCGTCGCCGCGCTTCGGCAGGGATGAAGAGTGTTGAGAACATGGAAACATCGCAAGCCTGAATACACAGCCTGAATACAAGGGCCGGAGTCACATGTAGAGTGAACCGTTGCCTGGTGGGGTTGAGACCAAAATGCCTTGTGGGTGCTGTCCGGCGATCACATACTATCACCCGTCGCACCCACCCTCCGCCCGTCGTCCGGCAGGTTTAGCGAGCTACAACCACCACAGGCACCTTGGTGAGATGGAATATCCGCGCAGGCCGAAACCCCAAGCTTCGTTTCCGCCGCGCAATAGACAGCGAGTACATATGTCCGGAAATCTTACAAGTAGTCCAGGAGTCGGGACATCAACGGGTGCTCTGGAGGATAGTATGATAGCTATTCCTTCTGCCGCCCCACAGCACCTCCCAACTTCTAAGCCCGCAGACCGGCCGACTACGGCTCTATCTGGAAGGGCAATAGGTACGTGACACTTTGAGCTTTCATCCTTATCCGCAGCAAGCACGCGTCCATAAGTGAGTAGAGTTATACATTCTTCTCCAGAGTCCAATCTCCAATCTCCATCATCAACCCACTCCCCAGCTGGCCCACCCACATACAACCCAAGCAAGCAAGCAAACCCACAAAAAAAAAGAAATCTAGAAATACATGCGGAAATAAACAAATCGAAAGAACTTACAAAAAAAAACCCCCATTCCAAAAAGATAACCCAACCCCAATTACACGCCATCAGCCCCACCCCCACCCCCACCCCCACCACCCCCATTCCCCCCAGCACCCTCCGAAAAGCTTTTTAAGGTATCCAGAAACCCGTTCATATCCGTCCCTAATGTACATGCCCCACCACCCGTCCCCACCCGTCCCAACCAATCCATCCATCAGGCTATACACAGTTTCTTTTAGACGCCTAACCAGAAATACTTAGAAAAAGAGAAAACAGGAAATATACAATATTCACGGCGTGATAAATGGAACTTCTGACGAGCTCTCAGACTATTTACTTCCTCGATGAAGCGCCACGTCGCTTGGGGTTAGCCTTTCCAGTGATCCTCTTGGGCTTTCCCTGGGTCTCGGCACCCTCGATGTACTTGAGCAGCTCGTCGATGCTGCGACTGTCCATTCCACCCATGCCGGATCCAGTAGTAGCCGAATCGGCGAGGCGGCCGGTGGAGGAGACAGTGCCTTGACCAACCTGCGACTGAGGTTTCACAGACATGGTGACGCGGGGCTTCATGAGTCTTCTGCGGGCAGCGGTTTCCTTGGCCTGCTTGGCGAGGGCGACGGCGTTCTGTGTCAACTGCTCAAGCCAGTTCTCAGCCTCCTTGGTGTTGCGATCATTGGGGCCGAGCTCGGCAAGGAAGATGTTGTAAGCATCGCGCATGCGGTTAACGGAGCCCTTAGAGTCGTTGTCAAGAGCGAGGGCTTGGGCGAGCTGGAAGGAGAGGGTGGCGGCGTTGGCAGAGGTCTTGCCGAAGATGTCCTCGCAGACGGCGAGGGAGGCTTCGAACCATTTGCGGGAGTCGGTGTAGTGCTTCAGGGCCTGCAGCATTACAGCGGTGTTGTTCATGGTGGTGACCGAGTCTGGGTGGCCGTCACCGTAAATGACTCTCCAAAAGCCGAAGGCGTGCTTGATGTACGCCAAGGCAGCCTTGGTATCACCGTTGGCATGCTCGAACAAGCCAAGGTTGAGGTAGTTGAGAATGGTTTCAGTCGAATCGACACCGAGGGTTCGCTCCGAGACGATGACAGCCTTGCGAGCGAGTTCGACGGCAGCAGCCTTCTCGTCGAGCTGGTAGTACAGCATAGAGAGGGTGTTGTAGACGCGGGCAACCTCGGGGTGGAGCACACCGTAGATCTGCTCATGCAGAGACAGAGATTCAAGCAGAAGTTCCTGTCCGAGCTCCTTCTGGTCCTGGATGATCGAAATACGACCAGCTTCAAGAGCCTCCTCGGCCAACTGGCTCTTGGAAGAAGAATCCTTGACAAGGGGAACAATGTTCATGATGTCCTCGGGAGAAAACGTCGTGGTGGGTCCCTTGTAGACCGGGCTCGAGGCTCCACTAGGTACAGAACCCTTCTTCTTGTTCTTACCCTTTCCGTTGCCATTGGTAGCGGGAGCGGGAGCATCGTTGTTGACCTTGGAAGTCTCGAGCTTAGCCGGACCAAACTCATAGTCCTTGATCTGGAGCTGAAGACCAATCTTTAGAGCAATCTCACGGAGCATCTGGAGGTGTTTAATACTGGCTTCCCAGTTCTCCTCAAGCTCGTAGCGGAAGCGACGTTGCACCTCCTTCTGGATCTGGGCCCGAAGACTCTCAATGGTCAGACTCTCAAAGCTAAAGTCGGCGTCGTGGTAAAGCTTCCACAGAGCCTCGTCTTTGACGACCTGGGGGCTGGGGTTGACGGTAGCACCGAGGAAGCAGTTGAGGAAGTGTGAGATAGCGTACGCGGCCAAAGGGCCGGGAAGTCCACGGAGGAGAGCGTTAAGAATGTGCTTAGCAGCACGGGCGATCATCTCCTGGACAGCCAAAATCTTGACAGAAGCAAGCTTGGAGCCCTGCTCGATGGCGAGAGTGGCGAGCGATCCGAGGTAGCGGATGTTGATACCACGCTTGTGCATGAGACGAGTGAGGGAGTGACCGTCCATTGGGGATCCAACGTCGCCCTCCTTGAGGTCCTCAATCTGCGAAAAGTCAGCGATAAATCACCAAGAACTCCTAGAAGTTTCATGACTTACCAAGCCAGGGATGCACTTCTCAACCAAGAAAGCACATGCATCTTGGACATCTTTCTCGTCAGCCGCCCACTGTGCCTTCTCCTCCTCAGTCTGAGGTTCCTGGCCGCTGCACACATCTGCGTTGAGAGCGAAGTCGAATCCAGAGATGTCAATGCGGTCGTCCTGAGTCTCCGCTTTCTTATCCTCCTCATTATCTTCGATCTTCTTCACAGCATCGTCAGCGTTGTCCATTTCCCGAAAAGAAGAATGACCCACCTCAGCAGTCTCGCCCTCCTTAGCCTCACCCTCCTTGGCCTCACCCTCCTTGGCCTCACCCTCCTTGGCCTCACCCTCCTTAGTCTCACCCTCCTTAACCTCAGCCTTCTCCTTGTCCGCCTGGTCTCTAGCCTCCTGGCGAGCCTTGACCTGGGCACTAACGTACTCCCTCATCTTCAGCTTCCAGAAAGCTTCGACAAGCTCTTGTCTGAGGACAGCCATCTTATGAGGGTAGCCGGTTGGGTCATCGACGCCCTTCCAGTGCTTCTCAATGAAATCGATATCCAAAGGCGTGATACGGTACAAGTCGAGAACGTATTTCCGGCCATCAGTTCCCAGCAGACCCTTGGTCTCAACCGAGGCGACAAGGTCGTGCTTCTTGCCCTCCTTGTCCCAGACGGAGTGGGGCTTCACGCGCATGGCCTTGCTCATCTTGTCAAAGAGCGGCACGAACTCCTCGTTCGTGGCGACAATGTCCTTGCCCTCAACTCCACCGTAGTCAATCTGGCTCTGGCCTTCCTCACGCTGGCGGAAGATGCCGGGGACAATGCTCTGCGCGACCAAACGACGTCCGAGGTAGTCCACAACCACGGTTCCGGGGGTCTGGAGGCCGGGAATGTCAAGAGAGTTGACAGCCTTGACACCCATGACGTCCTTTCCAGTAGCTACACGGGCAGCCTCATCACCACCGTCGCTGGTGAACGTACCAACACCATCGGCACCGTGTGAGAAAAAGATGTTGTTGTACACGTAGATCTGAGCATCGCGGCCCTCGGTAGGGTTCAGGGGAGCGATCTCGCCCTTGGCGATCAGGACGGCACCACGAACAGCGGCTTCGGTGTAGTCGGCGAAAAGCTTGGACAACAACCGCTCACGGAAAACGCGCTCCTGGACAGAGTCCCTTGGCAACTCCCTAGTGGACTGGAACTCCTCGTTGAAGTCGCGGAGAGAGTCAACACCCTCGGCGCCTGCGATCAAGTATTGCTCTTGCGGACGGGCCAGGTCGGCAGAGTGTGCCTTGTGCTGAGCATCTGCGCCGGGAACCAACCATGGAGACGCGGGAATGGCATTAGTGGGTCCGAAGGTGATCAGAGGATCTCTGGTGGAATTGAACTCCTGCAGGGCCTGGAACTCCTTCTCGAACGATGGGCTTATCATGCCAAGAAGGGTCACCAGAGAGTGTGCCTGCATGGTCTTGGGTTTGGTTCGTGGTGTCGGGTCAAACTTCTGGCCAGTCGAGTTGTTGACATAGAATCCGGAAACGTGCGAAGTGATGTGAACCTGCTCTCCCTCCAGCGTAGCGCACTGGATGTAAATCAAGTGCCCCTTCTGTCTGAGGTAGTATGGAGGGGGGTTCCATGGCGAGAGGCAGATACCCCTCACGCACTTGGGGGCCGTTGTTTTCGATGTAGGGGGCAGGAACTGGTCCAGCGACGCAGGGGCATTGAAATCATAGTTGCTTAATGGGTGAGAGGTGTTTTCGCAGACAGTATCGACGCCGTCAAAGAGCGCCATTCCCGCAGCAATTCCGCCGGCGGTGTCAATACGAGCCGACGCAGCGCCAATCAACTCTCGTGTCCGGAGAAGATGTATTCTAGCCTCCTTCTCTGTGTACGGGTCCTCGACCAGGACAAGCTCGGAGTTCGGCGCGATTCCGGGCACCTCCGAAAGTTCGACGTAGTCATTGATTCGCACCCCGTCGTGTTCCAGGTGGAAGCAAGAGTATTGGTAGGTGCCGGGGAGCTCGATGACCGACTGGCGGATATCTTGCACCTGTTCTTGGGTAGACACCTACGAATTGGATGCAATGTCAGTTTCGGCCCGTTGCCCGCAGGTCGCTTTGGGACATGAGATTGGATGGCTCGCACCATAATCTGGATCTGATGAGGAGCATGAGGTAGCTTGACGGCCAATTGGAATACTAAGACGATGATATCATGGGTTAGCCCAGTCGCTTTTCCCCCCACTACCCCGCAATGCCGTGGAAGAGAGGGTCGTCAATCGAGATCTCCAAATTGCACTCACAGTCCTGGACCGGGGGTTCCGGTGCAACTTCTTCATTTTGACTCGCATTGACAGCCTCAGCCGCGAGTTCTGTGTTCAGTTGTCCAAATTAGAACCAATTCTCCCATACCAAAGCATCGCACAAACGGCACTACTCTGCACACCCCACCACAAGTATACACCCGCAGTCACCAATAACTGAAAGCACACCAGCACTCATATAACTTACCGACATTGTTAGGTTCCTGTTGGTCGGCCATGATGTGCGGAAGAGTGCCGGCTCTGTGGTGTTTGTGGGAAAGGTGTTTTTGGGAAATAAGGTGTACAACCCGGAGGAGAGGTAGTGGCGGTCACCAAGAGTCTATTTGGTCAGAGCGAGGAGAAAAGGAAACAAGAAACAGCACAGTGAAGTGCTTTTTCGTAATAGTTCGTGGGGGGAGGTGGAACTGGCAGAGAGGTGAGGTTTCGTGAGAGACGAAGAGGTGTAGATTTGTGGGGGAGGGAAGAAAAAAACTTTTGGGAGTCGTCTGAAGAGTAAGCCGAGTTTGGTGGTGGTACTTGCTTCTGCAGCAGCAGGAAATCCCGGCTAACCGAGAAAACAATTTATTCCACAACCCCGCCATACCGACCATACCGACTATCATGAAACTTTTTCTCCGTCTCTCCGACCAGCGCACCGGTGGCTAGAACTAGAGCGAGAAGTAGATGGAGACCAAGAAGACGGAGACCAAGAAGACGGAGACCAAGCAAGCGGCCATTCAGCACGGATCCGAAATAGCCAGTGCACGGCGCGGTGGGACTGAACCTGACCGGCGGTACATACGGTAGAGCACACAAGGGCTCGGCACCGAGAAAACCCGCCACTGCTATGCTACGGGTATCAGTGCTTGATTTGGCAGTCGCTCGACGATCGCCAATGAGTTCGATCAGCTTTGTGGATATCCGCTCCACAGATCACAAGGCCACACAGATAGGTACCTACATAGATATATCAACCTCTACAATGTATATACAGTAACAGCCCCCATCTGTTCAAGTTACTGAAACCAATAACTCCCCTCCACCCTATGGTATTTCTATGTGCAGAAGAAAGAAAGATGAAATGAAATTAAATGAATGAATGAACGGCATGCAAGTATTTGCCGTTGGCGGGAATGTAAAAACGAACGAAACAAGAAGAAAAAACCCGCCCTGCTAGTAGGTTGCGGGGCTGACAAGCGAAAGCGAAAGCCCCGGTTTACTCTGCTCCCCGCTCGCAAACGACTTCCTCGATAATTGATGTGAATGAAACCTTGCCGCCGTGTCGAATGTTGATGCTTAAAGTGCGAAACGAACCTCCCGGATGTATGTGCTGAATGTTGCGGATATGTATACCGCTCATGTTGATCGAAAGTACCGCTCTAACGATGTCGTTGATACGCTCCTCGGAAGGCCGGTTCTGGACTTCATGTTTACTTCTTGGTATTACCTTCCTCATCATCATCATCATCGCCCTCGGTTTCGTCACCGTGAATTCCCTTGAAGCCCCTCGAGACGTCAAAAGTGAGGGTCTTGTCGGTCCGGCCCTTGGAGTCCTTGACAGTAAAGTTGTACTTTCCACCGTTCCACAGGTCCTTAAGGGTGACCTCGCGAGTTCGCCCCAAGCTCTCGATATCGCTGATCCTCTCCATGGTCTCTTCCAGAAATACCGCGAACGACTTGTCGTCAACGTTCTCATTGACGATGTCACGGAAAGCGTGCATCATCGGAACACTGTCGGCTCGGACCATGGCTTTGGAATCGATCGTGAAGATGTTGTGGTGGTCATACTGCTGTACGAAATCGGCACGTGTCATGATCTGTCTTGCTTCGTGCATTGGGATCGATGGTAGCTTTTCGGCGAATTTACCGTCTGAGCTTTTAGCACCCTCTTCGTTTTCTTTATCGACGAGGGCTTTGACTAGCAGCATGGCCGAAGACGCATACTTCTGCTGGTTCATGACATCGTCATCCATTTCCATACCTAGGATCCAACATTGGCTCTACGTATGTCAGCTACTCCAGCGTCTCTGCCGTGGGAGGGTGGGCAAACGAACGAGGAACCATGTCTTCTCGGCCTGGCAAATGGCATGGCATTTTCTGAGCATGTTCTCGGATTTCGCCACCTTAGTGAGAAATGCCAATCTGCCTCCGACAAGATCGTACACTTGACTGAAGAGCTGCTCATCCTCGGGAAGGGCGAATCTGGTCTTGCGCCTGAGCACTTTTAGTGCTTTAATGGCCTGCTGCTTGGATAGATCACGAACTGCGATCAGTTCCATCCTCGAGCCATATTGCTTCATCCGCTCATAGACCCTGTCCCACACATTTAGCCCCTGCTGTCAGCCTCGGACTCGTCCTAGTTCTCTTACCAGTAGTCATCGCTGTTGAAAACCATAGTAACGAGTCCCGCAGCAGCCCACCCCTCGGCCCGTTGTTGCAGCAGTTCCAAGAGATCCCTGCCGACCTCGTCGTCGTGGATCATGTGCATCCCGTTGATGATCATAACCAGCGGCTTTCCGGTCTTCTTCCGACGCATCAATGCAACCTTCTCCAGCTTGTTGAAGGCTCGTTCGATGTCCAGCAAAGCGGTGGTTTCACGTGGGCCTCGGATAGAGAAGAGGGATCCAATGTAATCCTCATGGAACTCGAAGTCCAATGCTTTCCCAAGTCGCAGCCGGAAGATCTCCGGGTCGGCATGTGCCTCCATCATCGAACACGCTTCTCCTTGGGTGCGATGCATGGCGCTAAAACGATCCACGTCAGCTCAGTTACTTCCTGTCCCACGCCAGGTTCCGAGAAATACCTTAAAAGCATTGAGGTTTTGCCCGTTCCCTGAAACCGGTCAGCTTCAGCTACTATCGCACAACAACACTACTGAGAACCAGCCTTCTCTCCAATGAGTAGATAGTAATGGCCGTGATCATTCCCATCGATGATATCGTTCAGCCTCGCCTGTTGCTTCAGCTCGACCCTGGACAGTTCGAGTCATCAGCAGCCATTTCCGTCAATCCGCAGAAAAAGAGAAGGAAGCACGGAACGCGACAATCTCTCCTCCGGGGAAAATGAGGGTACGCCTCATCGAATAATAATACATGGAGGGATAGTCAGGTAACGGGGAGTTTTGGGGAAACTACGGGACAAAGCTGTAACAACCACCATCGTCCTCTTCTGCTTCTTCCGCCTCTTCTATTCTGCTACCGCCGCCATCGCTTGAATTATTTAAAGGTTCGGAATTGTACCATGGGTCGTTGTGGCCTGCTCGGGCGAGGTTCAGCGCGGGATCGCCTTGATTGAAAGCATTGTCGATCTTCTGAAGCACGAGGTGCTTGTAGTATTTGTGGTATCCGTATCCCGCGAGTCTACGGCGCAACGTTAGTATCCCCCCGTCTCATCGTTTCCCCAAGCACGCATACCCGAGAATCGAAAGCGACGCAGCAGTAGTAGCCGCCGATTCGAACATCTTCCAAGCCGTGCCTGCGGTGTTGCTGTGAGTTCCTGCGCCTTTACCGTCGCCTCCCCCTTCTCCGGCTTCACCTGTTGCGTTCCCTCGGGGGCTGCCGTGGTCTTCATCCCCCTTGTGCTGTGTGTGGGGTTGCGGCTGTAGATCGTTTGCGGGACCGTATTGATAGTCGCTCGCACCGCCAGCCGACGGCGGCTGCGGAGGCCCGGATTGCCATCGTGATTGGAGGACGAGCGCTATCGGCGCTGTACGTCGCGAGGATTGGTTTCCGAGAACGTTGCTGCCATTCGTAGTGGAGCGTAGGATCCTCGTAGAGTTGGCCAAGGGCCGGAGGTGCCGTACTAGAGAGTGAGATAACGCCATAGGAGCTCAGGTGGTGACCGGAATCGTCGAAATGTCGAGATGTCGAGTTCGAGGGGGACGACGGTGGTATTGTAGGGAGATGAGATTCGCTGACTGGGCTGTGGGACTCGGGAAGCAGGAAGAAGACAGGAGGAGATTGCAATTGACGTAGGCCTAGGCAATTGGACCGCGCTTGTTTCAGAGGCGAGGCACGGCGCGCACTATTAAAATGGAAGATGAAACTGACGAACACGGACTTTTAGGAGGCGAGGCGGGGTGAAGAGCGCTGAAGAAAACGCTGAAGAAAACGTCGCACATGCAGGAAGTACTTTGTAGGTATTACTCTCCGGATGAGGGTAAAATCCCACGCCGCTTCTGTTTCTGCTCTCCCGATATGCATCGTTTGCCATGATGTGGGTGTTGGATTGGCGTCGCACAGAGTGAAGTGGGCACGCTACTCGGCGTTGCTGGATGTCGGAGCATGACACGCGTAGATATCCATGTGTATATCGATTCTGGAATTTCGAGCAGGGGCAAGCAATGGCGATGCTCCGTATTTACTGCAGAGAAATGGTCTTCAGCCCACGGCTTAGTTGTGTCCTCAATACTAATAGCAGTAGGAGTAGTATGTAGTACCAACACGTAGATGCCGTCCGACGGTTGCATAGTGGGCCTTGTATCCGGCTATGGCCAAACGATCCCGTACCAGAGACTGGCGGACTGAGCGGACGCTGTCCAGAGGAGCGAAGTCATTGTTCCCAGCTAAGATAGAAGCGCCAGTGGTCAGTGTTGCGGGTATGGCCGTGCAGGCAAGCAAGCTGCATGAATTTGGACGCGCAAGAGCTGCTGAGCTCCCTGGGCAGTCTACAAGAGCTGCAAGAACTGTGCGAATATTGAAGGGCTGCTCGCGTTTGTCCTGAAAGACCCAGAGGTTACTCCAAAGCCCGAGAGAAGTAATTCGATCCCGTGAGCCCCCATTTCCGCCGCTTTCACTGGCTTCACAGTGATTGGCAAGCCTTAAGCTGCGACAACTCCCCTATCACAGCACACCGGCAATCTTGCCGACCCACCTTCCCATCGTCTCAAGCATAGGAACGGGCACCTCCAGACTTCAGAGAGAGCGCTCACCAATCGTTTCGTACTGGGTACTGGAGATCTTCCGTGGATATGCGTGGGGTTGATGGGTTCAGCCTTGCATAAATTGTGCGGTGGTGGGGCCCGGCATCCGGAGTTTGCACGACAGGGATAGGGTTATCCGCCACATCGCCTCAGCCGACACCGCCACACCCGCCACACGGACACACATCCTACTTGTTCTTAGCACGTGGCTGCATCGCGTTGACGTAGGTCCTCAGTCCTGCTGCTGCCCAGTTGCCCGGTTCCGACTGGCACCAACAAAGAACGAAACCAAAGCCACGCCAGTTCGCCAACCACCTCAAAACCATCTCCTCGTCCTGCTCCAACCCTACGATACCATTCTTCCAATACATGATATCACGATACAATACATGCGCCATGAACCCATCACCATCACCCTTCGAGAAATCACCTACAAACGGCTTCACCCGCGAAAAAGACGATGCTGAGCCCGAGCCCTCTTTCCGGATGCCTCAGGCTTACGGGCACGGAATCCACTCCTCAACGAACGAGTACCTAGTAGCACTAATCTACCCGGCCACGCTCGCGCTCGCCTCTGCCTTCTACCTCCTCTCACCGTCGCCCAGCGCCAACGAGTCGTACTTCAGTCACAAAGGCAACTTGATCAATGTCGTCTTCGTAAAATTCGGGTGGTTCTGGACCACAGCCGTGTTCCTCCTGCACCTGTCCCGGTTACGCTCTTCGAGCAAGCCGAAGGCGCTCCTGAGATGGGTGCTGGCAACCGTCTGGTGGATCAGCGTCACCCAGTGGTTCTTCGGACCTCCGCTTATGGACCGGACGTTCTTGATTACCGGTGGTGCGTGCGAGGTGCTCCACAAGGCGAATGCGGATCCGAACGATAACGGGATGAGCAAGGGGGGGATGCTGTTGACTTCGGCGGCTTGCAAACTCCAGGGCGGAAGGTGGACTGGTGGGCATGATCTGAGTGGACATGTCTTCCTGTTGACGCACGCAAGTCTCTTTCTGTGGAGTGAGGTTCTGCCGGTTTTGAGCACGGATTTCTGGGGAGGTGTCGAGAGTGGCGCTGTTTGGGGCTTGCTCGGTATGTGGTGGTGGATGTTGCTCATGACGGGGGTTTACTTCCATACATGGACCGAGAAGGTGCGTTCCATTTCCCATGCCCCGTCATCTTTCGTTGTACTGACATTGCCAACCAGATCACCGGATTAGTCGTCGCGACGTTCGAGTGGGCTGCCCTTTACATGTGGGCACTCAAGTCCCTTCCCAATATCAGGATGCTATTGGGAGTTCCGGGTGTGTAGCGGGCAAGTTTTGTGTGTGATCGGCTTGATAGACACCAGAATTCGTTATGTATTCCACTCTACTTTTTACCCGCATATTTGTACAGTTTTCAATTCCATATTTCGAAAGTAAAGACATTTATTTTTTGTTCTTGTCCTTGTCCAGGGCATCTTTCAGCGAAAACTGTGCACTCCCCCTCTCCATCGGCTTCGGCTGGTTCTCGCCCTTCTTCCAACCAATCTGTCCACTGTCAGCAGCAAGATCTTCTGGATGATATGGAGCAAACCAACCATGTAGATGACCCTGAACGTCGCCGGCAGACTCCCATCCTCATTCCCATGGAGCGCCTTATAAATCCCCTGAGCAGCCATGAGCACATCCCGAGACACCTGCCCCTCTTTCCTGCCGAGGACTGCATTCCCCTCCCCCATCGCCTGCAAATCCAGCATAAGCGCAAACACGTCGGGAAAATCAATGACCACATCATCCACATCAATAGTCAGCAGCTTAAATCCCGCCTTATCCAGCAGCCCACCCATATCCCTCGTATCGGCCAGCGGGCTTACCCGCGGACTAACACCGCCCATCCTCTCCTGCTCGGCGAGCTGCAGCGACGTCCGGAGTTCATACAACGTATCACCGCCGAACATCGCCGCAACAATCGGCGCATCCGGTTTCAGCACTCTATTCACCTCCCTCAATGCGCGCGGGAGGTCATTGATCCAGTGCATACTCCCTGCCGAAACCACCGCATCGAAGCTCCCCTCATCGAACGGCAGCGACTCCTCATCCATGACCACGCGCTCCACGTCGATGTTGCGGTTCCAGTCCGCGTCGACGTCGCGGTACAGCAGCTTCTCCGAGACCTCGCCGGCAACATATTTCTCCACCCGGTCTCCGACCTTCTCGCCCGGCTGCCCCTCCCCATCGCCGACCGGAAGCGTAAGTGCCCGCCCGATGTTGCAGGCCCCCGCGCCGAGGTCGAGGATGCGTGGGAAGCGACGGTTGATCACCTCTAAGCCTGTTAGCCTCCCCCCCAGCACTGTGTGGATCCCAGGATGGGACGGACAAGTAGGCGCTCGACGAGATCGCGGGCGACGTGGTCGCGCAGGTAGTCGGTTGTTCGTGAGAGCGGGGAGATGGCGGCGCGCTGGCGTTGCAGGAGCTTGGTGTGGCGGTTGAAGACTTGGAAGGCGGGAGTGCCGGGGCCTGGAGAGGCGGTAGCGAAACGCCGGAGTGGGAGGTAGGAGAGTGGGCGGAGGGGCGGCATGATTGTGTCGTGAGGCGGCGATTGAGACGGTAGGCACCGGTGGTGAGAAAGTCGTTAGTTGGGCTTGTATGTATTACGTCATTGGGAATTGAAATGAGGTTGTCAATTCATCACTCGAGCGGAATGGAAAGTTGTTGCCTGTTGTTCCATAGTATCGTTTCCTTTTTGCACATGCAAACTCTACTCTAAATCAATCTTGGAAGGATAGGATACTCGTTCTTGGACCTCCAAACCGAGAGTGCCCATCGAGCAATACCAATTCCATGATGAACCATAAAACTGTATCCTTTGAAATAAAGTTCACCGCTCGGGTTGAAGACAAAAGAGCGACATAGCCTGAGATGGACGGAGATACTGACTTCCGATATCAGAGTGATAATCTATGATACGGTGCAACAGTCTTGGCGCCCGGCGTCTTAGCCGTTCCACAAGCTCTCCACCTCCGCCTTGTCGTCAACACGGTGGACCTCGACAACACCATCTCTTCAGCCCGCAACCATGGTACGCACCTTCCCATCCGCCCATTCCCCATCTCCTCCTTACCCCCAGCCCGTCATTAATCCACGTTTCTTCACAATATAGTCCCAATCACTGCGTCCGTACCTAAAATGCGTTCGGTCATCCCTTACGGCGGCCATCTCGCTCTGCGACTTCGCCTCGCAAACAGCGGAACGTCACAATGTGCCCGAGATCGAAGCCGGCAAATCTCCGGAGGTGCTGCTGAATCCTCTCACCGTCTCCCGCAACGAACATGAGCGCGTGCTCATTGAGCCGTCGATCAACTCGATCCGTGTTTCCATCAAGATCAAGCAGGCCGACGAGATCGAGAATATCCTTGTGCACAAGTTCACTCGGTTCTTGACGCAACGTGCGGAGAACTTCTTTATTCTGCGGAGGAAGGCGGTTAAGGTGTGTGATGCTGGCAGTGCTTGGTGACGGGGATGATGATGGGGGAGTGAGGAGCGATTAGCTGACGATGGGGGAATTTGAAGGGTTACGACATCTCGTTCTTGATCACCAACTTTCATACCGAGCAGATGTTGAAGCACAAGCTGGTGGACTTCATCATCCACTTCATGGAGGAGGTCGACAAGGAGATCTCCGAGATGAAGCTGTTTGTGAGTTACCTCCCGAGCTCGGACAAGCTCCCCACCATGGGTCGGGCTAACCGGTGGGTTCCGTACAGCTCAATGCGAGAGCCCGTTTCGTCGCCGAAGCTTTCCTCACCCCGTTCGATTGATTGCGCGTCGGAAGGTCGGTTGGCTGTGGTGGGTTGGAGCTCGGGGGATGGTGACGGTTCTGTGTATCGGCGTGACTTATACCTATTGCGTAATAACGGGTGTGATGCTGCTGCCTGTTCCTCTGTCTGTTTTGCCAGCGTTCGTTGTGTTCTTATATATAGACAAAAGGGTGAAAGAGATGAGATGGTCATTGGTTGCAAGATAGCTGCTGAAGTACCCCCGCCCCACAACGCAAAGCTCAACATCTTCCTGGACCCTGTTCTCAACCCCACATTGTCCGTGATAACTCGGGTACATTCAAAGAAGAATAAGAAGAAAACCCCTACGAAAGAAACCTACCCTGCACACAGGCCAGGAACGAGTTTGTGCGAGACAATGCGGGCAGTTTTGACGTTCTTGGCATCCCATGTGTGACATTAGCTTACATGCCTCCCTTTCCATCCCGCAACCTAGGAGCAACCCACCATGAACTCTCCAAGCTTCCCCTCAATATTCATCGCCTGTCCCTGCAGCGACAACGTCGGACAGCGTACGCCGGCACGACTCCGCAACTCCTCGTCGGCCGCAGACGCCGACTACGCCGAGGAAGAAGAAGACGCCTTCAATCCACGCGCGGCGCGCTCAACATTCTCCCTCTTCCCACTCGAAAATCTCCTCTTCTGCGAAGACTGCAATCAGGTCCGATGTCCACGATGCGTCCTCGAGGAGATCGTATGCTACTTTTGTCCGAGCTGCCTCTTTGAGGTGCCGAGCTCCACCGTCAAATCGGAGGGAAACAGGTGGGCCTCTCTCTCGCCCCTCCATCCCCCGCCAACACGTAACGCGTGGATAGATAGCTGATGCACGTGTGTGTGCGTGAGACAGGTGCACGCGCAACTGCTTCTCCTGCCCGGTATGTACTGCGGCAATGTCAGTCACGGCCACGGGCGAGGACAGCACCGGGCCGTTTATCCTGCTGTGTTCCCACTGCCTCTGGTCCTCCGCCGACATCGGCATCGATTTCGAAAAACCCACGTCGATCACCGTGCAGCTGGCACAGAAGCTCCGGCTCGCCAATGCCGCGGCGGCTACGCTCTCGTCGCCAGATATGCTGTCGGCGAGTTCGAGACCGCTTTCCCCGATGGGCGCGGGTGGAACGTACCTGCGACCGCCGTCGCCGTCGATGCAACCGCCCGATCACCCGGACGACGCCGAGTACATACGACTCAAGGGGTTCTACAATCAGCAGAAGGTGCAGGCTAGTACGGAGGACTATCCTGGTGGCGGATCTCTCACACGGCTGATTGGGTTGTACGCTGGAGGGGCTGGCGCAGGGAGGTTACGCGGTTTTGCGGGGATGGGAGGAGGAGGAGGGCCTAGGGAGGGCACTTCTGCTCGGAATAAGACTGCGTGGCGGGAGGCGGGCTCGCTGCGGATTGTGGACGATGAGTCGGAGCTGATCGAGCGGATGCGGGATGCTGGGTTCGGCGGGTGCACGAGTCAGGCACAGAGGATTGTTCAGTCGCATTCACCAAGGCTTCTGGATGAGCTCCGGCCGCTGGCAGCGTTGCTGCGGACTAAACGGTCGAAGCGGTGCCGATCGTGTAGACATATCCTCGTTAAGCCGGAGTCTAAAGTCGGTTCGATTAGACATAGGATACGACTGGTGGCTAGGTACGCAGTTGTCCTCTTCCTTCATCGTATATAGCATGATACTGACTGGTAAACAGTTCCTACATTCCCCAACTCGCCATCTCCCGTTTGGACCACAACCAAGTAAACTACCACAACCTGCAGCCCGGCGCAACACACCAATTCCTCCTGGCGGTAACCAATCCGCTCTACGACCCCATCAACATCACGCTCGCAACACCCGAAAAGACCCCTGGACGTTACCCAGCAACAGTGTACATCCTCTGTCCCGAATTCGAAGTCGGCGCCAGCACCGACGTCTGGGACGAAGCCCTGGGGCCAGAGGCCAAAGCCAACCCCAAGGCGTCCAAGGGCAAGGGCAAAAAGACGGGCCTCATGTCGACGATCTACGACAGCGGTAGAAACTGGACCACTGTGATCCTCGAGATCGTTCCGCCAATTTTCCCCGCCGGTGCCGAGCTCACGGAGGATGACTACATCGTCAAGGTCCCCATCTTGGTGCGCAGCGTGTATGAAACCGACATTGAGCGCGACGACGGGATTACCAAGGAGGGGAGGGAACGGAAGGAACATTCTTACTGGAGTGTGTTGGAGGTCGGGAGGATCAATACTACGCCCAGGAGGGAACCGGTGATTAAGTCTTCATGAGCTGGTCATGAGGCGGTGGGAGTGGCTAGATTTCGATTCATTCTGATGGCGCTGCGGTGGAATGGGTTGGGACGGGATGGGATGGAGGACGGAGTTTTAATACCAATTACTGTTATGTGCCCCCCCATTGTTTTTCGGGCCGGTGGATACTCCAACTTAGAGATATGTAGAATAGAATATCCTCCCCAGAGTCCAGCTGTGTCCGGTCAATGGTCGGTCCGATTGAGCGAGTACGTACTAGACATACACTTCGTGACGGAGTGCCTGCCTGCCTGCCGCCCACCTTAATCCGCAGCTGTATGTATGTAGGTACCCGCCATGCATCGATGTGAATGTGACCAGTGCCCATGACGTGGTGCCGTTAGATCTTCGAATTACAACTTCCTACAAAGGTACATATGTGTGTCTGGAGCCTTGGCCAAACAAACCAGAACAAATGGTACACGTGAGAAAGAAAAGTCCTAGATATAAGAATTTTGTTGAAATGGTCATTGCACATGGTAGGCAGCAGGGGGGTAGCGGAGGGCAAGGAGGGGCAGGGGGAGAGGGGCAGACAAAAATCAGACCGGACCCATAGAACCAACCAGGAACAAAGAAATCCACAAGAAACTCCTTTTAACAAAACCAAAAAAAAACCTAGGAATCCATTTTTTTTTAAAAAAAAATGTCTCTTGAAGAAGTGAAGTGTCAATAAAGGTGATAAGATGCCAGTTGTCATGTCCCGTTTGAAAGAAGAAAAGAAGAACAGTAACAGATGAAAACCTTGACGAAGCAACCCCCTTGCCATGATGAAGTACAAAAGTGTCCCTGGGGAAAAAACGACTTCCTTAAGCGCCAATCACCTGAAAACACAAAAAAGACACCGCCTCCCTCTCCCTCGTCCTCTTCAATCCTCCTCTCCGATAGCAATTCATTTTCTCGTTTCGTGTGTGACAATCAAAAGCATGCAACCCCCCCCATCAATCACCGAGAGAGGATGTGTCCCATCCCACTCCACTCCACTGGAAGACAGCAAGGAAAAAAACCAGACCAGAGTACTAAACAACAAAAAGAAACGTAGAAGCAAGAGATATTCAAGAAGAACCCCGAATGAACCCGTATTAGATGCAATGTAAAAAAGCTCAGCTCGAAGGAGTCTGACTCATCCTGCACCTGATGCATTGGATTCGTATTCTACTCGGGGCTTCCCTGGCTGTTCCTCCTCTGCTTCTCAGCCTCAAGATTCTCGTACAGTAGGTAAAGAGCCTTCTCGTTGCTGGGCGCCGATCCCGTGATGGTAAACATCCTCTCGCCGGAGTCATCGTGGGGCGCTTTGGCGATGCTGATTCTCGCTCCAGAGGCTCTACGGATTTCCTGAATCTTGGTGCCTCCACGGCCGATGATGCAGCCAACCATATCAGCAGGAATAGAAATGTTCTGCGTCTGGTAGTCATCTCCGTCCTCTCCCTGGGGAACAGCTCCAGGGGATCCATGGTCGCCACGGTCGTTGCGGTCGTTGCGGTCGTTACGGTCGTTACGGTCGTTGCGGTCGTTGCGGTCGCCACGGTCATTGCGGTCGCCACGGTCATTGCGGTCGCCACGGTCATTGCGGTCGCCACGGTCATTGCGGTCGCCACGGTCATTGCGATCGTTAAAACGCTGCGGCAGGCCGGCATCATTTCGCCTAGATGGAGTGGCATCGGAGAAGTCGGTTCCGTTTCCAGTTCGGGCATATGACCGAGTACCTCCACGCTCGCCGCGCTCTCCGCGCTCTCCACCACGCTCGCCAGAGTACCCCATTCCAGCCCTAGGAGGTGTGCGCTCTTCACCACCATTGCTGGGCGCAGATCCTCCACCCTGAGCACGGACAGCAGGGTTGTACAGAACAGTGCCGGAGCCCCTCTGCCAGTCGTCGATCAAGCATTTGCCGATCTCCCAGACAGCCATTCGGATGGCATTAGCATCGCCGGTGACTTCCACGACACGTTCGGTAGACTGGGGAAGCATTTCCTTCTGCGCAACCATGCGGGCGCCGGAAACATCCTGGATGTGCTTGATCTTGAGACCTTGACGTCCGATGATGGTGCCCATCTGGTTGTGCGAGATGAGCAGACGAACGGCTGTCAAAATACACCATGGTTAGCAAAGAAGACATGGCTAAGTAGCGAATAGGAAGGACATACGATGCGGGCCTATGGGAGCCGCGGTCATAGTGCTGGGGGGATTCTCCAACAAGGTCTGCGTAACCATAGCGTAAGCCCTGGCGATGCCCTCGAGAGCACCAGTGACGGTGAGCACTCGGTCATGCACGCCCGGCACCACCTTGCTGACACCAGCTTTGACACCGGTTTCGTCGCGGAGATCGGCCACGTTCTTTCCAGCCTTTCCAATGATCACGCCGGCCTCCTTCGAGGACACTATGGCGCGGAGGGTGAGGGGAGCAATGGCATATTCCTCCTCGGTGCGAGCACCTTCGTGTTCGCCGTCTTCTCCATGCTCGTCGATGTGAAGATTCTGGAAGTTGGCATCGAAAGCGGCATTATCGTCAATACCAGCGGATTCGTGATTCTCAACGGCGTCGTTGGACATGACTAGTCGTTGTATAGCGTTCGCAAAAGGTTGGGGGTGTGGCTGAAAACTGGGTGCGAGAAAAGCCAAGAGCTACGACGCGACGAAATGATCCTGTCGAACTGAAGTTGCTAGTCTGATGGGAGGGATAGGTAAGACAAGCGGGCGTTATTCTCTGAAAATTGGTTGGTGACGACAACGGAAACGGGGGGTCGAGGTGGTGGGGTGGTTGTGGTGGTTGTGGTGGTGGGGCGATACGAAATTGAGGACGAGGGGGGGAGGAAGGTGGGGGAGCTTTCGGGAGGCGAATAGGTGGGGGAAGGGAGGAGAGGGGGAGGAGGAGGAGGAGGGGGAGGGGGAGGGGGAGGAGGAGGAGGAGGGGGAGGAGGAGTGGGTGGTGGAGTTGGTGGTGATGGAGGAGAAGATGTGAAGACTTGTGTAGAAGACTGGTTGGATTCAGATGGGGAGGAGGAAGCAAGCGATTTGCGGCGGCGGTAGTTTAGCGGGAAGCGAACTCTGTCCTGGAGCCCTAAAAAGCCGTTACTCAGCAGCGATTGTCGCTTGGCACCTTTGAATTCTCTTGTCTGATACACGCCCTTGAAGGGCATAAAGAAAGTATTTATTTCAGAGCATTTCTAGTTACGACTGAACTCTTCTCTAGCGGAAGAAGACGAATTGCCATACATCAAAGTATGGAACATGTACTGCGTGTTGTAAGTTTCGTACTTCAGAGTGATTTTGAGCCTTCACATGGCTTGATCACCAAATTGCCATGAACACCAGAAAAGGAATACAACAGAAAATAATCTCGACCAACAAAAATTCCAACAGACAGATGGCTAGGCGGTGCAGCCGCATCCGGCAGTGGGATCGCTTTCAAGCCAGAAGCGTTATGCAAATTTCGAGGCAACCAGCACGCACACGCACAATGAAACGAGCGTATCACCGACATCGGTTTGTTTCGAATCAAAGCCCCCCCGCCCAGCTGCATTGTTCGTCCACCTCAGCCAGCCCATGCTTACTCCTCGGCGATGCCCTCCTCGGCGCTTCTGTGGTCACCTGATGGAAACACAGTAGAGTAATCATGCTCGTCCTTTCCGTTTCGCCGTGCACAGCCGTCCTCCTGCTAAAATAAAACACAAAAACAAACAAACAGAAAAACAAAGTGAAATACTCACGAGAGTAGCTCAACGATCTCCTCCAGATGCCTAGCCAGAGGTGTTCGCCGCTGCGGTCAGAAATATCACCGCATCAAAGACATGCAGTTGGAGACAACATTGGCAGCCCGGCAGAGGCAAAAGAATACAACCGGAGGGAGTTTCGGAGCTGAACCCTGCTGCTCATGCGGGGATTTACTGCAGCCCGAAAGTCTGTTGTGATGCTCCGATCTCGAGTGATTGCTGATGATCTCTGGGGCCCCGATGTGCAAACGGAAATACTTGCGTGCAAACAGAAAGTAAAGAGACAGCGGAGAGTCTGGAGAGATCATCGATGGAACTGCTGGCATACGGCTGGATACGTCTCTTGAACATCGCACCATGGGACCGTAGGATGGGTTCTGATGATTCTTTTAAGGGACCGAAGCCGCTTTAACGTATTATTCTCACTGATTCCGACAGGCACTCGAAATCCAGCGAACTCATTCAATTGTACCTTAATGAGCTTCGTGATGTTCAACCTTTCCGGTCACCACTTGCAGCTGTGCGCCGGTTGGGCCCCTCTCCGTCCGTCACTCGGCAGGATTTCACTCCACCATGGTCATAAGAATCCCAACAAAATCCGTCATGGTCGTTTGTCTCCTAGTTCAAGACATTTCCGATGTCCGACCACAATCGAAGCTGCATAAACACTCCATGGAACGGAAGATTTGATGGATGACTGCCCCCCCAGCCTTTCCCCACATCAATCGCAGACAACCATGCGTCAACACAAACTAGACAGTTGCCGGTACAACTGCTCCTTGTATTCACGATTTTTTTTATCCTGCATGGTCTAATGGCTTTGTCAACAAATAGGATGTACACGGGTTTTCGGTGATTTCGATTCGTCCGCTAGTCGAGCCCTACCAACTGGCCAGCGGGCTTTCTGTAGCTGATTTCTCGCCAGCCGTCCCATTGGCCCCGCCTCGGCGGTCTTCCGGTTACGACAAGTTTCACGACCTGATACGACAATACTTTCCCTCCTTTTCCCTGTTGTCTTGTCCGAGTTTTCCACCGAAATTTCTTCTCCACCTTGGAGCTATCCAATCAACCACTCCCAACGCCCCCCGTCGATCCCATGTCGCTGCTTCAACTATCTCTAGCATCCTGGGCATCTTGAGCTCTGTCCGCACCTGCTATTCATGTGTGGGCTTGATAGGAGACGGTCGGGCTGCGGCGGCGGCGGGGGCCGTCATATTCTGAATTGCGTTATGGAGCTGTCTCCGTGGGCGAGCCGCTCGCTGCGCCAATGACAATCCTGGATGTGTCTGTGTCTCTCTCACCTCATATGGGCAACGATGCAGCCAATGTTCCCTGGTCAACTGCCGAGCTGGATCAGCCAGTCGGTCTTCCAATCTCTGGGAACGTGTGGACGGATGCAGAGCCACCACTGTCCAGGCCCGCAGCAGCAGCAGCCACCACCCTATCCTTCCATCGTCCCACTCTAGCTACCCCCTCTCCAGATTCTGCATGGACACCAGCAGCACTTGTGTCGACATGTCCATACTGTCACAAGACTCCTTGCGCCCCGCCCCGCGAAATTCGTTCTTTCGGATCGCCGAAACACCAGCTCAGCGTACAGAACGCGAGACTACTGCACATGCAACACTGTACAAATCTGGTCCGACAAGCTGGTCAACTTCTACTTGACCTCCCTCTGCACTGTCGCCTGTCTGTCCCCTCCGGGGGACCAAGGGGTCTGCGATACTGACCCGTCCAAGTCACAGATTCTGCATCCCAGCGTTGAGTCCCGACCCCTCCTCTTTCGTCCCATCGAGTGTCTACCCCCGGACTGCCTCAAAAAGCCTCCTCTCCTCAGTGTTGCCACCGCGACTAGTACGGCACTCGATAGCTTGCAGACGATTTACCACCCCTCCCCCACGCCCCCCGCTCGATTTCTATGCCATGCTGAAAACCACCGCCGCTATCCCCACTTCACCCTGCAAGCTTCTGACGAATAGATGGAAGCTTGCCGCAGAAGTTATACGTATGATCGATGTCGCCCCACCCGCAAGGAACACACCTTCGCCGGAACGAACGTTGGGAGCCCGTACCTCGCCCCCGCCCCTTTCCACAGCCTGTCTTCCCACCTCTTTCCTCGGACGGCACCCACCTAGGTAGGAGTACTCACTCACTCCACAATCCGTCCAAAGTTCGCTACCATACCCGTGGTACAAATGACCGTCCAGTTCAATCCGAGGAACAACCCACATTTCGAAGGCTGGAAGGCTTGCAGAACATTCCAAGCCACTTCAGATGGCGCCCCGTCACCCTGGCCTGAGGAAGCTCCTTGCCCTAAGTACACTCTTCGGCTTCCACATCCACCTCCGTATCGTAGCAGGAGCAACAATCTTCGGGCTATCCAAAATTCCAAATGGATTATTCTACTATTACTCGAGTGAGATACTGTGAAATCGTCTTCCTTTCTCAGATTCCGAGCGGGATATATACCTATGTCGTTGTTACCAGCTTGTCACTGTTGACCTACTACATGTCTGCCCTGAATCCCTAAGCACGTGTCGCACATGTATTTCCCGAGCACAAGTCCTATTCAAGAAGGTTTAGCACCAACGATGTGTTTCTAGTGATGGAGATGAACGGCAGATCTGCAGTGCTGGGCCTACCTCTTCCCCTCCTAGTGCTAACACTCTTGCGCAAGAAACCCTTCCCACGCCGTGCTGGTGTGAGTGACATGTCGTGGTTGGGGTTTCGGGTTCTGGTATTGGACTCTGGAGGGGTTTTGTTATTGAGGCTGAATATACCTGAGCTACCTATTCGTACAGTTCCAAGCGTTCTAGCCTTCTGTCGGAGCTTAAGTAATTCCATCGTAACACGCACTCCATGTACTAGTCTCGGGAGCCGCGATACACATATCTTGTTCGGATTCTATTCACTCTCTCGTGAGTGAATCCCGCGTGTGTTGCGGTGAGATAGGTCGCAGGAGTGAATGAGTCTCGGAAGAGTGAATGAGACTCGCAGGGGTGAATGAGTAAATGAGACTCGCAAGACTGAATGAAACTCGGAGAAATGAATGAGTCTCGCGGGAGTGAATGAGTCTTGGAAGAGTGAATGAGCCTCGCAGGACTAAATGAAGCTTGAAGAAGTGAATTCTGCAGCTCTTGTCGGAACTTCCAACTTCCAAGCCTCCAAAGCCGAATGAGTCCCCACCCTCCATTCGGAGTTGCACGTATTCATAAGAATGAAGAAGTACCCAAGCTACCAAAGGACCACCGACTAGCAAACGATTTCCAGTACCTATTCGCATCTTGGAGCTCCCATCCATCCACCCATCCTCTTGAAACCTTCCGTCCGTCCGGCTAACCCTCGGGATGTGTATCGAGATGACCAGTTTGAATAAGCGGCCTTGGAACCCTTAGGTGCTCAGGCCAAGGAAGACCGGTTCTGCACTTGGCACTGGTTCCTTAAGCATCATGCCGATATACCCAGGGAGCCCGAGAGCTTGTCTGACTGCAACCTTTCCTTTCCGCGGTCCCGGATTCCAATCAGCAGCGGCATGGAAACAGCGTAACTTGCGGCAGTGCACTTGGGCATCAGAGCAGCGTTGAGTTTAAAACTGCTGCTGCACCCCCAACGCACTTCCGCGCGTTTGAGTGATCCATTGATCCTCACGCCGGTAGATGCAACCAATCCACGGGTACCCACATCGCTTAATAACGACACACTCCCTCCCTCGCTCCCGCCCCACCACCACCCTCGGCCACCATCCCCGGCGACCGCCCGCAAAGCCCAAGGAAACGATAGCTACCGTTATCTAGAAGCTTTCTTTGTTCCACCTTGCGAGATTCTTCCTACGAAGCAGCAGTGGTAGATCGTTCTGAAAACTGTATGTCTCGGTAGCCAAGTTGTGTGCCATCTCTCGAGTTCTCGTGGTCAGACAGGTAACTAGGTATTCGAAGATGAGGTGGATACTAGGGTGGGTGTTGAGAGCGGACATTGTCTTTGTGTTTTGAATTGTGTGTCGTATGTAGGTACATAAGTTGCTATTGTTGCACACGTCAGCCTCGAGAATCGAGATGCCACTTCGTATCTAGTGCTAACTATCAGTACCAATCGAGAGGCTCCAGGCCTAAAATCAACCTCAGTCCTTCGACCGCCAGTAGAACTAGCCAGATATGTTGCAGGGATATCGACCGCTACCCCGGCACCCGCTCTGATCGCGACTCCGCCCCTTCCCTTCCCTCTGTTCCTATCCCGAACCAGCCCGCTTTTACGGGGTCTGCGGCTGCACCGGACATGTGGTATCACTCGGTTGATCGATTGAGATCGCATGCTCCTTCCAGTATGTTTGTGCCGTTGCAGCACTCGGGATCGGCCAGATCGTCGCCGCTCCGACATAGGTACCCACTGTTTTTTTGCGATCGCAGTTCTTGAGCATGTCTTCTTTGGTTGCGCTATCACACACCGTCTTCTCGATCGGCGCTTCCTGGAACTCTCCACACTCAGCTCCTCCTTCAACTTGTTGATCTCAAACCGTTGACACGCTTCGGTCCCCGCAGCCTGCTCAACTGCCAACTGGATCGCTGCCCTTCCCCACACCCCAAGCTCTCACCGTGGTCCGTTCCGGATGAGCCACTCACTCTCTTCAGCAGCGTAAAGCCCTTCGGTATGCGGTACGCAGTGTATAGTTAACGCTCGCCGTTGCGGCGGACACGACTCCCAGATCTCGGAAGTCGGAACTTCTCAGGAATCCCTCGAAGGTTCTTATCCGCTATGCCCCCATGAGTTCGCCACGTTCCAAACACGGTTTGCTTCATGAATCATGATCGTACGGCCGCACCACATTTCCTTCGTCCTTTGGGTATATAGACGAACGGATGGACAACAATCATGGCCGATCACACGGACAGCGCTTACTCTGATGAGTCTACCCATTGGATCTCACTCGAGTATGCCGGGGAAATCCACAGCCGACGTCGACTGGCGACAATATGGGCCCTGCGCGGCTATTTAGTCAGCCATGGCTGGGAATAGGGTCCAGAGATGGGATGCTAAAGGATGAGATTGACGGGGGGAGGGGTACTTAACGGTCGGATCCTATCGACCATATGTACAGATCCCTCCTTCTAGGAAGCTCAATCACTTACCTAAACCCCAACATTCCTCGAGCTGCCATGTGAAAGCGTACGAAAGACAGTCGTACCTATTCCTTGGTCATGATTATGTATCTCTTCCATCAGGTGTACCTTCCGATGGATTCCGCCAAGTGCTCCTGGTGAGGATTTTGCAGCAGGGTTAACGCTGGAAGAGATGCGGCCCGAACGCATGCATTGGAGACTCGGAACCACCATGTTCCGAGCGAGTTTCTATGCGGAGGTTGCATCAGATATATAGATAGGGAAGTCTCAGACAGATAGTCCGTAGCGCGCCGAATGCTCGATTCCTTGCAATTGGTGGACTGATCGTTACCGGGCGCTCCCGTGTGGGTTGTCGAGAGATGAATTACCTACATACCCTTTCCTTCCGCTCTGCTCCACCCGCCATCTGTACATATTTTTCTTGCTAGGCAAATACCCCCATCTTTGGATGTTCTTGCTCCAATTCTCTTCGTCTATCGAGCGCGGGACCCTCCTTTCCGTTCTCCGGTAGAACTCTTGATACATGCCACACGAAGATGTGCTGGTTAACTGATTGGCTGGGAGGAGCAGGAAAGCTTTGAGCCTAAGTAGTGTGGGGCGGAGAGGGCGTAGAGTATACGTCGGTACTCTCGGCGTGTTTCGTTTTGAATGAATTTCCTTTGGCAGCCTCATTCGAATGATTTTCCAGGGTAGTTAATCCATAGACGATTTGCCTCAACCAACATCAAAGGCATCAAGTTCTTTCCCCACCTTCCCCCTTCCTTAGGGAAGTTCTTTCCTGGGGCGAGTGAGGAGGCGTCTATAGTAGAGTACTACCGTGATATCGATTCGGAGAGGGAAAAGGATATTTTGATTCCTCGAATCAGAAATAATGATGCCGCCGACGATGCTGCTGAATCGCATCGCTGGACACATAAAGCCATGAGGCAATTTTGGTCTGCGAAGTCAGGATTTTTTTTGATGATGTTTGAGCCTCGGGACACGACTGACAGGCCGACTTGTTCAACGAAGGAGCCACTTCCGGATGCGTAGTCGATGTAAGGTACAATTCTATATCCCCAAGAATTGAAATCACCGAAATTCGAATGAGTTCCCCAACGAATCTGAACTGCCGAGCTGCAGCCCACGATTAACGCCGCATGGTGGCGTTTCCCTCACCAAAGGACAATGCATCGTCGTGATAAAAGACCAATGATTGCTAAGCCATAGGGGAATACCCTTCGACACATCCTGGCCAAAGAAAACAAGCTTCCTGGTACACACTGCCCGCACACTTCCGATGTCCGGGGACCGAGTTGAACGGATGCGGTATACGCGTCTCGCTCTCATTTGTTCAGAGGATACCTAGGCACTCGGTACTGTTCATGGACGGCCCTGTTGCCAGTGCCGGCCGGTGACGGGTAGTTAAGTGTAGCCTGCAGCAGGTATTTCCATGTCCGTTGGCTCCGAAGATCCACCGAGCAGAATGCCCGGATGTGCTGCGCATCCACGCATCCCGTCGGAGGTCGCCGAGCTTCTCGCGTCCCATAATAGAGTACCCACTCCATCTAACCTTCAAAATGGAACCTACCAGCCGAGCGGAGGGAAAAGACAAGGTGGCCTCCAGGTGGACTTCCGAGCCGGACCGGATGGCTTCTCACGATTCATTTCCTTTCACGGCACCGTAGGGCGGCTGACAGCCTCCTTGCTGTGCTGGCTTCTGAGCGTGGGGAACCATCGGTATCCGCTGTTTTCGGGGTTCAACCATTCGCCGCCGCCGAACACGTTGAAGCTCCCATCCGTGAGCTCGAGCTACATCCGGCAAAGGCTTGCTTCCTGCTTCCTCCATGGCGGTGGGCCCTAGGGCTTCAGCCTTCAGATTAGAGGAGAACGGCCGGTCAGGGTAGGTCGCTTCGTTAAGATGTGAGGGGTGAGAAGTCGTGTAGAGCAGAGACGGTGAGAGACTAGAGATGAGAAGCGGGAGAAGGATGCGGAGGAAGCATGGTGTAGACGAGCTGGCGCCTGTGCACTATTAGGCTGTAGGAGTACTGCAGAGGCCAGCGTACCTATTCAGGTCCGGCGGCTCAACACCACCTTTCCAGTTAGTACTTGTTAGTTAGAAGGTCGAACTGAACAGCCAGCAAGAACTAACTCAACGCTTCTCATGCTTCTTCTTCTTTACCACAAATGAATACCTAGCAGCCTATGTACGGCATCTACCTCGGCCAGCCTTCCACGCGATCAAACCCGAGGGCGAACCGTTGCAGTGCTGTGTAGAGTAAATATCGGCAACTCAATGCACACCCGTCGCCCAGCGGCAAAGTCGTCAGGGAAGACAAGAATAGAAGCGACTCAGGCACCCGTACCGGTACTCAACCGCTCCGGTCTTAACTACTGCACGTAACACTGGGCTCTGTATTCTACCCTCATCGCCGCGGTGTTTTGTACAATAAAATACATACCGACGCAAGGCGCGCGGTTGCATAGCATACCTACAGGCTACATACTCTACGGCACTCTACTTTAGGTACCTCCCTTGCCAATGACCAGGTGCAGAGTAAGGCAGGCCCGGCAGGGCCCGTAAACCTGCATAAACCTTCATGCGCGGGGGAAGGGGAGGTTTGGGGGCTGAATGGTGAAGAGTCTTTGGCGAGCTTTTTTATGGGAAGGGGGATGGCCGGAAATGGCCGTGTGATAGCGCGTGATGCATTTACGTCCGAGACTCCGAGCACGCGCAACATGCCGTAGGTACATGGTCAAGACGGTCTGACAACAAATGGTTTATCTACTCTACATACAGATCCAGATATAGAGACTTCTCTACCTTGAGTACATCTCCCAAGTCGCTCCATCCATCCATCGATCCATCTCGAAAGGAAAGGAAAGGAAACGGGTATCACCAATACGGTAGGCTACCTACTGCCTACCCAGGTAGCTGACTGCATACACAATTACGAGCACTACTCTAAAGTGGGCTCGCATGCGCTCCGAAGATGTATCGTACTCTATGTAAGAAGGGCATCGCCAAAGCATTCCAGATAAGCTTCAAGGGGGAGGTGCGTCGGCCCCGCGGCCCGTGAAACAGCCGCGATCGGTGTTCCCGAGCGAGACGGGCTTACCCTAACTTTGCAGCAGCAGCAGGTGGAGATCTCTCGCGGCAGATGTTGGGTTATGTACCAAGATATATGTAGGGCATGGGGGTTCTGGCATCTCGGCATCAGGTAGTCCACCTCGCGAGGAATTAGGTAAGTCCGCAAGACCTCGGAGAAGAAGTACCAGCACATATCACCCTTGAAGGAGAAGGGGGCGGCCATCCGCGAAGCCCTGCTAAGGCTAAGGCACTCGCGTGCTGGATTCCTTTTCTTCCATCCATCCATCCATCCGTACCGCCACTTGCGCAACGTGAATGCAGAGTACCGTAACTGACCTTCGGTACGATGGACAAGAATACGGTACAAGCTCATGATACCTCGTTTCCGGCGGTTCTGGGGACCTTCGAGGCGGCGGTCCCGTCTCGCCCTGGCGCTTCGTGGCCTTTCGCGCTCATACTCTCTCCAGCACGAGCACGAGCACGGATGTTGAGCTTCTCCACACTCGAGCAACCAGCGCTGACCGGGCAGGGGGACCTTAGAGTACCGTAACTTCACGATAAGCAAGTCTTGTCCCTTCCGCGACTACATAATTCTCCTACCGATATCTGAAAGTTACCAAGGCTCCAAGGCTCGATAACTTACATATTTGCCGGCATACATACAAGGCCCATGGCCAATACATATGGCTTCTGGAAACATCTTCATCGGGATGCCAATGACCAAGCCTCTAGTCAGCGGGCGGAGGGGGAATCCGAACCCTCCAAGACATGCGTGATGCATTCTCCCCTGCTCGACGGATTCGTTGCGCGATGGATTCCCTGCGCCGCTGCGCGACGGATTCGCTGCGGCGCACATGTGAATCGAACGGCGAAATTCCAGTGGCTTCCAGAATCCATGGTTCAATTTGCCGTCCAAGATTATCCACGCAGGTCTTCTGCCTCGACTCTCCCTTTCCAGAGACTCGGAGCTAGAGTAGAGTAGAGTACCGTAAAGCAGATATCACTCCGCTCTACTCTACTTCCTAGTAAGAGGTCTGCGCAAACAGGGAGTTCTATCCTTCAAGAGGGTAACCCTCCGAGAGGACAGGCGAGTGAAACCACTGGTGCGTCTCTGCAGAGATTTCAGGAGCAAAGATCGAAAGCGCACTGTATGGTTCTGTATGTAGAATTTACATTTCAATTGGGGCGTGTGCAGCCACTCATGATGGCTGGCAGTGTCGACAATGCAGGTACCGTGCGACCACATCGCCATCGATTGCGGGCTCAGGGATCCGTGCCACCGTATCGGCGGTTGTGATGGATTGGTTGGTTGGCGAGTCGCAATCTTTCCGTCGAACCTTCGAATTCGACCTCGTGGGTCCTGATATCACAGTGGGAGTATGAACCTAGGTGTGGAAACAACGCCATATTCCTATTTACCGACCAGGAGATTGAGGACATCTCTGGAGGCAGATTCGAGCGGCTTTCCTCGGCTGCAGCCTTGCTGGGGTTGGAAGAAGAGCTGTGGGGGAGCTTGAGCTCGACGCGATAGATATGTGTATGATAGGTAGTAGGGCAGCTGGTACACTCGCTGGGGCCGCTATCGTCTGGCGCTGGGCCGTGGTTGGATCCCTTTCACTGTATAGAGTCGTTAGTAACCAAGCAAGTAGGGAAGTAAGTGAGCGTGAGTACTCGCCTGCCTGCCGTTTTCTTCTTCTTTTTGCACTGTGGGTGGGTGCAGAGTGCCTGTATGATTCTATCACCGCCGTTCGAAGAGACCGGACATGCTTCCCTCCATGAGCTCCTGGGAACTCAGGACCCCACTGCCGCTTGGCCCACAGCGGCAAGCTGCAATCAAACCTCGCAGGACGGAGGGGGGCGGTTCCTGCCCCGATGGGGCAAGCGCAGTTCAGGGTGTAAGCTCACTGGGAAATGAAACCGACTCGGAAAAAGAAAAAACGAAACAACCCACCAATCGCCGTCCGCCGCTTGGGCTGTGGAGCAGCAAGAAATCGGAATCGCGCCGCCCCACCTGCCAGATGGTTCATATCGCTGCTGATTATTTTTGGTCCGTTCGGCCACCACCAGCTGGAGGCGACAGGGGAGATGATCGCGGACGTGTGGGGATCTTTACCATCCTGGGCCACCGCACCCCTATCCCCAGGGCCACCCACTTGGGTATAAGGAGCCCCCCCTTCCAGCTCCCTTCCTCTCATTCTTCTCTTCACCAAAGCAATCGTTCTAGCTCACAGTCTGCCCGTCGCGTCCAACTCCGTCGACCCGCACAATCAGTTTAATCGTCACTCTTTTGACTAAACATCCTCCAATCTTTACCTTCTTAATCACTCGCCAGTTCTTTTGAAAGAATCCCCCTCTTCAACTTAATCAATCAAAATGCGTTTCTCCACTATCGCCTCTTCTGCCGCGCTCTTCGGAGCTGCCGCCATGGCCCTCCCTAACCCCGAGGTTGTCTACGAGACTGAGGTCGTCACCATCACCTCGTGCGGTCCCGATGTCGTCTCGTGCCCGGCCACCGCCGCCACCTACACCACCCCGGCCGTCGAGTACCCCGTCGAGACCCCCGTTGTCGCGACCACCTCGTGCACCACCACCGAGGGTTACCCCGTCGAGACCCCCGTTGCCGTTGAGACTCCGTCCTACGGATCCCCCGTTGACACCCCCGTTGACACCCCCGTTGACACCCCCGACTACCCCGTCGAGACCCCCGTCGACACTCCTTCCTACGGATCCCCCGTCGAGACCCCCGTCGACACTCCCTCGTATGGCTCCCCCGTCGACACTCCGGTCGAGACCCCCGTCGACACTCCGGTCGAGACTCCTTCCTACGGATCTCCCGTTGACACCCCCGTCGAGACCCCCTCGTACGGCTCCCCCGTCGACACTCCGGTTGAGACCCCCGTCGACACTCCCGTCTATGGCTCTCCCAGCGTCCCCGTCGGTACCGGCTACCCGACCTACGCCAGCTACGTTCCCAGCGGAACCGGTGTCGTTGACATCCCCCTCAACACGTCGACTCCCGTCACCCCCTCGTCCGTCCCCGAGACTTACGAGGGTGCCGCGTCGGCCAAGAGCTTCTCGCTCATCGCTGTCATCGCCGCCGCTGGGGCTCTCTTCCTCGCATAAATCAGCTAAGCTTCATCTACCGGTCTGACGATGATATGGCTTATTCTGGGTTAATTGGGTTGGATTGGTGGGTTGGTTGATCGGTGTGGTGAATTGTGTATCGGTAAATATGGGGGGTGGATTGGTTTGTGATTGGCATGTCTCGGCAAAGGAAATGGGCGTCGTTAGATCTTCTGTACTTAATTAGGAGGGTTTGGCTCGTGAGATTTCTCAATCTAGATTGATATATTCTTTCAAACGTTTTTTTTCCTCCGTGGGACCCGACAAGACCACTCAAGGGATTGGCGGGTCCATTTTTCTCTTGTGTCCATTTTTGTCTTCTTGTTTTGTTGGTAGTAAATATCGTGGAGTCGTTGTTTTACGGTTCTGTTTGTATGAACATGGCAGTCTATCGCAACGAATTGTCTGATTTTTCCCACGAGAATTCCGCCTATTTTTCCCTCTGTGAATTAAACTCGCAGCTGTGTGTTGTGTGGACTTTGGGCGAAAACGAAAGGGGTGGTGGGTGGCAGCTACTGTCTTCCTTCCTCCCGTGGGGGAAGGGAGGGGCGGGGGGGCGTGCAAGCATGGGCATGGACAGGGCAAAGACAGCGCTTTACCACGTCCGGCACGTGGTGCGAATGGATAGGGGTAACAGACCGAATCCGTCACGAGTGTGCCACCTCTCTCTATGAGCTCCCTCTCTCCCTCTTTCTCGTCCGGGCGGCTGAGAACATGGTCGCATATCTATCACACATATCGTAACACCCGTATATCCGGAGTGGCCCAGAGGGATTGGTTCTCGTCCACTTCGAGAGTATGGAGAGTGTGTAGAGTGTGATGGATCATACGTCGTATGTATGACTGCCAATTCCGTGCTCAGAAAGAAAGAAACACCACCTGCCAGGTACATTTTGTACATACACACCTGTGTACACAAGTAACCATCTGCGTGGAACACCTTCCAGAGTCCATCCCGTCGCTGTCGCTGTTTGAGAACCGAGAGAGAAAGAAAGAAAAAGGGGCACCACGTATCTTGATTCTAAGGAAGCCAGGAAGCCAGACATCCATGCACCTTGGGGGGTGGGTGGGCAGGGCCCTCCGCCTCCTCGCAAACCCGTTAGCTGCCCTAGAGTAGAGTATGATATCTGTGAATGTGTGTGGGTGGGTGGCCTTTGTGCGATGTGTGCCCTGACGATGCGAGGTGATTTGTACCTCTCGCTTCGGTGCTTTTTTGTTCCTGCTTTTATGTTCCTGCATCAACAACACAGGAGGGAAGGAAGGGAAGCAGGGGAAGCAAGGAAGCAACTGCATGCAAGGAATTCCCACTCTTTTGCTTCTTCCGCCCAGCTTCTTACACAGACTCTAGAGTAAGGTACTGTCCTCACGTTGCGCCGAGTCTGCAGTCACCAGTGTTCAAAGGAATCAAAACAACGAGCTGCAGAGTCCAGTCCAGCGAGCGAGGGAAGGGGGGCCGACCGACAACCACCACCCACCTTTGATCACGTGTCTCCAAGCCAGTACTCTATCCAAGCCCGTCTGCAAGCCAGGTAACAATCCCGGGCCAAGCCTTATGCGGACTCGGGGGAAGGGACAACTAACTAAGGGCCAAGAGTTTTCGGTTTCGAAAACACCCCACGTGAATCCATCATCCCGGAGCTTTGAAGTTGAAACGGGCTACCAATGTACCTAACTCTAGTTCGCCGACGCTAGCGGATTCGAGGGTGAGGGGAAGGTCGGAGCGGACGTGGACGACGAGGGGTTCGGACTCGAGTCGAACACTCGCGATCACTCTGGTCGGATACGAGGAAGGGCTGGCGGACGGCTGGCCGCCGTGTCCGTGACGAGTGGACATCTATGCCGTGCAGGTGTCAAGAATCTCCATAGATCGACGGGATGATCATGTCGCAATCTCTCTTCCGGAGATCTGGAGGAGACGAGGTGGGTGAGTTGGAGAGTGGGGAGTATGTAGGTATGATGTAGGTACGTACGTGTATATCCCTCCCCGCCAGAAACGTGTCCACCAGCAACCTGTGAAGGACAAAGGGATCCGCAGCCTGACGGGTGGCTTGGGACGATCTTTCTTTCATGTAGTATGTAGGTGTGTAGGTGTGTAGGTATGAAGGTATGACGGTATGACGGTATGTAAGTAGGCTGTAGGCATGTACGTGATGCATGTCCGCGCGGCGGAGTTGGGAGCTTGTGTAGAAGTCTTGACTCTTCCGCATGAGGCGGTGACATCCAAGACTTTTTTTTTGGTTTCTTCATGGTTACGATAGTATGTCATATTGCATACGGTCTATCTGGATCATGCCAAGTACAAACTCTTGTCCTGCCTACGTATGTGTGTATAATAGTACTCTACAGTCCAGATAGCTGGCTCGATGGTTACAGCGACGCATTCCCCCCGCCCGTCGCCGCCTGGGCAACCGCAAGTGCAAGACCGATCGAAGCAAAACAGTGCATGATATGTAATCAGTGGAGCAGACTCGCGAGTCGTGCCACCCAAGACTTTAGTACCTAAAGTAGTGTGGCTCTTCGCTTCGTGGCTGGTGCGAAGTGATATCTAGTGAAGGACTTCCGAGTGATGGGCTTCGAGGCGAAAGCCTGTACGCTAGTAATCAAAAGCGGAGTTTGCTGGAGGATCCAATCCCATCGTATCGATGCCCGCTGCGAAACAGTGCTTACACGAGATGGCTGCCAGTCAACTCAAGTCTCAGCAGCGAGTGATATCGTACATAGCGTAGTAGACTGATACCCATGTTCCGAGTCTGCTACCAGCCCAGACTGTGGTCGGATGTGGGCCAAAATACGTGGTGGCGATCTATCAACCGTGTTCTCGAGAGTTGAGAAGGTGGCCCAACCGGCTGGCTGTGAGGAAACTGGTATGTACCTCTATGTGGGAGAGTATGCTAGCTGTTTTATATTCGTCACTCGATCCTACTAGCCTGCCGGATTTCAATGAACACGGGTGACATCAAGTGCAGGAGTCAGCCAGAGCTCTGCTGCTACTCCAGGTTCGATCTGTGCGTACGACGTAGGGTATCTGGCTTCGGCCAAATTGCTTCGGCCAAATTGCTTAAACGTTACCCTAGGGCTATCTGTGTAGGAATGGGCGAGCTGCACACGAATGAATCGGGAAGTGGGACTGCTACCTTTGCCAAGACCATAGTGGAATGACCTCGCAGGACCGCCCTCGCTCCTCCATTTCTTCTGCACTTCACTCCTCACTTTCTTCTCCACTTCATACTCCTCATTTCACTCCACATTTCAGCCCCTTGACGGCATTTCAAACTTACTACCTCACGGCAACACCCTGCCCATCCATCCATACCTCCACCTATCCTTCCTTCCTTCTTACTTCTATCCTTCATTATTCCTTCTCTCCATTGTTCCTTCTCTTACATCGGCTTCATATTACCGTTGTCTTTTTCACTCTCTCTCTCCCTGCGAAGCACAACTGCAGGTGACCCCCTTCGACCCTAAACTGCAGGTGATCTGGAGGGGTGCGGGCTTGGAAGACTTCAATGATCTCCTTGCGAAGCTTCAATGTGTTCGGGGTCGGAGATGGTGTGTTCATCGCAGCCTTGGATTGAGCACCCGCCGCAGAGCCAAATAACCACTACGCATCGGAAGGGTATGTTACCTTTCACTTCTGGGCGTCAATGTGAGTGGGCTGATTTATTTGCAAGTGTGACCGTCCGAGCGGTCTTTCCAGTCGCTCATGGACAGAGAAGTAAGTCACTTCATCGTACTGGTTTCATCACACGGCTAACAAACAGCAGCCTAGTGTAGTGTAGTGGATACTGCAACATGAGGTTCTCTGTCCTGGGCGGCTTTTCATTGCCTTCTACATCACACCTCCACTCGTACTCACCTTTACAACACATTCACCCTCACAACACACTCACAACCACAACCACAGCCCGCTCAACCTCAAAATCAACTCACTTAACCACAAATCACTCACCCTCAGTGGCTCCACACAGTTTGCTTGAGCTGTCATTGGCTCTACGCCGTTTTGCTTGAGCTACCAGTGGCTTTATTCCGTTTTGCTCGAGCTGATTGTGCCGGCGTTTGCTATTGGCTGCTCGACGGTCTTCCGACTTGGCTACTAAGGTATGTTCCTTCCGCTGCTTTTGGGCTTAGCTGAGGGTAAGCTGACGTATGCTTGATTTGGATCCAAAGCTGGAAGACCTTCCCCGCTACTATTCGTTTGCTCAACCATGCAGTACTTTCCACCATCTGCTGTCCAGCAGCGACCCACACATCATAAACGAGTAAGCAGTGGTGTTTGACAACACCTTCCCTCGGTCGCCCAAGACTTCTGCTCACAGCGGAAGCCATGCGCACTTCCGGATCCATGTTTTGTCTTGTTTTCTTTTGTTTTACACAAGCTGTTAAGCTCGATGGCACTAGCTAAGGAGGGATGATATGCGTCTGTCAGATTTTGTTGTTGTTCATTTATTAATTGCATGCGACCTATCTAGGGTGCGTTTGTTGGAAGAGTAAATTGAGTATGAGGGTTTATTCTCGCGAGGTGATGGTTGATGAAGTTTTTGATGGATTATGTTTCTTTGGCTGGATTCAGACGCTCTAATAGTTAGCTGGTGGAAATAATGAGTGGTCTTGATATGGACTAGGTTGCTTGTATACACTCTGATTACTCCGCCACGATACAGTGATGTGATGGCTGGCGAGTCGAGAGGAGCTGGATCGACAACCACCTCTTGCCTAGGTGGCTCTTTTCAACTTGAGATGCAGCCCAGTCGACAGACCAGCCACCAAGACTTGAAGCAGGCGTGCAAGCAAGCCTACCAGCCACTGTCCCACGTACATATCGTCATTTCTCGTCAGCGGGGCAGTGAGGTCAGAGTGATATCTAGTGATGAGCCGCCGAAATGTTATCCTCACACGACTAGCCCAGACCCGCGAGGAGCTCACTTCTTTCAATAAGACGGCGCACTACAGGCTTGATTACAACCTCTGCTGACGAGATGTTTTCCAACGAACTTTCACAA